ACTTAGTATTTTTAACTCCTAAAAACTGTTTTTAATAGTAAGTAGTAATAGAATATATAATTAAATATTAAATTTTAATATTATAGCTTTAAAGTTAAAAAAAACTAAATTAGCGCCTTTAAAGCTACTTAAAATATTGCTTTTTATAATAATAGTATTAAAAGCTAATTTAAAGCACAGTAAAAATTTAATTTTAGTAATATAATTAATACTATTGCATATTAGCTTTTTAGCTTAGTACTTATACGCTTTTTTTAAAAGCGCAAAATAATTTATATTAAGTAGCTATAGTAGGTGCAACAAATATAAGGGTATATAAAAAGTAATAATTTTTTATTTTTTATAATACTGCTAGAATTAGACTAATGCGTAGTTTTTATAACTATTAATAATAAATAAATAATAAGTACTAATAACTTTCCTTTTAGTATACTTATTAAAGTGCTTTAACTACTTAAAAATAAGCTTATTTATTATTTAGCTATTTTTAAAAACTATAATAATTTAATTATAGGGCAGGCTATCTTTTTTGTACTAGGCTAAAAAGTAGTTTTTATTTGCAAAAATAATAAAAAGTAAAATAATTTATTTTATTATATTAATACTTTAAATTACTATTATTTACTTTTAATTATTTTGCTGCACTATCTTTAGCTATCTTTAATAGTTAGCACTTAAAATAATAGTTTTATATAATATCTAGCCTATTATAAAGCCTATTTTATTAAAGTTATATATATTTTTATTTTAAATACTATGCTTGGCCTTTATATTTTTTATAAGTTAAAACTAGCTTTGTATAAGTTTAAGATTTTTATATAAAATTTTTTAGTAGTTATACTTTTAAAAAGTCTTAGTACTAAGCTGTAAATATTATTTAATAAATATACTAGCCTAATTCTTGCTAATAAATAGTTGCTTATATTTAGCTAGCAAAATATTAGTTATATTATTTATAGCAGCTAGTTAGGGCAGAAATTCTTAGTTTTTAAAGTAAAGTATATACTAGGCAATTATTTTTTTTTCTATTAAAAAAAGCTTTATTTTGTTAGGCCTAGTATTATATTATAGAAGTTTTTTTTTTAGTTAATTACTAAGTATTATTTAAAAAACGCTATAAATCCGCGCAGCTTTTTATTAAAAAAAATTTATATTATATTTTAAAGCCTAAACTGCAAGCTATATTTAGTTTTCTTTTTAAGAAAATTGCATATTATTATATTAAAGCATCGCGTTTAATAGTAGAAGACTACTAATTTTAGTAGAGTTTTAGTATTATAACTAACTTAACTAGGCGACTGATTCGCCCGTATAATATGTTATAAAAAAGCTATAATAATACTTAAAGCAGGAATATAACGCAATGCAATAATAAAAAAATTTAATTTACTTTTTAAAAAAAGCGTTTATAAAGTAGTTTTATTACTTAAAAATAAAAAAACTATTTTTACTAAAATAGTTTATAAAGTTAAATTTATACTAATTAATAAAATTATTAAATTTAAAGCATGCTTTATTGCTTGCAGTTTTTAATAGTATTTTAGTATTAATTATATTAAAATTTTTTTTTTATAGCTTGCTTTATATTTATATATATATTATTTACTATTTATACGCTGCTTAAATAGACAAGTATATAAATTAATATTATTATTATTTTTTTTAATACTATACTTTAAAAAATAGTCTACTATATGCCGCTACTTTTAGTAATGCTATTTTTTAGCTATATATAGTTACTATTTAAGTTTTTTTATAAGCTTATATAAGCGCTTTATATATAGTATAAAATGCTTATAGTAAAGCTTGTGCAAATAAGCTTTTGCATTTTACTTTATAATAGCTGCGTTTATATATATACTGCGCAAAAGCTAATTATTTTAGTTTATATTAATAATATTTGCATTTATACTTTATACTAAAATAATATTAATATATTTAAAAGTAAACTTTTTAATACTTTTACTATTATATTAGAAGACCCTAATGCTCTATATCTAAAAATATATATTAAATAAAATATAAATATAATAAAAATTTACTAAGCTAAATATATTTAGCAATTCTTTAATTGCTATAATTTTAGTAATATAGCTATTACTAAAATTTTGTGTAATTATTGCGTTAAGTTAAAGTAAAATAATAATAATATTACTATTTTTACTTTTAAAAAAAAAAATTTTTAAAAGTTTAATTTTTTTAACTACTTACTAATTATAATATATATTAACCTAGTTTATACTATTTTACTTTATAAATGCTTTAATAGTAATTTAATATAATATTATATAAATGCAATAATTAAAGCGTATGCTTATATAAGCAGTACTTGCAAAATTAGCATTATATATAAAAAATAAAAACTTTAGCTTTTAGGCTATATTAACGCTAATTAGGCTAAATATTTTAACTTTTAATACTTTACTACTAGCTATATTTTTATACTAGCAGAAAGTTTTATTTTATAATTATTTATTATATAAAAAGTTGTAGCCTAGTTTATATACAAGGCAGAGTATATAGCTTTTAGTAAAGCTATAAAGGAAGCTATATAAATTAAGTTATTTATTAATAATTTTAATATAGGCATTTACTTTAATATAGTGCTTATATATATTAATAATTAATTAACTATTAAGCTTGCTAAAAACCTAGAGTTCTATTAATATAGTAAATATATTAATTTTTGTTATTACTTTTTCTGCAATTATATTTAATAAAATTTTATTATAGTTAAATAAATTAGTAGTAAAGAAAATCCTACTAATATACTTATAAAAACTTTAAATTTTATTAAGTTTAAAGCAGTTTACTAGAATATTAGTTTTATTAACTAAGCACTTGCTATAAGCGCTATTTTTAACCTACTTAATATAAATATAAATAATACTATTATTTATAACTATAAGCTCTCCCGCGAAGACAGGACCTAATATATTATTAATAGCTTATATTATTAGTATTTTTACTGTGTATTGCGTACTTTTATTTTTAAAATTGCTAAATAATAAACTTTTAATTTTTAATAATATAATTTTAACTGCTAAGGCGCTATCTTTTTTAACAGCTTTTAAGTATATGTTTAAATGTTTAGTATAATATTAAATTACTAAGCAGCTAACTAATACTAGGCCTTTAGGTAATAATAGCAACGCTAATAATAATAATAACAACAATAATAATAATAACTTTTCCTATAATATTAGCTTAAATACTTAACTATTTTTTTGCTTTTTTTTTTTGCCTGCATAAGTTATTATTTGTAGTATATTTAAATTATTATTACTTATTTTTCTGCTTTATTGCTTGCTTTACTACTTACATTTACTTACACACTAAATTAACTATTTTAAAAAGCTATATTTTTTAATTATTATACTACTAGTAATTATAGTTTTTAAAAAACTTTTTTTAATACGCTATAAGCTTTGTGTTACTTTTAATATCTTTTATAAATTATAAAAGCTTATTTTTCTAGTTTTTAATAAAAACAGCTTAGTTGCAGCTAAGGTTAAAGTTTTGCATTATTATATAGTAGCTAATTATAAAAAAAGTTGCGTATTGCTGCTGCTTAGTTATAACTAGCTTATTATAAAGAAATGCTAGAAAGTTAAAATTAACTAGGCAGGGTAAAAAGAGCCTGCTGCAAGAAAAAAAGTTAACTTTAAAGTATTTATATACTTTTTTATAGTACTAGTAGTTACTATTTACTAGCTTAAAATAGTTAAAAAGCAGTAACTTATACTAAGTAATTATTAATAGCTTATAGCTAGTATTGCTAGCTATAATAGCAACTTGTAGGCCTGTATGCACAAGTTTATTTATTAGTATTATATTATTTATATTTAATATAAAAATAAAAGTAAAAAATAAGAGACTTAAAAAGATAGAAATAAGTTTTAATTTATAAAATAAGTGCGCAAATATGTGCTTTACTGCCTACGCGTTTAAACCCTTACTATTTAAACTTTTAACTTTCTGCTTATATACAACTATAGGACGCGCAATAATACAACTATATAATAAATAATAATATATAATTATAAGTTTTAATTATAAGCTTTACCTTGCGTACTTTATAAAAACTATATCTATTGTATAAGCTATTACTAATTATAAAAAAGTATTAGCTATTAAGGCACAAGCTTACTACTAAATTAAAGCTTGCTTAAATTTTAGTTTAAAAATTTATTTATGCTTTAATAATAGTTTATAGTTAAAACTTAAAGCTGCCTAGCAATGCCTAAATAACTTAGTTACTATTAGAAAATCTATAGTTCTATTACTATAATTTTTAGATAATAATATATTAGGGCTGCTAATAGCAATTATTAAAGGTTTTTTAATAATTTATTTAGCTAACTTAGTATTATATAAACTTTACTACTTTAATACTATATTAAGGTGCTAGGTATAGTACTTAAACTATAATTTTTATACTAATTTTTTTTACTGCGTAGTATAATCCGCTCTAGCGTTAACTTTACTTTTAATTATAGAAATAACTATAAGCTCTATAAAGTAAAGCAGTACTTTATTATATATATATTATAATAAAAGCAAGCTTAAAAAAATGCTAAGCGTATTTAAATTTTAAAGCTTAAATAGCTTTATACTATTTATAGTATTATAAAAAATTACATAAAAGTATAGTTTAATTATATTAGAATTTATAATTATTGCAATTATAAAAAAAAGTATATAGCTATAACTTTATATAGCTTTGCTATAATAAATAATATACAAACTATAATTCTAATATAAAGTACTTTTATTATAGTATAATACTATAAGGCTGCTATTTTTTCTTTTTTTATATTTTATCTTGTGTTAGAATTTAGGGGGGCTATTAGTTTAAATTCCTAATATATAATTTATTATATGCCTAATATACTAGTCTATATATAAACTAGCTTACTCTAGTTTTACTTTTTTTTATATATAAACATAGCTTTCCCCTATATATAGAACATTATCAATACGATCACCTTTCTTCAGTTCTACATGTTTCTAGAACGGTTTGTAGCGCCCATACGCGCTTGATCCAGTGCTACACCTTGAGCCGTTAGTGCCTCCATGTATCTCGCGGTTCCATTCGGATCCCATGCGTCCAACAGATCGTTCAAAGCATGCCAGCTCGCTACCGGCGCTGCTAGGAACTCCTCAATGCAACGGCCACACATTACATCATCTGCAGCCTTCTTGAAATCTCGAATCAGCTTGATGAAGGCTGCTAGACGCTCCTTGAACTGTAGGTTTGCATCTTCATTGCGAGGTATATTTGCGGGAGTTTTGAAGAAGAGGCTCGTAGCGCCGTGTGTGTAGAGACGAGCAGCTTGATGAACCAAGGAAGTTGCCGTGATTTCGATGTCACGATCGTTGTAAGCGCCACGGGGACCAAAGTTGGCAAAAGCGGTAGGTCGTTGTAAGCGATCACGAGCTCGAGTAGTGTCTAGCAGTCCGAGAGCAACGGCGTTGATACAATCTGAATAATGCTGATCGTTCGCAGGGAGAATGCCGGGGTACCGTGGCCTCCAACGCGCAACATCTAGGTGTTGTGCTGCGAGTTCAAGCTTTTGGTGGTATTCACCGAGCCGCGACTTTGGCTCGTGAATAGGTGCTGAGGGCGCTGCGGAAGCATTCTATCTTTGCTTTAGTACTTGAATCGTCCGTACATAGCTTCATTGAGGACTTACGGGTTCAACCACGGAACTATTCTTCTCTTGTGAACTTTTTCGGTCCACGTCCACCGTGACCGCTCCGCTTTCAACATCGACGTTTGAAATGGTGGGGGTTTCATGCACTGCAGCTGTGCTCTGTTTTTCGACATCTTCGACCAGCTCGTCTCCCTTGTTGCCGCCGAAATCCTTTCTTATAGCACTGGTACGAGCTATGGTGGCCGCATAGCGATTTGGGAAGCGGTTGATCAGCTCACCGGGAGAGATCTTCTCCGTAGATTTCTTCTTGGGAAAATGGTCGGGTGCCATCTTGGTAGCAGAATTGCTTCGACAGTTGAGTTGGCGTGCTTTGCCTATGTGATCTTGTAGGTCGGACAAAAGAGACTTTTGGTTGGACTTATCAAGTGTGCTCCGGCAATGGAGGTTTATATTCTTCCAGGAGTGCCGCTGTCGGTCGCGGTATTCAAGTGAAGTCGTGTCGAGGCATGGCGAAACGAGAGGAACCTGGGTCACGAGCACTACGCGGTTGCTGTGAAAGCCTCATATACAACCAGGTGTGACGTAATTCCACTTCGACAACCGCTGCTTGATACTCTTTCACCGAGCATGTTACCTCTGTTGCGTCATGGGGCGGACGTGTGTATTCACTATTGATCGCTTCCTCGAGCTTCTCTCTGACCACGCTTTCACGTCCCTTCTTTGAGATCAATTTGTTTTTCATGATTGTCCAAACTCTAACAGCAGTGTACTCGATCCTAGAGGAGAGGACTAGATAGCGGGTGGAGCGCGATTCTTAAACGTCTGTAGTGGGACATTCTTCCGCTGTATTCAACTACTTCCTTGAAATCGATAATTCAACACATCAGCCACTACCCTGTTAGCATCAAGAGGATGAGAAATGAAGTGCTTGAGTAATTGTAGATTGAGAGAGATGCTAGCAGTGGCGAGAAATGAAGATTGCGACTCACGGGCGTGATGCATGCTCTCGTGTTTGGTCTCCACCGTTCCTGTTGGGTAGTGGACCCTGGTTCTACCCGGGAAGGAGCTCCCCAGCCGAGGACGGCAACGGCAGCGGCAGTCGCAACCTTCGCAAAGTTGCAACACAACCGCCACTTATCACCGCCAGCACACGCAAACAGACATCATCGCGCATATCTGCAACCCTCTTCAGAATTCTAAAGAGCAGACAAGAGGCTGATGACGAAAAGGCGCGACCCGTGCTGCACGCGTGGCGCATGACCCCTACACGGCTAGCCCTCAATGCGGGGTGCGCGCTTTCAACCCGAGCACGCAAAGATGAGGAGGATTCAGACGCCTAATCTGCGCTGCCTCGCCTCTTTCTTTCCATCCTCACGCGTACTGTCTAGTATGCTTTCTCCGGCTCTCTTACCATCATGACAGAACACCGATTGCCAGTCAAGCAACTGGTAATTCTTTGTACGTCCCCCGGCGCTCCCAAACTCTTCAAACTGGCCTAACCTCAACACCAGCAATATGTCGCTTCGCCGAACCCATCGCCTTGACCTCGGTGTTTCCATACCTCCCCGAGCTTATGGAATCCTTCGGCGTTCCTGAAAACGACATCGCACGATGGGCGGGCATCTCGTCCGCCACATTTTCCATATGCCAAGCTGTGACAGGACTCTTCTGGGGCGCTGCGTCAGACCGATATGGGAGGAAACCAACAATCTTAATAGGGCTGTTCAACACCATGTGGGCAATGCTGCTCTGGGGCTTCTCGGTCAATTTGCCCATGGCTCTAGCGGCGCGCGCCCTACAAGGTTTAACAAATGGGAATGTGGGCATCTTGCGCACAATGGTAGCGGAGCTATGCCCATGGAAGGAGTTACAGCCGAGAGCCTTCTCCATCATGCCTTTGGTATATACGGTTGCCGCCATTTTCGGCCCGACGCTGGGAGGAGCACTCGCAAATCCTCTGAGAATAGACCCACGCAAACCAAGGGGCAATAGCTTCTTGGAGAGATTCCCGTACGTCTTACCAAATCTCGCGGCAGCAGCCTTCTTCGCATGTGGAATCGTCGTGGGTTGGCTGTTCCTGAAGGAGACTTTGGAGAGTAAGAGACACAAACAGGATCTGGGGCTGAGGACGGGTGCGAAGCTCACCGCCTTCGTTCGCAAGACGTTGAACATGCCGAAGAAGCAGAAGGAATTATCACCTGAGCGTGAACCGCTACTTGGGCAGCAAAAAGCCTTCGATGACCAGTCTACAGCACGGCTTGGCGTTGCAAGTGAAATCATCAAGGAGGGCTCTCCAAAGATTCGCGATGTCCTCACATACCAGACCACACTAAACCTAGTCGTGTACACACTACTGGCACTGTACACACTCGCGTTCGATCAGGTAAGCTCTCACGTTCCCGAGTATCTCTTTGCGTTGCTAAACAAGGAAAACAGCTACTTCCAGTACTCCTGCACCATCCTCCCCAATCCTTGGACGACCCCAACGTTCGCCTTCCTCTGAAATTTGCGGGCGGCTTCGGCATCGACTCCCGCCGCATTGGCGCAATCTTTACCTTCTTCGCCGTCTCCTCCACTCTTAGCCAGTTTCTCCTCTTCCCACCCTTGGCCCGACACCTAGGTGTTCTTCGCTGTCTGCGCATCGCATTTTTTGCGTTCCCCTGTGTCTTCTTCATTACACCATTTATTACCCTTATCCCCGACCCAACAATGAAGCAAGTCGCGATGGTGGCGCTGTTGATGTTTAGGGGCATGTGTGGAACTTTTGCGTTTCCAACAAGCACGATCATGTTGACGAATAGCGCAAGCAGTCTGCGCATCCTTGGTACCCTCAACGGTTTCGCAACAAGCATGTCAGCCATAGGACGCGCTGCCGGTCCTATCATTGGTGGTGGACTCTTCTCTTGGGGCGTCAAGCGCGGATATGTGATTGTTCCATTTTGGGTATTGTCTGCTATTGCGTTCCTTGCATTAATACCAACGTTCTGGCTGGTGGAAGGCAAAGGCTTTGGCGATGATCCGGATTCGGATGAAGAGAGCCTCACCTTGGCCGAAGACGACGCGGGGGAGCAAAATACAAGACCTCGTTCCATCGACACGGATGATGAAGCAGCGTTGTCGGAATCAGAGTTCGGGGAACTAGGGGAGCCACCGAATTTGCTGAGCTACACGAGCACACGATCTAGCATAGCAGACGTGTCTGACGACGGAGCTGACCACAACGGTGACGAGGCATACAGTGATCGGAGGAGATCGTCCAATGCCCTCCACCATAGGAGTCATTCACACAGCGGGCACACAAGAGGTGTGAGGAGAAGAACATCTGTGCCAATTGGGATGGGCATAGGCTTCCGACGTTATAGCTCGAATCTAGGCGCCACGGGGATTGGGGCTGCAGGTACGAGCTGGGGAGGGACTTGAAGAGTAGATTGGAGAAGCACGGGTAGGAGGATAGATCCTACGCGCTCAACAGGACATATTCTTAAAAGTCATGATTCAATAGGATACGGCTTCTCTTAATTTCGTTGCCTTCTAATACACGTTCTCTACCACCAATTCCTAGACTCTACCAAGGTCTCTTCTGTCCAGGTCAAACGGTTCATCATGCCAGCTCGCATCTGGGCCACCAACCGGCCTCTCATACGACGGCATCCGACTAAGCCTATCATTTTCCACCATTACTTCTTTGGTGCACCAGATTCCACCCCTTCGCGTAGGAGACTCGTGTAGTATGTTGTCCTCCGACCCCTCGGTACGAATGTTATCTAGTTTGAAACCCGCATCGTGTTCGCCGTCAACGACAGTCGCTAAACGGCTTCGGCTCTGACTTCGGCTTGACTTCTTCGTTTCTTCGCTTCGATCGTATGTTCTGCCATATCCGCGCGTGTACGTGTGTTGCCGAACGCGCACAGTCAGTACGCCACAGTACTCCAGCACGTGCTGAAACAGGGAGCGAAGACATGGGATGCAGATGACAATCATTCCAACCAACTCTTCGACTACAGACCACATACCGATCTTGATGCTCTCGTTGGTGGGGTCGCCGGTGCGTCCAAACTGCGCGGCAGCAACAATTTTGAGAATGGAGGCAACGCCGGCGAAAACGCCCAGACCCATCAATCCGCCGACAATAATGCGCTCGCGGACCGGCCGCTGTATCTTGCGCAAGAAGGAGATGGGCATCATAGCGAGGGCGAAATCGGTAAGGACGTTGAGTACAGATACGGCAATAGTACTGATTGACTGGGCTCTCCTACTCCAGCAAGTGCCCGGCACGGCACCAATGAGGTCCCAGGCTTTGTAGAAGGGAAAGCATTGCAGGAGTATGGTAAGCGTGTTGTACACGCCGAGAGCCATTTGAAGGGCGATCATGGCCCAGAGGAAGCGGCGAAGCTTTTTGGACTGCTCGATACGCAACAGCATGAGGGCGAAGGAGGTTTTGATAGCAGCCATTGCCCATGCCCAGATGGGCTGCGCAATAGTAGCATGTCTGAACGCGTCTTGGGCGTCGGAGAGAAAGAAGGATGTGGGTGAGTGGCCGAAGGCGTAGGGAATTGCGGCGAGGAGGAGGATAGAGTTGACGACTACGAGGACCTAGTTGGACGTCAGTACCCGGAACGTGTAGAAAACGAAAGGTAGTGCGTACATATGCTATAGCGCAGACGTAATCGTCCCTATGCATTCTAAACACGGGATAGCATCGCGACCACATTCTCCCTCCAAATACCATGAGGGCAATACCATGGAGCGCCAGCGCGGTCCCAGCAAGAGAGCGTGCATTGTTTTGCGCTGCTGCGGAAGGGAATGCGGGGATTAGACTGGGATCAGGATGCTTATCCATCTCTTCTTCCTCGATATCATATCTCGACCAAACGTGAAAAAAGAAACTAGAGTATATAAAACAGAGGTTTGAAGCGAGACGAGTGTGTATATATGAAGCACGACGGGCGCGTATATACCAAGCGAAGCGAAGATGCCATTTCTACAGTTCGCATAGGAAATAAGGTTTGTGCAGATGCAGAGTTCGGTAGAAGTGGTTTCGTGGCCCTGTTCGGATTTTGGCTGTTTCGCTTCGACCACAAGGCTGGGTTGAGCCAATTTGAGACAGGGCCGCATTGGAGAAGGGTTAATGCCAATAGGGAGATTCACGTACGAACAGGGATTGTGGGGATCTTGGACGTCGTGGTAGCGGGGCTTCAGCCGGATCTTGGAGTCGAATCTCGGGATCAGGCTTACTGTGGGGATGCACTTGTTGTAGCAAGCATGAATACATCCAACGGCGCTATTAGAGAAGAAGGTAAACTCCCCGTTCCTTCAATGCTATCGCCAAGTTCTCCTGTGTCGGTTCTACCACTTTCATCTCCATGTCCTAATGCTTCTGGATGTGTTTCGACACGTCGACGAGATTGTAGATGAGACTTTCTTTGGCAAATTCAAGCTTCAGGCTAAAAGCGCATGTGCGTAATATGTGCCACGCATGGACGCACGGACATATGCTTGTACGTGTCGTTAGGGCATAATACCGTTGTAATTGCGCATGGTGTTTACGTATTGCGAAGGGAAAGCCGCATGGCTGCCAGCGTTGGCGGACAGAGATCCGGTCTTCGCTCTCCTAACCGGTGCACTGTTAATGAAGAACGTGATCATAGCGATTATATGATACAGCGGATTGCTTTAAAAGTTTAACTCTTAGTCGTAGAGAAGAAATTGCGACATAGTAGATAAGCAATTAATGCTGACTTAGATAGATATGGGTAAATCCTTTGCCTACGCCTTTGTACTAACCTCGCAATCGTTCACTTATTAGCCCTAAATAGGTATTCCCTCGTTAAGAGACATTGACACATTCCTAAATGTTGCTATCCACTTCCAGAAAATGATATTAGGTCCCATACTTTAAGCCATCGAAATACTAACCGAAATGTTCGCTCGTCGCAAACAGAATCCATAAACTCCTTTGCATATCACAAGTTCTCCGTCCAGATTCCAGATCTTCCCGTTTTAGGCCATTTTAGTACGTCCTTGACGGTCTTCGACGGGCTACCTGATATTCTTAATCCGCGCAAGCAACCGTACATATCCTCAGCATTGTTCTATTCTCAAGTGTAGGAGGCGAAAAGTTACTGACGGCATTCAGGCTGTACCATAATACCTGCAATAGTTGCTCTTCCCGTCTTCTCATCCTACTAAATATCTGTTTAATCGATGTGGTGGATAGGTAGAGGATTGACAAGCGCCGCCCCAAGCTGCTTGGCTAAGCTCGTGGACGATGCTGGCTTCGTTCGTAGGCCCACGCATTGTTGTCCGCCACCAAGAACACTGGTTGTATAATTGCAATTGTGTCAATCGCTGGTCAGGTGGGGCACAGGCGTGCTGAGCCAAACGAAGCCAGCGTCATGATCACCATCCGTAACCACAGATTATGGAACTCAGCGAACTGGTACCCGATCTCTACCACCAAAGGCTTCATGGGTTGAACTTTGAAATTTACACGGAAAGGAACATGTGTCATAATATCCTTCACTAGGGAGGGGCTGTCATCGTTTTCTCTCTGCAGTGTATACTCGGCAAAATATGGAATTGGAGACGTCGAAACAAGGCCACGTATGGGATTGGCTGCCTTAAAGCTTTGCGCGAAACAACGATGGCGGTTCATTAGCGTTGGAGGAAGTTCGCGGAAGGTCGAGCGGGCGAGGTCGCGGATGTGATTCTGTGACGACCCTGAAGGCAGGCTCCACCATTGTCTCCAGAACATCTCCGGTCCCTCAGCTAGCACGAACCATGTCAACAATAAGCTACCCCTGCGGCTCATCCACCGTCCACCGACGTTCTCATCCCTCATCAATAGCAAGTCTTCTATTCCCAGATTTGAGAGTGCGTCGCCCCTATCAGAGATCCATGGCTCGTCTTCTCCCGTATCTGATAAATCGGTGCCGAAGCATGTCCACAAAAGCCTGAACATGAGCTTGTAGTCGTTGGCAAGCTGATCTGGCAGAGTTTTCATGTATTGCAGGCGTTTGTCAAGGATAATTTGCTCCTTCTGTATCAGGGTGTCTAGCTCGCAGTCCGTGTAGAGGACGACCTCATATCTCCTGTGCACCTCGCGGGAGATGTTTGACAAGCTACGCAAGACGTGCCAGCCATTAGCGACTCGGGCGCGTAGCTCGTCGCCAAAAGGGTCTTCGGCTGGTATACCGTAATGCGACAGTGAACCAGTAGAGACAATACGGTGTCTATCGACTAGTATTGCTGCCAGCTGCTGCGGTATCAATCCTTTCAGCCATTCGAACGTGTATCGTGTGCGGTCCGCGAATGGTTTTAGGAGGCGGTCGCTGTATGGAAAGGTTACGCGGGCTACAGAGGGTGCGATTGTCAACATGTATTCTGATATGATGTTTCGTATCCTCGAGTTGGTCAGGCGAAGATCTAGAAGCTCGTCGATGCGACATTGCGAGCAGATCACGATGAGTATGTCGTCCGGTAGGTCGAGTAACAAATGGCACTTTATTGCTGGCCCAGAGGTGACTTTGGTCGGCTCCATAACAGGACGATGGAACATGAACAGTGAAGGATGCGGACGATGCAAACACTTCCTCCGTGTACAAACTTAAGTTAAACGAGCTTGAGTAACGTTGGACAGAGTGCATGTGAGCAACGGGGTTAATGAGGCGGATATAAGTCACGCGAATTACTCATTACACCCTTCAGGAGTGGCCGATTTCCAAGGGAAGGAACAACTCTACGCGAAAATCACCACTACTGCGCTTCGAAATAGTTGCACTCTCGTCAAGAAACTCGACATCCCTCATCGTTAGCGACAATTTCAACAAGATGAAGTTCGTCGCTATGGAGCAATATGACTCCGACGACCGGCCCGGCAATAACCCCAGCTAGCTTCCAAACGTCGGCGCCCCGTGGGGGCTGTTTCTCGTGTTCAGATCCTCGTGCGCAGATCTTGATTGCCAACACATCAGCAACAACACCAGTATCGATATCAGAGGTTTGACAAGTCCGTCGACAAGATTGATATTCCCGGTCAGTCTCTCCCGCTCTAGTTTTGCACTGCGCCCTCCGGTGTTGACATAAATTAACTGTGCAGCCGCAGCAGCACTAAGCCTCCCGTCTCCATAAAAACTTCGATGGATCTCCACGCTGGCTTTCCTCAAGTGTACAATTTCGCTTAACTTTACCAAAACCGTAGAAGAGCCTTGCGGTCTCTTCAGGGCTGGCTTTTCCGACCAAGGCCGGTCCGGTTTCACGTTCTTGTTGCACTGAATGAGGCCAGCTGAGCTTTCGCGTACCACCTCCCACGCCTGGCTCTGCGTACATGACCTATGGCAGCCCAGCGCCTCGACATGTCGTATCTGGTCGAAGTTATCGATAAATAGTAGATTTCAGCTTTCGCCCATCAGCCCTTTGCGCTAAAAGTAATACCTACGCCTAAACGCGCCACACATAAATCTTCCCGGTTTCCGCATCAATTTGGGACGCGCTAAGTCCCTTATGGGCACTCGAACTTCCACATGTCGTGACAGTGGGTCCCAGCTGAACAATAGATGGGCAATGGAGCCGCCTGCAGAAATACACCAAGCCTCGTATGGCTTGGTTCATCCCTATTATCGCTGACCGGTACCCGTCTCTAGTATCCTAGGCCGTGTCTAGGACAGTCCAACCGTTAAGCCCTGAATGACACGAGCCCGGTGCGACTTTGGTGTGGATGCAGTGTGGCTTTGGCAGAGAGAGTCGCCGTCTAGCACGCAGTGCTCGGTATTTAACTAGTCCTGCCGCCTCCCTTCGCGTTGACTTTGGGACTGCCTCTAGGAACGCGCTGCTGAGCCATAACGACTACGACGATGTCTGGAACAGTCACCATCTCCGTTCTCTGCGCCCTTGCGCTTGGAAAGTTCGCGAGCGCTCTAGTGCCCGCCGACCCAACCATCACAAGCCCGGCCGTGCTACCAAAGAGGCAGAACAACGACCGATTCATCGGATGGGTAGAGTCCAGCGGAGGATGGTATTCTCAGACTTGCAACGCCGGCCTCACATGGTATCAAGATGGAAAATACGCTCAATGTTGCCCGGCTACCCTCCAGTCCTGTTATGCACCCACTGCCTGCGTTCGCGGATCGTTGGTCTATCCTTACTCTGATAAATCAACCACGAGGACAATCGCCTGGTAGGACTTGGCCCACCGTCACGTTATTCTACTTCTAACGAATGCCTAGTACCGATAACTACAACAACAAGCAATTTTCGATCTGTAATACCGTCTTCATCTTCGAGAATATGAGCGACTCGAACCCCAAGACCGACATTGTCTGCGGTCCAAACTCTAGTAACTGGTCGTATTATCGCAAGATCCCCGCATCTGCCACTCAAGCAGTATCATCCGGGTTAGGTGAGCACGCTTCCATACCTTGAAGTGAGTTTCCATTGACATTGCCCAGCGTCCTCAGTACCACAAGTAGATCCCACCGCCGCTACTGTTCCCAAGACTGCCACAAAGAAAAAGTCAAAGTCAAAGGCCTGGATCGCAGGCGCGGTCATTGGTGTCCTTGCTGGACTTGCTCTCATCGGTGCAATTGTCTTCTTCCTCCGCCGTAAGAAGAGCAAGAAAGCTATCGCGCCTCAGGCCGGTGGCGCTGCCATGGTCCAAAACGATCCATCCCAGCCGCCCGCTGGTGTCGGAGGCTACACAGATACCAAGCCTCAGTTCAGTCCCCAACAACAACCACAAGCTTATGGTCAGCCCGACCCATATGCCCAGCAAGGAGCCTACTCAGCGCAACAAGGTTACGCTGCAGCACCGACTTCGCCTGCTCCCCAGTACAATGCTCCTAATCAGTACAATGCTCCTAATCAGTACAATGCGCCTACTCAATACAATGCGCCTACTCAGTACGATGCTCCTGCTCCTGCCCCGTACAATGCTCCTAGCAGCCCGCCGCCTCAGCAAGCATACCAGTCGCCTGCCAAATATGAATATGCTGGCGCCCCCGCAGGTGGAGCGGCAGAACTCGGTGGTAACTCGAGGGGTATCGCGCCGGCTGCTCCGGCTGCTCCAGTTTCTCCTACGCCCCAGGCTGCAGAGTTGAGTGGAGGTGCGCCAGTTCATCAAAGCCAGCAGCAGCCAGGTCACGGTCAAGGCACATATGGAACCGCCGAGTTGCCCACTCCCCCTCCAAACTCCAGGCCGGTTTATTAAGCGACTATGGAACTCACAGACGATTGAACAAGTCTGCAACCTCTCTCCTAGAAAGGGCTGTGTATAGATCGGTGATTGCGTTGTTGGAGGCTCTCTTCTCTGGTGTATTTATGGGGGAGATGAGGGAAACACGCTTCGCTATTCTTGCATTTCAACCATGTCGATATCCTATTTAGTTGTACATGTTTACGCAGCGTGGTTTACATACAAACCAATATACCACCTCATAGCAAGGCTGTGCGATGATCCAACGTATGTAATGTTCAATGTATTCATCACCTTGGACGTCGTGGCTCGTACTACAATAGTCTTCTCTCAATACGTGACCTAAGTGACTCGTACCGGTATTTCCAAGCAACCTCGGTACGCAACAGATTCGTCGCTCAAGCCTGTCTCAGGCCTCCAGGCTTGTTATGCCGACGGACTAGCTCGTAATCTCGGGCAAAGCCCCGGCATCCATGACTGCGCAAGGGCGATCAATGACATGCGTCAGGCGGAGGTCTGGGCGATCGCTTTCCCCTTGGAAGATAGAGAGCCTGCTGTTTATTATCCTTTTCGCAACGAGCTGTGAGTCAAGCAAGTACACTAATTGTATAGAGGGAGTGTAGTTGTGGGTCGGTCGGGCTATTCTTTGCCGACAGGTATCCGGCTAGTGCCTGCGCGAATGAGAAACATCGTAGATGTCACAGCCTCCTCTTCATTTCCACAACTACTCTGATGTGTTTCTGCTCCCATATCTCACGCCCCTTATGCTACAATGAGGGGGTTTGAACGTCTGCCGCTGCCACCTCCCAGCGCTGATGGGAAACTGCTATCTTCTGATATCCTTCCAGACCTTTAAGCATCCTCGTCGTCATCTGAACTCCCCATCAGACGTGATGCCAGAGAAGCTCATTCCACAAGTAGTCTTTGGTGCAAGCTTCAGTAGACTAGTTGGATGAAAACTAGAGCAGGAACTTGCAGAGGATAAGCAAGATGCCTTCTTTCGGACGTCGTGGCGTCTGGTAATTGCGAGCATTGATATGAAAGTGCGGGTGAACTGGTGGGGATAAGCAGACGCATGCGAGGCGAGGTTGCCTCTCTGGGGTACGCTCGAAAAGGAGAGCATTCTTCGAGGAGTGGTCGAGACGTCTGGATGTCCAGCAGACCAACTCTCTTCCCGTCAAGCTGCAATGGTGAAATCAAAGGGGTTGAATGGCGCCCGTCGTTGCAACCTTCTCTAACACGTCTGCACGAAGAGTCTGCAGCTGGAGAGTCGCACTGCGTTCAAAGCGCCCCGTGGCAACGTTGCCACCCTATGGCAACTCCAAGAGGTTGCCATCAGAGCGAAGATGTTTTGCCCCTCAGCCAACCCTGCTCACCCGCGTTTCGAAGCTGCACGCTTCTGCCCTGGTCGGGCAACAGCCGTGGTACTATTCGCCAGCGCTGCTTCGAGAAACGGACATGGTCCTCGCGTCAAGTGCTCCGCCCCCAGGAGTGCAGACTGTAGTATCAGGGAGGGAAACGAGGAGGTTGTCGCCGTACCAAGGCTGCAACATGGCCATGTAGCATCTCTTCTGCGACTCGGCGAGCTTGACAGTTGCAGGCAATGTTAGAAGAGTTTTCGGATACGACGGGTGATTACACGTGATGACTGGGGTGCTATGTAAAGCTATTTAAAGCTTGACGATCCACGCCATCTGCTTTAGCGTGACGCTTGTGCCCGGCCGAAGACGTAGGCCGTATCCATGCTGCAGTCGTATCGCGGTGGTGGACCTATATGGACGCTCCTTATACTTTTTGCTCATTTTGCTATGTTTAGTTTTTCCTTTGCTATAGCTGAGTGTAGATAGCGAGGGCATGTTCTATGGAGGCGTCTCAGCATTCCTTGTAGACGTTCGCAGTCCCATCATCGACCCGACCGAAAGTGGAGGCGTAAGAGCATACGATGGTAAAGAGGCCCTCAGAGGGCGAAGGACGCAGCCTGGCGATTAGAACCGACGTGAGAGGAAAGGGAGTCGCCTTTGCTAGCCATGACGGCATCGCTTCGATACCAGCGCACGGCGAGCGCAACGCCTCGGTGATTTCACAGTCCGACGACGACCAGGTGAATACGCTACTCTCGGCTTCTTCACTGGGAAACACAGACACGATTTCTTCGTCGGGCATCTCGGGCCATTCGACGGCCATGACGTCTGCTACGACATACGACGACCGACCCAGCGCCTCGAGTCCGACCGCCTCATCACCGTACGCGCACCCTAGCCTCACCCTCCTCGAACTCGTCTCCAATAGCGCCTCGTCGTCTGCATTGCCAGATAGCTTTGACGTTAGTGTGTCACGGCGGGGGTGCTATGTGGCAGTATACTCGGCATCCAACATATGGCTCATCAAGACGGTGCAGCTGCCGCGGCTATGGGCGAGGACATTGCAGATCAAGCGCAAGCCTGTAGCAATCGATGTGACCGACGACGGGTCTCTACTGGCGGTGTTGTCTAGGCCGTCGCAGGTTGACGTGTACGAGATCCATGGCGAGGGACACAATCAGATCAAGAAGAGACGGACTATCATGATGGTGCACGAGGCGAGCTCCATCGTCATTTCGCCCGATGCGCGCATCCTCATCACAGGGAACAAATTCGGCATCGAAGTGGTTGCCATTGGCCCAGGCATACCTGAGACAGCCAGACGCACCCTCTCTGGGCCCGCAGGCGATGCCCTGGAGTTCTCAGACGATGGCAGAACGCTGCTCATCACTGGCTATGCACGCAAATCGGACGGATCAGCCCTGTTTGTCCTACCCGGTCTCTATGATGGCCCACTCACCGAAGAGGGCGAACCAATACCTCAACCACCAGAAGCAGCGTGGACGGGGTCGGTGCTCTTTCCTGAAACGGCGAGGATAGCACGTCAAGCCACGCTCCTCCCAGATGCAGATACCGGGACATTCAACGAGCTATTTGCTTTCAACGCAGAGGAAGACTCCTGGGGTATCTACGACATTGCGTGTCAACGCTTCACGCAGAGAAAAATGTTTCTTCCCGACCACCAGCGATGGACGCGCTCAGAGTTTGTCGACGATGCCATGCCTGCTGTATCTCCAAACGTTGATCTAGCGGCTGTTGCTCTGCGGATGCGCGGCACGACCAATATCTGGATCTACGAGGTCCCAGGCTGGGATTACAAGCCGAGCGAGAAGGCGCAGCTGCAGGAGCCTATCCAGCCCTGCTTCTGCATCCCCATCCCGAAGGATGATGCGGGGACGCTCCAGGAGATCTGCGTCTTGCGATGGGTCAGGCTCAATGCGAACATCCAGCGGCTTGTGGCTGTTGGAAACTCCAGCATACTGCCTGGTGAGAGCGATGTGCCTGGCGTACCCCTGGGTTCAAAAGGCGTTCTCATTGTGCTTGACTTTGATAAGCGCAAGCCTCCAGGGAGTCCCGCACCGACGCCGTTAAAAACAGAGTATGACCTGGACCCTCTATGTCCCGGCGAGATGCTACCTGAAGGTTCGTTTGACTTCGAGCGAGAAGTGGAGTTGGTGCGGACTAGAACGCTGGCCCAGCGACGAGCTCAAGATCGAAGCGATGATTCGCGACGACAATCGCGAATTGGCTCGACCCCAGTCCAGCGAGCTCGTACCACAGCAAACCGAGCACCGATACGACCTCCACTCCCCACAGAGGATTCGGAGGAATTGACTGCGGAAGAAGCACAGGCAGCCTTCGAGGTGCCTTATGACAACCAGCAGCCCAGGTCGCAGATGTCGTTGGCTAGAGCTGCCACGGTAGCCGCCGTCTCTCCCGCTAATCGTCGACACCTTCGAGCGCTGCCCTTCCGACCCCTTGAGTATCGTCGCGCCGATGGCCAGCGTGAACTTCCTCACGAGAGCGACGCTGACAACTGGGTGCCACCTCCGCCGGCCTATACAGCGACTGCAGCGGCGGCGGCAAGTGTCAGCCTCAGCCATCCAGATGTGCCACCTGTCCCGCGACTACCTCGGGGCTCTACGGCGTCCTCCATCCCGCCTGTGCCTAGCATGTCTGCGACCATCAACCCTTCGCAATTATCACCCTCGAACCCGTATCAACATAGACAGCCGTCGATATCCTCCATCAACCTGTCTTCACCGCCACAGCAACCACAGGAGCGTCGCCCGTCCCTGCTCCATCCCTCTACATACCCAAATCCACAGTCCTCTGGTTCGGTACGCCGACGTAGCTCAGCTGCACAATCCCCGCCTCAGATGTCGTACATGGCATCACCCCAGTTCCAGAACCCCCAACTACCACCACATCCTCATGCAAATGCTACACGCCGGCCTTCTCTCCGCGCCCGCAGAGTGGTAGAAAGCACGGTCGATCTTCGCGCGCCGCCACTCGTCAATCCAGACTCGGGTCGCCGCGACTCCGCGCCCAACGTCGCAGTGCAGCGGCGCCACGTCCCGCTATTCAGCTCCCCGACAATGGACCGGACGAGCGTCCCCCAGGGCCCTCAAGGCGCGCCCGCCAACGCGTATCCCAACCCGAGTCAGAGGAGAGGTATCCTGCCCAGATTAGTCCAGCCTGAGCAGCAGACTGGCCAACGGCTCCCTATGAGCGCACCGCCGCGGACAGACTCCCTTGGACCAAGTTATGGCTACGGGCCGCCACAGGCCCAAATGCAGAGACAGGCGCAATCTCAAGTGTACTCGCACCCGCAGTCACAGTCGCAGATGGACCTGCCCAGCGGGCGAGCGTCGAGGACACCATATGTGCAGAGCGGGCGGGCGTCGCGGATGACTACGGGACGAGACACGCCTGCTCCGTCTGAGAAGAAGGCGGGGAAGAAGATACTCCAGTGCGTTGTTATGTGAGCTACATGTGAAATGTGAGATGATTTGAAATGTTTTTTTTTTTTGCGTTCTAGCAGTTATGAAAAATGGATTTACAATATACCCTATCCTCGGCGTCTTGGGGAAGTTTGATTGGATGGCTCCTGCTGCTGTGGCAGTTGAGCAGAGGTTTCTAGCTTGTTGTTTTTGTTTGGGGAAGAGGCCATGGTGGTTTTATGAAGAGTAGAAAATAGGAGTAGAAGCATGGATCGAAGGGAGAGGGTTAGAGTAGCAAAACAACTTTTTCTTTATTGAAGTGCCGTCTTTGGAATATGGAATAGGAATAGGTTGTGGGGCATTTACTAAGAAAGGGATATTTGAATGGATAGTTTCACATGTTGTCAGTGTGTATGCCTCGATGTTGTTGATTGGTTACTTGCGTGATGCGGGAGGATGACTAACGGGCGAGGCAACTTGTACAAGTCGAGCAGGAAGGAGCGGTCAAGGCGTTATTGGCGTTATTTAAATGCAATGCATTACATCCCACACCAACCCTCATAATCATACCATCAAGTCAGATCACCATGAAACCTCGTTGAGGTGCGCGCATGCGCAGACACTATGCAATTGGCTAGATACACCCCACGCCCCCCCTCCAACGCGCAGGTTGAAACTCGATTCCAAACAAACAAAGAGCGGTATATACCAATACCCTAATTAACACCAGGAGTATCTCGAGAAACGAAAAGCAGTCATGACATATAAACATCCCTCACGCGCACGGAAAGGTGTGCGCGCAACGCGAAAAAAGATCAACTCTTTTTATGCAAAATAGAGGTGCTTATAGCATGAAAGCGAATGCAACGGCGGCACCGGCCAGGCTGAGACCAGCCTGGAGGGCAGACGCAGCGCCGGTGGCTTCGGGCAGCCTGGAGGTGGTGGCGTTGCCGGTGGCAGAGGGCTTGAGCGAGCTGGGGACGGTGATGGGCTTGGTGGGCTGGATGACGGTGCCGTTTGCGTGGGGAGCGCCGGTGCTGTAGATGACGGTGCTGTGGGGCGGCGCAACGGTGGTGCTGTGGGCCGACGAGACGGGGTATCCGGAGGACGCAGCCTTGCTGGCAGACGGGGTTGGCGTCGGGGTAGCGACTGGGTATCCAGAAGAGCCCGAGCCGGACACGACGGCGCAGCCCTCGTTAGAGATGCCGAACTGAGTCGAGTACTGGTACTGGCCCGTCACGTCGTCGATGAGCTGGAGGCCATAGCCGGTGTGGCCGGTCGTGGGCTCGAGGTCAGAGGGGGGAGTCCAGGTCAGGCTGCCGCTGTTGGCGATGCCCTCGGCGAGCGAAGGACCGAACTTCTTGACGTTGGTCGGGGGGCCCTTGAGGAGGAGGATTGAGACCGTGTTGGGCGTGGTTGGCTGCCAGGTGATGGTGAAGGGCTTGCAGGCGGGGACGACCTGGGTGTTGTTGTTAGCCTCGTCGTTTCAAAGCGCATGCAATTGAAGCGCGCAGAGATGGTGGTTACATACCTCGTTCACGGGCTTGGTGATGGGGTTGCCGGTGGGCTCGCCAACGGGAGCGTGGACCTGGGCAGCCGCGAGGGTAGCGAACAGAGTCGCGATGGTAGCCTTGGAGAACATGGTGATGAAGATGGTCGAGTTGGTATTATGCGATTAAGCGTAAAGTGGTGGGGAGTTATGTAGAAGGTGGGCGACGACGACGAAGAAAGAGTGACTGTGTGTAAAGAAGGGCTGAAGAACAAATTCTTCGGGTTTTGTATGTAGGTCGAGGATACTGGGTCGAAGGGGTCGAGGAGCGTAGGATTAATGTATTGATTTCCGGTCACACACTCCCCCAACGGCCAATCTTAACCCGCGGCATCCAGCCCTGTTCCTGCACTAGCCGACTAGCACAGGGCTGGCCGCCAGAGCAACGCCGCCTATGCTCCAAATGCGCGCGCTATGCCCCCATGGCGTGCGCCAGCTGTTGCTGCGCCAATGGCGGGCGAGGAATGCAGGCCGCTCGGCCTCGTATACCAAGGGGAACGCCGGGGTGCTTCAGGGGGTTGCATGTTTTTCCGGTCAGGTTAGTTGTTTGGCACGGCCTATTTCTGGAAATTGGGAGCCGTCGAGCAGAGGGGGCCTGAAGGGCTGGAGTCGCTCAGTCAGCCGGCGCCTGCGAGGTTCGGCCGCGCTTGTCGAGGGTGCAGTGAAGTCAATTGAAGTGAAGAAGCAGGGACTGCATAAGGACAAGGACAACGACGACGACGTCTGTATCCATCTAATAAGCATGGGCGAAGCTTCTTTCTCCAGATTCTCGTAACAGTGGAGTGGGGATCTGCCTGTGCTGTCGTGCACGGCAGCTTGGCTCAGGTACTATCGCGGCTGACTGGCGGCCTAGCCTGCCGCCCTATGCCCAGCTGGTCCCTGGATGTTCATAAAAGGAGAAATACGACCAGCACGCACACCGTTCATCCTGTCGCACCATGCTGCCATTCGCAGAGACGCGAACGCGGGTCCCCCTTGAGCACGACCTTCGCCACTGACGAGCTGGAGCTCCAAGTGCTCACGGAATAGGCCAGGTGCGACGGCGTGGAAATTGGCACGGCAGCCATTTGGCCCCCAGGGCGAATCGAGACCTAGTGAAACAGCGGGTGGGCAATACTCGGCTTGATTCGAATCAATTATTGTTCAATCTTCATATTCATTTCAACTAGCTATGCCCCCTTCCACCTATATGCTGCGCCTCGCCCAACTACTATATGCTTTGCTGTATAAATACACACGCTGACACAACACCATGTGTCAATCTGAACAAACGTGGGCTCCCGAAACGGGGCCCTTCTAGCGAGTGAGCGCATCGGGGTATCTTCGAAGCGAAACGAAATTCGTTATATCGTGACGTTACTTGCCATGAGCAGGTAGGCAAGTAGGCAGTAGGTGGGTTGGAGATGGTGTCCGGGGCGCAGCGAATGTAGCGTGTTGGTACAGAAGAAAGAGCAGGAAAGACAACATTGTTCACACGCCAAGTCGCGTCGTCGACAAGGTGCTTAGCTGCACTGGCCGGGATCTGAAGCATGTCAGTTTCACTGTCATCAATGGATAATACGGGGACGTGTCTTACACTTGCGCGCAGTCAATGGCTGCGGGAACAGGCCGTTGGCCAACAGGTCCTGCATATCCCACTCGGGCGCACCCTCAGTCTTCCACGTCCAGAAGATCCAGCCCGTCGCCTTCTCATATGCGTCGAGCTGGGCCTCGATGAAGCGGCCAATGTTGTGCTTGTCGTCGGCGGAGAGGCCCGCTACGCTGCCCGTCGACTTGCCCGTGCAGTCGCCCACCTTGGGCGCGCCGTTGAGGTTGCCGTCGTAGCGCGCGCCCTTGTCCTTGCCGTTGAGCCACTTTGCGCAGTCGGTGATGCCGCCCGTCCACTCGCCCGCGACCGTCCACTTGCCCGTCGACGCCATCTGGTTGCCAAAGTCGCAGGCTGTCCTGATGTGGTCGTCGATGCTCAGAGCGACCTGGTCGTTGTTGAAGATCTCGTAGTGATGCGTGTCGAGCAGGAGGTTCCACATGCCCGCGCCCCAGTCGTTCCACTTGGTGACACCCTGGAACGCATCGTGGAAGGTGACGGCAACATTCGAGTTCTTCAAGTTGCCCCAGCCGTCCATGTAGAACTGCTTGACCACGTTCATGTCGAGGTTTGGGCCCAATGGCTCATTGAGGAGCTGGATCGCAGAAACGGCAGGGTGCTCAGCATGGTCGTCGCGGATCTTGTTCAGCACGTTCTTGGTGTGCTCGACCGTGTCGCCTTGCGTCCAGCCAACGCTGCCGTACTTGCCGGAATTGTCGAAGCCGTTCTGTGAATCGGGAGCTATCGACTGTCAATCTCGTGAGACACATTTTGGCGATGGCAACAACTTACCACCATGCAGGTCGATCATGACCTTTAGGCCAGCGCCCGACGCCCAGTCCAGCGCTTCACCAAGCTTCTCGTACGCACCCTGCACATACGGCTCGCCGTCCCGTGGAATGACGCTCCAGTACCCAATTGGGATTCGCACGTGGTTGAGACCAGCGGTGGCCATCTGGTTAAAGTCGTCCTGTGTGATCCACGAGTTCCAGTGGTTCTGCAGACGCGACTTTGCCCCGTCTTTGCCCAAGATCTCGCTGAAAGTCCACTCGTCCTTTGCAGCATTGCCTTCGAAGAGGGAGGGCGTGATCCAGGGCTCGAGGACAAACCAACCGCCTGTGTTTACTCCGCGGACCTTTTCGCCGTTGTAGTTAAATAATGGCGCTCGCTTCATGTGTTGCCTACGCCAATGTCAGCTCAATTGGGATCATCCAACGCCTCTAGTACTCACATAGGAGAGGCATTTGTGCTCAGGGCCAACAGGCCAACAGCCGCAGCGGTAGTCCAATGTCCAACCATGTTGTCGTTGTTGGGGATGCTCTAGCTAACCGAGTGTTGCAAGCTCATCCAGGTATATGGATATAAAGGACTAGAAAGATACTGTGCTACAATTGCAGCTGTTTCAAATATATCCAAAGATGACCAAGTCACTACGACGGGGGATCATCTTCTCTTAAAAGCATCCCTTCCAACAACTTTTCCAAGCTTCCAGAGCTTCCGCCCCAGTTTTCTGTTCTACCCACATCCATGCACGTACGTGTCCGCTGTTTCCGCAGCTCCCCCAAAACAACGATCATCATTCTTTTGCGGAGCCTACGTACTAGCCGGAAAGCCATGGCTGTTCTCTAGCATCTGCCAGCAGGGCGGTGTCAAGGATACCACCAGGCCAGCCAACCGCCGTTCCGCGCACAAGTCATGGTCTGTTGTGTCTCGTGCTAGGCCCTAGGTCATAGGAGCCTTTGCTTGTACATCGTTACTTGCTTCGGAGCGGGCCTGAGGGCTGCTGGCAGTCGGTCGACCAGACACAGTGACGCAGCGGCGTCATGGGGAAACAGTATTCCCGAGACCATCTCTGTGCTGGCTAAACTGGAACAGGGCATTGACAGCTAGCTACAAGGGACCCGGTCCTCGTCGGGACAAGGCCGTTGTTTAGGCAAGGTCAGATGATGCCTACGTCGACGAACGCAGGGAGAAGCTGGTGGTAAAGTCTAAGGGGCAGTCAGGTACGCTCGTCTGATTGGATGGCGGTTTGATGGCGATGATGTGAGGATCGCCAGCGATGCGACTCAAGACGGTTACGCGGCAGGCGTCCGCCACTTAGATCGGACTGCCATGCCCCATGCGCAAGGTTTGGCATTTTGTCAAGTAAGCCTGCCGATCGTGACAACGTGGATGTGTACCTCCGAGGTAATAAACCTCCTTCAAATTGTTCGAACGGGTGTTTGTACGTCTGTAATACCACGGGGCTAATGCAAGGATAGGGGTTTTGCAACGTCATTTGTCTAGGTCGCATGATGTGATGATGCATGCGCGCCGCCACGAGGTAGGGGGAAAATATTCGAACCAAAATTCCCACATTCTCAGGTTCCTTCACTCCGCGGCAGCGTCCCGTTGATGTGGACCCTTTCTTTCAGCAGCCGCCTAGGAGTTTCTCAAAGCGGCTCAAGGCAGCATTGCGGGGAAAGCTGTCTGCAAACGGGTCCTGATCTTCACAATGCCATGGAGGATTCCCATTCTACCGAGGGATTCATTTACTCACGCGAATATTTTTTGCACATGTCTGATGGAATGCTGGCACGCTTCATCTATTCAGCCTTACTTTCTGAGCGCCATGGTGCAAACCACTTCTTGGCCCAAGCAGATTAAGTTCAAGATCAGCCCTATGTCCAGCAGAAACCCAAGGCGGCCCAGTTAGCGAGAAGTTTGTTCACCCCTTCTAGAAACTAGGCTTGCAGCTTCGATGTCATAGTCTCACCTCTCAGCCAAACAACCGTCACGAGAATTGCCACTCCGATCGGTCTAAGACGGCACATCGTCCCTTCGACGCGGGGGAATACAAAGGTAAGCGCGATGGTAGTTAGTTAGTGCATCGTGTAGCTGATGCGGGGAACGCCAACGATGCCTTATTCCCCAAGTCGGATGTGTTCGTCGAGTAGATGTGAAGATCTTCAGATCTTCCATGCGCGTGTGACCGCCAAGGGACTGCTCGGCCTCCTCACCGTTTGCTCAAGTCGGTCATTTCCTCTTTGCGTCTCTGTTAGCCGCAGCGTCATCGGTCACGAAGCAACGGCAGACGGCGCTGGCGCGGGGACTCGGGTGATGCACGCACGGTCTTGATGCTCCTTGTGGAGGCTGATCTCCTCGATGTGGTAAGAGCGTGCAGAGGGCGAGGGCATCGTGAGCTTCAGCTGCGGTTGCGGCCCTCGTGGTCGCTACATGCTCGTCATTGTCGTGATGGGGTGCGGAACTTCGGTGCGACGCTGGAGTTATTCGGCGGTACTGCAGCCTCAGAAGCTTCAGTAGCGGTGACTACGGGAGTTGCTGGGGTAGATGATGTTGAAATCGATCTAGTTATCGCTGGCTTCAAGTTGCATGGCTCCAGCTTGAATTGCAATGTGTTAGAGATGTAGAGAGACTTCTGAATCATTAACCATACTTCGAGATGGCGAGTGAAGAATATAATGAAATCAAGTTAGCCGTTTAGTGATGATAACGGTTGAATACACTGGAAGAATACTCGTGGGCGGGGCGGAAACATTTCACACCTGGTTCCGTGCTTCGCCCTAACGAACAGAACATGGTTACTAAGACTCGACGGCTGCATTCCATCTGAATGAACATGAACGCAATATGCGAGAATATGCGAAAGTAGGTTCCACGTAGAGACTTTGCAGCGCAGTACTCCTTGCAGCTAGCATCTCTATCCCGAGCTTCTACGTTCACCCTGCGGGAGAGAAGTCGCGAGGCATGGCAATGGTTACTTGCACGAAAGAGGGCAGGTGCGACCCAGGCCCTGCTGAGTAAGGCGAAATGCGGAGACGTCAGAACCCACTTGGTATTCAGTCGTACCAAACGCGCAATACAATACAACGATCATCAAGACCGCCGCTTCGAGGTAAGTCCGCTTCCTCGGCTCTTCTCCAGGGCATCGCACCTTTTGCTCGACTGCGACACGCTGGATACCCGTGAAAGCATGTCGCAAGACGACGGCACCTCCGCCATGCTGACCCTCTTCAGAGGCCACAATGGGCCGCCACGCAAATCCTGACATACGGAGAGCTTTCGCAGAGGTATGGAATCCTCCTGGTATAGCACATGAATGCGTGGCTGACTTGATGTCTCCGCGCTGTAGTTCCAAGACCAGGATACGCCCAGCAAGTGTAACAAAGTCCGATGTCTGCACTGCGGCTTCGTGCGCGCAAAGAACACAACCCGACAAATCGAGCACCTTCAGGAATGCCAGCCATACCTCGCCTCTCCCGAGGCGCAAGCCCATTTGCTCCAGACACAGCAGCAACAGCAGCAGCAACAACAGCAGCAGCAGCAGCAGAATGGCGTGTCGACTGACCCGAACTTGCCCCCGGGCCCCAGCCAGATACTCAACGGCCAGGCACCAAATCCAAACCTCCAAGTGCATAGACGAGGCCCGAATACAAAGCGCGCCCGCGATGGCCAGCCCATTGCGCCCAATATCCAAATGGCCACCCCGCATCTTGCGCCTTCGCTGACTGCGCATTTACTCTCAACTTGCTCGACGCCCTTCACCCAGGCGACGCAGCAGCCCTTCCTTTCACACGCGGGGTGCGGCTCGTTAGCAGTAGGACCGCTGTCGCAGTGGCTCGTCCAGGACGGGCACTATGCGCGGGGATACATTCGCTTTGTCGGCCAACTGCTGGCCAAGATACGGTTACCCCAAACGCAGAACTCGCAGTTTCACCACATGTATAGGACTATGGATCTGCTGATTTCGGCGCTGAATAACATGCGGCGCGAGATGCAGTTCTTTGAGATTACAGCGACCAAATATGGGCTTGCGCTGGGCATGGGGAGTCCAACGCCTATTACGCGCGCGTTGCTTGATCTTTTTGTCAGCGCGAGTAGTTCGAGCGCGTCGCTGCTAGAAGGCATGGTCGTTCTGTGGGGCACCGAACATGTACGTACCATCTCTTCACTTCTGCGTGCTTTGTACTAACCAGCACAGTGCTATCGCTCCGCCTGGCAGTACGCCTCCTCTTTCAGCACTTCACTCCCCACGCCCTCCAACGAATCCCACATTGTCGCCCTACACCAAGCCCTCATCCCCAACTGGACATCCCCGGCCTTTAGTAAATTCGTAGACGCAACGCGCGCGCTCGTCGACGAGCTAGCAAATGTCACAACGACACGCGACGGGAAGGAGGAGATGGTGCGCTGTGAAGAAATCTTCCGCCAAATATGTTGGCTAGAACAGCGGTTTTGGCCCGACGTCAATGCCTTGGGCGATGGGAATGAGTCTACCCGGCTGAATCCTGGGCTAGGGCCCATGGGCGCGGGTATCGACAACGGGATGAACAGCGGGATGAGCAATCAAATGAACGGCGGCATGGCGGGGCCCAGTATGTCCAGCAACGGGATGAATAACAGTGGGATGAACGGCAACGGCATGAACAGCAACGCTTTGAACAACAGCGGCATGAACGGCTTAAACAACATGAATGGCAACATGAACGGACCCATGTCCGCTGGGCTAAACGGCCCCGTTGTAAACGGTGGCGACGGTGCGTCTGGAGGAGACGGCAGAAACAGCTTCGCGCTCTCGAATGGCAGTGGTCTCGAAGGCGTTGGTCAGGGCTCATAGACCGACCCCAGTCATATCAGAATCTGCGACGGAACCCCCGACCAGATCCATCTTTACCCCAGATCGCCCGCTTGAGGGTCGAACACACCGATGCTCCTCTACGGATTTGCGATGTGTATTACCGTTCAGAATATGCGCCATGCTGAATCTTTTGCTTACTAGAGAATGGCTGGACGGAGTTTCTGGTTAGGCTAACTTCGGACAAGACAGTCTGGGGGAGGGGCGTTGTTGTTATATGGCGTATAACCCTTGCTTGTTTCTCTAGGATATTGCGCTACTCGCGCGGCGTAGGTAAACATGATTGCTCTCAAGCAGGGCGGATTTCACAGCAAGGGCAATATCAACGGTGCTATTCATGGCTTGGAGTTTTGCGCCAGGTTTAAGGCTCACATACTCGTTCCATGTTCATGGCTGCTGGACCTGGGAGTCTGATGAATGATATTGCTGTAAAGACCCTCTGTCGTCGTCTCTTAAGAACTTCCGAGCGGACTCATCTGCACCCCTCATCTTATGTGGTTACATGAACTACGGCTTATGCAACGACCACTCCCGCCCTGGTTGCTCGAGCTCAATCTCATACGGACTGAGGATCGTGGTAATAACTTTGTATGACTCCACAAGCGCCAGTGGGTGTCCAAGACACACGCAAACCCCCCTCTAAAAGACATCAGCATCTTTCATCTTCTTAACCCGCGCTTCACAAGGATTTACACCGACGATTATGCCCGGAGGTAAGATCATGCCATTTGACTAACTTAGTCCGCTCGCGGGTATTACGCGCTCGAAGATGTGTAGCCCAAGACTAAGTAACAGCGTAGGCCTTCTCCATGAAACCAAACCTCTTTCTTACTCCATGTCATGTGTCCGAGAAAGTCCCAGGGCAAAATAGGACATCTAGTCCGCGGTATCACATGCTTTCCGCGATGCTGACTGTCTTTGGTCTGAGTCGGACCACATCTCCGCACTTCTCACGCAGCTTCTTCTGCGTCTCAATATGTATGCGTCTGACTGTGGTGGCTGCGGGGGCGTTATACGTCTGAGAACTTGGCCGGAAAGGGACCTGGGGTTTTCTTAAGCGGTGGAGTGAGATATGCAAGTATGTATTGGCTTATTATCGAGGAGATTACGAATTCGACTTGGAACATGGTCTACAAGTTATGTGTACTAGAAACCATCAACCGTTAAATCCGAGCAAGAAGAAAGCCAAGCAACGGGTATTATATTACACGAAGGGACTAACTTCCTCATCGAGCACTAGCCATCTCGTGCGCCTACTCAATGGAATGATTTACTACCGATTACTCTTTGAAATAGGATCATCAAGGCCCTGATGGAGGGACTTTGTCGACAAGCGGGCATGCAAAGGAGCAGGCCAACATTCTGTTTCGCTATTACCTAACCCCGACTAAGCATGCAGGTAGTTCAGTCTGCAGGATCGGGGCGTTACCAGTCACGGCCGGCTTCTGGCTGACGGCGGCCCAGATGCCGGCAAAAGTGTTAGCGTACTGGTGGCGCTGGTGTTGATATTTGCAGTGTTCAATGTTTCTAACTTTCGAACGGAAAGCCGGGGAAAATACTACGACGCTGTGAACACGTGTATATGCCGCGGCAAGGAATGTGAAATCATATCTTTCGTGACTGTGAGGATGTCTGGGAGTGGATCGGGCGAGCAATCGGTTGTGAGGGGTAGGATGGTTGTTGTTGGCTCGCTTCGCGATCTCGTCGAGATTCAGCCTGTTTCCCGTATTAGTGAACTGCACCCTCCCTCCACAGCCCTACCACTCCCTGAAGGCAGAAACCCGCTTATTGCTGCGATACTAGTCTTGCTCTCGGCCGACACCCCCGTGCCCATATTCCTCAAAGATAGTTCGGTCGAGAACCGCAACAAGGTTCACCGAAAATACTCTTTAGAGCGGGCACTCCCTTAACCCTGGTCACCATGTGAACGGTCAAGATTTCAGGGGAACCCCATCATCAGTCGTTATTGGACACTCCGAAGTAGTCAAGGCATCAGTCTTACGCACAGTTTCTATCCAAATCAGCGTGTACGGCCGCGGATAACCCGTGTAGCGCCACTTTACCTCGGAAAACATGACTTGAATTGGAAAACGGTCAAATCCATGCAACATTGATTGCCTTCGCCGCAAGGCTTTGGAAGTAAGTCTTTAGTGTTGGACGTGTGGTGGAAGACAGCAATCTATTGGAGTGTTGCACCACTAAGAATTAGAGATGCTCCAGCTGACAGAGGTCGAGACCCAGTGGACAGGAACCCAAAGCAGTGAGCGTGAAAAGTCTTTTGGTTATCCTAGGCATGAGTCTGGTTATTTTTGTGTAAGACCTTTCGATAATCAGGAATTTTGGGGTAGAACTGTCCCTTTGTGAGTTGAGAGAACTCGTTCTTGATCATACGGAGCAACATTTGAACAAGATGATTCCGATTCACTCTTTGGAGATTCTGCCTAGTCTCGGTGCCTTCGGTGTCCGGCCCACGATGGTTTTCAGCCCCCAGGTTGTAATAATTCGGACTACTCCTAGCGTAGAAGCAGCCCGTAAGCAAGGCTGCACGTGTAGCTTTGTGTAGGGGTGGTGCAGTATGTCGGCGTTACTCGAAGTAATGTAAGTGGCCTTCGACGAAATGCCGTGCGACCCATCTTGCTGACATTGTAAATTGTGGCGCCGAGCTTTCACAATCTGTGAGGGGAAGTAGTAAGCACCGTCTTACTATCTTCTCACTCGTGTATGCCAGGCTCTGTAGGAGGTATGTCTCGTCAGACCTTCTTTCAACCTATGCCAGCTGTCGACGCTCCGGTGCCTTACAGGTAGATGCCTAACAGTCCTTTCGCGTAATTTCTAGGCAGGGGATTGTAATCGTCTTACGTATCATACGCATATGGCTATACGGGCTTCACAGAGTTGCTCACACTACGTCAACCCTCTCGTGATGCTGCTGTGAATCTAGGAATAGTCTGGACTGCCTTTTAAATCATAAACAGAATCTGAACATCTTCAAGGTATAAAGATGGAAGTAGTTGTCTCGGAGTATGGTTTCTCGTGTACGAGGACTTGGGGGTCTCAGTCGCACAGTATTTTGCTTAGTTTCTGACCGCTAAGTTTCTCCTCGAGTAGAATTGAGGCAAAGAAAATTACCCCTCCAAATGGCGCATTTCATGTCGCCGTTCTGCGGTCATGATGGCCGAAGATGACAGAAAGAGGCGTTACCACCGGGATGCAAAAGACACCATCCTACTCGACAACGCAAATTACTACCGAATATGGCCTCCTTTAACACCCACACCTGAGAAAAGTTATACGAATCGATATTGTAAGACAGCGCCCGACACTACTGCCTTCGGCCCAACTGCGGATAAAACTTCATGTGAATGAGGAGGTTGTGTATAAAGAGCTCGTAAAGTCCTCAACCAAAGTCTCATCAACGCAACAAACTCTCAACCTTGCACATAAAGCCCCTAAAGATTCTTTCAAATCTCCAACCAGAAGTCATCAGTCAACATGCGCTTCCTTACCATCATCATGAGCCTCACTGCCGCGGCCTCGGCGGCGGACATCCGCCTTAGGTTTGAGGGTGGTTGCAAAGGTGGTTTCGCCGTATGCAGCAATATTGCTGCCAGGGTGCGCACTATATGACTTCTCCCCCACCTATGTTTGCAGCTAACAATGTTCCAGACCTGCTGCAATGGAGAAAGGGGTACCCAGGGCACTCCTTCCCTCGGTTTCGTCAACATGCCACACAATGCCGCTGTCGGCGGTTGGCAAGCTACCCGCAACGGACAGATCTGTGGTGCACTCGTTGCTTCGGGGAATACGGGCAATGGAAATAACGCTTGCCTCAATCCTCCCGCGGGCGGATCCAGGTTTGCGGGTGGCACCTGGAATCCGAGCAGTAAGAAGAGATATGCTGTCAATGAAGATATCCTCGAGTGCACGAACTCGCAAGTGGCAGATGCTCTGGTGTTGGCCGACGGAAAGAAGTATAACGTCAAAGGAATGGAAGAAGGGTTGGTTACGGAGCTGTATACTATGGTGTGGAACGGGACCGTGAAGGAGGATGTTCCTGAGGTTTATGCGACCTTCGAGGCCCTGGAGTAGGGAATGCTCTTGAGTCCAGTGATGGGGTAGAAAGATGGGCGGGAAGTTTGCACGTCCTGGTAGTCTTTCTCGTCATTCTGGTGGTGCCACATGGTAGCATCGCTGTTACGAGGTTGGGTTCAACTCTATGGTTGCTATAACCAGTACCGTTCGTTATTGAAGCATAACTTCTACAAAATATAGAGAGCTATGGGCGATCTTTACAACTCCACTCCCCTCTTTAGGTTGGTGGTGTCAAGACCAGCTCTGGCATGGACTCTAACCTGTGATAGTAGATACCCTAAAATCGGATTACTGGTTGGCCTCAATAATTTAAGAAACTTGTACATTGACGATGGTACCTTCTTGAGTACATGCATAGTTATTGGCTAAGCTAAGCGCGTGTTCGATTACTAAAACTTCGTCCTTAGCCTCCATCCTTTACTGACTCCCCTTGCCATGATAAAAATTAGTGTAGAAGTAGCGTAGGTCGCGCCGCAGAAAAGAATAAGTGGGGAGTAATTATCTCCTCTCCCAGCACTCAAGATCGTGCCAGAGAGGGGAACACCTGCTAAAGTCGCAAAGCTCACGATACCGTAAGCTGTGCCATATCTGCTAGCATAATCTTCCGTTTTGCAAAGCTGAGCGACGCAGACTGGGGTCAAACTGTACGCAGAGCCGCTAAAGAAACCGTAAACAACAGCAAAGGCCACAAGCCCTGGAATGCTCGATCCGATATTCAACCAAAGCCCAAGAATCGAGATTGTACACATCGTCGAACATGCGATCATGACATTGAACCGGCCCAATCTGTCTGCTACTGGCCCCGGTAAGCCTCGCCCGAAAATCGAAGCCGCGTTCAGAATGGCGAGTATATGTTGGGAGATGGAGTGTAGGTTCACCGAGGCGGCATATATCGTTATGTATGCAGGCGGAATCAAAACTGCCCAATCTAGAATGAAGATTGCTGACATTGTAAGGACAAAGCGAACGTCCCTGAAGCCCTGCCAGTTCAGAGCAAGAGCACCGCGAGAACTCCGTGGAAGACGTGTATCTAAAAGAAGCACACCCAACAGGAAGCAGAACGTACTCAGCAAAGCGAAGCATCGCATCGTCCACGCAAATCCAATACGTGAGGTGAGTCGAGCAAAGATGACTGGGTACCCCACGCCGCCAAATCCGCCGGCAGTTGTCGCAAGGCCGGTGGCAAGACCACGATTTTGTTCAAACCAATGCCCAAGAGTGGCGATACTTGTAGTCCATAGTATCGAGGAAGCTCCGCCTCCCAAACACCCAAAGGCAAGAATGAACTGATAATATGCTTGTCCCAGTCAGTTCCATCAATAGAAAATGAAATGCGAGTACTTACATTTACAGAAACTTGTAGCCACCAATGAAATGCTCAATCCCGCAGCGCCAGCTGGTAACAAGGTCTTAGAGCCATAATTATCGAATATCGGCCCTATGCTCTTATTAGATGTGTCCAGATAGGAGTTTCCGGCAGCTCATACCAACGAAAAGTCCCCCAAAGAAGAATAAGAAGGCGAATGTGCTGAAAATCCAGCTAACTTCACTTTCGGAGTATCCTTGCAACTGATTCTGAAAGAGCCAGGCTTGGAATATACCAGTAGAGTTCAGGATCCCGGAGGCTGGGAACAAAATCAACCATGCACCAAAGACGACGCTATATGCCTTTAGACCGCGTTCAGGATATGCTTCGTGAACAGAGGTCGGAGGCTCTAATATCTCCATTGCGTCTTGAAATGAACAATGGAAGGTTCAGGAGATGACAACAGTTGGCACATGGAGTATATACACAGTATAAGACAGAAGTAGTCGCCAAGGTCGTATTGCTTGGCTGCTCCCAAATTGACCAATTACAAGACAACTTATATGACCTAGTGCACTCTCAACACATCACATTATTCAGGTCGAGCCCTCTCCTATGAATCACTGATGTACAGTCACTCAGATGACACAAAGGGATTATCTTTGGACAAATGCGAGATACTTGAGATACAGCGCTATTTTGCCTCGACCTTCCAAGATCTTATGTTTCACCGTGTTGTGGCCTCATCCTTATACGGCCCGTCGCTGTAGTCCGTGTATTGGCGACAGTCTCGCGCTGGTCCGCTTGAACATGAGCCAATAAGCCCAGTGTTGTCTATAGACCGCATATCCGTGAGGATTTCCCGTAGCTGTCGGCATATGCTGTCTTTCTCCTCTTCTGTCATTTTGGGCCAAACCAAGTTGAGCATATCACCAGGTATGAAATCCATTCGAATTTGAGCCTCTCCGTCTAAAGCCCCACTTTGCGCGTCGTATACACGTGGAACGGGGAGTCCGAGCTGTGCCGCGAGTTCCAGCGCCGATCGCTATCAAGGATAACTCGCCTACCCGTTTTGGTGACTGTGGAGTCGGGATATCGTAAAATTAGACACTCAGGCATTTGGTGGAGGACTAGGACGCTTAGAAGATGACATTGAGCATTAATTATATTTACCCTTCAGCTGGGAAGGTTGGCGAAGTTGTTGTCACATGGGAAATGGGCAGTCAATGACAACGAAAGCTTAGGTAGAAGTTTGTGCAGAACAGCTTTTGGGACTATATGAGGATAAAGTAACTATCCTTCTCCATGTAGACAGTGCTGCAATGTAATTCTACTAATGCCAATTCCAGGGCCTTCGAGGCCTTTCATTCTGCTGATATCCTCTCACTATGAGCTGCTTTCAGCTATTTGTACTGTATTGTTCTGAACCGCGTCGTGTAGGCGAAGTAGAAGATCCATCCATACCGTATAGCATTGAGTATGCCAAAGAAAACGCCATTAATGCAAGCCAGACAGTACGCCGGACAAAGTAATCAAGCAACCTGTCCAAGAAAAATTCCTATCCTAACCGGGGTATAAAACGCCTCGCAGATGCTACAAGTATCGAAACCTTACTGGACGTTCTTTCGCGCACGTTTGTTCGGGGGCTTCGCTGCCACGACGAGACGGGCCTGGACATCGTTCTCGTCCTCCTCACGGGCGCGCTTCTTGCCCTTTGCCTTGGGTAGGCTCTCCTCTCCATTCGCGGCCCTCCTCAAAGATTCCACCTCAGCACCGTCTGCAATGCGCACCTCCTTCGTCTCATTTGACGCCTTGTTGCTCTTAGTGCGGTTTGTGAGTGCGTAAGGGTTACCGATGATCGAATAGTGGCGCTCGCCTTTCATCAGATCTTGGCATGTTGTCTTGGAACACTATGACTTGCGTTAGAAGAGGTCGAGAATGGAGAGGACATGAACAGTACCATGAGAAGTTCGACGAGGCAATCGAAGCGTTCCTTGAACGTGAAGAGCATAGTCTTCTGGAGCAGGTCACGCTGCTCTTTGTCGTAGATAGACTTCGTCCATCCATTCCGGTGGACGTCAATCATCGTCGTCTATCTCGCATGTTAGTAGAGAAACGTAAGCTAGCATAGAGTGAGATACACTCACCATGACCTCTTGGGCGACTGCTTTCATCTCGGGGACCGTATAGTACGTCGCGCTATCTGCCCACCGATTCTGGAAGATCTTGGAGTCGTCCTTCTCCCTGCATTCGTGGTTGTTACGGATAGCTTCGACGAGCTTCTGAACGCACTTGTTGATCTGTGCTTGCGTGGAGGGGATCGTGTCGTCGTTGGTCGGTGCCTTCCAGTACACACCTGTGATCGTCACACCGTTGGCTGAATCCACAATGCTGACATTAGCCCCAAGCTGGCTCGCGGGATCCGTCTGCTTCTTTTGCTCGCGGATGATGAGGCCCGCTTTCTTCATCTTGTCGCTGAAGTACTTCTTCACCTTCTCGGCAAGTTTCTCCGCAGGAGTCATTTCATCCTTCTTCTGGGTCTTTGTGACCTTGTTGCTATTTGGAGCTGTCTTGTTACCAGCAGCTTTCTTGCTGCTCGCGCGCGTCATGCGCTTCTTTGGCGCCATTATATCCGCAGGAGGTGTCGGATACTGCGTGTTGCTGTCATCTTTACCTGAAGCCTCGTTCTCTTGTTCCTCATCTGCAGGCGAAGCGTGTTGGTCTACATCGGAATCACGCTCGCCATGATCAGCGAAGTCGTGCTCACCGTCATCATGGAAATCGTGTCCGCCATGACCATCGACATCGTGCTCTCCACCGACATCCTCGGCATACTCAACCGTAGCAGTCTCGGCCGCCAGATTGGTATCTGGGAAGAAGTGGGCAGGTGTAGCTAAACGAATGATTAATGGGAAACCATTACACTAAGATTGCGGTACTCACCAAAGTTGTTGATGTTACCGAGGCGAGTGGCAGTGGCCTCAGTGAAGCCTGCAGGCTCCTGACCTCCGAGGAACTGACTACCGATGTAATCATGACCTCCCTGCTGCTCCGATTCGGAAAAGAGGTTTTCCATGTCGTAGTAACCCGGAAGCGCACCGGGCTGCCACGCAGAAAACATCTGAGCGACTGGGGTGATGTAGGGGGGGAACGTGGAGTTCGGGTACGAGGTGAAAGCGAAAGCCGAGCCATTGTGCTCGACGGTAGGCAAGTTCAGTCCAGCGTTCATGGTGGAAGGAGTGCTTATGCGTGTGCGGGTGTTGTTGCCATTGAAGGCGGGGGTGAACTGTGGGTGAGACATCGTAGTTGCGCGTGTATCTTAGTCAGGTCGGGAAGTAGGTTTTGAGAGACTGGAAATCTTGAAAAGATCAATCAATCAATGATAGCACTGGTGGATTGTGTGATAATAGCAATCGATGTACCAATAGGCCGTGAGTAGAGTGGAAGTTGAGTAGGTGAGAAGGTGAGAAGGTGAGAAGGTGAGAAGGATTGTCGGCGTGGGAAGGGTTTTTGAGCCCTCGGGGCGGCTTAGAAGGCACGCGACTTGGCGAAACTGTTACGCGAACGAATCTGGCGTAATCTTGAGGTTATTATCAAAATTGTGCGTCAGATTCTCTTTCACTGGTCTGTGCACGACCTCCTGCGAGCGGGGGAGGTGCAACTCGCAGCGGAAACCACCAATAGAGAGCTCTTCCGACAGAATTCTCTGATATCCAGGGCAATAGGAAGCTTCTCGCAAGGAGGGAGTACGCATGGACCACGCAGTGTCGTCAGATTGTTGTTGTTGTTAGGTGTGTTGATGGTGGTCGACAAGCCCTTGCGACAGCTGTTCGGGCATTGACAGCTACAAACCAAGATAAGTAAGATGAATATAATAGTAGAGAGGCTGTAAAAAGCCCAATTTTAGATCAGGCTGACATCGAGACCTTAGTGTAGTGTACACCTTCATCAGCAACGCGGGCGCGGCAACGAGAAGTCTGCCTAGTGTAGCGGCTGGACGCCCCGAGACACACCCATATGTGCAAGCTGTCGTAATCGTAGCTGCTAGATGTTGCCATGGAATTCATATCTTCCCTCACGCATTGCTGCTCTTTTGTGCCATACAGATCCCCAGCAGTGTTCGGCTGAACGAACAGATACCGAACGTAGCGCGGAAACGGATCAATAGAAGTCATCGCAAGACTTAGAAAGCCGATTTAACGAAGTTCCAGATAGCTCCATCATACCGCAGTATAAGACCTCATTCACGATGAAGGCCAACGACGAAATCCGATTCCTGAGCCCACTCGAAGAACACTCGAATCCGAACTCGGGACCAGATAAAGCAAGATTGCATGATCTGCTGAGAAGCATTCACAACGACTGGAATACTTGAAGAGATGGACTACCACGGCGATTGGTTCAAGAGACACCAGCGGCGATGCTTGAGGCGACAGTCTATAGGGCGGGAATCGTAACAGGCCGTCGGATCCACAGATGGCCCTTCATATATGTTCGGTTTTCATGCTTTACACACAGTCCTCGGATTTCGGGTCGAATTGCTATCGAAAGGGACTGCATTGCGGCTCTGATCAAACGCCTGGAAACCTGGCCGGCATATGACATTTTGCGCTTTCACCCTCCAAAGGGTAGTGTATAAGCCCTATCAATGGAGCTTCCGGGAGTTAAAACCAACGATCTGTTGATTGGAAACCGAGGAATCCTCTATAAACAGATGTCTAGGCCCCGCATGGTACAAGGAACCTGCTTGGCGACCTTCGTAAGAGTTTTTGCTAGGACAGGCGTCAACCATACCACACTGCGCGGGTTCTAATGGAGACAGGAACGGTCGGAATATCGTTCGAGTATGATCCAGTCTGTGGCAGCGGAAATCCCCTGGAGAGAGAAAGAAGGATCCACTCTTCAAAGGTGTAGATCCAAAAGTTAACAAGTGAAGGCTCCCAGAGATCTCTTCTGACGATCCGATAATCTCTAGGCTTAAGTGCGCCGATTCTTGGGTCTCAACAAGATGTTGGCCAACCTTGGCAAGCCGAGGAACCGTGAGTCTCATCAGCCGCACATCTTGCTCGAATTTCCGGCGCCGCATATACGTCTCGCTCGATCAGCAAATGGCCTGCCGAGATTGTAGACAAAGTGGGTGCGTCGAGATGTCGATTACGCGGTTCGAGCTCCGCCTTAGCCAGTGTAGCCCCATTAGAGGACTGTCGAAAGAAGAGATGGAGAGTGCTGAATGGAGTATATAACCGACTCCGACTAGGAATGCCCCGCGTATCTAAAGAGCTGCCCACGGTCAGTACCTAAATACTAAGCAATCGGTAATTAATAAAGTACCGATATTGTTGCTAAACAGCTGCCTAGTCCCAAAATCACCGAATATTGTTCGCCGGATGTAAGGTTCCTCGATGGTATATCAGCTTACCCTATCAGAAAAGTCAAACCCACGCAACAGTACAAAGAATCTGCTTTGCAAAGTTTGGCTTTACCTCATGTTGTCATGGTATTACCACGGGCAGTTGAACACAAGCGATTTACTAGCCGTGTGCGCGAGGGTTCTGATCGTAAGAGCACCTACGTATAATGAGGTGAGAAAGATGAGGAACAGTACTGAAAAGAGGAAGGATTTATCATAAGGAGGCACGAGGAGGGGTTGAAGCATGACGTTGAATTTGGCGTGTGATGATCCATGCACGCTAGCAATCATGCGTCAGCCCCTCATCTCTCCCGGACTCACCTGGCCTCCCCCAAGGACGCATAGCAAATCTCGCCCATAATTGCATCTCACCGACTAGGAAGCTGATCGCATATTGATGGCCTAGTCTGTTTGCCTCAAACACTCATTGGTCTTCCTACGAGCTGTATTGCTTTGGAAGAGACAGCCAACGAAGCGCTCATCACCTGAGCCTGTGAATAAAAGACTTTAGGCATCTACTAATCGCGCTAATACGGCGGATATGGTCTCAAGAGCAGTCGAACTGACGTTCGTTTGCCTTAATTTCTTCACTTTGGGAACTCAACCGCACTGGTGGATACCTAGTGCATCAAGCAGCGCTTTGGGCAGTTGTATCAACGTGACTATTACTCCAAGCCAGCGCTGGAATGAAGAAAGAATGAATACCTGCGGTAGAGGGATGCTCCTTCTCGCGATGCAGAACAAGCGGAGTGCTAGTATTTCCGGATTTATGGGCTATCTAAGTGCGCTATTTGCGACGTGGACACATTTATCGGTGAGTATCGAAGGAATCCAATTGCCCGTGAGATGCTCCGAGACTTTAACATCACAATCGACGATGGATTCTTGAGAAAGAATGTTGCATAGTCACGCCCCAAACAAAACAAGAACAAATTGTCGTATCCTAATTGATCATAGATACAGGTTGATGGCGACCATTTTGGCCTTTGTATCAGATTGAAGGTGCTGCATTATGGGGTATCTTAGAAACCCGACTATGTGATTTCGAGGACCGCCACAACATTGATTTTCGCAGCATTTATCACCGCGGAGCTTCATACCTCGAAACTTAAATACATATATAATGGCACGGGTCGAGAAGACACTCAGGGTTGTCCTACATCATACTGTATCTCCCTAGTGTAGCGACATTGCGTATACATAGCGTCTTTGGGTGTTTCGGTGAATGAGGCGGTCGGCGCTCTCTCGCTCCGTGACAATTTCGTTTCACTCACAACGCTAGGTGCGGCCAGAAGCCCATCGACATTCACTGCGGCTCGCTTTCCGCGCAAAACTTGTATTCACTTACCACGGCATATATAAACCTTTGATCGTCAAGCTCATACAATTTCACGGCACATACATATCGATAAAACCTCGTCCACTGTGCATCTCAGCTTGAAAATCGTGCATACAAGACAAGCATATGAGCCCATCAAGCGACAAGGTAAGAGCCATATAATCATGCCCAGTCGTACAAACAGAGCTAATGCTACCCTTACGTGTAGGCCATTATTCACTCAAATAGCTCTTCACCCAACCTCGGCCACAACTCAGCAATGTCAGATCGCGGCAGCAGAGTCAACTCGCGCGAGTCTACGCTCGAGACCACTATTACTGCACCCGACATATCTCCATCTTCTGACCCCGCTGCATCCGACAAAAAGAAGGTGCCAATGGGACTGGCCGAGCCTTGCCGCCCGAGGCCCTTAACATCCAACTGTCTTAACAAGAACTACATCGAAATTGACGGCATGTGCTTCCAAGACATGGCTGTCGCCATGGCAGCCATGAACCAGGCTCCATGGCGTGCGCCCACCAATGACGCCTCTATACCACAATCCGATGAAGATCATCGCAAGGTTGCTAAACAGCTTACGGAGGCTTTCAAGGACCTGGGTGCGGCAAAGGATACGCAGAACAATGCCTACCGCAAGCGCTTGACAAAGGGGGAGGATGTGTATTATTCGGACTGGGCTATTGAGGCATGCGCCTGGAACATCCTCGTATGTAGAGTGCGATTATCATCCATTATGCAAGAACTAACTAGCTCTAGAGTATGGTCAAATCCATTCACATCGACGGCTTCAAGATTCCCATCTATGACCGGACGATCATTGACTCGATTGGTCAAACCCAGCTGTGGACATTCCAAGAGCGCATCGACTGGATTTGCTTAGTACTCAGGGTACGTATTTTACTGTTCTAGTACGTAGATTACGTGCTAACCCATAACTTAGACATCCAAGAGCATAGCTGTCACTCTCATGGTAAGGTATCCCAAGACCACAGTCAGTGAAGGCATATCGCTAATTGTTAATAGAAGCACGAGAAGATCTGGACCACCATCGGTGCACCCCACAAGCTTTACAACAGCACTCTAGTAAACACCATCTCGAATGGACAACGTAACAATTGGGTCAAGGTGGGCCGCGAGGCTGATGAACAACATCAGAAGCGCCCAAACAAGCGGCAGCGCGCTACCTCTACTATCATCCAGAACAGTGCCGACTCAAACACCACCAATACATCTCTGCAGACCTTCTCTAACGGCCTGGCTAATAACTCCAATACCACCAAGGGTGCAAAAGGCAAGCAGCAGCTGAAGTTTGCTAAAGCTCGTACTGGTTAGTTTCTTCAACTTGTCATCTCGGTTCAAGATCTAACGTTTCCTAAAGCAACCGCTCCCAACATTAGTTCTTCAAACGATGTCACCGCCGCCACGACCTCTTCCGCCCAGCAAGCCGCCGCCGATGTTGAGATGATTGATGTCGATTCCGACCAGCTCTTCAAGGACAGTCTAAACGACAAGCACAAAGGCCCCGTGGCCAAGGACGATAAACAACTGAACAAGGGTAAGGGAAATGAAATCAAAGTGGAGACCAAGCGAGAGGCCACCAAGAGCTACTTCTCGGATACTCCCGGCACCCGCCCTCAAGAGAATGCCACTACCACCCCCAACATCGATCTCACAGGTTTCCACGATGCGCAGACGATGGAGACAGCCTACCTGCTAGCTGCGCTCCATACTGCTCGCTAAGCGAGTATCTTGGTGTTTCAGTCTCAAAATTTACTTTGGTACTGACACTCGCGATAGCTCAACAGGTACTTTAAGGGCGTAGGCGCTCTTAAACCTTTGCTCCAGTTCCACTTCGATACTAACCCCGAATCTGCGCTCCGACGCTATCTTCGTGGTCACCAGAGGCAGGGTTGATGGTAAATGCTATGAAAAGTCTCGATGGCTTTAGAGTACATACTGCTCTACTCGACGTGCGTTCTACATTTCATTGAGGACGGGTAGAAGTTGAATGCGTTCACGAGTGAATGGAGCTACAACCACGATATGGTAAGACTCCGGGTTGTCAATATCCTCATGAACCGACACTTTTATAAGCTTATTTATAGCTTGATGAAACTCACGAATTCATAACTGCACATCAATACAAACTTGCTTCTTTATGGATCTTACATGTGTGACTGTATTCTCACTCTACATCCTTTGAAGCTCACCACTCCTCTTATATAGAAGAATCACATATGGCTGTCCTAACCTCATCTCGTAGTTCATAGTGTGAAGTTTGCAGACTCTTTCGTTCATATAAAGAGGCGACGAAATTTATTGTTATACTTTCAGGGACCGGGAGGCCATTACCCGAATACGTCGCTGGGTTGGTCCATAGAACTCTGAAATTATCCCAGTATTAAATCCGAATCCTTCCAGCGATACTTCTCCTCACTCTATTAGTACCCTTATAAAGTCCGATTACTCCCTCCACTCCACCTATCCCCTGTGTCCGTAGGCTCGCATCGACAACCTCCAACCCAATGAAGCTGTCCATAACCCCAAGTCCTGTCGCATTACCCCTCTGTACTGCTGTTACAGTACCAGAAATAACATCTGCAATATCCGCTCGTAGTTCTGGAAGTATAAGAGCACTAGCACCCAGCCAGCGTGCGAGTATGCCTTTGAAGCTGACTTGATCGGTATTGCAGGTCGCCGAGGCCTCGCACTTCTGCTCAAACAGCGTACCGTTTTGCGTGAACGTCCTCTTAGCAGAAGCAATGAACCCGTTAGTTCGATCCAGCCACTTCGCATTCTTGGTAAGAGCAGCCATAACTGCGCTTCCATGCAAGAAGACACCGTTATTGTAACTCCACTGGTCGCGGTTGAGCTCTGTGCATGTGCCATTCGTGTCGTCCGTGCCGTCGTACACCTCGAAATTCTCTCCAATTAGTTTGACGCTGACAACCCAGTCATAAACCCTTTCAGCCCAAGCTTGTGCATCAGCATCGCCCGTAAACCTCGCAAGGCGCGCAGCTAGTTGGAAAAACAATCCGTTTGAAATGGAATTCTTGTAGTGCCAGCCGTCTTTTCCGTTGCCCTCGAGAACCTTCCATCGTATGCCTCCTCCACAGGTCGATGGATCATAGCGCGCTTTCTGTTCGTTGTATACATTGCGCGCTAGATCAAGCCAGGTCACGTTTCCAACATTCGGTACACCATTTTCAGCTGCTGAGAGCGCGGCGAGCGCCCACCATGCTTGGTCGTCGTTTCCTTCCGCATCCCGTGTCATGAAGTCGTTTGTTCCTGTTTTCTGGCTTATGATCGTATTTTGCAGGAGTGCATAGTATTGTTTGTCCCCAGTAGTCTGGGAGTATGTGAGCAGAGCATCGATCGCGATGCCGGACTGCCACCACCAGAATGGCCTAGGGAGGAGGGCGATGGAGGGGTTTGGGTAGGTGGATTTTAGAGAGGCGGCGAATTTGGCGGCAGATGTTAGGAGCGATTCGACGGATGGTGGTTCAGCTACTACGAAGGGAGCTGAGAAGAGACATGTTGATAGGCCAGTGGCCAGAACAGAGGAGATGCGCATCTTAATGGCAGATGCGACAAAGTTATACTGTTATGAGTCGCGTGAAACTATCAATATAATATAAAAGTAAAGAACGTAGGTGAGCTAAGAGCTACTAGAATGAATGACTAAATGAGCGAAAGTTTGATAGAACCGCGCGAACAAAAGAGTGTGGTAGAAGCATGAGTTCTTAAGAGGAAGTGTCCATACTTATAACAGCTTCTTCGCCAGGTACACGTTTTCGTAATCTCCATCGGCATCCGCGGGAGGACCGGATGAGGAGGACCGATTGGGAGGACCGATTGCCTCACCAGGTACCTATCGTTGAATAGGCAAAAATTCCCTAGTCGCAATCTCTAAGACATCCGTGGGAGGACCGATTGCTGTAAACGTTCATGCTGGGAAGATTTCTTCGATGCTTGGAGAGTGTTTGATACAAAAAGTTGTCGATGTTGGAACGACTCCTGAGCACATGTATCATGGAACCCATGTCTTGTTTCCGCCGCGAGATCTGAAACGCCGGCCACAATTTTGATAGCTGCTTATTGGCGGCGAGCAGACACGTGGGAGCTTTGCAGCATCTATGAGCTTTGTAGCAAAACGGTCGTAAAGGTCGAGGCCAGGATTATGAGGTGCAGGAAACATTAGCCGAGATTGCAGTGTTTGCGCCTGAATCGCGAAACGCGGCTGGCCACGAAGAAGACGTTATGCGAACGTATTCATATCTATTTCAAGACTATCGTTCTTTGCATTGATATTCAAGGAGTGGTACTTGAGGCGTGAACGTCGGCTGTTTGGTAGAGGCGACCAGGTTGAGGCCCGAAGCGGAGGAAACGGAACATGCACCACACGCTTGCTGAGATGCTATTGTCTGAGTCTCATCAGCATTTCCATATGATGGGATTGCATCATTTACATCTTCGCTGTCCCAACCTTCCCCAGCACAAAAGCGCCCCGCCCCTCTGCGAACACAGTTCCCTGACCATCCTCTACGGAGCCTACCGTCTCAATCCATCTTCCCTTCTCCCTCAGAACCTTCGCTCTACAAAGCAGTATGCATGGCGTTGTAATCGCTTTCTTATACGTGACATTCAGCTCGGACGTGGCGCTTGTATTCTGGTAAAAGTACGACAATAGGGTACCCATAGCCTGATCAAGGAACGTCGCCGTCACCCCGCCATGCAGGCGCCGTATACCACCATCGACGTCGTTTCCCACCGATACCAGGATGATGGCTTCGGGCGCGTCTGGATCGCTGGGATGGAAGGTTTTCTCCGCCTTAGCATTCTGGCGCTGTACTTCCGTCGCGTGATTGTTTGGTGTCACTTCGTGTATGGGAGCGCTGCCCGTAAAGATCTCGGCTTCGTTGACGTCTCTCTGTTGTCCCTTGCCTGGCCGATATAACGAGAGGAAGGCGCGGACCGCGTCATCTGTGAAGAGGGTCCGCGTGAAGAGGGTATTGGAGATAGCCGCGCGCGTGTCAGGTATCTGGCGCTTCGATATATGTGTGATGGATGGGTCAGAAAGGAGCTTGTTGCACCATTCGTGGTTGGTGAAGTCTTCGAGGCGTTCGATCTTCGGGCTTGTCATGGCGGACGACTTGGGGCTTGGTCTAATAGCAGCGAGGGTGCGCAAAGGGTGGTAGAGGTATGCAATACATGCGACGGTAGAGGAGACATGGTGGTCGTCAACATTAGGGCTACAGTGTTAGCGCGCATGTCTGTATAGTCGACTCGTCAGTTGCGGTGCGGAGAGGGACAAGATCCGAGGTTGATGAGACAACAACTCCTGGCGCCCGATAAGATAAGCATCGTCTCCTTCGTGAGCGTACAGCTGAGCGCCAGCTGCGCCGAGTAATGACTAAGGGTAATTGTTGCCCATAGCAGTACAACAGGATTGTTGTGCGCCTACCTAGGTAAGATCAGACAGAGAACGTCGTGATCTCCAGGCCGAAGATCGATGAGCGTACCTTCATCGCCACAACTAACCACACCAGCCGGGCGAAAAACTCACCAGCGGATAGCGCCAGTCACTCTATATCACCTCATTATTCCGTTTTGGCCGATGAAAGTGCCGCTGGCCTACCAGAAGCCGATTGCAGATGATTGCAGCTCCTCTTTACCAGACCTCCGGGTGGGTGGGCGAGCTCACAAGGGTTCTGATTGTAACGTCGCAACGGCACTTTGGACCATGTAAGCTCAATGCGCCCACTAGCCAATCGATCGCTATGGTCTAGGAATCTTGCGTGTTGGAGGAGTGTGTTGGCGAATTCCTGATACCAGTGTCTTCGAGAAAATTGTATCACGACCACGAGCCTGTGGGCGGCTTGCGAAAGGATCGCGAATCACAAAAGCCTAAAAACACAATCCACCATGCGACCATAGACTACTGTATTCCTTCCAGACACCTTGGACTCGTTCATGGTTGAAATCCAGGATCCAGCATTGCATCGTGAGATCCACACAGCAACAGCACGCTTCGCGGTCAATAACTCCCAAGATATCGGCTACGCTTTTCAGTTCTTGGACCTTCCGCATTCGCAAAGACATCTGCCATAGAAGATATGCTAATCCTTAGGCCTCTTGCATAATTTCTACCCAGGTCGCACGTTTTCCGATGACGCCAGACTGGGCGCAGTTTGCATGCTCCGAAACCCCTGCAACACCGACCATCTGGAAGCTTGGCCTGAGGCATATATTAAAGGTGAACTATGTAACGACTGTTCTTATATATTCCAGGCCACCCACGATCAGCATTGTTACACCGCGGTGGGGCTATCTTATTGTCCTCCAAACCGTGTAATCTTCCTGTGCCATGGCTACAATAGCGCACGTCAAGAAGCTCTTCTGGGGTAACGACTCCGATGAAAATGTTGACTTGTCGGTTGTCAAGGAGAAAAATGGGCAGATCAGCGAGCAGGTCTATGTCGACGGCGTGGAAGTGTTCCAAGACGGCAACGGTGCCCCAGTTGAGCAGGTTAGCCCTCTCGGATACCATGTCGGATACGCAGGCATCCTGTTCCTCAATGTTAGCCAGATGGTAGGAACTGGTGTTTTCAGTACACGTAAGTAAACATTACTGCACAGTATAGATATCACAATACTAACCTAGTGCACAGCCGGCGGTATTTTACGAGCTTTGGATTCCGTTGGCCTGAGTATCCTATATTGGATTTTCGGTTTCATCATTGCCGCGGGTAAGTCCTTTCTGTCTTCATGATGTTATCAAGGAGGGACACTAAATAAGCGCAGCTGCTCTCGCAATCTACCTCGAATATGCCTCACTCTTTCCCAACCGCTCGGGCGGCCAGGTCGCCTACCTCGAGCAGGCTTACCCAAAGCCTAGATTCCTATTTCCGGTTACCTATGCCTTCTTTACCGTGGCCTTTTCATTCTCGAGCAGCAATGCAGTTGTCCTTGCTCGTTACATCTACCGCGCTGCAGGCTATACAGCCACTGAGTGGGAAAATAAAGGGCTTGCTATTGCCTCGTATACTTTCTTGGCTTTCCTGTGTCTCATATCCACCCGCTGGTCGATACGGTTGATGAATGTGATATCGGCAGTCAAGTTGGTTATCCTACTCTTCATTGTCATCACAGGTTTTGCCGTTCTGGGAGGCGGGACAAGAGTCAAGGAACCGAGGGCGAATTTCAACAACTCATTCGATCACATCTCAAACAACGGAAACGATATCGTCAACGCCCTCGTCAGCATCAACTTCGCATACAAAGGCTATGAGAACGCTTTCAATGTTGTCGCTGAAATCAAGGTATGTCCCTCCGATTCCAGCATTAACCTTCAAATACTGATCAACTTCACATAGAACCCATTTCACTCGCTTAAAAGGATCGCACCACTATCTCTCGTGATAGTCTTCATTCTCTATGTGCTGGCAAACGTTGCATACTTTGCAGCTGTTCCCGCCGACGAAATCCGCAAGTCCGGCGAACTGGCTGCGGCCCTCTTCTTCGAAGCCGTCTTTGGGACCAAGAGCGCGCGAGGCCTTCCAGCTCTCATCGCCGTTTCCGCGGCAGGCAATATCATGGCCGTGATAATCGGCACGACACGTCAGATCCGCGAGTGTGGAAGGCAAGGTGTGATCCCATTCCCGCATGTATGGGCGTCCACAAGACCATTCGGCACTCCGTTCGCCCCGATTATGTTGAAGTGGGTACTGACGACTATCGTCATCATTGCCTTGCCCTTTGGCGACGCCTTCCAGTTCCTTGTCGACCTTCGCTCGTACCCAGATAGTATCTTCATCTTCCTGATGGTCGTAGGAGTGTACCAACTCCGCTATCGCCGCAAAAAGGCCGGCCTCCCGCCCCCACCCTTCCAAGCCTGGCATTCCGCTCTCATCCTCAGCGCTTTGGTTTGCCTTTTCATCCTTATCATGCCGTGGTTCCCGCCAAAGAAGTCGAACGTTAGTTTCTGGTACGGGACGTACTGTGCTGTCGGCATCGGCTTGATGGTAGGCATGGGACTGTACTATCTCCTTTGGATGAAATTATTGCCGAAGTTGGGCAAATATCAGATCAAGACCGAGACGTTGGTTAATGACCAGGATGGAAGCGTAACCCACGTCCTCAAAAGGGTCAAGAATGACGTAGTGGAAGAGTGGGATCGTACGCACGATGGGGCTGGCAATTTGTTGTTCGAGACAGGCGATGACGTGGGCACTGGGAATGTGCATCTTACACGCAGGGTGAAGGTTAAAGATGATGTACCAGTCAGTTACACGGCCGAGCAGAAGGTGTAAAGAGAAGGAAGTCAGTCAATATCGGACGATATGTTACGATTCATAGCGTTTTGGGGTAGGTCAAGTCGACAGGGCTGTTCACGAGATTTAAGTGGTAGCAACATAGATCAGTCGACGCAATAACGACAGCATATCTATATGGGCATCCTAATCTGCTCATGCGCGGCAGTCACACCTGGTTGAGGATTACATCCGAGTACAATTCTATCAATCCTTCCTTGGCTTTCTCAATCTCACGACAATAAGCTTCAGGTGTGATGATTATGGCCAGAGTGCGGCTGCAAAACAGGCTTACCATCACTCAACCATATTTCGAAAACAGGGCACTGCTAAGAATAAGAATAATTACGAAGAAAACAAATCAAACTAGGCATAACGCGATCTGCTAAAGATGTGGAGCGATCTCTCGGGACCCCGGGTACCTGGGAGGGGTAGTCTGGACCCCTCAACACCACAACACCAAAGGAGCTATTGGACCTCTCATTATGACGTCGCGCGCAACTTGCTTTTGCGACGAAAAAGTCTGAGAACACCATATAAAGCTCCATCAAGCCTGAGAATGGCACCACATCGCCTTCTCACACTTCTACCTTTGATCTTGCTCTTATACGGCTATAACGAAACGTAACTTGCGTCAGTATACGCAAGCATGCCTACCATCAACGCAGCCGTAAGAACTAACTCAGCTTCAACAAATCGATGTCCGTATCATTGAGCAATTGTACTGACAACTGTCTGCTAGGTCTTCCATGCCTACGCATACGGCACAGCATTTTGGTACGGTCTGCGCGGCTTATGCCGTGTCTACGATCCCGTCATGGTAGTCGGCTGTACGTCCTCGTTCTTCACCATCAACATCAACTGTCCACCCTCCCACCCTTGAATCCGCAGCTCTCGAAAAGGAAACACGACAGAAAACTAATAATCACCAGGGTTTCGGCCCCCCTCTCAACTCAACCTCACTCCCAACGACCTCGAACTCTATAACGTCCGCAACGACGGCTGGTGTCTTATTACGCTCGCGCTCATCTTGATTTCTTTCACCAACGCCGTGCCCTTTAACTCCGCGCCCGCGACGAAATTAACTAGTATTCCGTACGCCAAGGCTGTGGTTGCTGCGACTGTGTTCCACCATGTCACAACGGGCATTGGCGCATATCAGCATTACAGATTAGCGACGCATTATAATACGAGTATGGCAATTGGAGTGTGGGGGAATGTGTGGTTGACTTTCACGGGGCTGGTGACTCTGGTGTTGTTGCAGAGTGATGCGGGGAAACATTCGGTTGAGGAGGTGACAAAAAAGGCTAGGTGATGGAATATTGGTTAGGAGTGATGCATGCTGTTGGACAATATTTGGAGATTGCTGAAATCTAACATACGATGGGACGGCAGAATGGCTCGCGGCGTTTGAAAGGCATTGTGGTAAAAGACGGGCGAGGGCTGACGAATAGAACTAATTTGATCACCCGTAATGAGCCAACATCGTACGATTAAGAGAGTGAGATAAAAACAAGCAGAACCGTCTAACCACCAGCCTCCTCCCCTTCTACAGCTAAACAACTCGTAGCCGCTTCCCTGGTGAAAGGTCAACTCAAACTCATAGCCACCTTTCTCAAGGGTAAAATACCCTCTATCCCCTCCCATCTCTTCCTCTTCCTCATCATCACCCATCACTATCCATCACATATACCTCGGCCACCCCCCAAAGCCCGACGCATACCCACGGAAATTCCAGCCCTGCTGCTTCATACCACAAGGCGTGCAGTACCCGTCTCTGCCATCGTAAAAGTTTTGTAGGCGGCACTCTCTAGATTGGCGGTAAGGGATACCCGGCTGATTGAGGTAGTATGGGTTGTTGACGCGGTTGATGTCCCTGAGGAAGTAGTTGCAGAACTGAGGGGCTTGGATGTACTCGCGGTGGTTGCAGCGATTCCAGTGGCGGATTGTGTCTCGGCACATGGTTTTAGGTTGGAGGGGTGAGTGAGAGGTTACGATATAGATGGTGGATGAAGTGTGTTGAATGGAGTGTGTGAGAGAGAGAAGGTGGGTGTGAGATGGTAGAAGTAGTCTTGCTCACCATGGAAGGACCTGGTTGGGAGCTAAGAGATATCTTCTTAAGTACATGACCACTTTGGTGATTTTTCTAACAGGACTCTGTGCATGCCCGTCTGCGTTTGTCGGGGTATCCGGGAGTGTAATCCGGAATAATGGTGTGGTTGTTCTGGCGCACACAAGAGCAGTGTCTGCTGCGTTAACAAGAATATACCGAACGAGCTATGGCTCTGCTGTCTGTCGGATTCTACCGCTGATAGAAGGGTCTCGCCTATGAAGGCTGTGTAAATTGGCACAAACAGTATGTGGGTGGAGGAGACCTGCTACTGGAGCGTTCGGAGGGCGTCAAAGCACTCCCAGCACGTAAGAGAAGAACCCTAGTGAGAAGAAATACCTTAAAGCCAGAACGGCGCACACCAACCGAGCATGAGCTTGGCATTCATCGGGCGGTACTTCCGAAGGACTAGTTCTTGTGAAGTCCCGTCTTGGCAGGCTGCTTGCAAAAAGCTATATTGAGGCTGTCGCTGTGCTGTACAAAGTAGTTAGAGGGGACACAGGTGGCATGAGTGTTTGTCCATGGAGCCACTAAGCGATCGCAGAGTGTCAGCGGCTTGTGGGATGCAAACCGATTGTCTCGATAACCGAACGAGATGGTGTCAGCAACGTCCCAGCATAGCTGAGAGAGTTAGCTTCTGGCAATCTGTTTCCTAGAACGCGGCTGTCGTACACAGCAGTGGTGGCGTGCTCGATGGAAGTATTCCGATAGGTAGAAAGGACGATCGGTATGAATTTGACTCCTAGGAATAGTATGAGCGATTTCACTGATCATACTGTTTGTGCTTGTGCGATGGTGGAGGAGGCATTGGGCTGCTGCAAGAAGAATTGTTGCCCAACACCGACACCATGGAAATTTAGAATGGTAGGTCACAGTAGATATTGTACTTGGAAGTTGAAGAATAGCCAATGAATCCAAGGTATCTACAATGACGGAAATAGCCCAGAAGGGAGCCTGAGTGGTATCCCATAGCCACCTGTAAAACGCCTCTGTACGTTGCTCAACCCAGCCGGGTATATGACTAACAAGACTATGCAAAAGTTCCAACGCCAATATGTATGCAGGGGTATCTCCCAATTTCCAGTTTTCCAGTCCCAATCCCAAAGAACAAATGTCCCACCACGCTATGCACATGAAATCCCAATCGTCCATCATCGTATACGGGCATCGTTGGTCATTCAAGCTCCTGGTCCTGATTCACTTGTGCTTATGGCCTGCCACAGGCAAAAGCTATCAGTATGTGATCGATCAAAGTCTATGCGCGCCGCGCGTGAAGTAGAGAACACTAAATACAACAAAAAAGCAGCAAGAAATTCAAAGTACGCTCGAGGTTCACTATGTGAACATACCGCGAAACTTGACGCCGTTCTTGTGACGTATGCTATGAGCTGCGCGAGACGTGAAAGCGGACGGCGGTGACTGTGTAGCCGCTGGCTCGGTGACGGTGACGAAGACCGTGTCCGTAACCGTGACCATGTTGTCGTTGCCAGGCAGCAGTGTGGGTGAGATGCTGGGACGTTTGGTGAGAGTAGGGATCGCAGTGGGAGCTGGCATGGTCGAGTTGAGGAAAGGAGGTCTGCCAGTAGCAGAGGGAGTACCAGTGGGCTTGGCCGAGAAGATGGGGCCGACCTCGCCCTTGATTGCATCCGTCATGATGGCAGTGCGGGATGCCCAGTCAGATACAGCAACGGACATGGCATCCTGCTGAGGACCAAGAGCATACTTTTGTTTCGCATCTGCAGCCATCGCGACATCCGCAGATGCAACGTCGACATCGATGCAGGTGGTGTAATACTCGTCCTTGCCATTAGGCAGTCCAGGGTCGGCGCCGCCAGGGGCTGTATTCCATTGCCAGACCCAGTAGAATGTATAAGGCTTGCCCTTTTGGGCCGTCTTGGGAAGCTGAACGTTGGTTTCGCAGAAGAGCGGGTAATTGCCTGGCGTTCCCTCAACGGCTTGGCCCATTGCGAAATTCGGATCGGACTTGGTACGCTCTTGGGAGATAGGCGTGTCGTTCTTTTCGTAACAACGGCCATCGTCGAAATCGTTCGTGGCGAGCAGTTTGCCGCGCTTGTCTCCGCCCTGCCCATCCTGAGTCCATTTGAGAACCGTAACGAGAGTCTCATCTCCCTTTGGTTCAGTGGTGCCGTACACGAAGATGGTACCGCCGTTTTTGGGCTTACCCTTTTGATTGTTTGGTAGAGTGACGTGCCCATTCTCCATGTAGCGCATCGCAATGGAGCCGCCGGGTGCGGCTTGTAGGCGAGGGTATTTGTCCTTGGACTGCTCTTGTTTGCGTTGGCTTGTGTGGCAGAGGGGAGTGCTTTCGTCGATAAAGACCCGGCCTTTTGCGTTGGGGCCTGGGAGTTCCCAGTTCATAGAGAATCCATTGAAGCCTGGATCCGTCTTTGAGACCATTCCGCGAGGATATCCATATTCGCCAACGTATTCGCCCTGATCGTTGATATTGCGAAGCTGCTCGATCCAGGTGTGGCCCAGAGCGACAGGGGCAGCAGCCAGCGCCGCGACGGTCGCTTGTCTAATGCCGCGCATTCTGTTTGTGTTGTTGGGCGTTCGAAAAATGTAAACGTGAAGTGTATGTCGGGGGTTCGGCCTGCCGGTCGTCGTTGCTAGGTTGCAAAGGTTGAGTTCTTCGTAAATGCGCGGTCGCTGACACTGCAGGTATCGATAAAATTGAGAAAAGAAGTGTTGAAGTAAAAGTTGACAAGAGGAATATTATGAGAGTGTAGATGTACTTGAAGTGTCGGCTTGGCAACAAACTTCGCGAGCACACAAAGGTCAATCCACACGTGACTAGTCTTTCTTCACCTGGAAGTCGACAATAGCATTGTTGAATAGAAAAGTGAACGTGCGCTTTATTGGTCCTTCAGAGCGCAACCTACGCACAAAAGCGCGGAGAAAGGAAAGAGGGGAGAGAGGAGACGCGGCGCTGCCAGGTGTGAACACAAATACCATATTCACGCGGCCATGGTCCTTTATCAGGCGGGTGAATGGTGGTGAGACAGACACTGAGGACCATTGACAGAATTTAGGCCTAGAAGCACAGAAGAGACGGGAGCCAATAAAGAAGGACACACACGAGGTGTCGAAACACAGCGCCACGGCACGCGACTACGCATTTAAGCTTTTGTGCCTGTGTCGTGGGTGTTGGATCTGCGTCTCAACATCGACCTACACTGTAGCCGCCAGCGTCTTTGTCCCGATCCCGCCACATCTGCACGGCGTAGCGCGCTCATCTGCAGCCTCCCGCTCTTTCGGCGCAATAAGTGTAACGGTAGTTCATCGCCTTGCCGGACTCCACCAAGCTCTCTTCAGCGAAGGGAACGAATCGCAAGAGTATCAAAGGATCGTGCCGAGGATCTACGACACAGACATGGCATCTGGACGTCCCCTAGATGGCCCGCCGATCTCCGCTTGATTCATCGCCGAACGTTGCAAGGAGCATCGAGAGCCTGCAGCCTGCAGTGTCGCAGGCTATTCTGCGGCCTCGAAGGGCATAAAGTTGGCGAGGCCTCCCGACGAGCCCAAGGCGACCAGAAACAGCGCGATGAAGAGTCCACGTTGTCAGGAAGCGAGCCTCGCACCACCCGACGACAGGTGAATGGGCGCCGACGGGGCGCTTCGAGCCAGAGAATTTCCCGCAAATTTTGGTGGGGTGAAGGAGTGATGGTTGAAGACGGCCGGGTGGCGTTTCAGATCCCGACCTTCGCTTACCATGATTGGGCGCCTAGCATTCACGCTATGCCTCAACCTCCGCAATCTGATTGGAGCGCATTGCTCTATTTGAAGATGAAGGTACCTCTGGTCCGTCTGCTGCGACCAGCTTAACGCCCATCCAGTCGCTATATTTGACCAGCAGAAGTCTAGACGTCTAGACGATAATTTTCCGTCTTCCTAGCTCCGCGCCCAGTAGTGGCGAAGTGGTACGCATCCGGACTCGCGTCCAGAGTCGAGAACATGTTGCATGTTTCCTCCGTCAAGCGAGGCTGTTTCAAAGATAAGGAGCTGCGGGGCATCGATAAGTCCTGGAGCATATAGGAATCGCGACCAGGTTCCCCACTTGTCGAGGTCCTGGTAGATTGAAGGAACACCTACCACTGTATTTCGCGCCGTTGTTGCTTCAAAATTCACTCCGTCGCGGTACGTGGAGAGTTACAGTGCTTGACACAAGGTTCAACCACGTACTCAAACTTCACTAATCCCATGGAAATACGTTGTACGTCAAGCCAGCTACAATGGAGACCATTGGCACTTGCATTCAAGCGACAGATCAACAAAGAGGTTTCATAAAGTCCTTGTGTTCTACTACGCATACCAAGCACAATTTTACCCCTCAAAGTAAAAGATTCGAAACATCACCAGTAGAAGCTAACCAGAATGAATCAACCTTTTAACTGCACATGCACGGGCATCGTAACAAGCTGGGGGTGCGGTTGTCGAAATTGGGATTTTATAGGAACATGTGCAGGGCCTACCTACCATAACCCACCGACTCTGGTAGGTCTAGCACTTAAGTGGCATCTAATATGTAGTAAGTGCGGAGAGAGATTGCCGGAGGTGGAGAAGCGATGGGTGGAGAGACAGTGTGGTGCAGGGGATGAAGGAGAGGTGATAGATGGCGTGGAGTGCACCACGCGCGAGGAGGGATTAAGGAAAATGTTGAACACTGAGTTCTACCGCACAGTATATTGAGAGATAATGCTATAGAAAGTAGGTTCCAAAGACGCTAAGCTGGTGTCTTCCCCGGGTACCTAGGCTTAGCGTCCATGCCGCTACCACAGCAAGTCAGACTCAAAAATGCGGCCTAATCAACCACAAAGATACTTACATACCGTTACATTAAGTTCGCTTCTGTTGCAGACCCCAGATACCAAGCTTCAAGAGCGTCAGTGGAATCGCAAAAGCCAAGTAGATCCATAACTTCCCAGAAACCGACCACTCTGCATGCTCGTTGCCTTGGCCTGACGTGTACATATATTATAGTTTCGAGCTTTCGGAGTCCTAATTCACTGCCTAGCCGCTGCAACAAAAGAGAAGGGGGATGACGTGCCTGGAACAATTGATCAAGTCGCACTGCACCGGGGAGGCTGTACAGTATTCAGTTTCGAATCTTTTGCTATTTGCAAAAGTGCATACAAAGGCATATAACAGCGATATGATGCATTTGCGGTATCAAAGAATGGATATATAGTTAGCTCGCTATACAAGCAGAATTATGCCGAGATAGAGGACTAGCCTGCGCAGATCCTCCAAAGCGTGGCTATAGGAGGCCAGTACGAACATTTGACCAATGAACGGACCAATCGTGGTCTCCAAGAAACCGGTGAGCGCTTGCGGCTGTGCCCCATCGAGATGGTTGCCTTGCTGCACGCCGGCAGCAGAGGCCACAAGGCTGAGACGACAAGGACGGCCAACAGCGCTGCTATGACTGCCAGACCAGGAATACCATATACTACTCCTCTTCGACATCGGCTTAGTACAACTCCAACCTCCCCTCTTTCCCTTCTTAACGAGACGAAATGCCGCGCCGGCTGCGTCGTGAAGACTACACCGTCGGATGGGTGTGCGCGCTCCCCGTCGAGCTGGCGGCAGCGCAGGAGATGCTCGACGAAGAGCACGACGACCTTGGACGCGAGTACAACGACAACAACGAGAATGTGTACGCCCTAGGCTCGATAGCAGGGCACAATGTTGTAATTGCGTGCTTGCCGGCTGGCCGCGTTGGTAACAATCCGGCGGCAGCCGTGGCGACGCAGATGCGAGCGACGTTCAAAGGAATACGCTTCGGGCTGATGGTTGGCATTGGTGCAGGCGTTCCGACCCCAGAGGCAGATATTCGACTCGGAGATGTGGTAGTCAGCCAGCCATATCAGACCTTCGCGGGCGTGGTACAATACGACTTTGGAAAGACGACACCCAGCGGCTTCGAACGGACGGGATCACTGAATTCTCCGCCGCAAATACTGCTTGCTGCGGTAGCACGAGTGCGGGCACACGAGCTACGAGGCAAACGCAGGTTCTTGGAGTATGCATCCAAGCTCGAGCGCATACCTAAATTCCAGCGCAGCAAGACGGGGCCTGACATTCTGTTCGAGGCAGGCTATAACCACGAGGGCGGTCCAACATGCGAGCTCTGCAACCCCAACAGACAGAAAGCGCGAGCGCAACGCGAGAGCGAAGAGAACGTAGTCGTGCACTACGGCACGATTGCATCAGGCAACCAAGTGATGAGAGATGCTGCTGAAAGAGACAGAGTTAGCGCGGAGCTTGGGGGCGTGCTTTGCTTCGAGATGGAGGCGGCAGGCCTGATGAACAGCTTTCAGTGTCTTGTCATCCGCGGCATATGCGACTACGCCGACTCGCACAAGAACAAGAAGTGGCAGCCGTACGCAGCGGGGATAGCAGCAGCCTATGCGAAGGAATTACTATCAGTGTTACCGGCGGCGGAGGTTGCGGACACGTCCCCGGTAGATGAAGCCATGAGTGGCGTAAGCGGTTAGTGTAGTAGCTGCCTTTTGCATTTTATTATGCTGTTATTAATACTCTGCAAGAACACGACTTCGAATATTGTGCAAACCCTTCTGCTAAGCGTAGGAAAATCGATGCTTCTAATGGCTTTGAGACTGAGTTCACTTCGACGAGTGGGTCACAAACCAAGCTTGTGGCTAGACGTATGTACTGCAAAGTCCCCTCAGACATGAAGAAACTCGGTTCTGACGCTACAGTATCAGCACAGCTTTCAGATCAGGAGCAAGGTCAGTCGCCTATGCACGTCATTTGACAAGCCATTAATGCAATATAGATTGCCTTAGAACGCTCTCGTTTCCAGAACAAGAGTACAGACACGACGATATTCACACCGCGAAAGATACTTGTGATTGGCTTCTTCAACATCCACATTTTCGCGTCTGGTTGAAAAGCACTCAACGGGTTCTTTGGATCAAAGGGAACCCGGGCGCCGGCAAGTCTGTGCTTATGAAATATGCTGTCCGGAAAATGCACGAAAACCAGTCTGGGGAACTTATTCTGTCCTTCTTTGTTCATGGCCAAGGTACGGATCTGCAAAAGACACCATTAGGTATATTTCGTGCGATGTTGAATTCCATGCTCGAGAACTTTCCAGACTACCTCGCTCAACTGACCACGAAATTCGAAGAGCGGGAGAAGCGATTTGGGGGTTATATGGCGGACAGATGGAAGTGGACCACCAAAGAACTCCAAGATTTTCTGACTACTGTTTTGACGAAGGGGACACAATCTTGTCCTGTCATCGTCTTCATCGATGCCATTGATGAATGTGGCGAAGTTGCTGCTAAGAGTTTACTAGCATACTTCAAAGAAGTCGCGAAGCAGGCGAAGGCAGAAGGAGCGCGGTTCAAAGTATGCCTATCTTCCAGACACTATCCGATCCTTGGCCTAGAAACCATCCCAGCGATAAACGTGGAAGACGAGAACGGTAAGGATGTCCAATGGTATACTCGGAAGCGACTAGAAGACATTCAGCTGAAGGGAAAACGCCAGCAAATTGAGGACGAAATACTGTTGAAAGCTCGAGGTGGTTTCCAGTGGGTATTTCTAGTTACCGAAAAAATAATTGGTCGGAACTTGGCAGGCATCAGAGCAGACAAGCTACTTGACGAGCTCACAGTTTGTCCAGAAACTCTAAGTGAGCTATATGCCGCACTCCTGAGCAGCGTTACCAAAACAGAAAAACTCCAGATGACAAAGCTTTTCCAATGGGTTTTATTCGCGGAGAGGCCTCTATCTACGCAGGAGCTTCGAGAAGCGCTTGCTGCCGATGCGGATATGAGCTGCACATCTATCTCTCAACTCAGAGACCACGAGAGCTGGTCAGAAAGCCTAGACGGCTTCGAGAGGCATGTTAAGCACATTTCTCGAGGTCTTGTCCAATTTCAGACTCGCGAGGTTTATGAGCAGTACGAACCTAACGAGGAAGATCCAGACCGCGAGGCCCAACTTATCCATCAATCTGTGGCCGACTACCTGTTCGACAAATTTCTCTATGACATGGCGGATAACCAGCACGCTCCGCAATCCCCAGCAGGCGCTGGCCATTTCCAGATATCAAGGTCTTGTCTTAGATACTTGACACTAAGGGAATTACTGGAAGCGGCCCGGCTACCGCGGGGCACCGTTTCATCGCAGTTTCCCCTGGCACCGTACGCAACGCGATATCTCTTCGACCACATTCGCAAAGTTGAGAAAGAAAGGATTCTCCAGCCTGACCTGCTCACAATCATTCAATGGACGCCCCAGTCTAGGACTATGCAACAACTTGCGGACCTATTGAGGGTTTTGGACCCTGACAGTGCCCATACGCCTCTAGGGTGGCCATTCTGTGGAGCAACAGCGTTCCATGTCTTGGCTGCGTTCGGCTCGAACAGCGCATGTGATGGGTACCTAAATGAGAGCGACGAAACGATCGATGGCAAAGACTCAGACATGAACACGCCACTACATATTGCCATCCGTGAGGGGTGCCAAGATATAGCACTGACGTTGCTGGACCAGTCCATCGTGTGGCAGTCTCAGCATGGTGACAACAGCATCAATGAGGGCAAATGCAAAAGGCACAAAGAAAGTCGACTCGTGGATATTGAAGCTGAGAATAACGACGGAGATACAGCGTTGACAATTGCATTGTCCATGAAGGCTGACAAGGTCCTTTCCAAATTGATCGAAGCCGGTGCTGATCTGAAGTACATGGGACGAGAAATGGCGCTAGTGGCTTATGCCATTAGCAACAGAAATATGAGGCTTCTCGCTAGACTGATCGGGAAGAACATATGTTTGGACGGGGCTGTATTCTTCGCTGTAAAAGACCACCATCTCAACCAGGACGATGTTCTCAAGGAAATTGTCGCACAGCTCCTCAAAGCTGGAGCCAACACCATTGAGTCACCAATGTTTGGAGGACTTTCCGAGCCCAAGGATAACAGTGAAGGCTACGATGAAGATTCCGATGAATATTTCGATGAATATTTCAATGAATTTGAGAGCAGGAACGATGACAATGCACTTCTTATAGCCTGCAGAAGAGGTCAGGCGGATTTGGTCGATCTGCTCTTGTCATACGGTGCATCAGCAACTTGTCAAAACAAGATTGGAGAATCGCCTTTACTGATTGCAGCAGATTGCGGACACAACAAACTCACTCAATCATTACTTCAGTGTGCGCCGTCGGCAGTTGAACTGGAAACTGGGGACGGTCGTACAGCCCTGGACGCAGTCATTGACAATAATGAAATAGACTTACTCCTACTTCTCATTAAGAAAGGAAGCTTCTCGACTTCAAATTCAGTTCTAGAAAAGTGTTTCATGTCGCTTGTCGATGATGAGTATACTCTTCGCATTGCTGTAGAAGCCTTCCTAGAGAACGATGTCATTGAATCAGATGTCAAAAACCAAATCCTAGTCAAGTACCTACTTAACTGTTTCAAGGGGAACTTTTATCAGGGAGATGGAGGGGGGCAGTCACCGCTTTTGTGGGCAGCACGGAATGGATACAAGGAAGTAGTTAAACTGCTGCTTGAGGTAGCTAACGTGGACGTCAACGCACAGGACCGTTTCGAGCAGTCGCCGATTCTCTGTGCAGCAGCATATGAACACCAAGAAATAGTCAGGCTACTACTTCACACTGGAAAGGTCTCCATTGATGCACGGAGCAATAGCGGGTGGGCGTTGCGATCATGGGCAGTCGTGAGAGGATATGGGGATATTGTCAAGTTGCTGCATGACACTAGCAACATTAATGTGAACGCGGATGATAATACTGGACCATCATTACTATGGTGGGCGGCACGGACCGGATGTGTGGCGATGATCGAGCTCCTGTCTGGGGCTGGCGAAGTAGACATTGATGTATGGGACGACAACGGACGAACAGCGCTCTCGTGGGCAGCACAATATGGACATACGGCGGTAGTCCAGCTGCTAATAAAAACAAACAAAGTTAATATCCACGCAAACGACCACTATGGGCAGTCGCCGCGGTGGTGGGCAGCAAGAAACGGAAATGATGCGGTGGTAAAATTATTGGACGAAGCATCCGCCGATCGTGATCATTGAGAACATCTTTTCAATTACGAAGAATACAATACATACAATTCCAAGCATCGCCAACAAGAAGATCCCTGCCTGTCTTAGCCACCGCTGATCATCATGGCGTAACATCACGAAACATACCCCGATGAGACGTAAAGGAGATTTCAAAAGCGCCTACGCCCCAGTGTTACCTGTTGAGTTATCGCCAGTTCTCTGGAGCTACTTTGAATACCGAGAGAATATAGCTGTACCACACCCCGGCATAGACTTAGAAAGATTTTCAGCGACCGAGATAGAGGCAATGCCTGAGTTACAGAAGTTCCACAGGGGACCGACAGACATGCAAATACACACCCAGCCTCAGAGTTCACCGCGCTCTGGCACACTCAAACTTCCAAGCTCATCGTCGCAGAAATAGCGCTAGGCTTCTTTATCCGAAGCGAGGACTTGGGCGCGGGAAGAGAGGCCGCGGCAAGTTCAATTGGTGTATTGCATGTAGGATCAGAAGCCAATCATACACGTGAGTGAGTGAGTGTAGAACCCCAACAAACAAACCCACGCCCCGAGAAAAAAGAAATCACTAATTCAGGCTTAGACTTAGTGCATATATACCACAAATCCACCGGCCGGTCGTGCTAGAGAACTTCTGCAGAAAAAGGAAAAAGAGGAACAAAGGGAGGAACAACAAGAAGACTGAAGGAGAAAGGACATATATACAAAGAGACAAAGAGAAAAGTGTAGAAACAGAGCAGCATGAAGATTAAAAAAATGCATTAATTTATGTACACAGCGCGGAAAGAATAGCCATGTAGCAATGCTAATGCAATATATACCCAAAACCGGTACTTTGTCTACGAGACGAGGCGCAAACCGTCCCATATCGCCAACCCCCAGTCTATTAACCACTACTCCTTTGCCAGTGATTAATCCGTATCCATCCATGCCAAAACTTCAAATTACGTCCCTACATCCTTTACCGCCTTGGTAGCGGCCCGTTCGCAATCGAGCTCAGAGGCTGTATCGCACCTCCTGTGACAGGCGTCTGACTTCCATTCCCAGCCGGAGTCTGCGGCGCAGGCGTGGGTGCCCGACTCGGAACATTACTCCTGTTATGCGCCATATGCGCTTTGACCAGATGTCCTGCACACAGCGCACCGTTTAGGCTAAGCTCGCCGGCTAGCACTCCCGCCGCAATGACACGCGCAAGCTGCCGTGCGTTGTCGCCGGGTGATGTTGGATTCGCGCCACGGACGCCGAGGAGGTCGAGCATGGCGGATTGCGGCTCGAGGATGGTGCCGCCGCCGATGGTACCAACTTCTATCGAGGGCATAGAAACGGAGATTTGAAGGTCGCCCTTGACACTGTGATGCGTTAGCATTTGCTATCCTTGGTTAAAGGGGGAGGACAACGTACTTATTCATGATAGTAATACAATTCGCCGATTCCACGACCTGCGCGGGATCCTGACCAGTGGCAAGGAAGATAGCAGCAACGATATTGGCAGCGTGAGCGTTGAAACCACCCATGGCACCTGCCATGGCGGACCCGATGAGGTTTTTGGAAATGTTCATCTGCACAAGCTCTTCAACGTCACACTTTAGGACTGATTTGACGATGCTACCCGGGATCATGGCTTCCGCAACAACGCCTTTGCCACGACCATCGATCCAATTGATGGCGGCTGCTTTCTTGTCCGTGCAGTAGTTGCCTGAGACAGTGACGACTCTCATGTCGTCGAATCCGTAGTCAGAGGCCATAACAGTGAGCGCGTGCTCGACACCTTTAGAGATCATATTCATGCCCATGGCGTCGCCGGTGGTTGCTCTGAAGCGAACGTAGATGTTTGTGCCTGCGATAGCGGATTTCATCGATTGTAACCTAGCGAAGCGTGATGTGGAGTTGAACGCGTCTTTCATGGTCCTTTGGCCCTCGTCCGAGTCGAGCCAAATCTTTGCGGCACCCGCACGCGCCAGACAGTCGAAGCCCAGGCAGGGTCCGCGGGTCATGCCGTCGCCAGTTACGACAGTCACAGCACCGCCGCCTGCGTTGATGGCTTTTGCACCTCTCGAGGTTGAAGCAACGAGCACACCTTCGGTAGTCGCCATGGGAAGGAAGTAGTTCTGCCCATCCACCATGATGGGTCCAGCAACACCGAGGGGAAGCGGAAGGTAGCCGACGACGTTCTCACAGCATGCGCCGTGTACGAGATCGTAGTTGTAGTCCTTGTATGGCAGAAGCGAGCGTTCCAAAAGTGTCGAAGTTTCCCTTGTAGCGTGTGTTCTCGCGACCAGGCCACGTCGAACCTTTACTGCGCGGGTCTTGTCACCGAGCGTCTTTTCTAGAGCATATCCTGGAATTTTCCCCTTGATTGAAAGATCAATAAGCTCTTCGTCGGTAAGCTTCGGTGCCTGCTTCTCCCGGAGCATATGCTCCAAGAACTCCATAGGACGATTGGGCTGCTGTTGCTGCTGTTCAGTAGGACCAGCGGGTATTTCTGGCTGCAGCATCTGCGTTTGAACGGGTGGTGGTTGGCGGGCGATTTGTGCAAGGGGCTGGACTGTACCACGACCCGCTTGCTCGTCAGGACCGGGTGTGCGCGGTGGGGTCGGCATGTGCATTGAAGATACGCGAGGCGTTGGCGGCACGGAAGGAGCTCCTTCTTGAACTTCAGACGGTGAAGGTGGTTCAAGTGGCTGGTGAGGCTCCTTGATCGTCCAGCGGGCAGCGTTGAAGAGATAGCCGTTTAGGACGACACTCATTGCCAGAGCGAGAATGATCCACTTGCTAAGGAACGGGTCTTCCAAGCTCTTGAGCACACCATCGACAATGTGGGTGCTGATGTTGGAGCCAAACGCTGAATCGGTCTCGGTGATGCTAGGCTCAGCATAGTGGATGGACGGATACTCTAGTTCGTACTTGATAGGCATAAGCACTGTGACAATGGTTGAGGTTCCCAAGCTCTTGGCCTTTGCGAGAATGTGATCCAGTCCACTTCCAGCCACCTTGAACGGGTCGAGAGGAGGTGTAGCGCCAACACCAGACACATGGGACGCCTTGCTGGGTGACAGGCCGAAGCGGAGAGTGGCCACGTTCAGTACGTTTACAAGGATGAAACCAGCAACCATGAGGACCTTGAACTTCGGAACGGTAATCTTCTTTCCAAACACAGTCGTCGTGCTGGTACCAGTCTGGATGTCTTGGGCCCTGGGCCAGTCGTTGTTGCGGGCAACGTTTTCTGCCACTTTTCCATCCACGCCGTCGTCCTCGAGCGCCCTACGGAGAGCAACGTGACGCTTGATCCTGTTAATCTCTAGCTTGATGGTAAGAATTGCAGTATAGAATGTCAGAAGCATCGCGGCGTCGAACAGCAGGATCCAAGCGCCGAGGAAGCAGAACTGTCGGAGACCGCCCTGGATGCCTGACATCGCACCTGCAACAAGGATCAAGATTTCGAAGAAGTAGTCGCGAACGATCTCAAAGCCAGTCCTCTTGATAGCAGTTTGCACAGCCGACTGGATGGTAAGCGGTTCGCCTCGGTGCTCCTCGGCATCCCGTCGTGCGTCCAACGAGGCAGAGAGTACAGCTTTAGTCAGAACAATGGGCTTCTCGAATCCAATAATGACGACCAGGAAGGGAAGGCCCTCAGAAAGGAGGATCATGTTGATGGGAACGCCGAGATAAGTCGTGATAGCAAGGCCGAAGAGGAAGGCGAAGGCAGATTCGAGTAGGACAGCGGCCGCAAGCCAAAAGTTGGATCCCAATCGCCTCATGGCCAGAAACAGCGAAACAAATGTCAAGTGCATGGCGAGGTAACCCAGTGCCATGATGATGATGTCGCCTGTATCCGCATTCTGCAATCCATGGTGAGCCAAGTAGCACATGTCATTGGCCAGCGAAACGTACCTTGAGCAAATCAACGAAGGAGGTCCATGAATCTGTGAACCAGTTGCGCACGCCTCCAGGCGCATTGCCGTTCTTGGAGGCCTTCATCATCCACTTCTTCTCCTCGCGCGTGCCCTCCTTTTCCGAGCCCTGAGACTGTGCTGCATCCTCTGGGGCCGCGATCTCCTGCATTGCCATGAGAAAGTCGGCGGCTTCGGGGTACGCAATCGAGAAGGCGAGCGAGGTATCGTGCGAAAGGGTAGAGAAGGAGCTCGACGAGCTAGGGAGTAGCTCTGCTGAGACATTGCTGGGGACGGCCTGCTGCGAGGGTGCAGAGTTAATGGTGCTCGATTCGGGGAAGACGAGGGTGATGAGAGCAAGCTCGTGTGCCGTCTGCGTTGGTTAGTGAGGGTGCTATGCAAGGTGCCAGTCCAGTCCTTCATACCTTCTCCTTGTGAACGCTGGTCCTGCCATCTTCGGCTTCCCACTGCCACGACGTCTCTTCTCCCACCCTCAATCGCTTGCTGCCAGCCAAAAGCGTCTGGAACTCGAGCCGACCGGTCGCTTCCTCGATGCCATGTTCCAACAGGCCCTTGTCGAGTATACCCAGGTACGAGTAGCTGGCGAGGAATGCGATGGTGACAATGGTGTGGATGGGATGTGTGCAGGCCTTCTTTGCGATGGAGAGGAGGATTGGGGAGACATGGCGGTCGAACCAGCCGGGACTGATTTTCTTGGGGTCGCCAGCAGATTGCCAGCGACTGGTGAGGTAGCCAAACATGTTGTCGTGGTACTACCGAAGCTGTTTCAGTGGGGGGCAGTCGTGGGGCGTTTTAGGAGGAAACTGCTCGCATGGGTGACGCCTCGCGGTGGCTGTGCGGAGGCTCGACGGGAAGCTGAACGCGTACGAGTAGCGGCGTAGTCGAGTATACAACTTGTAGAGGGTGTGAGCAAGTTGCACTGTATGTTTCCTATTCCCCTGTACACGGCGTCCGCGGTGCCCAGAGTGACGTTGAGCCGCTATCGGAACCAGGTACAGGACCGACGAGCAATGCAGTGCAATGCCGCCACAAATCAGACAATTGGTGTCGCAACACGCTCTGGAGCACACGGTAGAGAACGGACAGCAACAGAGGAGCGTGTAGGCGTGTGTGCAAGATGCATTCAAGCCCTCTGCAGTATGGAGGCGCCCCTGCCCACAGGGTGCGTGCGTTGCTCGTCCCGCAACTTTTTTGACCACGCTATCGCCCCTCACCGCCTTTGTAGCCCGCTGCTGCAGGCACAATTGGACCATCAACGGCAAGCCAACAAAGGAACATGCACCTTGTCTGCGCCTAGTATTATTGCCCATGTCTGCGGCGTGATGCATATGACCAGAGCGCCTCTCTGCCATGGTTGAAGTTGATGTCCGCGGTTGTGCGCCATGCATCACGCTCCATGACGAAAAGGCGCTGTCAAATTTTTTGGAGGGTAGTCTCACGTTGAATCCTCCGCTCCAATCAGACCTAGCACCACCCGTTGGGATCTTCAGGAGAACTATCAGAATCGCCAGAAGCTCGCCTTGCCTACGTCTGGCTTTTCACGAAGAGGTTGCACAGGATAAGGGATGCTATTGGGTGGGAATTGCATACGAATTCATCCCAAAACCTGCTCTATACGTCCCAAACAAGAAATGCAGTCTGATATCCAAGAACTTAACAACGCCCTATGCCTAAATAGTTCGCGAATCCTACGCGTCGCTCACCCACTACTCGCCAACTGCTCGGTCATCGGCACATCGCCGTTCGTGATGTGCTGCAGAAACTCGCCATCTGGCTTGTACAGCATGACATGGAAATGCTCCACCGCGTCCACACTCTTCAAGCTCCTCCAGTTCTTGAACCAGACAAACTCTTGCACCTTTGATGCGAACGTCCTCTGCACGTACTCGCCAATCTCCTGCTGAGACTCTGGCGTCGACCGACCTGTCTCAGGGTCGTCTTCGAGCCCGAACTTGGTCCAGACGACAAGATGCACAATGTCGGGGTCGATGCCGTAGGGCCAGTCGTTGTAGAGAATCTTGATGTCTTCTGCGTACTCAAAGGGCCCACCTCTAGGCTCCAATTGCGTCCACTGCAGGCGTTTGTTGACGATGAAGTCTGTAATGCTCCCGTACTCCTCGACTAGGCGGTATGTGAACTGCCTATATCTCCGTAGCTCAGACGGCTTGCGATGAAACTTGTCGACGCGATCGGATCCTGTCGTACAACCATCAAAAGCTTGCTCCCTCGTGGCCCATCGCGATTATCGTACCGACGAGCTCCCGCACCTCCTCCCACGTCAACACAGCGTACTGCTCGTCTGGGGTCCCAATGATGCTGCGATCCTTCTCACTGCAGACTTTCAGGAAGTCTGGACACTCGGTCGGCCATTGGTCCCTCGGAACGTTGGCGAGCCAGAACGGCAGCGGCTCTTCGATCGGCATCTCGACGTTGCCTGCCTGAGGTCGGGTAGAGAGAGGACCGCGGGTATGATTTCAAGTATAGCAGGGTTCGAGGAGCAACGTCAAGGGATCTCCTGGGGGCGGAGATTCAACGACAGCAAAGACATCGGGTGGGACCGAGCTGAGGCCTGCACTGGGTAGTCGACGAAGCATGTTTGGCGGTTAGCGTCTTGTTTCAAAACGTGGCAATGCTGTACGGTAGTCGTGCGAAGGGCGGTGACTGATCATGTTCAGTGTCACCAAGAAGAGGATTTGTAGTACCAGCCGTGTGGTATGCACTCACTCGTAGGAGCGTCTCTCCTTTTACACCTCCTCCCACTATATCGTCTAGCTTTGGCAAGGCAGCGCAGCAGCTCAAGTTAATATAATATAGCTCCCTCGAAGCACATGCCAATGGCGGCCTCGAAGCCTGCGCCATAATCTCCCGCGCCTTACCGCCATGCGTCTCAGCGATGGGCCCGCCAGGATGACCCCAACGCCTCTCGAGGCCTGCGCGCCCTGATTGGCTACGCTTTGCTCGTTCCAAAACATTCAAGCAGACGAGCACCAACACACTGGTTGCCCCCTCTCGCAACTATATCGACGACTTGTCTAGCAGACCATTCAGCGGCAATGTTACCTCACATGGGTACAAGTACCGTCGCACGTTATTTTAGGGGGATGTCTAGAATTCCAGGGTTAAGTATGCCATTTCCGTTTCCTGTGTTCACTTTCCTGTCCTGTCGTTCACTGTCACTTTCACCTCATCGTCCTGCGCCTTGAAGAGCTGCCTTTCCGTTCGCACTTACTGCTGTCATTCTTTCATCTCGACCAATTACCGCTACTGCCCTCGTTTCAAGTACGACGTTCTACAAGCGCACCGGATCACCTGCTCCTCGAGCGTTCACCCAATCTGCTTCTCCACAACATACTCCGTGTTGCGGTGCGACCTCACCCACATTCCTTGACGACGCTTCTACCACTACCACACCCCGCATGAAACATCTTGCCTTCGACAATCGATAATAGGCACGACGACACCGCCGCTACTGTCTCGGACGCTGCTCGGTTTCGCTGAAGATACTTCGAGCATTACTTCGCATCGTGGGAAGATCTATCAACGAACCTCTCGCCTCGAGTAGGCGAACAACAAACAAATTGACCTCGCCACTGTCAACACCCTCGACACGCGGCATAGCGGCTGCAGTCCGCCGACCCCAACGATCCCCCACCCACGAACGTACCCACAACGAACCTTGACCGCCATGGTCCGCGATCCCAACTTCTGGCGGCGCTTCAGCATCGCCGTGCACCAGGACGACGCAGCAAAGGAAGAGATGACGAAGGCGCCCAACCTCAAGCACTCGTACGTCCCTTCTCTTTCCCCCCTTCCGCGCTCGCCACTAGCATCGCCCACATCGTCATCGCTCAAGTCCCCTGAAATCCTGCCCCTGGCCCTGCTCTCCTCTGTTCCTTCCCCATTACCACCACCAACGGAGACGCCCTCCCGCCGGCCCCCACCGCCAAAACGCCCTCGCTCCAAACTGCAAAAGACGCCCTCGACCAAACCCCTCCTACGGCCCGCCATCCCGCAACCACCCCTAGCAACTCCCCCACAACCATCTCGCCCTTCCTCCCAGCGGCGCACTTCCTTCCCCCTGCTCTCCTTACACCGCCACACAAACTCGTCCATGATGTCCCTCTCCGGCCGCCCGCAGTCAAGCTTCAAGTTCTGGACTACGATCACCGCTGACCCACCTTGCAGAGACTCGTGGCTCGAAAGCCAGACCAAGAAGCAGCGCCAGCGGACGTGGATTTGCTGGTGTTTCTGGCTGGGCTTTGGTGTGCTGATTGCGAGTATCGTGGTTACGCTGCTTATTCTCAAGGGGAAGAAGATTATCTGAACGACGAGAAGCGCGGAATTGGGCGAGAGGTGCCTTTTTTTTTTAATTTTCTTGGATATGGGCAATGGACTTGGAGCGTGGGCGTAATATGAATGGGACTAGGCAAGGACAGACAGGAACACATGACACAGTACACATGCATGGACGGCGTTGACACGGGGCGGGCGGGCAGGCGGGCGTAAAGTCCCCTTTTCTTCCAACGGGCGGGGTTTTCCAAACTCTAGGCGCTCTTTCTTCTTTCATCACTTCAGAGATGCCGGTTGCCTGAAGTTCCTTTCTACTTAGGACTGTTTATACCATAGATGATGATACCAGGCTCGCTCGAGGGCTCAAAATTGCAAATGTCTATTTACCTCTATATCAAGCTTTTGCAAATGATTGTCTGTCGCAAAGAGCACGTCTGGAGAGTGGGCAAGTGAGGCATGTGAAGAGAACTAACGAATCTTTTTTCCGCAATCTACATACAGCCAAGTCCCCGTCAGCGACTCATCGCTGCTATTATCGAATCAAAACATGTGCAATTCGACCCGGAACGCCGCTAAATGACATGGAGGAATCTGAACGCCCAAACTCCAGTCCATTCCCCGTTCATCTTCCACCTTCTCCCACTCTCATCCTTGGGCCTCTCCTCCTAAAGCCTCTCCGCGAGACGCCCGTCGCATTACGACAAGGCACGCACTAGAACCTCTTCGCGGCGGGAGGTGGCGTCGGGCTCTTGGACATACTCCTCGCGTCCCTACCCCTCTCCTTCAGCCACTTGCGCGTGCACATGTCGAGCTCGCGATCCAGCTCCGCACTGGGTTCCTTGCGATGGATGAAATTGCAGAAGCCGCCGCGCACACAGCCCTCGCCTGAATTCAGCCGACAACAGGCTTCTCGAAAGTCGGTCACGGGCGAGAGCTCGCAGTATATAGGGCGCCCGGCGTACCAGCGCGAATTGAGCGCGTCGCATGCTTTTTGCGAGTCTTCTTCGTACTTGAAGCGTACGTATACGTTGCCGATGAGATCTGTCGGAGGCGTGAAATGTTAACAAAGGCTCTTGTTGTATCATTACGTTTTGCGCAAAAGCAGCGCTACAGCGACAAAGCGAGAGCGAGGCTCGCAGGGAATACATACGATCGTTATTATTATCACAAACCACCAGCTCTTCCACTAGTCCATACTGGCACAGCTCGCTCCAGATGTCCTCGTAAAACGCATCAAAGTGCAGCTGCATCTGCTGCGGATTCAACTTGTTCTTGGGGTCGTACGCCGGGTTCTGGTACAGATTGGGCAGCAGGATCGTCTGCGAGTAAGAAGGCTTGACGTGTTTGCGCGAGCAGCGGTCGCCGTGGCGGCACGCGCCGATCTTGTAGTAGAAGGAGCAGTTGACCTTGTCCTGCTCGGTACCGAAGATGGAAGCGAGGTAGTTGGCCATGGTGACGATCGGTCGGGTGGTGTGGTGTGGATATCTGGATCGTGGGTACTCAGCGCGATGGAAGACGGGGAGATGCGGTGGTATTTATGGGGTGGCGGGTGTCGTAGCCGGGGGCGATGTTGCTGAGGCCGTGAGATGGAAAAGTCGCGATGCGGTCGCGAAGCTCTCAGTAGCTAGTGCAGAACTAGCGCCACTGCTTAGCCAAGCCCCACGTGATCTTCGAGCGCCTTCGAGAACACCTTGTGCTTGTCCTACTTACGAGCATCACGAATTTGTTGATTGTTAAGAGTAGTGGTGAGCTGAATGCAAGCTTATATAGTTATTGAAGCCTCAGTGATTTTCTAGATCTTAATTGCATCATACCCTACTTGTCGACAAACCCATTACCCAACTATCTCTAAACACGCGGAAGCATATTGAACAGTAAACATAATGAGACAAAGTACCATTGGTCAGAAGTGCCTTTTGAAGTTAGTATAGTCTTCAGACGTATTGCTAAGTGAAATAGAGCTAAACATCCTGCGACGACATCAGACCCGCAGAAATGTCTACGCTACATATATAATATCGACACTGCTATCTTGGGGCCTATCCACTGCACCTTATCCAAATCTCGCATGGTGCGTATCCAGAGTATAGGGGTCTTTATTTCATATATGCCAATAATACGAAAATAAAAATGCATGAAAACGTACTTAATCAATTTGATCAATTATAGACAATAGCATTATAAGTAAGTCTGTTCCTTTAGGCCATCCATCGCTGCTCATTCGTCCCTACCATTTTCTTATTCAATCCCCGATAATACATCATGAGGCAAAAGCTCAACGTTCCGCTCATCAGAATAAAGGCGGCATTAATCGCATGCCCAAGCCGATAGAAGGGCATATCCTGGGTGCGATAGATCCACACTCCTATTATCTGCCCGGGGCCTGAGAACGCAATGTTCAGAGCCGTTGAGAGTGAGCCGGCTGTCGTAGTCCGCACATTATCTCCTACCCAGGCGCAAAGCGGCGGCAGCCCACCGAAGACACCTGAGGTTGCAATGATGAGCATGGCATAGCGCGCCTTGTATGCAGTGCCTGGGAGCGCGGCCTGGACGATGAAGGCGATTCCGGCGATGAGACATGAGATGGATGCGATCAGTCCTCGACTCTTGAATCGGTCGGAGAGCATGGCAGCTCCAAATGTCACTACGTATGCGACTGCGTAGGGTGGCACGGTGAAGAGTTGCGCTTGCAAGTCCTTGTATCCAAGCCCGGCGACGATGGTGGGCGAAAAGAGGGAAAGTGAGGCCACGGCTACACCCACACCCATGTATATTATGTAGTGAACGTAGAGACGCCAGGTGGTGAGGCAGTCTTTGATCTCAGGCCAGTTGAGCTTTTTATCCTCGCTATATTGGCTTAGTATGTAATGGAACTTGCGAAAGAACTATATCGTACCTCGCATTGGCATTCACGCCAAGTCGAATCTTTTGCATCTCCTTCTCCTCGGTTGTCAACCAGGATGCATGCTCAGGATAACTTGGAAGCCAGAAGAAAACGCCGACGCCTACTACCACTGCTCAGGGTGAGCAAACATTCTGTAAACCGTGACTTGAGGACGAGCTTACCAGTAATGCTTCCCTCGAGAAGAAAGAGCCATCTCCAGCCCTCCAGCCCGCCTACACCATTCATATGACCGACTCCGTATGCTAATGCGCCGCCAAATGCTCCCGCGAGGGTTGCACTACATAGAAATGCTGCAATCCTCGTAGCTCGCTCTTCCTGCTTATACCACAAGCTGAAGTAGAAAATCAACCCCGGAAAGCTGCCAGCTTCCGCTGCGCCTAGAAGAAACCTCAAGGCGGTGACTCCAGCGAAGTTGTGCGTTCCCGCAATTCCAGCACATAGTGCCCCAAAGGCAATCACGAGAATACCGATCCATTTGTTTGGCGAGATGACCTTGAGCGCGAGGTTTGACGGAGCTTCGAATATTGAATACGCAATAAGGAAGGCCATGAGGGCGATTGTGAACTGGTAATTTGTCATGTTGTTGGTTTCCCGCATGGTGTCATTTGTTGAGGAGTTGAGGATCTTTGCATTTCCAATGTTCGAGCGGTCGAGGTAGCAGAGCAGGTAGACAAGTGCAGTAATAGGAAGGAGTCGAAGATCAATCTTGCGCACCATTCTACGCATCAATCTATCAGTCGTGTATCCTCTAGAGCTCCGTAGCAATTGGGGGTATTTACCTCTTCTCCAACTCGGGATCAATCTGAGGCGCAAGCGCGGCCTTGGTGTCCAAAACCTCGACCATTGCGACGTCGTTTTTGTCATCCATATCTTCGGGTAGATGCAACTCTTAAAAAAAATAAGAGAGAAGAAGGATTCTGTCTTCCTCAGATGCAATGTGACACAGCTTTTATCTTTCTCAGATGCGGGGATGGTAGCGCAGACTAGGGTTGCGGGGCCCCACGAAATGAATCAGGCGTATTATCCTAGGAGGAGTCCAATGCTCTATGAAGCAAAGCTAATGAGGACGATTTCCAATGTTGAGCGTCATATGGTGTTGTTCACGGATAGACGGGTGTCGGAGAAGCACCAATATCCCCGATTCCTAATGGGCTCGGTAAAAGATATCCAGACTATCGCGGGGAGTCATGCGTCTCTTCCTTTCAAGGCGCCCTGCACATCAATCTCCATTTTTTGTTAGAAATATCCAGGGTTTGATAAAACAATTCATCTTGTACTTCCTATATCATTAGACCGTGGCAAGTTCATCTTTTCGTTCTCTTGTCTTCCTTCAACATCACATTTCTTCCACTTTTACGATGAGCGCATACACCTTTCCAACGTTTCCGGATCTCAAGGACAAAATTGTTCTTGTAATGGGCATAGGCCAAACCCGGGTAGAAGGATCTTCCATCTGGGGCAACGGAGCCGCAACCGCACGCGCCTTCTGTTCTAACGGATGCAAAGTCTTTGGCTGTGACATCAATCTCACCGCTGCCGAGTTCACCGCAACTAGGTTACGCGATGAGGGTGGGATATGCGATGTCATGGCTGCGGATGTCACATCGTCCTCTGACGTGAAAAAGGTGGTCGACGCGGTGATGGAAAAGTATGGCCGGATAGACGTCCTGGTGAACAACGTTGGCATGACCAGACCAGGCACCCCAGGGAGTATTTCGGAAGAGGTGTGGGACCAACAGATGGATTTGAACCTCAAGAGCGTATACCTGAGCTGCCACCACGTGCTCCCTATCATGGAGAAACAGAACCAAGGAGCTGTCGTCAACAACGCGTCCATCGCTGGTGTGTCCTACATTGGAAAAGCGCAAGTCGCATACTCCACTGCGAAGGCCGCTATAATACACTTTACACGGGTATCAGCGGTAATGTACGCGCCAAAAGGCGTGCGATTGAATTGCGTGGTCCCTGGTTTCATCTTGGTCCCATTGGTAGAGAATCTGGGGAAAAGTGATAAAGAAGAAGATAGAGAAGTGTATAGGAAGATTACGCAGCACAATGTGCCGATGGGAAGAATGGGTGAGCCGGAAGATGTCGCAAACGCAGCGCTGTGGCTGGCCAGTGCAGCGAGCAAGTATGTTACGGGGCAACCTCTAGTCGTCGACGGCGGGTTGACAAGCCAGACGGGGACTGGGCAGTAGGAGATTCTGAAGATATAGTGCTGTTTGGTAGAGAACTAGTTCCAGGCCAAGCAATTCCGTGCATTGCATTGGAAGCTCACTAATTTCATATCTGAAGTTGGCATACCTACTCCCCTCATCGCCCTGGGACCATGATGACTCGTGGCGATTGCGCCGAGGTGGATTGAGATAACCTGAGGGTGGATGTTGAGCGATGGATTTCACCTGGGACGTGCGGTCGACGCCCTGTCGTGATTTCGAAGGCAGGATTGATGCATCCTTCTGCGGGTATGTATTAAATGGCGGTTCAAGGTGTCTTCGATACCGACACCTGGTACAGTGTCCTTTTGTTCACTCGATCCGTCTGAAAGAAGATGATTCCGAGGCTCTGGATCAAACATTCCATGACATGTGATGGGCGGTCGAGACAACATTGGTTGACAGGTCGCTTATCGTTATCGCCCTGGTCCCTGTGGCGATCTCAGGGTCTGGCCCAAATCCAGACACTCCGAAATACCATATTTCTCGCGCCCCCCTCCCTTTTTCACTCCTCACACGCAGCTTTGTGCTAATCCAACAGCGACGTTGCAATCCAACATGGCCTTCATCCGATCATTCACAGCTGGCTCATGTATACGTGACATACGAAATTGACCGTGGCCTACGGTCTGCTCCCAATCGATTGCATCTTCTTTGGGAAGATTCAGAAATCGTAACTGCTTACGAATTGGCACAGTTGCTAACTGGAAGAGATTTGTTCTGCGACCTTGATGCTGATATCCTAAGCGTTCACCGAGCTGCAGATATTGTTACTACTGGCCAGTGCTTACAACGAGTTCTATGGAATCCTCCACGGCGTCCTCGGTGTCAAGCATATCGAGAACATCGTCAATATCCTCGCTCTCCTCCCTCGTCGATCAAAACAAGTCGCTGCCAGCTGGCGCCCCCATCTCAACCCTTTTCGAGATCCGTCACACCCCAAGTGCTGGTCGTGCTGTTTTTGCTGCACAAGACATCCTCGAAGACACATTGATATGGCGATCAGACGACTTGACGCTTTCGGTCCTGTTACGAGCGTATAGACGAGAGGTGTGTGGACAATGTTTTGGATACGAGCATGGTCGAGATCTGGACATACGGGACAAGACAGTGGGCTTTGCGTTCTGCAATAAAGAGTGTCAAGAGAGATGGAGGGAAGAAAGTGGTGAAATAGGAGTAGACGCCTGGAGTGCTGTGGAGAGATTAGTCAAGGGACGCAGCAAGGAGGAGAGCGACATGGTCGATGTTGATCTGCCGCGGCCGAACAGGCTGGAGATCACACAAGCGTGGGCGAGTGTTGCTGCGCAGGCGGCGCTAATACGGGTTGCCAGGCAAGACGAACAGCAGACACCCGAGGGCAACGAGAACGTGGTACAGGTCACGAAGCAGCATAAAAAGGCGTTGCAGAAGGCACTGCTTCAGCAGATATCACCGGATGTCATGAGCTTCTGCGTCAGCGGCATCGTCTGGCGACATCGCCACGCAGAAGGGTGGGAACGAGTGCTCGCTCTGGCCGACGACTCCACGCCCTACCATAGCTCTGACGACCTCGGCGATTTCACCAAGTCCTACCTGCACCTGCTCGCTACGCTCCCGTTGCCGCTCCTGCCTCTCGTCACACCCGAGTCGCTGTTCCTCCTCTCCTCCCGCGATTCGCACAACGCGTTCGGCATCCGCTCTCTCGAGGACGACGGCTCCGAGTTCTTTGGCTACGGATGCTGGCCTGCTGCGAGCTACTTTAACCATTCGTGTAGTGCGAACATTGAGAAGAAGAGGATAGAAAGGGCATGGGAGTTTAGGGTGGGAAGGGATATTAAGAGGGGGGAGGAACTGTGCATTACGTATTTGAGTAGCGAAGAGAGGAAGTTGTCGAGGGAGAAGCGCATGTCGACTCTGAAGGGGAGTTGGGGGTTTGACTGTGCATGCGAACGGTGTGAGCGTCGGCTGTAGGTACATTGAATCATCCTGTCATGTAGATGGTAGACTTCAATAGTGGACGTACTATGTTTCTGGCTCGGTATGTCACCGTCATGCTGCATCTAGATGCAGCATAGTAAGCACCATCGTGCATGACGAGCAATCGGCCAAGTGCGTGAGGCATTTCCAGGTGACGAAAATGAGCAACGATAGACAAAGTCAATCAATAACCTGGACGCACGGCGTGCTGCGTTATCCGTCTTGTGGACATGTACCAATGTATAGTGAATGGACGCCGCAAACGTCAAATATGTTTCACGTTGCTCGCTGGAGGCAAAGATTGACGTTTCCCATAGCTGATGACGTAACGATCAGCCCTACAGGCCCGTGGAGCTACATTGAATTATCAGAACGTCAACGTCTGGCCGTGCACCGGGAGGAGGCACGAAGCGGAAATTACTGGCAGGGGGGCTGCCCTACTCCAATATGCATCCATTGGGTAGTGTTCAAGCGCGTTGGGCCCTCTTCCAAGGCCGCAATGAGGACACTCTGCAGCGTGGCGTATGCCGAGGGCTTCCTAGCGAGTCGAATAGAGCCCATCCAACCTCTCTGCAACAGACCATGGAGCTTGGAAAAGCGAGGCCGGAGTCCCGCGGCGCCGTAGACAGACACCGGCGTGAATAGCGCGTGCATGGACGAAGCCACAGAGGAAGCGATAATATAGTCGTCCCAGGCCCTTTGCGCGAGAGACAGGTTTTGTTCGACTTCTTTTTCTTCCTCTTCGCAGTACCTTTCCCTGGTTCTATCTTGCTATATCCAGCACCCCGTCGAAATACGAGGATCAATTGATCTAGCGCTCATCGAGAGATCGGAATCGACGCGGCAACGAATAAGACAGGTTGAAACCCAATCTGCAGCAGGCAGCCTTTCATTTCTCCCTGTCCACCCTGTACACCCGCGGTAGCACCGAGCTACTAGGGGAGCAGCGAGATCTCCCATCCATCCCAGGCGGAACGCGCCCGAGCGGAAACGGCGTCATATCTCCACCAAAGACAAGAGGCAATTAGACGAGTAATAACGTAGACGAGGCACATTCCAGAGCGGTTGGTACTTGTTCTTAGGCGGCGCTTTACTGTACATGCAATCCCACGCGTCGTCTCCCCGAGGAGGACGCAGCAAGATGGGCCCGGTTATTGAGGTAAGACACGATTCTCTACGATTCAAAGAGCAGCGCGATACGTTTGTTTTGTTTTGTCCGTACAGGGCAGAACAGAGCAGTCGAGAGAGGACCAGGCCATGATTCACCGCGCATCCATAGTCGTCTTCGGGGTTTGGTGCGCGTGTGGTCAGCTTGTTTGCGATGATGTAGCGGGCATCGTCATATGTACGCCAAGGCCCCCCGGCTGCGTCATACGTGCCTCTCTTGTTCTGGCAACCAGCTCCTTCGCCCCATGCATGCCCGACCTTTCTCTTCACCCAGTCGCCTGCCCCCAAGATACTCCCCCCTTCATTACGAGCTCTTCACTTGTGCTGCCGCTAGACTCTCCTCTACATACGGTTGTACGCGGGCGTTTCCAAGCCTTGATTGCTGCCCTCTGGGCCTTGCCTACCCCGCCAACCCAACGACGGCTTTGTAATTCGTCTTTTACACCGCACAACGAGCACTAAATATGGCCGCGATACAGAATTTCAAGAACTTCCTGCGCCATGGCAAGCAGGCCCGCCAGAATGCTGAGCCCACGACCAACGTGTCGAATGTGCACGCCCAGTCCCAGCACCAGCGACACAATCAGGCCCCAGACCCCATCCACCATGGCATCACAGAGCCTAATATGGATACCAGACACCTCCAGCACCAGGCTGCCCCCCACGGCGACTACTCGGTCGGCGCAGGCCCCGGAGATAACCGCAACATTGCTGCGCAGGCAGGCGATGCAGCTGCGCGGGCGGCCGGTGACAAGCAAAAGAACGCAGCAGCAGCCAAGCAGGCGGGCGTGGACCCGTCAGTACTAGAGCGTATTATTGCAGAGGAGCGCGAGGCCAAGGGCAAGCTGCCCAAGTACCCCGGACTCGAGCGCTGGACGCTAGTAGAGAAGATGGGCGACGGCGCTTTCAGCAACGTATATCGAGCACGCGACACTACGGGACAATGGGGCGAAGTCGCCATCAAAGTCGTCCGTAAGTTCGAGATGAACTCGCAGCAGGTCAGTATTACCTAGCGCTCTTGCCCTCTCTTTCCCATCTCCTTATCTTCTATTCCTTTCCTCCACATCACGTCTGATCAGGTTCGGGGTTTTTGGACGTTACCAACGCGAGGCCGATGTAGGGCGACAAGCATGTGCATCCGGACTTCAAGACGCCAAAAGCAGCCGAGGTGCGATATATTCTACACCCATTGTTGATGCTCGACCCCAGCAGCATCAGCCTCCACACCCCCCCATCCACTGGGTTTTGCAGGGCAAGCACTAACGTAATGCCCATAGAGAGCCAACATCCTCAAGGAAGTACAAATTATGCGCCAACTTGACCACCCCAACATTGTAAAGCTCATCGACTTCTCCGAATCACGGCAATACTACTACATCGTGCTCGAACTTTGCCCAGGCGGTGAGCTGTTCCACCAGATCGTACGCCTGACCTACTTCTCCGAGGACCTTTCACGACACACCATCATCCAGGTAGCAAAAGCACTACAATACTTGCACGAAGAGGCGGGTGTTGTCCATCGGTTTGTACCCTCATCGAGACCTTGGCAAGAATGTGGTCACTGACGTCATCTGACAGTGATATCAAGCCTGAGAATCTCCTGTTCTACCCCACTCCGTTTGTCCCAACAAGTAACCCCCAGCCCAAGGGACCAGATGACGAAGACAAGGCCGACGAGGGCGAATTCGTCAAGGGTAAGGGTGCTGGTGGTATTGGCCTGATCAAGGTTGCAGATTTCGGTCTGAGCAAGGTCATCTGGGACAGTCAAACCATGACACCCTGTGGTACCGTTGGCTACACAGCTCCTGAGATTGTCAAGGATGAGCGTTACTCCAAGAGTGTCGACATGTGGGCACTCGGATGCGTGCTCTACACTCTCCTTTGCGGTTTCCCACCATTCTATGACGAATCCATCCAGACCCTGACTGAAAAGGTCGCACGAGGACAATACACCTTCCTTTCTCCATGGTGGGACGACATCTCCAAGTCCGCTCAGGACCTTGTTTCACATCTATTGACTGTAGATCCTGAGAAGCGATACGATATCAACCAGTTCCTCAACCACCCGTGGATACGGGAAGCAGACGAACCCACCTATTCTGCTTACGATGCACCGCCTCTCGCTACGCCCGCTGCAAAGAAATCCGATAGACTACAGCCAGACTTTTCTTACCTTGAGTCGCCAGGCGCGAGGCGCCAGGATTTCCGTTCGCCCGGTGCCGTCAACCTGCGAGAAGTCTTCGATGTCGGATATGCCGTCCATCGTCAAGAGGAGGAGGGTAAGAGGAAGAAGCAATTTAAGCAGGGGTACCGTGGTGCAAATGCCATCAGTTCGCTCAATGCCCTCGATGAGAATGAAGATGACGACGAGTACTCGTCCGAATCAGTACCGTATGAGTCTTCGCAACAACACCCACCCGCCAAGCTCCCCAAGTCTCAGGGGGCAGACGTTTCGTCGATGGAGCAAAAGATGCGCAACACGACGCTCTCGGCCGCAGCCCAAGCAAGGCAGCAGCAAACAGCGCCGCGCCAACAAGAGCGCGGGTATGGCCAACATTCGCCTGCAGTTGCTGCCGCGGCTAAGCGACAGGTCAAAAACAAGGGTGCTTTCGAACTCAGTCTCGATAGTGCAACGCTGTTAGGTCGACGAGCGAAGAAGCAGCCCGAGCCGAGTAACTTGCGGGAACACATCACCGCTGGTGGCACATGACAATCATCGGCACTCGCAAAAGATTGGTGAAGGTTGCGACAGGACGTAGGACATCATGATGGCGTTTTCCTATTATCTCTGAATTTTATTGGCTTCGTTTTTCACGATCTTGGCGCTCTCTCGTCTCCTCTCATGGCATAGTTTACGGTCTCTGTATTCTTGATTATTATGGGGCTGGCATATGAGAAGCGACACTTGCGCTAGTTTGAAAGATAGAGGCAGTTTGCGCGGCGTACACTAGAAGCGTGTGCTGTGTCCCCAGTGGCGTCAATGAAATCTATCGAAAATGCACATCAGATCTTACACCATCGTGACTACATATCGCCTCATTGCTACCGGGCAACTCCCCGGATTAGCAATTGAATTAAACCCATGAAAATGTTGTGCTTGTCTTTTGAGTCCGGACCGAAGCAGCCCTGGTCATTGCACTACTATCATACCGATCCGGGTATTCGCAATGCTCATCTTAAGGAATATCTTCGGCGTACCCCACTTCGCCCCGCAGAGGTTAGGATTAGGCTAGGATTTCTCCACGCTTGTTTTCGGTTCAGCATGCAGGTCCATGAAAATCAATCTATGTTACGCCGAAATCCATGATCGGTACCTTGCCAGCTGTGCAGACTGAGGGGTAAATGACGTTTGGACAGGCACGAACGGTTGACTAGCAGAGCAATTGCCCGGACTTCCGACCGCTACATACCAGACGGGTATATATATAAAGAGGCTATGGAGGCGCAAGTACCCGTCATTTGGAAAACTATCATTTTCACGGCTGTCTCGACGATCATGTCGAACATCATCCCGGTGGACCTCTCGGCTTTCGCGACCAACCCCGCCTATCTCAGCACTCTGTTTCCCACCAATGTCACTACTCCGAGCGCCATCAACCTCCTCGCGTACGATGAGAGTTTCGCTAGCGTAATTGGAGAAAATGCGACTGCGCGCCAGCTCTACAACCTCGATTGGGAGGCCTTCCACGAAGCCGGCGTCTACAACAAGGACACAAACAAAATCTACGTGACTTCCAACTGGGCCAAGGACCTCAACAACCCCATCAATGTCACCGTCATTGATCTCGCAAACAACTACTCCATCTCCTCAACCCGCTACGCCGGCGTGGCGGAAGCAAATGGCGCAACATCCTACTTCCCACCGGGCACGCAAACCAACAGCTCGACCCCACCCCGCGTCCTGTACTGCGACGAGGGCGATTTCCACAACTACTCAGCCCTCGTCTCAGTTGACCCGGTGACGGGATCCGCCACGCCCCTCGTAACAAACTACCTGGGGCGAAACTTCAGCTCGATAAACGACGCGCGCCAACACCCCGTTACAGGAGACATATGGTTCACCGACGCCGACTACGGCTACTTCCAGCACTTCCGGCCGACTCCCACGATCCCCAAACAAGTCTACCGCTTCTCGCCTTCCACGGGCGAAATCGCCGTCGTAGCAGACTCGTTCAATCAATGCAATGGCCTGGAGTTCAGCCCGGACCTCAAGACCCTCTACGTGTCCGACACGGGCGCTGTCAACTTTGACCGCAATCTCACGCGCCCGGCGACCATTTACGCGTTTGATATTAGTGCGGATCATAAGCGGTTGAGTCGGCGGCGCACGTTTGCGTTTGCGGACAACGGGTTCCCGGATGGGATTCATGCTGATACTGAGGGGAATGTGTGGGCGGGGTGTGGGGATGGTGTGCATGTTTGGAACCCTGAGGGGACGCTGATTGGCAAGGTGTGGATTGGGGTGGAGAGTAATAATTTTGCTTTTTTGCCGGGGAAAGTGCTGGTGTTTAGTAATAGCCAGCTGTGGGTTGTGGAAAATGTCAAGGCTGTTGGGAGGGAGGTTGGGAAGGACTTTGGGGTTTGAGGAGGATGAACTCCGCCAGTTCATAATATTCACTCGCAGTGATTTTGTAGCATGAGGTGCACTGCTCTTACTTGGTCTGTGGTTAAGTTGTGTTGCTTTTGCACATGGTACTAGGTTTATTCCAGGTACTAACGACGAATATGTTTATCGTGGAAGCTGGTGTAACGAACTTTGACGTCTTCTTAAAGACAGCCAACCCGGTTTTTTGCGTACGCACCATTGAAGCAAAGATTATGCGAGGAAAGTTCAGTTTGGCCTGATTCGTGGATGTTCTGCGTCGACGATGTCATTGCGTTCCTTGACGACGCCTGGAAAGTACAGGAGAAGATTGATCAAGAAGAGGAGGACAGGCTTAAGATGAAACCTGCAGAACGCCATCTGGCCAGCTTGCTCGAGCGGCTACTTCAACTGGCCAAGGACGAGCAGCGTGCAAGTATTGTCTGAAGTGCAGGTACAGTCCATGGGTCTGTAAGCTCACGGTCTGCACAATACCAAGTGGATGGTGCTACGCCCCTAGCGAAACTCTGCTTTACTTCACAGATGCACGTCGTTCCCAAATTGTGCATAGCTGCGACCTCTTTGCCACCTTCTGCATCTACACATTCCATTACCTCTTCACCGGCCTTGGGCCCGAGGCAGTCTCCATATGCTAGCCTAGATCTTTCGCTGCGATGCGTATGACCACGATGTACGAGCTGATGTTCTGTAGGCATATGCCCATGACCCGGTGACACGATGACCCGACACGGGGCGTCCGTTGTTGAGCCAGGGTCATTGTCATGGTGGCAATCTACTTGCGAGATTTGGACAAATGCCTTGTAGACAAAACAACAAGCAATGGGTACGCTATGAATAGCAAGACGAACCTGTCTACTGCAGATACGAGAATCATCAGGAGACTCGCCAGGCATTTTTGAGATAATTGCAACACCGCCTCTACGATTTGACCGAGAGCTCTGGCGAGCTTTAAACACTCTCCTTCTCTCTCTTTGAGACAAAGGCAGATGTTAACTAGCCATATAATATGGTCTCAGGTTCAAGATACTAGCCGGACATGAATCTTTCAAACCTTTCGAACCTCGAGTTTTTCGTAGTTAGCTAGGACTACAAAGAAGCCTAAACACATCGAGGATGCTTAATGAATTGCCAAAAAGATAGGATAGATTAGGCCTCCGGCAGATAATCTTCTGCCTTGGTTTCGCGTGTTTCCCTGGAAGATGCTCACAGTGGTGGTCCGCTAATAGCCTTTGCATCGTAGCGTCGCCGCTTCTGGAATCTTAGCTCATCTTGAACACACACCGCTGCCGCTTTTGGACAGATGGGATTCGTGTTGCTGATGCAAATGGCATGGGAACCTAGTTAAGAAAGTGAACTAGGGATGGTGTGAGTAAGCGTGATGACTTCTCCAGATTGATCTGCTGTGTAACCATGATTGATCTCACCCCACATCTCCCAGTCAAATCCTTCTAGAATTCAGATTAACCAATGAAAAGCGCGATCTTATCATAGAAGCATTTTCAGGCCCGATGAAATTCTCACTTCTTTAAGTTCGACTGATACGTTGATGACCTCGTGAGGCGTTCACATCCTTCGCAACATCCTTCAGCTTACTGATTAGGCCTTGAAGGTCAACGCACGACTGAATACGGGTTCACGATCACACTTCACTTCTCACTACGAGCAATTTGGTGCTGCTGAGTGGACAATATTCGAGCTACAGCGGGGCAGCGTACACTTTGAGATTCTCAATTCCGAGACAATACCCAAATGTAGTCCTTCGGGGGCCTTTGGGGGCCTTGTTCATTCCCAAAGCAGCCGGAAGAGTACATCGAGAAGTTCAAAAATCGCACTCATTGAGAGCCGGAATGTGCGATGAAAATGTATAAATGCCCAGCTGAAGTCGACGAAGAATGCAATCAACCAGCTCCTGAAAAAGCCAGCACCAGTCTACAGCATTACCTTCACTTCATCGCCATCCTTTCGCTCCAAAGCAACTCAATTTCACCCCAATCGCTATCAAACCATCGACATGCGTTTCTCCAGCGTCCTCGTCTCCGCCCTTGCTGCAGTCGCTACCGCTTCCCCCAACTCTCTCGCCCGCCGCGAAGAGCAGGCTGTCACCGAGGCCATCATCTTCGCAGTCCAGGCATCGGACTGTGATCTGTTCAAGTGCGCCGCCGTCGTTGCATCTGCCGCCTGTATCGGTGCTTCCATCGCTCTTGGCCCAGCTGGTATCCCCAGTTTGCTAGGCTGCACGGCTGGAGGAGCAAGTGCCGTACGTTGAAAAAAATGCTTGTAATCACTCTACTCTCTACGAGGATGCTAATGTATAGTAGCTCTGCCCCTGCGGCAACTGTATCAGTGCCCTTGGCGACTTCTTGAAGAACAACAGTGTCTGCCCTAAATAGAGGCTTGGTTGCTTATATACTATTGGTGGTGGTAGTGGGTAAGGGGAAGCGGACTCGCGAGAACGATTATATCTATTTTAGTAGTTAACTAAATACATTCTTTTACTAAAACAAAAGTCAGCTTACCATTCTGCTAGGTCTCTGAGCAATGATGTTATAAAATGTAGTTTTTCAAGTTATTGGACAATCGAAGACTCGAACATAGGCTGTAAGACCTTACCTTTGTATGGGATGATAGTGGTATAGTGTGGTCAAGTAAGACATGTACCTGACGGTTAGAGAAGCACATGTACCTATGATGTGTAAAGACCGAGTTAGATAGGTAGATTTTAATGATCTTGAATTCTTCCTGACCAGCAATCGGCTACTACCATTCATAACTCCGGTGGACTTGATTCAATTTGCAAACTTTAGGAGCATCAAGTTTTGCGGATTGTTGGACTGAAGATTCTTTTGATTAACGATAATCGGGTGCTTGATCATCCCTAACTTCACAGAACCAGCGATAGCTCAGCTAGGTCTTAGTGCTTTGAGAATGCTCTGATGATACCTATACCGCCATGCTGAAATATGGATACTAAGAGGCATAGGTCATGAGTAGAACAAGGGAAACCAAGGTATATTACACAGTCCAACTACTAGTGGCATCGTTTGAAGTCGAGGTCTACATGACAAGTAACGGTTACACGCCATAATACTTAGAAACATCTTTATTTATCAAAACCTGATGGACTTATTCGGAAATTAATCTCTCTCAATCGGCCCGTTTCTTTTCTCTGTACAAGACCCGATTCCCGCAAAGATAGATCTGATAGTACCAGCAAGGTCTTCTCACAGTGGCGCATAGCTATACATAGTCTCAGATTGATTTATCGTTTGTTTCGTAAGGATGGGAGTCCGGACTTTTGTGAGAGGTCTCCGACCGCTCATTTCATGACTACGGTTGCCAGCGCGCCGAGTTACAAGCGAAACCAGGCGGTGTGTAAGCTGTGGCGTACGTGCCTGGCTGCCCTTCTTCAACTAGCATGCCAGGTTGTGGGTGATTGGCTATATAATCCCAGCGAGGAACGCTAAGTCTGCGAGCTATTAGTCGGTAGTTCCTATTGGTGTGGTGCTCATCTATCTCAGACGGAGCCATCCACACTAGGGACCTGTCTGTTTGGTACAATACTGAAGGTGTGGCTCTTTATTTCTCCACATCATACCCTGAGACATCGTTGACAATCTGTTGGTTGCGTAGATCTCGTCTCGTCTTCGTACAAGGAATCGGGATCGATTAGCTAGGATCTTCCTAGCAACCAACCGCAAATGGTGAAGTACGGAAAATGCGCTTTGGTGGTATTGTGCGCGCCCATTGTCGAGAGCTCTGCGCAGGAACAATTTCGTACAGGTGCACCAGGCAATGCATCATATGATTATGTAGGTATGTGAGCTCTGATGTTCAGGTTTAATATGCTGCCTTTTGCTAGAAGCGAGACGTGCTCATTAAGCCTGGTCATTTCCGTTCCCTGAATATCGCCTAGGCAGAACAGTCCCTAAGTTAACCAAATCGTAGTCATTGGTGGCGGCACAGCCGGGCTCGCCATCGCCTCTCGACTCGCTGTCTCCGCGTCTGTCGCCGTCATTGAGGCCGGTGGGCTATACAAACAAGACAACGGAAACCAATCTGTAGTCCCATATTATGGCCTCGTTATGCCCTTTCTGGGTACCACCGAGGACTACCCACGCCAACCCCTGATGGACTGGGATTTAGTGTCTGTTCCACAACCTTCAGCCGGGAACCGTCGTATCCACTACGCGCAGGGCAAAACGCTCGGGGGAAGCTCGGCCATCAACACTATGGCATACCATCGTGGAACCGTGGGCTCGTATCAACGCTGGGCTGATCTGGTGGACGACCAGAGCTATACCTTTGACAAGATACTTCCTTATTTCAAAAAGTCTTCCACGATCACTCGGCCAGATGTCCAAAAACGAAACGCCCCAAATGCGACTGTACTGTATGATCCCACAGTATTTGATAACTCCCTCCATGGACCTCTGCAGGTTTCATGGGGGAACTGGGTCGACCCAACTCAGAGTTGGCTAGCACGTTCGCTGCAAGCAATTGGACAAACACTGAGTTCCAGCGGATTTAGCAGCGGTAAAGTGAGTGGAGGGGCATGGGTGCCGACTACTATTGATCCGAAAGGCGCAACGAGAAGCTCGTCCAAGAGCAGTTACCTAAGCTTTGTATCCGAAAAGAATAAGGCGGGTGTAACTGTTTACCTGCATTCACAAGCCTCAAAAATCTTATTCGATAAAGACAAGAGAGCAACTGGCACAACTGTTTCGACAGAAGGGCGAGAATATGTGATCTCTGCGAAAGAGGAAGTCGTTCTTTCAGCAGGTGTTTTCCATTCCCCGCAACTTCTCATGCTCTCCGGTGCGTTCCTACAACACTGCTTGAGCACATGCTTATTGAAACAGGTATCGGACCGGCGGCAACGCTCTCCACTCACTCTATTGGCGTTGTTTCAGACCTCTCGGGTGTAGGTCAAAATCTCTGGGATCAAATATTCTTCAATGTTCTGCGTGGCATCAATGTTCCGAACACCGGTACATATCTTGCGACACCTACTCAACAAGCAGTCGCGCTACAGCAGTACTTCAACAATACCGCAGGGCCATATAGTTCCGCGGGAGGCTATCTCTCCTTTGAAAGGCTACCGCCAAAAGACCGTGCTGCATTCTCGCCTCGTACCGCATCTATGCTCTCAAAATTCCCGGCTGATTGGCCTGAAATCGAATACATTGCTTCTGGATTTCCCAGTGGTATCGCCAATCTAACGACTATCGGCGCTATCAGCGCAACTCTACTTACGCCATCGTCCAGAGGCAATGTAACAATTCGCAGCGCTTCCATTGCAGATGCACCGGTTATCGATCTAGGCTGGTTGACCGATCCTGCAGATGGGGAGACACTCGTAGCGGCATTCAAGCGCGTTCGCGAGGCATGGAAGTCCCCCGCGATCGCGGGCATACTTGGTGGGCCGGAAATTCTGCCTGGGGATGCCATTACTTCTGATGCGGACATTCTGAAGTTTATTCAAGAATCCGCACGGCCTATTTGGCACGCCAGTTCGACATGTGCAATGGGCAAGGCCGGGAAAGTGGGTGCCGTGGTTGATTCAAAGGCTAGAGTATTTGGTGTAAAGGGTTTGAGAGTCGTCGATAACTCGGTCATACCGTTCAGCGTGCCTGGGCATCCGCAGAGCTCGGTGTACATGTTGGCAGAGAAGATTGCGGACGAGATCTTGAAGGGGAGGTGAACTATGGGCCATGTGGAATCTTAGCAATAGTGAAGCTGTTCTATGGATATATGTGTTGTCTACGCGTCGTCGTAGTCGAAGTTGAAGGAATAACATGCGTTATAATGTTGGTTTTGCCTATCTAGACCAAACCCTTCAGCAAAATTGTCGGATCAATCGTGGAATGGCTTAAATACGCCATGAAGTAGAGCAAGGGCAAAATGCACTACTAAGCCTCAGGACCTTATGAAAATCGAATTCGCACTTTACGAAAGAAGTGACCATGTAATTGTAGATTACAAGAACAAAATCTGCTCTGTATATTTTGAACAAGTATGACTCGGTCCTTGTGATCCAAATGTGACCTCACTGAGATGTCATGACGTGCCGTAACAGACGGAGGAGGATACGGAGGGTTGTACAATATGGCACCGGCCAAATTTCCTCGAACCACGTCAGTCGCAACTTCCTCACTAACGCTATACCAGGTGCACCTTCCCCAAACACCCCATTTTGGTGGCTCGTCCAAGTAGACAGATCCGGAGTGTGAAGGTTCATAATTTTCTTTCAGCGTCCGTGGTGTCTCGATTCTTCGTTGATATGTCACCGAATTGGATACCGTAGTCCTTCACCCCTTCAAATGGCGAGTCTCTCCACAGCGTCCCTCACGGACCTAATCTGACCTGCCAGGTCACTCGCTTCATTCGTGGTTATACTCGCTGCGATCACCGGACGACTAACGCCACAGGCTCTTCCAAGCGCCGCCTTACTTTTGACGTATACAAAAGGGACATTTTTGTCTTCGCAGAGGAGTGGGAGATGTAGAAGGATAGCGAGAGGGGAGGTATCGCTCGCGAGGACGATAAGCTCAGCTATGCCACGGTTCAAAGTCTTCGTCGCTGTATTAATTAGAGACAGTTATGCCTAGTTGAAAAGAAGCTTACCTTCGTTTGCTCCCTTGCGCATTTGCTTGTAATGGTTTGCTTGTTGCACCAGATCAAGAATCTGTTGCGAGAGAGCTTCGTCGGCGACAGGCCAGGCTGCAGAATCGTCAGACATTGTCGAATTGGTGTAGGTAGATTTTGGGCGATATGGCGACAAGTGAGCGTTAGAGGCAATGCGCAAAAGGTAACGCGCTGTGGGTAATTTTGTAGTAGTAGCAGAAATTATGTGGTCGAAGCAGAATTCTCATGAGCTTAATGATGAGGAAGGTTTTGGCGGTTGATTACATAAGTGTAACTAGGCTACCTCTGTCACTTTATTCTTATCTTAGCTCTCGTGCACTCCCAAGGTCCTGGATCTTTCAAGGCACGCGTGAAGCAACTTCTCACTGATGCGACCGGCACCGATGCTGAATTCTTGTGAACTTTTGAGCAGCTTCTAGGCTGATTCCCAGACCAGGATTTGTCCCAGCCCTAGCTATCCAAATTAGGGGCCACCAGAGAGCCTGCCTCACTCGCATTATTAGTCTACTTCCCGATCATATTTTAAGAGGCTGCGCGAGCAGCCTTTCGCGTGCCTAGGACTCTGATCTGCTCTATTACTTCAAATCAATCTTCCTAGCGCCCACAGACGTAGTTGCTGAGGCCCTGGCGACCTCTTTAGAGCCGGAGAGCTCCAGCATTCACCCCGATCGCGTTTTGAGTCAAAGTCAAAACTGCGTTCAACAAACCGCTTTCCTGTCTGCCCGGCGAAAATATATAGTTGGCTACTTTCTATCTGGAAAACAATGGTACGCGTTTCGCTTCTGTTACGACTATAACACACAGCGAGTTGTCGTAGGCGTGAGTGTTTTCCTGTGGAATACTCGTCGGCAGCAAGCCAAGCAGCATCGTCAGACGAGGCCAGGCTCTATGGGAGCCTTGGATGTTACCCCCGATGTTAGTAACCGACTTGAAGAGATCTATCGGCAGGTGTTGCCCTAGTATTCTTTGGGACATACTGAAATCTACCGTGAGGTTGGATGGGTGAAAATATCATGCTGGACGTTAGGACACCATGGATACGCAAGGTAGTCGGCGAGGAATGAGCCTATACAACCAGAGACTGTGTGATAATATGTCGTAGGCCTCCTTGTTCGTGCTTACTAACTAGCCCGTTTATTTTCAATTTAGGGGTGGAGATTACAAGAGCGTGAGTCCGTGTGACGCGGAGTTCCAATACCACCTTTTTTGCTAACACCACAAGCGTAGTCGTGAGATTGTACATTAAACTACGATCTCCATTCTTCAGAGGGAAGAGAAGAAAAAGTTGTAAAGCTCATCTAGAGCTCTCTCCAAATCGTAGAAGCGGTGTTGCAACAGGGGTTCTGCGACGCACGATGCTGCTGCCTATTTCTTCGAAGACTTGACCCACATCGCTGCAAACTACAAAGAAACCTACCGTAGCTTACCATGCATCGCTTCGCAATGCATCGCGCGATGGAGTTACGAACACGCGTGATGGAGTTACGATCTCCGCGCAACGGAGTTACGAACTCGACTAGGGAGACGACGAAGATATTCTCGTCCACCACGAAAGTTTATATATCTCCAAAAGCACAGCCATGATAGGTCATCCAGTCCATCCTTCTCATTCTACACTATGGAAATCCCGCCCACACCGAAGCTCTTTCAGCCATTACAGATTGGCAATGTCACACTCCGCCATCGCATCGTCATGGCTCCCATGGCTCGATTCCGCGCGAACGACGACCACGTCCCCCTCCCATTCGTGAAAGACTACTACGCGCAACGCGCCTCAGTCCCAGGCACTCTGCTCATTACCGAATCAACCGTGGCCTCGCCGGACGCTGTCGGTTTTCCCAACATGCCAGGCATATGGTCTGATGCGCAGGTAGCAGCGTGGCGAGAAATCGTTGATGCTGTGCACGCCAAGGGTAGCTTCATCATCTGTCAGCTCGTGCACCTTGGACGGACTGCTTCAGCAGAGGTCTTAGAGCAGAGAGGCCTTGATGTCGTCGGACCTAGCGCCATACCCAAGGATTCCGCATCTGCGATGCCGCGAGAGCTTAGTGACTCGGACATCCGCCGCATCATTGCTTCATTTGTAGTTGCTGCCCGAAACGCCGTGGAGAAGGCTGGTTTCGACGGTGTCGAGATCCACGGTGCAAACGGGTACTTGGTCGATCAGTTTACGCAAGATCTGTCCAATCAGCGGAGCGATACGTGGGGAGGCAGCATTGAGAATCGGTCGCGTTTTGCGCTTGAGACCGTAAGGGCTGTTGCCGATGCAGTCGGGGAGAAGAGGGTTGGCATGCGGCTTAGCCCATGGAGCGTCTATCAGAGCATGAGGATGGCCGATCCGATACCCCAGTTCACATACCTTATCAAGGCACTCGGAGAGCTAGGGCTGGCGTATCTGCATCTGATTGAGCCTTGGGTCGTCGGCGATTCCGATGTTGAAATCGATGACAACAACAAAATTGCGTCTCGCCATCGGAAGGAAGACTCCAATGTTCCTCTGGTAGAAGCATGGAATACCCCGCGACCCGTATTACTCGCAGGGGGGTTCAGCACTACGACTGCGCATAGTGCCGTGGAAAAGACGTATGCGAACAGAAACGTAGCGATTGTATTTGGGCGTTATTTCACGTCTAATCCGGATCTCGTGTTTAGGATTAAGAAGGGCATCGCATTCGCGCCGTACGAAAGGGCGGGCTTTTATGATATGGGGAATCCAAAGGGCTATGTGAGTTATAGGTTTTCGGACGAATTTCAGCGTGAGATAGATGGAGGGCATGCATAAGGAGGTGACCATGTATATAATCAAATTCTTGGTGTTCCAATATACCGGTCATGACAGATGTCGAGGACCCCTGTCATGGGATTGATTGCATAAGCAATGACAGCATCCGTGGCTTACTAGCAGCAACTCCCACGCGGGAGCGCTGCATTTATTGTATATCTTTCGCGGGGCAGCAGTGGAGCCTCGAGGGTATAATTGCGGCACAATGGATCCTCTTCTTGCGACAGCAGAGAACGTCGCTACAGAGACGACGCCAACCCCGTCGTACACCCCGCCGAATCGACCTGGCCGACTATGGGCCATCAGCGACATACATCTATCGTTCAAGGCCAACCGTGAAGCTCTCGAGAAGCTGCTGCCGCATCCCAACGACGACCTCATACTGTGTGGAGACGTGGGAGAGTCGGCTGAGCATTGCCGCGTAGCGTTCACCAAGGCTACAGAATGCTTTCGCCAAGTGTTCTGGGTGCCTGGAAACCATGAACTATATACGCTACCTTCACAGAAGGATCATGGCACGAGAGGAGAGCAAAAATACCTCGAGTGCGTAGAGGTGGCACGAGAGTTTGGGATACTGACGCCTGAAGATGAATACACGCTGTGGGAGGGAGAAGGTGGGCCATGCTTGATTGCACCCATATTCACTCTATACGACTATAGCTTCCGGCCTGATCATATCAAGCTGGAGAATGCGCTGGAATGGGCACGAGAAGAGGACATAGAAGCTACCGATGAGCATCTGCTTCACCCGGACCCGTATGCATCGCGCATCGAATGGTGCAACGCGCTCCTCGAGACGACTGAGAGGAAACTCTCAGCAGCTGTTGCAGCGCATCCTGACGTGCCACTGATTATAGTCGGACACTGGCCGCTGCGACAAGACCTCGTCAAGCTCTTCAAGGTACCGCGCTTCTCGTTGTGGTGTGGGACCAAGAAGACGGAGGACTGGCACAACAAGTACAACGCAAAGATTGTCATCAGCGGTCATCTACATATCAGGAGGACTGACTGGATCGACAATACACGCTTCGAAGAAGTCAGCTTGGGCTACCCAAGGCAATGGCAAGAGTGCCAAGAGCGTGGTTTGGACATCAACGACCTGCTACGGGAGATTCTGCCGGGCCCTGAGACGCCGCCGAATGAGAAGAGAGATACAGTCTGGAGACGATATGGGTGAGAGCTCCGGCTGTGCAGACGCACGCTCCACTATAAACCTACCACGTGCGATATATCGGAACTATGATACCCATACCCCTGCAGGTACGGTCCAACTTCCAATCACCCTTTCTCCACCTCTCACGTTCTCCCATCAATATGAAATTTAGCCCATAATAGTCTCTTGCTTCTGTAACACACCAGGCTCTACCCCGGCACCTGCCTAATCCGTCTCAGACTAGTATCGGCCCACGAACCAATCGTGTATCATGTTCTATGCACGCCGACTACGCGTGTTTCACCCGACTGGACAACGCGGGCAAAACCCGCATGACCTCGATGACAAGCCTGGTAGATCGTCACTATGCTTATCCTACCACAGAGCCTTGCTCCGACGTTTTACACTGTTCCTTGTCATTACTTGCAGATAACCCTGACGGTTCACGGCGATGAAAACGCCTGCTTAACTGTTCTACCCAGTGTATAGCCAATGGTTTGTTCTATATATGAGCATGTGCACTTCATGCATGTGGTTTCTTGCATCGTGGAAGTCCTATTTGGGAAGGAACCAAGTAGAAGTAATTACAGAAAAAGGACGATATCGGCATAACGACTGGGCATTTGCATAAGAAGCATCGCAGGACCACCGTGAAGTCATTGCAAAGACAATCGCAGGCCCCCCTCGTATTAACTCGAACTCCCAGCAGCGTCCAAACTGCGACGAGCTGATTCCATCAATTTACCGACTAGAAAATACGATGCTATCCAACCTTCGGTACCTCCCGGTGCAGCTCCTCGCAGTTGCAACTTGCGTCCTTGCTTCACCAATCAGCCTCACAAGTCGTGCCGTCATCAACCACGATGCCGTCGTAGGCTTCCCACAAACAGTTCCTTCCAACATCGCAGGAAAGTTGTACCTCAAGTACAAGCCGTTCCTTCAGGTCTATAACGGATGTGTCCCATTCCCTGCTGTTAGCGCTGCAGGCGACACTAGGTACGTTTCCTTTCCCAGCCCTCAGCGCCTTATGAATCTGGACAGAAGCTAATGACTGTATCAGCGGCGGACTCGCAACTTCCGGCGACCCCAGCGGCAGATGCAGCAGCTCCGTGGGACAAGTGTACGCGCGCTCAGGCACACTCAACGGCGCCTATGCCATTATGTATTCGTGGTACATGCCCAAGGACTCGCCTTCCTCTGGTCTCGGGCATCGCCACGACTGGGAGAACGTCGTCGTTTGGCTCAGCTCTCAATCTGAAACTGCCACTGTTCGCGGTGTCGCTATCTCCGCGCATGGAAACTACCAGAAAGAGACGTCGCCACCGTTCTCCGGCACCAGGCCTAAGATTGGCTACATGAGTGTCTGGCCTGTCAACCACCAACTCATTGCAACCGATAAACAGGGTGGCGAGCAGCCGCTGATTGCGTGGGAGAGTATGACGCCTGCGGCAAGGAGCGCCATTGAAACTACAGATTTTGGTAGTGCGACACCGTCGTTCAGGGATAACAACTTCCAGCGCTACCTTGGGGATGCTTTTATCTAATTGCGGAGGGTGCGATGACCTTGAGTAGTAGGCTTCGCAGTATATATGGGCTCACAATGATTAATGAAACACGGAATCAAGAACAAAGTTAATCATGAGATATCCTCTGAGGACCTATCGATGTGCGTACATGTGTCGATTTTATGTGTAGGGGAAGATTAGTCAACAAAGACCCCAGGCTTAGACTATCCAGTGTGCAATGCTTTCTAGTATTGCATGTTACTCGTAGATCGAGCTGCGACCACTCGAGCTGTAAGACTTCACCGGTAATTAAAGTATCAGAAAGCGAACAGAGTTGTTCTAGTCATTCCTCGTGTTGAACCTACATAGGTTGTATTCCCTAGATAGAATCCGCGACCTTGTAGAAACTCATCAGATTCGCCGTGCCCGACCCGACAAGTGTAATCTCCTACCAGTCCTCTAAAAGCGGAGCACAGAGGTCTCACGCCGAATAACCCGGTGGAGCATATGCTGGTGGAGCATAGCTCGGTGGCATATCACTAGAGAGCGGATTCCCAATTCCCGCCGAGGACACCTGCCCGCCTCCAAGTACCTTTGTGAACGCACCCTCCCTAGCCTGTTGCAGCTCGAGTCGAGCATGTTGCAGTCGCTCATTGGCCTGCTGTACCTGGCCCCTTAGACTCTGCTCACTACGCTCGCGCTCCCTAATGATATCGCTGCATCTATTGCCCGCACGGTCCACCTGCTGCATACTCGCCTTGATCTGGTCATGCATCTGCATATCGGTGAAGATATTATCAAACACGACATCGCTCCATATACTCCCCATGGCAATTCGCAACTCGCCCAGGGAAGGAAGCTCTGGCGCGACTTGTTGGATCTGTTCTTGTAGCATGCGAACCTGCTGGATGGATGACTCGGCGCGCTCGAGGTGGTTGCGTTTCTGCATCGACGCCATGGCTCCGCTGCTAAAGAGGTCATACTGCGACATGCCGTATGCGCTGTCGAGTGAGTTTCTTGCTTCGGAGAGTTTCTGCACGGTTTGGCCTAAGAGGAAGAGGGTGTGGCGTTCTCGCTCCAGGCGCTGGTTCAGCTGTTGGAGATTGTAATGTGCGGCGTTGCATGCGTCTTCTTTGCGGTCTTCATCTGGAAATTCGGGCGTGTGGCCTGCGAATATCGAGTTATACAGCGCATCTAATTCTTGTTGTAGCTGGATGTGGCGGTGTGCCTGCTGTTCGATTTGGGATCTTCGGATGTCGGCCTCTGCTTTGAGCTGTCTGACGTATGCTAACTCATCTTCGGCGGCTTTCTGCGACTGAACGGCGTCGAAGTAGTCCTTTTCTTCTTTCGCGGCTTTTTCGGCGAACTTGTCTTTGCGTCCGGAAGCTTTGTGGGCGAAACGACGGACTGACGAGTCCCTATATTTTTCGTGCTCTTTTAACTCGGCTGCAGTCTTCTGCTTGAGGTCATTGACCCGTTGTGTAGTAGTGAGGGTCTGAGAGTCGAGATCTTTGATGTAGGCGTCCTGTTGCTGGAGCTGGGAGGGTGCGGCGTCGGTTTCATGCAAGCCTTGTAGGAGCTGCGCGTTTCTGCCTGCGGCTTCTTGGATTTTGGTGTGGGTGGAAGTCATCATGGGAAAGACGGAATTTGATATAACAAAAAGCTGATAGGGGTCTACGTAGGTGTGAATAGGATAGGATGTGAAAGGGATCGAACAGAGACAGAAGATGGATTAGAAAGGCTGCGGCTGTCCTACCTTATACTTTGCGACTAGGAGCGATCACCACAACATGTTGCATTGTGATAGGCCGTGTTCTATACAGCCTCACCCCGTGGAGGCCTTACCTACGATCCACAAGGCAGACGCTGACCTGGTGTTGAATGGTTCGTGGATCAGTCACTGCTACGTCATACCAAGCGTGGCTGTGAGACCAAAAGGGAATAGTTGTGGCGTAAGAGTGCTAAGCCTCAGCAGCTGAACGTGATCGCCATAGACCTTCGAATTATTGCAGCTTCATATAATCATCAGGAACGAACCCCAGGAGTGTGTAGATGGACGACAATCTAATGGCTTGCGGGGAGATCGTGGAAGGCAGGTGCAGCCGACATCGCTCGAAATGGAAGAAAGTGCCTAACCGCTCCGATTTGGTCGCACACGCCCCACTGTAAGACTGGATGGCACAACTTCGGGTCGCTTTGTGTATCATTGAGAAACAAGATCGTAGAACAGCATAAGAAGGACTTCAACGCGCCGCGTCGGCTACTGGACTTTTCCTTTCCCTTCTCCGCATTCCATATCCCATCTTTCGTCAACATGGCAACCGAGCAGCTTCAAACGTACGCTCAAAAACCCCGCGTCTTCATTCTGTCCGACATCTCGAACGAGCCGGATGATGCCGAGTCGCTATGCCGCTACCTGCTCTATTCCAACCAGTTTGAGACCGAGGGGTTGGTGGCATGTACCAGCACATGGATGAAGAACAAGGTGTGCCCACAGGACATGGAAAAGATCATTGATGCGTATGCCGGCGCAGTAGAAAATCTAAACAAGCATGCGCACCCCGACTGGCAGTACCCGACTGCGGAACACATGAGGAGCTTGATCAAGAAGGGCGCCGAGGTATGCTCAACCTCCAATATCAGCATGACTTTCTCGTGTCACGTGTGTGAACAGCGCTAACAGAACAAGACATACGGCATGTCCGCTGTCGGCACCGACATCCCACTGTCTTCCGGTGGACAACTGCTCTATGATCGCATCGTTGCCCCGTCGGCACAACCATTGTGGATCCTCTGCTGGGGCGGAACCAATACCCTTGCCCAAGCGCTCCTCAAAATCGACGACCAGTATCCCCCAGAAGACTCGAAGCGTCTTCTTTCTCGGATACGTGTATATGCCATCTCGGATCAGGATGACACGGGAGCGTGGATTCGCAACAACTTCCCGGATATCTTCTACATTGCCTCGGTACATGGCTGGAACCAGTACGGCTTAGCTGCGTGGACTGGCATCTCCGGCGACAAGTACTACGGCTTCGATCAGGGCGGCCCAGACTTCACGAAAATGGAGAAGAGCTGGATCAAGGAGAATATTCAGATCGGTCCGCTCGGCAGCGCCTACCCAGACTACTTGTTCATCCCCGAGGGAGACACTCCCACATTCCTCTATCTCATCCAAAACGGCCTCGGCGTACCAGAGTGCCCGGACTATGGCTCGTGGGGAGGTCGCTACGCCCGCACAGATATAAGCGGTGAGGGCCTGAATAGCAACCACTACAGCGATGCCGTCGACCACGTCAAAGTCGGCGACAGGACTTACACATCGAACCAAGCGACCATTTGGCGTTGGCGCGACGCTTTCCAGAATGACTTTGCTGCCCGTATAAAGTGGAGCATGGAGTCTGATTTTAGCAAAGCAAACCACCACCCCGTAGTAATAATCAATGATGCAAAGGGTCTTGCACCCGTGCGCATCGACGCCGAAGCAGGGTCCACCGTTATACTGGATGCGACGGGCACATATGACCCCGACGGCAGCGCCCTAACGTTCAAGTGGTGGCACTACCGCGAGCCCACCGCCACCCAATGGTGGGTTTCCGCCGAAGTCTCCGACCTCACCATCAAGAACATTGACAGTGAGGGCCGTAAAGTCGAAGTCACGCTTCCACCGCCGGATAAGTGCGCAGTCGAGCTGATGAGCCGGCAGCCCAAGGAGACGGGGCAGTTATTGCATTTGATTCTCGAGGTCACGGATAACGGCAGTCCGAGCTTGACTAGCTATAGGCGCGTGTTGATCCAAGCTACGAACAAGGAGCTCAAGGGTGGTGGGGAGGGCGCAGATGCCATTGGGGATTTGATGAAGGACCTCTGAAAAGCGCGATTACGATGTTGGCATGCCTAAATGATATAAGGAAAGCGGGGTACAGATGGTATGCTACAAACGATGGACAATCATGCCCTTCATGAACATTCTTCTCGATTTGATCTCCCTATCTAAATCAAAAGCATAGTTCTATCCTCTTTTCCTGTAGAAAGGGCGTGCATTCAGTCCATTTAATCCCTCATATGCCTATTCTCGTCAAGCGTTATCTCTGATTTCGAAAGAACAAGCTGGTCGATTCGGGGTATCTTGCAACCCAAGCTAGAGGAACAATGCCACTAAGTGGAGCTAACCCGCACGCTACTTCACGCACGACCCGATACGGTCGCTTGCTCGACGTCACCTGAGCCACAGGAATTCACCACATGGCCGCTATCCCCCGACACCCGCCCACCAGTGGACCCTGGAATACGATATTCACGACGAGAGCCACAAGAGGCACAGCAGTTGTGCTGGACTTCGTATCGACTGTAGCATTTCATGCGACCTGTCAGAACTAGCGCGCGTGAAAATGGATCCCATGACGATCAAATTGGGCCCTAGGTGGTCTGATAGTCTCCCAAAATTCAATGGCCTTTATCGCCAGCGCAACGGATACGAAGAGAAGTATTGTCACCTAGGCTACAAGGCGGTAGTCTCCCTACTCGGATAGACCTCGGTGGCGAGCATTGTCGATCATAGTTAAAATTAGAGTCATTGTTGAGCGGGCAACGAACACTACGAGAGGATACCGAGGTGGAAAATTTAAGCACTCGGTCCGTGCGGGCAGAACACGAGATCGACGTCATATACTATACGACCCTAGTGCCAAAATTATTATTTTGTGCCTTCATTCGACGGAATTGGACAGTTAGAGCTTCTTTTTGGTGCTTTTAGGCTAAAGGCTAGACCTTGTTCAAATTAGCTCGTTCGGATTCAGATCCGAAGACAAGGCGAAGCCTGTCAAGCCGGAACATCGGAGTATCGCGCTGCCATGTCTCGTCCGAGTTGAATACCAGTTCCACAATTACCTCACAAAAGTAGGTTTTCCTATGCATGTATAAGTAGATGAGTCGCCCGCCGGTTTATAACAGATATCCATCAACCACCACCCACCAACCAATCCTCCTATACCACTATCTCCGGCATCCCCAGATTATCTCCTCTAGATCATCATCATGGTTTCCAAGACTCTGGCCCTCGTCCTAGCAATCAGCTCTGCTGTTTCTGCCGCTCCCGCTCTTCAACCTCGCCAAGACAAGTGTCAAGATGCCTACAAGGCTTGCTCTGCAGCTGGAATCAAGGCCATTGTCTGCGAGTGCTCCCTCACCGCCTGCCTCGGTGAGGACAGCGCCCGCAACCGCGCATACTGCTTCACTGCCACTGCCGGCCTCCCGCAATTCACACCCTCGCCCACCACCATCCCCGGTGGCCTAGGCTGCAACCCTGCCCACCCAGGATCATGCCCGCCGTCCTACTTCTCGTCGCTCTCCGCCCAACTTGCCGCGACTCCCATCCCAACCAGCATTCCCGGTGGCTGCAATCCTGCTCACCCAGGATCGTGCCCTGAGTCCTACTTCTCGACCGCTGGTGTGACGCCCGTTGCAACTAGCATCCCAGGTGGCTGCAACCCAGCCCACCCCGGCTCCTGCCCTACTGCCACTTCCACCTTCACCCCTGCTCTCCCTACACACACCGGAAAGGCCGGTCCCAACCCCATCAAGGTTGAGGGCAAGACCTGGACCATCGCCAACCTGACCCGCTACTGCGGTGACGGCAACGTCGGCTGCGACTACAACTTCGCCATCGAGGCCAACGGCCAGGTCGAGCGCTGCACTATCATCCGCAAACCCGGTTCCAACGCTGCCACCGAGAGCTGGAATGACCAGCCCTGCACCCAGGGATCCAACACCACCGTCTCTTGGGGATACGCCGCCGGCGCTGTTCCTCCCTTCGCTGTCCTCACTGTTGTTGAGGCTCAGGAGCTTGCTTGGTTCGGTGTCTCCAACGTCAACGGCCAGGAGGTTACCCCTAACAACCCTTTCGGCTCCGGCAACTACGGTACCATTGGCCCTCTCCAGGTCTTCTCTTACTACGAGTAAGCCCCGACCTACCTCTGAGAAGATGAACGGTTTTACGACAAGCATTTTTAGTTGGCGCAGGAATTAGATAGAACGACATATGATATACGCAACACTGTACATACAGCGTGCAAATTCTTTCGAGAATTGCTTAATATAATTCATTAATATGCATATCTTCATCATTGATATAGACAAGTGGTCTTGCCCCTGTGGATATCTGCGATTTAGTTCTCTAAACACCGAAAGAACACCGCATCTGCAACTTGCAAAGAAATGCAGTGGAGCCTCGAGTCCGATGGATGGGCCCACAGCCCCAACGACGAATCCACCAATGGTCTCCACGATGAACCAGTCAAAGTCTATCAGAAGCCGGGTGCAAATGACAATTTTCTGCAGATCAGCCTACATGCCTGCCCGGTTTCGGTCCTTCTGCTACTGCTTTATGAAGCCCCATCCACAGCGACACTGAGCTTTATAACCTGGAATAAAGCCTACAGCCTATTCCCACGAACTACCTTCGTTAGGAAGGAGTGTTATCTTCTCCAGAAAATCGAAGATGGAGAGGCTGGAGATAGTATTCGGGCGCATCTCACGGAGCTTTCCAAGAATGGCATCAAGACGAAAGCACACCATTGGGATGATGAGCAGGAACACGAGATCACACGCATTCGACGCGTCGGAGACAAGCATACTTGGGTCATCAATCTCGAAACGACTGGCCTAGAGATTGTTATGTCGCCCGTACCCGACGCCGCGATCGAAGCCTCGACGTTCAAAAATCCAGGAGTGGCTCGGATCCAACTTTAGCCGCGGGGTAGTTCCTCGGTATGCTATGGGTGCCACCGCGATGTTTAGTCATTCGATCTTCAAACACCCCCATGTTGTTCTCGACGAACTGTCGTTCCAAGGCTCTCGAGAAGATGAATACAAAGATCCTCCAAACTCGGAGCTTTACAACGGATTGCTCAAGCTAAAGAGTAAGATGGATAGCTTGACGCTATATGGGCTAATTCAGTTACCGAGAGATGAGCGCCCGGTTGATTTTCATTTGTTTGTGAATTATGACCTTTTTATCCGAGGGATACGACCGGCAACTCAGTTCCAGTGGGGCGAAGATCAAGTACCGGAGAACTGGACGTACGTTGATGATGAGTTGCTGAAGCACTTGGGTAAGCTTTGGGCGAAGCATACACAAGAGGACGAGCGGAATTGAGGCGCAGAAGAACGGCAAGAAGACGGGATATTCGAAGAAGAATAAAATGGGTTAAACGCTGGAGACGAGGATGAAGACAATGTCCCGGCTGATCGCAAGAGGAGAATTAGTGCAACTGGGACCTGAGCACAATGCTTTTCCTCAAGGCTAGCGAAGACCTTCGGTGTAGGCACTACTATGACGAAATTACTGGGGTAGTAGAAAGGGTATATACGATGACGTCTGCCTATAACTATCTACGCATCTCTGCGGGTTTGCGTTATGAAATCGGCTTTTGGAGCTAGACATAAGTTGATAAAGATTGCATAGTCTGTACTCGATCTTGCCTGGCAGAATCTACATATCATCGGTGATGAATATATTTCCCTCATTATATTTTTGGCTATCGGGAAACAAACTTGACGTTTTTAAAGCAATCAGATGGAAGCCAATCGACATATATCAATCTTAACAATCCTAGTAGCACTAAACGATTATTTCTGTGGGTGTGAAAGATAGAAATAATGATGCACGCAGCAATCGATAATAATATGACAAGTTGGCGTGTGTGAACGTTGTTCCGACAAGTAGTGGTTATAGTTTTTCTAGATCATAAAATGGCGATGGCTCTATAGGTAGTCCTGAAGTGAGGCGCTTCGTACCTGTTCATAGTTTAGATCGTTTGCCTATTTGTGTGATTAGCTAACTCGTCAATCGGCTTCCTGAAGGAAGCTAATTAAGTTAGGCATGCATATCTAGTAGTTATACATGTGTAGTCCAGCCGGCGGAGCAAGCGCGTGGAACTAAGTCCAAGAAGATGTGACGTTTCGCATGGTAAAGATGAGCACTGGCTATGGCCGACATCTGCCTAAGATGCGTCTCTCTCTCTATACTTTCTACATACTACCCTCAGGTTTTCGACGACTGGGGAAGTCATTCCCAAATAAGGTGCAACACTAGAATCATATGACGCGTGCTTGAGTTCCCTCCATCAGACTCAGTCTCTTCAGAGCTCCAGGGTATCAAAATCGTGGAGTCGCCTAGAGGAATTCAGAACTACACCCGCCTGGAATTCATGATGGAGTATCTCCCTTCGAGCCTGATCATGTGGTCTTCTACATTTCCGTCGGGGTCCTGAAGTGGGCTTCAGGTACCCGCGCTGACCGCCACCTGTCCTTCCTTCAGAGTTACCATTCCTACTCCCCAGAATGTATACGTTGGTGGAAGCAATCTAACTACGTATACTGGCACTCGTTTACGCCCGGGTTGTTTCTTCAAGATAGGCCATGATATCCTGCGCCCCCTACTCGACAGCCTTGGGAAACACAATTGGTATCGCCTCAGAACCATAGCCAGCCCATGTATACGTTAATTAACCGGTATCAAATACAGATGACCTATCACCTATTATTCGTCGGTCTCGCTTCGGCGTTCAAAAATCTATCCTCACCTTTCATACCTTACGCGCGTGTAGGCCTATAAATATATTCTACCCTATCCTCATTTTATTAGTCGTTCAATTCGATTCACGGGAGTATCATTTAGATCTGCCTGCTTTCTAGCCAAGAATGGCCTACTTCACTACGTCGCGCAACCGCCGAACATGGTATGTTGCCACGGGTACGGTTCTTAAGCACTCGCTTTCACGCTCCTGTATGAGCTAATACCTGAAGAATAGCTTGGCATGGACTACGATCCTCCCGCCCAAAGGCCTTATAGGCACATTTCACGAACCAAATCACTGCTTCGACTTCTAAAGCACTACAACCTGTAAGCACCTTTGTTCAAGCTCAACTATACCTTGTAACTAGATCTTCCATAACTCCGGAGCGCATTCTTTCTCTTAGATAGCAACGTTCCCCTCAGAAGCAGCTTCTTTCAATGTCAAACGATAGCAACACCTACCAGCTCTATCCTATCTCGACCAACATGTCCGCCGCATATCCATCTCCACAGCCTACCACACGAGAGGACTTAGGGATAGTATTAGCTCCTCTGTCCAGGATCCTCGACCCTTCGACCGTGAGCAGCAACGAGACTCGAATTCATACCTCTGCTCCGACCAATCAGTACACTGTCGACAACTTTCGCATGCTGCAGCAGCAGAACACCCACGAAGAGTTCTTCAGTCCCTCTGAAGAGCTCACAAGGACACCTGGGGAAGACCTACAAACTCCATGGACAGGTTGCGGAACAATTGTACCGGCTAGGTCACCGTATAGGGAAGCCGGCCATGCTCCAGATCATGATAATTACTACTTCGAATGGAACCAACATGTCCATGGCGGGGAGTATGGGCAAGCACTGACCAGCAATGGGTACTCGTCCGCTGGATTCGGATCAAAGGGTTCCCCGGGGCAGATGATTCAGCACCCATTCGAGGGTTACGAAGTGTCTCGTGTGTACAATCCACACATGGTTGATCGACCCCAGGCACAGATGGTAGACGGAACGTTAAGGAGTGGTTCCAGAGACACTACCTCAACGATTGCCGACGCTTACGTTGATCGCTATGCCCATGTGTAAGTCCCTATTGTTCTGCATTCCCTAATGACAGCTAACATTCTCCCAGAGACCATTTCCCAACCCTATACCCGACGTATGCCACAGAGCCTTCCCGCAACCCTTCTTTTCTCGGACCTTGGCGGCAGCAGCATGAGATTGTGCATGTCGACGATCCCCTGACCAACCCTGAAGGCATTAAATTCTCAGACGCTTCACTTCCAAAGCGAGAGAAGCACGGGAGGGACCTGAAGACTAGGTTACGCCTGACACCCAGACAGAAGAGTGAGGGCCGTAAACCTACTGGCATTGAGAAGCAACCACTCTGGCAGCGAAAAGCTTCCGTAAAGGGTAATCTGAAGCGATACGCCGCTTTGGAAGATGCTCTCACAGTTCCACTTCCAGACTTCCCCCACATTGAGGTCCAGTACGCGACCCATGACGAAGCCCTTGACGACTTCAAAGACCGCGTTAAAGACCTCGCTACATACTGGACACCGCCTCAAAATGATTCAAGCATCCCGAGAAACGATACGGAGCGTCAAGCTGTCGTCCGCACGCTCCTCGGTGCTATGAGGGACACTTCCCGTGCTGCAGACAAGATCGATTCCAGGTGGACGGAAGACGCTCCGCGGAAACACAACCTCAAGGACATAGAGGTGGCTTGCTGGGAGATTGAGGTAAAGTCTTCTATTGCTTTACAGTTACGCGATTCTAACATAGCATAGCGTCTTGCCGAGCGTCTTCATATAGAGGGCCCATCGGTCCTTGCTATCCACGACGTGAACTTCTTGAAGACCGTCAAGCACTCGGAAGAGCTCACATTTGGGCAACGTATCCGATACATAGCGGTGCTCTTCTTGGAGTTCAAGAGCCGTGCGGATGGCTTGATCAAGGGCCAGACTTTGCATGACATAGTCGGCGCTCCACAGGAAGCCTTACACTCTGCCCGAACGAATAACGAGGCCAACAAGCGTAAAGCTAACCAGATTGCTTTTGCACGCGAACACCAGCCAGAGCAGGCCCTTGGCAAACGTAGTAAGCCTTGATTCTCCTTGTTATATTCCGCACTGCAATTGCTAACTGTCTTAGAACGAGTCTCCTCAAAGCAACCTATACTAGACGCAGATGAAAAGGGCGACAACGATATTCCAAACGATGCAGAAGAGACTCCTCATGCCACCGATACAAACCATGTCGACTTGAATTCAGACGCATCTAGGACCCGTCGAAAGCGCGCTCGCTATTCACCTCGTCCTCGTATTGCATCTCGCGTCTCGCGTTTTAGCTAGTACCTGAGAATGCTAGCTACCCCCTACCAGTTTTTTAATAAATAATAGTAATTCAATATGACCTAATATATATGTGGAAGTGACCTCGGATAAAGCTGTATATTTCGGCCATGGTAGCAATTAGTAATAGCTGACTGCTTCCTAACCTTTGGATCGGGGCGCCAGGGAGACGCCTCACATAGCCGAAGAAAACACAGACATCTCCTTAGTATCTCCTACCAGTTTTGTTCCAATGGCCTTGACTTTGACATTTCCCCACCTGAACGCATCTGTCCCTAACACCAAAGACTCTGACAAACCCAGACGGTAACAATACAGTCTAAATCGAAAGCTTGACGAACAAAAGCAAAAGCCTCCGATATCCTGCAATGAAAGCCACCGTTGAACACTACAAACTCGCCCAGCTGAGAAGAAAAGGTTTGACAATGATTAACCGGACCCTCCGCAACCGAGATTAGTTAATAGCGCCCTAGAGAAGACCCGCACTGGACTGAAAGGTTTATTCACGAAGCTACAATATCAGAAAGGAGACTCCTTGAGGACGGTCAATATATAAAGGCGGGAAACAAGTGGACCAGAGCGCTGTCGTGGATCGCAAGCGATGAAACGATCAAGAACATGCTCCCACAGATTAATAAAGTCAATACTTATCTCGAGGCCGTTATCGATACTGAATCAGGAGATGGAAGTAATGGTATATCAATCTAAAATACGCTAAACCTTATACTCGGTTATGTTATGACTTACCTACCGCACAATAGTCTCTTATGTACATGTATCCAGATCATCCTTTCGTCATGACACCGCCACCATTACTGCCGATAACCTGCCCTGTAATCCACCCAGCCTCAGGCATACACAACAGCCCTACAACTCCCGCAACTTCCTCTAGATACGCCGGCCTGCCACCTAAATCCTTCGCAGCAGCAATTGTCTCCTTCGAATCTATGCCCTCCCGAGTAGCCGCCAGCGGCGCCATATAATTCAACGACCAAACCTTCTCAAGCATTTCCTTCGGCAAGCTAGTATACATACCCGTTGCCATTGCACCAGGGTTAATGCTATTCACCGTGCACCGCTCCCCGAGCTCCCTCGCCCAGACGCGCGTCATAGCCTCAAGCGCGCCTTTCGTGCCCGCGTAGCAAGACTGCCACCAGAAGCCCATCGACGTCGTTATACTGGATACATTGATGACGCGCCCAGATCGGTCGTTGGGCAAGTATGGTATCGCAGCTTGCAGGACGAAAAGCGGCGCGCGGGCGTTCAATTGGAAAGTTGCGTCGAAATCTGATAGCGTGACGGAGCCTAGGGGCGCTGGGTTCACGACGCCTGCATTGTTGATCAGAATGTCGATTTGGAACGTGCCATCTTCTTTGGTGAACGCCGACTTTGCTTTTTCGATGAGGTGGTCTGGGCCGCTGGGCGTGGTTATGTCTACTTGGACTACCGCAGTCTTCACCGAGTGTTTGCTTTCGAGCTCTGCGGCAAGGTCGGTGGCTGCGGCGGTCGAGGCGTCGGATGTGTAGACTATGAGTATGTTTGCTCCTTTTGCGGCGAGATGGCGGGCCAGTCCTGCACCAAGACCTGGCCGGGTGGCGTCAGCATGAGATTCGTGGGGAGGAAGAGGTTAGGATTTGTTTACGCCCCGGGGGCTACCCTCTTCACCTATCGCCAGCCTATGGGGTGTACTTTGAGAATTGTGCCACTAAGGAAGTGTTCATACCTCGCGATGCACCGGTGATGATAGCTAATCTCTTTTCGAGTGGTCGTGACATATTGCCTGAGTATTGATGTGAATCTGAGTGAGTGGGATTGTTTAGTTTCGATTTGAAGTCGAGAAAGCACACTTGAACCGAATTACATCGAAGACTCGCGCCTATGCTATCTCATCATGATATGGCTAATCGCATGTCCGACACGAGACACGCAAGCAACTATCCGATCCCTAGTCTCTGAACAGCCCGTCACAAAATGGGCCCACAAATTTCTCCGCTGCCGCTGCAAAATACTGGCGAAGGTGTACCTGGACGGGAGGGAATGGCACAATTTTCTAAGTCGTTACGCCCCCGCAACCTACTAATAGGTGAAGTAAGCTGCCGCAACAGAATAGTTGAACTACTTCTTTCTTTCAGTTGGTGCTTGCAGCTAGATCAGCGACGTCGCGATTCAGTATCTACATATATGTGGGGGCATTCCGTCTCTTAGCGCCTTGGGGTTGCAGTTAAAGCATGCGGAGGTAGGGGTTTCGATCCTTCGCTTGTGCGGTACGACGGATAATCCCCGGGCTTGCCCACAAGCCTTCCCGTGCATCATGACTAAGATCGGCGAGGTAATTTCCAAGTCGAAGATGGTGCTGTAGAGGTACAAAGATATGGTGCGACTGAGCCTTCCCTAGCCTTATCATGTAAACGTATAATATTACACCATTCACAGTGAAGAGACGCGTTATCTCTCACACTCGTAACTATTTGATCGTTTGAACAGAAGAGCTTTCCCCCATCTCATATTTCAAACGCATCCTTTTCCACCTATTCTTATCGAGATGTCGGGTCAGCGTTTGCATAATCGCATTGCCATAGTCACGGGCTCATCCCAAGGAATTGGCAGAGAAATTTGCAATCAGTTCTTCGTAGAAGGCGCTTTCCTTATTTGCGCTGACCTCAAGCCCACTGGGCAAGGCGAAACAGTTCCTACGCACGAATGGATTTCGCAGAAAGGCGGGAAGGCCATCTTTGTGGAAACAGACGTAAGTAAAGCCGAAAGCTGGAAAGCTCTGGTTGCAAAGGCTGTAGAAGTGTATGGCAGGCTTGATATGTAGGTCTACCTTATTCCCCAAGACTCTTTACTCAATCTAGGTGATGCTAATGTGATGCGAAGTGTTGTCAACAACGCAGGCATATGCAGCGAAGCAGGGAATCCGCAGCCCATCGATCAAGTCGAAGAAGACGCCTTTGATGCGCACATGCACATCAATGCGCGCGGCGTGTTTCTCGGCTCCAAATATCCTGTTCAGCAGTTCAAGAAGCAGGAGCCGCATGCCAATGGCATGCGTGGGTGGATTGTCAACTTCGCTTCCATGGTCTCAAACATTGGCATGCAGGGTCTGAGTAAGTTAATGTCCTTCAATACGAAAGGTGGGGGCTTGCTCCTTACATGAAGCTTACGAAGTACAGCTGGGTACACCGCGTCCAAGGGCGCTGTTGCGGCTATGACAAGGACTATCGCTTTGGATGTGGCAAAACAGGGTATCGTTGCCAATTGCATTGCTCCTGGATGTAAGTCCCCCTTTTCTAGTAGCTCTCCAACACAGCTGACAACTTCTACTAGTCTCACAAACTGCTATGCTCGACAACGCACTAGGTGGTGCACTGAGCGCTGCGGCAGAGGGCGTGAAAGCTGCTATTCCCCGCGGCATCTTTGGTCAACCGCTGGATCATGCAAGGGCGGCAGTTTATCTTGCTAGTGATGATGCGCAGTGGATTACAGGAATCACATTGAACGTTGATGGTGGCTTAGTAGCGCAGTAGATGCAGTAGAGCAATGGGCCATGATCTTGTGCAGTAGACACTTCAAGTAGCGCCTGTAGCGATCCCACAAAATAACGACTTCTCCGTTGAACAGTTTCCCACGCCTCGCGAACGCTGCGCTTTGTTCATATGCAGGTTAGAACCCGTATCCACCTCTCCGGGGCACTTCTCATTATTTGGCCAAGAACGCCGGGACCATGGTGGAGCCGCTGTGCCGCAGTGGCATGGATATGGTCCCCGGAAGCTTTCATAAAGTTCCGCGGCCCATGCCGATAGACCCAATTTTCGAGGAAAGGATCGTCAGGCCTTCACCAAATTAGTAATAATATCAGCGTCTCATGCGAGACGAATCGTCCGTGTCGACCGATTGGGTGGAGAAAGATTGTGAGTTGGGCGATGGGGCCGGCTACCGAGACAATTCTAACGAAGTACCCACGGAGGCGCTCGTACTTCTTAGGTTTAAGAATTTGATGCCCAAGAAACTGTACCCCTAAACAGACCCTACTTATCGTTAGTCGAAACACTTGAGCGGCAGAGGTCATATTCCTCAAGCAACGGTTGCAGCCGACGAATTCTAAATTCAAGTATATTTGAAAGCTTTGCTACTTTTCAATGAGCCTTTTGAGAAAATATCCATGCAGGAGTGGTGGAGCTAATCGTCTGCTTAGTTCTTCTGTGTCTTCTGCCAGAACATAGGTATGGAGGCCGCTACTGAATTGTGGCGAGCAACGCGACGAATATTGAGCCTAAGTTTGCCGTCAAAGGCGGGACTGACTTGCGCGGTTGCAGCCTGTGTGGTCCTATAGAAAGTCAAGATCAACGCCGTGCGGGTCAGCACCAGGAACCCCAACGTTGGACGGTCCTTCTCATCCATGAAGCTGCACAGAGGATACCTCGCAAAGGGCCGAACAGTGATTGACTCATCAAGGTTCGATCTGCACGTATGGAGCTTGTGGACGTACACCGCCTTCATATCATTGCGAAGCGACGAGAATAGGACGCTCCGTCCCGTAAGTAGCACGAACATGTTCTGACGCGTTGGACGTGCTCTGGGTTATCATCCTTGGCAAATTTAAGTCAACTGAACCCTTGATGTATTCGACCTCTCGTAAGCGCAGATTCCTTTCCAAGTGCATGGGGGCAAGGTCATCCTCAATTGATCGCCCGACTGGCCTCGTATCGCTTTCGTGGGGTTACAACAGCTTAAAGGGAGATGTTATGTCGATCAAACAGCCTCTCTCTTCAGGAGACGGCGCAACTGGGAGGTGGTACCTTGAAAAGGGATACAAAACTCCAGACGCGAGCGATCCACTCTTTTAAGACACAGAGCTACCCGCAACGACTAGGTCGTTTTGACAACCAACATCACAATACGACCTTCATAACTTCGTACAGAGACACAGGTACACAGGTACACAGTTACTAGCATGGCTGGCCCAACTTCCGTACCGTTGGCCTTGGTCGTTCTCGTTCTCTTACCTTTCGATCTCCTCACCTGGGCACTTCGTTTTTACGTGCGTCTTACACGAAAGGCATGGGGACCAGATGACTGGTCTATGGTTATAGCAATTGTATGCAAAAGTATCTTTAATCGACTAGTGATTATACTGACGATAGTAAAGCCGCTCTTTACGATTTCGACAATAGGCATGCTCGGCATTGCGTTTACTGGAGGTGGGAAGAAGGATGCTGACCTTACCAAGGAGGAGACGGAGACTGCAAGGTTTGTAAGTATATTCAATGCGCGTTCCCTGGACAGTTCCGGCTTACTATTGGCAGTGGTGGTTCATTATGCAAACCATGTTTTGCCTTGCAGCAATTCCAGTGAAGTGGGCTATCTGCTTCACTCTGCTACGCATCGCCAACAAGAAGAAGGCTTACGTGTGGGCAACTTATGTCGTCATGGCTGCGGTTGCCATAGTCATGGCTTCGACAACAATTTACGAATTCTTTCATTGCACGCCCATCGAGATGAACTGGAAGGCCGTCCCGGGTGGTTCCTGCAAGCCTAAGAGCAATATCACTGGTTTCAGCTTTGCACTTTCGGCGGTTTCTATCATCTCGGACTGGTTCTGTGCGTTGGTGTAAGTTGCTCCTCTGCCCTGTGGTGATCTACGTTACTGATCATAATGCAGTCCCATACCCCTTCTCTGGAGCGTGCAAATTGATTTCCGCGTCAAACTTTCCATTGTCGCACTTCTCGGTCTTGGGATCTTTGCCTCCACAGCAGCCATCGTTCGCCTCACCGTAACCGTAAATCTCAGCGCCGCAGAAGACTTTCTTTACTACGCCATGCCAGTCGCATCATGGGCACATGCGGAACTAGGTCTCGGAGTCATCCTTGCTAACCTTCCCGCCTTACGTCCACTGCTCGAGAGGCTACTCTCTCTCCGCTCGACTATGCGCAGCAGCGGGAAGCGCACGAATGACCCATCGACTGGGGACCGGTATGTGGAGCTTGAAGAAGGCATGAGGAGTAGGAAGAAGGGGAGCACATTGGACACGTTGGGCACGTTGGGCACTGGGAAGGGAAATGAGACCAGAATTTATGGTGGTGACCTTGAGGACAGTAGCTCATCCTTAGCCGATGATGATAAGTCTACAAAGAACATTGTGAAAGTCGATCAGAGGCAGGATGCGAATGGTATCATGGTGGATCATCATATTCAGATCAGACGTGAGGAAGCAAGGGGAATCTGAGAAATCTGAGAATTTGGGTCTCCTCAAATGCTGCAAGCCACTACGCGAGGCTGCAGTAGTTCGAGGAGTTTGGTGCCGTAGAAGCTTCTCCTCTCCTCCAATTGAAAAAGACAGCCTGGTTAGAAGAATAAACCTGTAGTCTACAATAGAAGCTTTTGACACAATCTGCCTGCACTCCACTGTTTCGAGAGCACTACCAGTGCGATCGGAGAACAAAGATTTCTCATTGCTTTTTGCGATATTATAGCGTGCATCGACTCAGAGCATCAGCAGTTCCGATCTCGTTCCTAGATGAGGATCCTATGCGTGTTTCCGGTGAACTATGCATCGTGAGGATTGACCTTTGGTTCTTCAACAGCACGCAATATTTTCTTGTCTGGCGGCTCCGCATCGCTCGCGCCTCAACGCTTTCATCATTGGGCTAAGACTCCGAAGACCCTTGCAAGCCTCTTCGCCGTACACGACTCGCGTTCCGTGCAGCAGATCGTAAGGCACGGGACGATCCCTGCTCGTCTAGGCAGATGTGGGGGCGAATCCTACGGAGCCTTTGTCGGCGATTCGGATGTCTGCGTGCGACAAAATATATTAGAGACTATACCATTGTGGTTTCACGGAGGCCTATCTTTGCTGGCCTGTGTGTAGGTCTTGTGAAGTATGAGGTAATTTTTATGCATAGGATGTCTTATCTTGTACTTCCCAAGTGATGACTTATGCCATCTCTGGATGCTGAGGGCACACTATGATAGTAGTGGAATGGTGAAGCACCATGAGTCGGCTCGAACGTGATCGTGCTGTAGTTTGGTTCCACGGGGCTAAGTCATCCGAGAAGCCGATGGCTGGAGCTGCTCAAAAGGAGAACCGATGGCTGAAGCTGCAACACAACAGGCTAGCTCGATGCTTACGAGAGTTTGTCTATCATTTTAAAATCATTTTCACATAAACACAGGGTTCCCACGTGGACGCCTGGTCCTCTTTTCTTGTGTGATTGTTTCCTACCACCAATACCCTCCTTTTCCAGAATATCCCTGTGGTTCTGTTCTTTCTTCCTGAATCGTCATTGTCATTTGGAAGTTCCAAGGCAAGATGGCCGATACCGTCACCACCAGCATTCCACCAAGGACCCCGACGGAGAAGCCTCCTCAGGAAACCATCTCATCCCTTGAGACACTCAATTCGGACGAAGCAGATAGGATTCGCTCCGAGGCTCTAGCGACTGACGCGTCTAAGCTCGAGCATGGATACTTCCTCAAGCCCAGAATCGTGGGAACTTTCGCCGGGACTAGCATAATCGTTGTTGCAACATATTTCCAATTCCAAGCCCTCGCTGCTGTCATTACCTCCACGGTCAACAAAGACATCGGACCCAGTGCCAATGTGGCCCTGGTCAGCACAGTATGGACTGTTTCCCAGCCCATTGCACTTCTACTTTTCGGTCGGCTGAGTGATCGCTTTGGACGCCGAAACTTTGCTTTGGGATCATGTGTGCTCGCAATTATCGGTGGCATAGTTGCCGCTACTGCCCAGTCAGTTGAGACGTTGATCGGGGCTGAAGTACTCATGGGCATTGCATCTGGAGTGCCAGCATCGTATCCGCTGTTGGTTGGCGAGCTTTTGAGCAACAAGTACAAGTATGTTGGTACTGCACTCATCGTCGTACCCAACGTTATCGCGACCGGATTTGGTGCATATATCGGTCTGGCGCTCGTTCAGGTGGCCAACTGGAGGTGGATCTTCTATATCTACATCATCATGATGGGTAAGTCTTCACTAACTCAACCTATGAGTATGATGGCTGATATTCGTAGTCCCTGGTACCGTCTTATGGTTTCTATACTACCACCCACCGTCTTACATTCAGCTACACGGAAAGAAGTCGAGTAAGGTCGCTGAACTCAAGAAGGTCGACTGGCTCGGTGTACTTCTTCTCGTTGCTGGTCTTGCTCTATTCTTAGTCGGCATCTCATGGGGCGGCCCAGCTCAGCCATGGACGTCTCCGAAGATTTTGGGTCTGTTGATCTCAGGTGCTGTCGCTACTGTCTCCTTCATCCTTTACGAGGTCTTCCTCACACCCCAACAACCGATTATTCCGATGCGCTTCTTTCGCGATTTTCGCGGGTTCACCTGCCTGGAAATCATCTCTGCGACCTATGGCGTTATCAATATTGCGCTTTTCGTCATGTGGCCACAGCAAGTTACTTATATTTTCGGGTCAACTGTTAGCACTTGGCAAGAGTCTGCGTGGCTCTCGACCACAGCTGCATTTGGTCTATGGGGCGGCATTGTCGTTCTTGGCCCTTTGATGTCCTGGATTGGTCACATTAGGTATCAGATCCTGGTCGCGTCTGTCTGGATGACAGTGTTTCTTGGTGCAATGGCTAGCATAACCGTGGAAAATAAGGCTCGGGCCATTGCCTTCTCTTTCCTTGCCGGCTGGACCATTGGATGGGGCGAAGTCATCGCGGCAATCATTGTGCAGTATGTTGTCTCCGACCAGGACCTTGGTGTTGCGTTTTGTAAGTCATCCTTTTTCCCGTACTAGGTGGTATTGGCTGACAAACTTAGCTGTCATATCCGCTTCCCGCACTATCTTTGGCTCAATCTTCACGTCGGCCTTCATTGCGGTATATACGAACAAGGTTCCAGGCTACCTAGCTTCTATTGTCCCACAACGAGTTCTCGCTGCCGGCTTGCCGGAGTCCTCGTTGAAAGCTCTCATGACAGCTGCAGCGGCCGCCAACCAGACCGCCCTTCGTGAGATCCAAGGCATGACGCCCGAGCTACTCCGCACTACGAACATTGCCGTCAGCGATGCCTATTCCAAGTCATACGCATACGTGTATTACTTCGCTGTCGCTATCGGTGGTCTTGCTATCATCGCTTCTATTTGTATGCGCGATTTTGACAAGTATCTAACCGGACATGTTTCAAGACAGCTATATCATAAGAAGGATACTGGCACGGACCCGTTGGAGTCCACTGAGCTAAAGGTTTAGGCAATATGGGGTAGCAAGGTGGGCTACAAGGCTAAAGCTTAGGCTTGTTGAGCTATCGCGAAGTAGTCCTGGGGTGACGCAAAACAATTTTTTATAGCTTAGACCTCATATTTTGTCGCGAATAAGAAGGTTTTAATGAAGAAATACTGCGTAAAATTACTACCTCTGTTATTGGTAACGTACCACATGCGTCGGAGGCTGAGTACGGTACGTAGAGGTCGACTTCGGCCGATACGGACATCAAGCCAGTTGGGTGCGACGGAGTAGAGTGAAATGGCCAGGACTGTACTCTCACGCCATCCGGCCTCGCGAGTAGCGAGTAAATGTCTTTGCAAATTTGAAATCAGAATCTGAAGTTTGTGAGGAAGAGGTTTTGACGGGATAATATCCCGAACGGTTAGACTGTGGTGGGTGGGTGGGGCGGATCCTAGGTAACCCCCCGCCCGTGCCGTGCCGCAACTAGCCGGACCGCAAGGCGGCGGCACGTTCACATCAACCTAGTTGATTGCGCGACCAGAGCGCCTCAGGGTAAACGGACCTACTAGGCAGGTCCAAAGCGAAACCGGAGTAAGTATCAGACAAAAGAAAATCACTCCTATGAAGACCTGTAGACCTGGAGGCTGCGGACAGGAGTATTCTATGGTAGTGATTATCCTCATGCGCTTGAGGTGACTATTCTAGGACATGATTTAGCCCCAGTAAAGAATAAATTGAGCAATGAAGTCAGAGAGAAAGTATACAATAGAACGGCGAAGAGGTTGTTTGCTTCCGTACAACGTTTCCAGTTCTAAGCTTCTGCACTTTGCCGAAAAATCTCCTCTGAATGATCTTTCCAAATGGTGAAATGTGTCTTCCCTTCCAGAACCCTCAACCTTCCCCCGCCCAATCTTTCGTGTATCCACTGCATCATCTTTAATGGTGCCTGAATATCCTGATCCCCATGAACCAACCATACCTTATCACTATCCACATCTCCCAAATCGAATCCCCAGTTGCTTGCAAGCACGGTTCCATCCAGCATACAACCCCCAGTGCCCTGTTTGAAAGCCTCGAGGAGTCCTGCGACAGCATCGTCAAGATTGGTCTCACTATCGTCATCTTCCATGATCTGTGCTTTTTCTTCCGGAGTTGTGCACTGGTCCTCCAGAACGCGTTTGAGGCGCGAGGGGTCTCTAGTGAGGTAAGGGCGGACAAGAGAGGGGAGGATAACATAGCGGGCCACGAGCTTCAGGGCCCACGGGGTGATGCCCATCAACTGCCAAGAAAGGTATGGGACTGTGTCGGGTAGGCTTTCCATGGACCCAATACCGCATACGACAGTTGTGCCTCGAAGCCTCTCTTTAGGAATAAAACGTGCGCAAGCCAAGGCGAAGGGCCCGCCTCCACTGGCCCCGACTACACTGAACCGCCTAATTCCAAGATGATCTGCAAGGCTCACAACATCTTCAGGCCACTCAGTGAGTCCTCTCTCGGCAAGTGTCGAAAGTCCGCAGCCGGGTCGATCGATGGTGATGAGGCGAGCACCTATTGTCTTGCAGAGCTTATTCCAGCCACGACCAACCAGGCGACACCCTGGAAGACCGTGAAATAAGAATATTACCGGATCAGAGAGTGTTGTAGAACCATAGGCTGCGAAGCCTAGGTTGCGCTTGTCAGGGAGGGTAAGAGTTTGACACTCTTCGGGTCTGAGTATGAGTTTGGCAGGATCGGGGGGTGAAGAAGGGTCATAATTTTCGTATAGCCCGAACATTTGGAAAAGTTGACTTGTATAACGAGTACTGAAAGGTTGAAGTTAGTAGATTAAGTCACGATTTAGGAGGTGTCTACGGAAGGCTCAGGAAGCATATATGATGGACGAGATGCAAACCCCGAGCTTTCAGGCAGCGTTTGGCTCAAATTCAAGTCAAGAGAACGTTAAATTCCCGGCTTGTATGATGGTAAGTTTCCGGTCTGTATGACGATTAGGCTGACGCCAAGAAAGGAAAAGGACCCTTCAGTCGGCTTCCCGGAACGCCGTTCTGCGATATCTGATCAGATTGTATAGTTACTTTCCGATTTAGATTCAAGCACCGGCGATTTTTGGTGAGATAAATTGTGTTGAGCATCCTTGTGTCAACTTCAATATCTTCCCAGCGCGTGCGATGGTGGCAAGCGAGGGGTTTGAATCGATGCTGAGCCACACCAGCCACACGGCTAGGAGCCGGAGACACAAAGGTGACTCAGCGCTTGAGTTACACGCGGTAGGTCATTTTCGTGGCCTCCCTTCTCACCGCCCCAACTTAGTTTTCAATACACTCGCTTGACGCCTTCTTGATGTATAAGCGTGGAACTACTACTTATCAGGCACTACTCTCCTCTATAAGCTTTTATTCTCTAGACCGCCGATTCCGGTAACTCAATAGAAAGCTCCGACTCTGGATACTGACGCAGAAAAGCGGTGGGAGAATACCAAGGAAACTAGGGATCTGACGATCGACAAAGTCGCCTATAGATATAGCTTTGCCAACGAACGATAGATTATAGCGCTCACAATCCCGAGGGAAAACTACTGCTTCCTACTGTTGTTTCCTGTACTAACATACTATCTATTCAGAAGCCAAGCTTTGTGCTCTCTGGGGGTCCTAGGTAACTACTCTGCACACCACCCAAATCCACCACAAGCCTATGCACTACAGTCCCTGGCTCCAGAAGCCACAAACTCAATTCATGCTTGCCCGGATCTACTTTCCCTATATTTGTGCTCACCACCCGCGCACCATTGACAACGCTGTCTGACCACCCGCCAGGCATGGTACCTAATGTCGTTGAAGGGACGGGTGACACGCTGGTAGGACTCGCCTGGTTGAGCGCAATGGCGTATTTTAGAGGCGCCGAGGGATTCACATTGAAGGACGGCGAAAGGTAGACGAGCGCCTTCGCATTTGAACTCGAAGTCAACGCATAGAAGCTATAAATGGCCTTCGGAGCCGATGCCAAAGTCTGCGTAGAAGCTGTGCTCGACATCAAGGTTAAGCCAGAATGTGTTCGCCCGTAGTTCGGAATGATTTCTACAGTCGAGCCGTCTGCGCCAGGAGTCCGTGACCTGAAGTGCTGCATCTCGATTGCAATAGCGCCATTGGATTCTATGTAGCCTTTGAACTCTGCGGGAATGACTAGTTTATTGAGTGGGAGGTTTAACTTCACTGGGGTGCCCGTTTTCGGCGTGACAGAGATCACGACCGTGCTAGAACCAGGGGGAGCAGAGGTCCAATCTACCGAGATAGTGACACGGATGTCGGAAGTACCTGATGGGTAACTCACTGTACCCGATGAAGGGTTTACCTTGACGTACGAGACGGAGGGTGTAATGGTGAATTCCATAGACCCGGAGCCGCGGGCGTAAATGTCAATCGTGCGGTTCTCAGGGGTGTAGGGATCCATCCCGGAAAGTGTCGGGGCAGTGTCGCCGGGAGTTGAGGCAGCGCTATTCTGCACTGATACACCCAATATGCCGGCAGAGGGCGCTGTTGTTCCAATCGTCTTGACAGATGGCATTGAGTTGGATCCCGGGTCTTGCCTACATAGGTGAACTGAGTCAATGTAAACTCGAAAGGAGCAAGAGGTGAATTTACCAATTCGTGTATCCAAAGTGTACTTGATCCATCATGTGATTCCATTTCCCATTCAACAGCCCATGGTATCTCTTTTGGACCACTGCGTCCTGCGCATACGCAGCTCTGACATCATCGGCCAGTTTGCTGGTGCTCATTCTCTTCTGCGTCGCATACGCACTATTTCTCGCAGCATTGATATAGACTTGTTGGACAATCCTTCCCGCCATGATTGGATGCAAAACCATCTCGAAGAAGGCAATCTGTGTTTCAGCGTCAAGCGCACCGTAGAGAGCCTGAGCCTTGTTCTGCAGGGCACCCCATTCGTTGAGAACGTTCTCAGCTTCATCATAATTGACTGTACTAAGCATGAAAGGGGCTCGGTTCAGCAGTTCATATTTCCGACGGACGATAAGTTTTCCGTATGTCGCCATGGCTTCTGCTGTCCCAGTCGCGACACCTAGGCCAAACTCTCGTGTTGCCCATGCGTTGAGCCAGGTATCCGTACTCGACGGAGAGGTAAATGGAGCCATGTTATATGCCATATCAAGGAAGTGGGAAATCGGAAGTTCCTATGAAATCATGAGTTCAAACGTGCCAGAACAATGTAGGTCAGATCGAGATGCTTACCAAAGGCTTCAAATCTCCAACATTAACAATCCATATCTCAGTTGCATTGCGCTGCCACGCAAGATGCATCTGCTCCCAAGTCTTGGATAATTGAATCGTGTTGATCCACTTGTAGTTTCTCGGGTCTCCTACATAGTCGAAATGATAGTAAACGCCCGCGCCCCCTTCTCGATTAACCTCGCTAGGGAGTGGTAGACGTTGAATGTTCCCACTGTTGTCGTCGCTCCAGAGAATCGTAACGTCGTCTGGAATTTTCATACCTGCCTGGTAGTACCCACCTACTTCCTTTGAGAGGTGAGTGACAGTTTAACTAGTTGTGAGAACCGCATTACCTTGTATACACACCACATCTGTGGCACGCCTGAAAGATTTGAGAGACCTAGAGTACTCTTCAATATTGACTGCTGATAATTGATGACATCGACTAGGCTCTTCGCGTCCAGTGTTGGGCTTGCTGTATCCCCATCGCCTCGCATCCCGAGGGTCCAAAGCGTTTCCCAGCTTTTAGCACGTGTCAAGCCATCTTGCATGTACTTCTTTAAATTATTCTGATTGTTCTTCCAATCCCACGGCTTTACTTTCTCCTTGTCGGCACGCGCCATAGGTTCTGTATGCGATGTACCCATAACAATCCCCATTTCATCTGCGAGTGGCCCATTCTTGCTATCATCCACATAAAATTTCGAGTCCCACATGGCTGGCCAGAAGTAATTTGCGCGAAGGCGGAGGAGCAACTCGAAAACCTTCGCATGGAATCGGGAGTCGTATTTGCCATAATTTGCGCGAACCCAGTTCGTAAGGGCAGGTTGTTCGTCATTTAGGAATATGCCCCGATATTTGATTGTCGGCGGTCCTTGACTTTTCGTGATAGGTAGAGCATATATGTTAGTTTTCTTCTTGGGAGGAACATTAGCCCACCAGTACCACGGCGAAACGCCGATCTGTTCAGAGATATCGTAAATGGCGTAAATGGTGCCTCTCTTGTCGCTGCCCGCGAGGACTAGGGCAGATTGAATGCCTTGGACTGGGTCTGAGACTACTTGGGAGGTGAATGATTCCCATTTTCCTTTGATTGCTGCCACTTCAAGCTTCCCGGAAGATACCAAACTGTCAATGAGCGATGATTTGCCAATCGTTCCGGCAATGATGACCGTTGCGTTGGAGAGACCGCTTGTACTCGTAGTGACTTTTCCCTTCGTTCCGGTCACAAGCCCAAAGTCATTCGCAAGGTCATTGCCAGCATGCACGACACCAGGCCAGTCTTTCGTGTCTATGATAATTGGCAAAGCGGAGCCGGTGTCGCTTAGCTTCAAGGCTCCTATAGTCTCTGTGAAAACAAGACTTGCGGGTTGTCCAATAGCTAATGCGTCTCTTGAACAAGTAATCAGGGATATAATAAACACAATCAGCTTCATGTTGAGCTATCGAGTAGCATAGACTTGATGGATGGAGGAGATAGACCTAGACTCAGGTACAGGAAAAGGGGATGAGCATCGTCCCCAGGCCAGTATATATCGAAACAAATGCCCCAATAGGACAATGAACATCGATAGAGTGATCATACCGGGGCGCGGGTGATCTCTCTAGATTCGTCTCTTGATAGTCGGCAGTTCATGGCTACTTAGGATATTGTTGTTGCATCCCACTATGGGAACCAATGCTCTTAAATATGTCGTACGGCGGTTGGTTGTGACTCGTATTCGTTTCGACATGATTCAAAAGCACGGTCTTGACTGGTGGAATATCTCAGCTTCTTTACAGAGGTCATCTAATAGGTACTGGTGAGGCCATATCCTTGTTACAGGCTGAACCGAATAAATTAAGATCAGATCCGTAGCCACATGAGGTGAGACCGCTGATGCTCTCTTGCCTCAACATGCCTGACGACTAGCACTCCTAGTGGTTACTCACGTTCACTCTACAAGAAGCCGTTGGACATCAATAGATGTTGGTTGCTGAGGGTCGCTCGAGTAGATATGCAAGATACAGTTGATTATGTGGGCTACCAGTGGGAGATTCGAAACGTCGAAATTCAATCTGTCAGACACGCTCGACTGGGCAGAGATCAATATCTCTAATGGGTGATGGTCGTTGCTAATGAAAGCACTAGCTGGGCCGACATAAGACGGCCAAAGCGCGGACTGTGTCGCATGCTGGGAACTCAGGTGGTTGAGCCACGACTCAATGTGGGGTTACTGAGCCAAATAAAGATAAGATGATCACCCATCTGAAAACCAGGCGAAAGCTTCGTGTATAAAGAAAGTAGAAGGCAAGATGCGAGGAAAAGGTCGCCCTTGCGGGGGAGGATCGATTTAATTGGCCGCACAGACCATTTCAATGTCGAAGTGGAAGCTCGACACCACAGGCAGCACGAAGCTTGCAACTTGCTATCAGAGCTTCCCCAACGCGCATTACAACGTTCCTGGATTCCGTGAAGCTCACAACACCCCAGAAGCTCGAGGTTAAAGTCGTTAGTCACCTCTTTGAATCTTCGCGCGCTGCGTTCAGCGCATATATACCGCAACACCAAACCCACGCCATGGCGCTCAACGCCTATCTAAACAGTACGTTCTTTCGCTTCCTTGCCTCCCCACATTATGTACTGCAAGAAAGCCCTTCTAACCCATTACAGAGCGCGTATCCGTCCTTACGCAAGACGGCCGCACCATGGTCGGGCTGCTCCACTCGTGCGACGGCAGCATGAATCTCGTCCTCCAAGAAGCCGTCGAGCGCATCATACGGCCCCGCGACGAGGAAGTACCGAGCGAAGAAGTGCCTCTCGGCTTGTACATTATACGCGGGGATAGCGTGGCTGTGGTGGGGCGCGTGGATGAAGATATCGATGGGAAGATTGACTGGAGTAAGGTGCATGGGGAGGTGCTTGGGGGAACGAAGCATTCCTGAGGGACAGGAAGTGAGGAAAGATGGTATACAGTTTCGATTGCGAAGGATCACACGTCACATGGTCGGATTGGGGTGGGAGTGGAGCTAGAGTGTCAGGGAAGCGCATACTGCAGAGCCATAGGGAGAAGTTAAAGGCGCAGAAAAATGGCGCACGACCGTCAGGAAAGCCATTGTTGGATACATGGCAGATGAGGAGATGATGATACCCACAAAAGCCAAAGAATACGCAAGAGTATGTCTCTTCATTCTATCTTGCTGCGCTTTTTGCTGACCTTGCAGACTACGAGATGTTTGATAATACAGTGTTGGGAACACCAAGTTGGAGATGCGTGAGAGCTGCCCTGCCGTAATTTTCCCCTGGCCGATGCTTTTCAATTGTTTTGGAACCCTGCCCAATCTCCATACTCACCTGCACCTCATTGCTCACTGAATACTTCTCCCCACCCCCTGCCCAATGCCCACGATGTTCTTGTGATCGCTCGGATTCGCCGCCGCCTCATACAGCACACTAACTGGCTCCTTATTCAGCTTCATAAAGTCGCCCTTGAACGCTAGATAGCTGATCCTCGTCTCGTCCTCTTCGCCAAGACTCCAATTGTCCTCGAAGAACAGCGCCAGACTCCTGGTCGTGTTGAAGTATGCGCGCTTGACGGGGATTTCCTGCACCTCGTTGGTCTGGCTGACCTCGAGCGTCTGTGTAGGTTCCTTCTCGCTGGCCGTCTCAAAGTCCACGCTATCCTCGTTGACGAAGACTTTGAGAGTCTTGGGACATGAGGGCGAATTCGAAGTGCGAAGGAGTATGCTATGCAGCCTGACCTGTCCGGTGAAGGGGACGTTCATCAACAGCTGCTCGTCTGCTGAACTCTTCAGCTCGGGCTCGGGTTCGAGTCGTTGTGCCCATGTCTTCTGGCAGATTGCGCGGCCGCTGTTGGATTCGTCTTCGTTGAGCGTCACGAGCTTGCTGAAGTCGATCTGCTCGTGGAGAATATTCTGGAGCGCGGGTGTGATGTCGTCGGTGTGATCGTGCTCGTGGCCGTCGCCATGATCATGGTGCTCATCGTGGCAGTGCGAGTGGTCGTGGTGATGTGACATGGTGGACACTGGACTCGTTCAGGTGGTCCGTATTGGGCGTCGTGAATCGAGCTGGTGGGGGCGGGGTAGCTTGAGCTTCCAAGGTGGCGGATGCAGGGTCGACGGGCGTTGAAGGCACGAACAACCAAATGATGGGGAGAAGACAGAGGTAAATATAACCTAGAACTTATGACGTGGTTTTGATCATTGAGCTGTCTGTGAGACACACTCCTAGGACGAGGCGAGTGCATTGCTCGCCATCGTGAGCATGTGGTCATAAAATGCATCAATCCATAGTCATCTTCCAATCATATATCAAACTCAACATGTCTATATCAGAGCAAACATGCAATACGCCGCTTCTCCATGCTACAAGACTGCAGAACAAACACCCTAACGCCTCGCTCTAATGCATTCTATATGCCAGCAATATGCTAATCAGGCCAACATGGGTTGCGACGCCTGCTCAGCAGCCCTTTCTCTTGCCCTTCTAGCAGCCCTGTCCTTTGCCATCTGTGCCTTCTCTTCCAATGTAAACTGTGGTTGTGCGACGGGCGCATCGGGCAGTGTGACGCCATTGACTTCGGCCTCGAGGGCCTCTAGCTCGTCTTCTACTTCGTCTTCGTCTTGGTTCGACATCTTGTTTGCGAGAAGTTCGCTTATTTCCTGTAGCACATAGTTATCAGTATGCGATCACAGAATAGGTAGCGGGACGGGACAGGGTGGTAGGCGTATGCGCACCTCTTGGTAAGCTGTTGCCTCTTCGTTCTCCCCTAGTAGCTTCTCCACGTTCTCGATTCCGCCCATCTCCCTGTGTATCTCCTTCAAAACAGCAGTACCCTGTTGTAAGCCATATATCACATCCTTCTGCACCAGGGCGAACTCGACATCGCTCGTCAACTGCTCCAACTGCGCTAGCTGCGCATCCGTCTTGGATAGCAGCGACTCCTGGTACTTCTTCCGCCGCAGAGCTAGCTTTGCCTTATCCGTATTGCCTTTCGCCAAACACTCTTTTGCGATCTCTTTCTCGCGGTCGGTGAGAACAGTGATGCGCTTCTGGTATTGTCGCAGCTTGTCGCGCTGGTTCTTCATATCCAGGATCGCCCTGATCTGTCAGTATCAGGCGCATACCATGGCGAGGAGTTCGTACTTGTCCTGCGCAGAAATCTTGTTCGAACTGCTGGAGTTGCCCATATTGCTGCTGCCTCCATGAGCTCGCAGCGGTGTGCATGCGACGGCTTGCACCTTGACGCGGTTGCTTGACGCATGCGCCGAGAGCCGACTCAACGCCGACGCTAGCTTATCGATAAACCATCGCGAACTTTTTTGTAGACATGACGAGCATCACACTATCACGGCATCAACGTCGCCAGATTGAGAAAGACAAATTCTCATACGCTTCTGCTTAGCCCTGGCCATAATCTGCTTACTCGTCACTGCGAGGGCTTGAACTATACTGCCTTCTCGACCGGTTCTAGTATATACATTCCAATGGTATCACGCGGTCGCGCCTCACTTCAGCAAGGCCTGGACCGAGAAGTCTACCAAGTGGTTCGCAAGTACCTCGACGATAAGAATGAATCACCCCTCAAACTTCGCCTCACAACCGTATACGACTATATATCGCGATCAAACTCCAGTTTGAAGAGGAGGCCAAAGAAACAACTCGAGGATAGTATTGACCGAGTGATCGATGTCATCCGTGAAGACGAGAGTGGAGATGACGAGGACGAGATGGCTGAGCTTGAGGGCGACTTTGGCGATGAAGATAAGACCAAGGATGCAAAACCGATTGATTGGATGAATAGACAGATTGTGAATCAATGGGCGAGCTCTGGGACAGCGACGCCGGCTGTTGGGGAGAAGAGCGAAAAGCGCGAGAAGAGTGAGAAGAGCAAAAAGAGGGACGGGGAGAAAACTAAGGGAGATCGCGAGAGCAAGAGACAGAAAAAGGCAGCGGCACCCGACGCCAAGATTGATACTGCGCCGCCAACAGGAGTGTGCTTGAAGGATCTGGGCGGTGTCGACAATGTGAAGAGACAGCTCAAAGAGCATCTGGTGTTGCCTCTTCTCTGCCCTGAGGAATACGTTGATCGCAAAATCCCTATTCCACGCGGTATTCTTCTGCATGGGCCTCCAGGATGTGGTAAAACTGTAATCAGTCGAGCCTTCGCTGCGGAATTAGGGGTACCTTTCATCGAGATCCTTGGACCATCTGTCGTATCGGGTATGTCCGGCGAGTCAGAAAAGCAGGTCAGGGAGCACTTCCAGAGGGCGAAAGAGGTGGCGCCGTGTTTGATTTTCATTGATGAGATCGACGTCATTGCGCCAAAACGCGACAGTGCGCAGAGTCAGATGGAAAAGAGAATCGTCGCTCAGCTTCTCATCTCCATGGACAGTCTTTCTATGGAGGGAAATGACGGAAAACCCGTGATCGTACTTGCAGCAACGAATCGCCCAGACAGCCTTGACCCAGCACTTCGACGGGGAGGCCGGTTTGACACTGAAATTAATATGGGCGTTCCAAACGAATCGATGCGTGAGCTTATCCTCAAAGCTCTTACGCGCGAGCCAAAACTGTCGGACGATGTCGACTTCCCTTCATTGGCGAAGAAAACAGCTGGCTTTGTAGGTGCTGATCTAAAGGACTTGGTAAGCAAGGCAGGTACATGGTCGATGGACCAGTATCGGGAGGCTCTGGAAAAACAAGCGGCTGAAACAGAGATGGAAATCGATGACGGTGTGGGCGCCGACGAGCTCTCTGCGGTCGATCAATCAATAGCGCGTCTCATCAAGCGCGTGCGGAATACAGAGGCACCACGGCCAGAGGGATTCGAAGACACCGTCATTTCAATGGAGGCGTTTGATGCTGTTCTGCCAACAATAACCCCGTCTTCAAAGCGAGAGGGTTTTGCTACCGTGCCAGATACAACCTGGCGAGACGTTGGAGCTCTGGCAAACGTCCGGGAAGAGCTCGAGATGGCTATCTGCGAACCCATCAAAGACCCTGGGAAGTTTGCGAAGTTCGGCATCTCAGCACCTACTGGCGTTTTGCTTTGGGGTCCACCTGGATGTGGAAAGACCCTTTTGGCAAAGGCAGTGGCCGCAGAGTCGAAAGCAAACTTTATCAGCGTCAAGGGACCCGAACTACTGAACAAGGTGAGTCTCATGTTCGATCTCACATTTCATGCCTAGCAACTTCGATGTTGCTTCTAGGAGCTCAATTCCCCCCTTTAGACAAACCATGGTATCTGGCTAACACTACCCCAGTACGTCGGTGAATCTGAACGCGCCCTCCGCCAAGTCTTTATGCGCGCCCGCTCCTCCATTCCCTGCGTCATCTTCTTCGATGAGCTCGACGCTCTCGTCCCTAAGCGCTCTACAGAACTCCACGAAGCCTCTGCTCGCGTCGTCAACACCCTCTTGACCGAACTCGATGGTCTCAGTATGCGCGAAGGCATATACTTGATTGCAGCGACCAATCGCCCAGAGATGATTGACGAAGCAATGCTGAGACCGGGAAGATTGGAAACGCTGCTGTATGTGGAGTTGCCGAAACCAGAGGAGCGCGTGGATATCCTAAAGGCACTTATCCGTCAACGTGGCGTTATCAACGCCGATCTGGCAAATATTGGACGACTAGAAGAGTGCAAGAATTTCAGCGGTGCAGACCTGGACAGTTTGCTGAGGAAAGCTGGACAGCGCGCTCTTAAACGAAGATCAGACAAGGTTGAGGAGATTGACTTCATGGAGGCAGCGCGGAATATCAAACCGTCCGTGGGCGATATTAAGAAATATGAGAAACTACGCGAAAGGTTCGAGACGAAGCTTTGGTAGAGGCTAACGGCTTTCTGCACTCAATGTATTTCCGCTTCGATTATATATTGCTACCGGGTGTTGTCTAGCCTTACTCCTGTAAGACTTGGACCGTGAATAAAACGAAATGTCCCGAACACATCCACATTTATAGAGCTACTTTCGTCCCAATAGGCCCCTAAACCACCGCGGCACTCTTCCTCTGCCACCATGCTTGCTCCCCTTGCTCCGCTGTGACGTCTGCGGGCTTGAATTTGCTACAGTCGATTCTTCGCCGGAACGTTGGAGAGCCAGACTAAGCGTGCTAGCAATCACTTCGGCCACCACTCGCTCGCTCAAACATTCGAAGCACTTCGCGGAGTCTTGGCTATTCTTGTATCGGAGTTTGTACCTGCGGCAAGCGCGTCCTGTGTCGGGCAGTCTATCAGCTGGTATGATGACGCTGCAGTAGTCCCATCGTAAGAAGCGCGCATGGCCGCAGCGTCGGAATCGGTCGTAGACTTCTATGCACATTGATGAGTGTGGGTGTAGCTAGGTGCCTGGGGGTTTCTAAGTATAGTGGAGCGTGGAATGAGTCGCAGGGTAGGGTATAGTGGATCGGCGATGAAGGCTGGTATGGTTGAAGTAGAGATTATGTAGAGGGTGATTGAAGCGTAGATACTTTAGCAGAAGGGATTCTAAGTGATAAGTTTATGGAATCGCGAGGCGTGCGCGTGCACCACTTAGCTTGCGAGTCGTGAAAAAAAAGGTTCCTACCTTCACCGAACATATCATTTCACTACGATGAGATTCAATACTGTGATATCGGTGTTTTGAAAATTCTAATGTTGATATGAAAAATTGCTCTCTTCCCTGCACGAGTGTATTCAGACCTTTTATTAGCAGCTAATTTGCTCATCCTGGGCGCGCATGACACTTCACGCAGTCAGCATCATAGAGAACGTATAGTAGATATCGGCACTAGATTATACTATCAAAGAAATCGCGCAACTCTTAATTAAAACCTCTTAGGTAGCTTTCTACTTCGTATGTATCCATTTTAAGAGTTTAGGCAACGGCAACGGCATCAATCTCGATCTCTACGCCCCTTGAATTAGTAACAACAATCAGTCAAATTCACATCTTCTGCTCTCAGAATACATTTCCGCGATTAGAAGCAGCTTGCGGAGATGTTTTAGACCATAGAAAGCGACGGGTTCGTTGTTGTCAATTCACATGTGAAAGTGAGAGAGGGAGGTTTGTGACGCGTGTCGAAGACGGCAAACGATCTAGACTGTGGCTCGATGCAAAATACCAAGGAACTGCTATCTCAGTATTCCGCTTGAAGGAATTTTGGAATGAGGTGTTGATTACAGTGGTGAGGTTGGCCGGACCAGTCACAGCACAGGTCATCACAAACGCTGTAAGAATTGCATAGTTTATTCGCTTCGCTCGCATAGACCCACGTAAGTCCCCTTTCAAACATGGCAATACTTCGTAATCGCTGCCTTGCCTACTACGCGCTCCCATTCTACATGGCTGATTTGATTCAATACCGCTCCCCATGACCTATGAAATATTGGTCATTTCCATCCCGTTCGAGCGTCCCCAACCCTCTTGGGCCATTCGCATTCATGGCGCTCTCTGGGAAACCCATGACAATAGCCTGCCTCGCGCCATAAGCTGCGCCAGGCTCTTCATCGTCTACGGGCACAGTAAGATCGCCTTCTGCATCCCCTGCCCCCTCTCCTTCCCACTTAAGGAACTTCTCAAAAGCACTTGTACCCCTGACACTGCCAGTCTTGTCGTAGCGGGCGATCATGGATCGCATGTCATTGATTCCTTTAGTACAAGATTTACACACATTCATTTCTCTGCTCACATGCGTGCGCTTCGTTGGGTCGGCACAGCGCACAGCGACGAGTTGGTGGTCTGGGAGCGTCGAGTAATCTAGTGCCGCGGTTGGAGTGTATGACCCATAGCTCGGTGTAGAGTCACGTGGCGTGACCGGGCCCGATGGTCCAGAAGCAGCGCGTCGAGATGTTGATGATGCACTTGTCGAGGAGCGAGATAATGTTCCACTTAGCGAAAAGAAACGTCGTGTTGATGGTGTACGCTTTGGTGGTGCGAAGCTCGTTGCGGGAGGTGAGAGAGGCGGAGAGCCAGGTCCTCGAAAACCACTCAGGCGTTGGATCGCAGTGTTGCAAAGTGTCCATGGATGTGTGTGCGACTCGCCGATGTGCCCGCATCCGTTATGGGAGGTGTAATTGTGGAAACACATGGCTCCTTCGTTCGACACCAATGACTGAGCGATGGATTGTAGTTATGACGTAATAATTCAGGTATACGTAATGTCGTGCAGTGGAGGCCTATGCAGGGTCGTGCAGAGACCCTGAAGTCGGAATCGCGGAATATGCTGCCACAAGTGAATGTGCGTAGCACATGACAATTGCTTTTGAGATAAAGGAGTGGATGCCTCAGGCTGTGATGGTTTTCAACACATGTTTCGGCCCGTATTCGTGCCTTGTTTACGATACGATGAGCGGTGAAGGATTTTCGCAAGGATTATGTTGGTCACGTGCCGCTGACGACATGGCGAGTTTGGTTCGCCATAGTCAGCTTCAATTCACATGAACTTCATAAAGCGCATCCCTCACTGTAAAGTACCATCAGGGTCTCATACCAATATTTCCTATGGTAGTCTAGGTCATGTGATTGCTAGAAGTACCCACCTTTATCTACTTCAGAGCCGTCATTACTGACACCAAAGTTACAAATGCCTACAGCTTCCACTTGACCTTGATTTTGCATCTCTTCTAATTTATGTGTCTGCGCCTTCCAGAGTCGACCGAAAATTTGAATCTGCTCTGAGTTATCGATCTACTAATTTATACCGTGACCATATTTCAATTAGCTATAGTCACTGTTGCCTCGGGTACCTCTATCCCACTGGAGTACCTCTGCCCCTTACTGCACCTGAGAAGCATGGATTGCATGGTACGGTTACTGCAGCATTGTTACACTATACCTATTGACGACGACAAGACTTCAGGTTCATCCTGTATCGTTCAAGACAATAGTTGCGAAATAAGAGATGAAGACTGCGACTGATTGATCTGCACTGAGCTACTGGTGGGCGAAATCAAGTAGTAAAACTACATTTCAGGCCCCGCGAACTTCAAAGTTCCTTTCGGCCTATTTGCGTATTTGTCGCACTCGCTAGTACTTTTTCAGTGCCTAATGAGACCAACTGGGAAGATCCAGATTCCTATTGTCATAAGCTAGAAGTTGTTGTCTCCTTAGGATGTAGCAATTCAAACGCTATTGTGTCACATCGCAAGCCAATTGCAGCCAGTCTCGTGTAACCAGCCCTTGACCGGTTTCCTTGACCGGTTTTTCATGTTACCTTATAGCTCCGACCAACAACGAGCCATCGCGTGTAAATCGACCTCAACAAAACAACAACAGCACTCTTACTTAGGCTTGATCAACACTTTATTTGCCACTCCGGTCTCTCACCTTCATGAATTATCGTTCTGGCTGATAGTTCGACACTTCGCTCACTCATAATATGTGCGGCTACGGTCAGATGCAACCATTTCATCCCCGGGCCAGCAGTCCGCCCCCAAGAAACACTGTAAGTCGTTTGACCTTTCAACATCCTCCCAAAGAGCTCTAGTAAACCTTTTTGTAGTTGCCTTTCGACCAATACAGATGCGGTATGATACGTGGTGTAGGCGGCCCGCCATACATACCATTGAGAGGCGATCAACAGCCTGATAAAGAAGACCTCGCAGATGCAGTAGATAAGGGCAAAATTTGCGACAGTAAAGACATGTATTTTGTTCCGCATGATACAATCCCAGATAGTTCTTTTTGGTCAGACGAAAAGCCGCTTCAGTATGGTACAGCGGGCGACCAAGGAAAGACGAAGAGAGCACGCGAAGCTTTCGCGGTGAACGTCTTGCATACTTACAATGTGTCAGAAGACGAGTGGCATGTAAGTGAGGTGCGTGTCAATAGCACGGTTATTCAGGTAGCTCTTGAGAAGGTCCTCGAGGGATACCCGGGCCTTACTCAGCATGAGCTGAAGACATTTCCGTCGCCATTTCGACCGTTCTTCCATCGATGGCAGTCCTTGATCAGCCTTATTCAGGATGCCGATCCTTCATCTGAAGCAGGAAACCATTTGCAGCTGCTTAAGTCTGTTCTCGAACCATTGCTGGAGAAGTCCTTCGATGCCGCCCGAGAAGTCGAGAAAACCGGCCACGTCTCGTTCGCGAATCTGCCACTAGTCTACATTCCCGGCACGGCTGTAATGCGTCATGAATCTCATGCTGTTGGCATCTTCCGCAGTTGTCATCTTATACGACCTATGTGCCGGCCCGTGTACTACGCGATCGTGGTCGATGTTGTAGATTGGGATGGCAGGCGATGCGGCCTGCTTGCCCAGGAATGGCAAGTGGAAGACTTTTCTGGGCTCCACGCACTCACGGCGCTTGAAGTTTCGCCTCTTGAAGGCCTTCCTGCGGAATACGAAATCCGTGAAAAGGTCGTCAGGCGTGGTCGTACGTTTGAGAAACTACGCGGACACTTCTTCATGGCCTTCACAGATGAGCACTTGGAGCGCACCAACGAGCGCATGGTCATCGACGCGAGAGCGTATCACAAATATGAGGCTGCCTTCCCCAATTACGCTAGTCTTTCTGAGATTGGCCAGCTCACTTGGGCTCAATCTATGAACCGCTACTCGCCTAGCGTACCGATTACCCCAGGCGCCCCTATCAAAGTGGATCTGTCGCCAATGACTGACGAGCAATGTCTCTTGGCCGTGTCTACCGTCAAATGCTTCAATATCCAGAAGAAGCGTTGGGAAATGCTCGATGTGACGAGAATCCATGAGATCGCGTGGGCTCAGCACGCGTTCGACAACCTAGTTCTCGACCAAGAAGAAAAGAATTTGCTGTTGGCCGTGGTAGACCGCGACCAGTTCAATCAAAGCAAACCATTCGATGATTTCATCAGCGGCAAGGGCCAAGGAATGATCATGTTATTATGTGGCCCGCCAGGGGTCGGTAAGACACTCACTGCCGAAACGGTCTCGGAGCACTTACGTCGGCCACTTTACAAGCTCGGTGCTGGTGACCTGGGGATCAACGCAAAATTGGTCGAGGAGTGTCTTGAAAGAGCCCTCCAGCTATGTGCTCATTTTGGAGCCGTGCTGCTCATCGATGAGGCAGACGTCTTCATGGAGGCCCGAACTTCAAACAACCTCCAACGAAATGAGCTGGTCTCCGTATTCCTCCGTCTCCTTGAGTATTACAACGGCATCATGATCTTGACCACGAATCGCATGCGCAGTATCGACCCCGCCTTCGAGTCCCGTATCGATATCACCCTCAGCTTCAATTCTCTTTCAGACGCCGATCGAAAACAAGTCTGGCGGAACTTCCTAGCTACTTTGGATGCAAAGGACTTCGACATTGACGACGCAGATCTCGTCAAACTAGCACAGTGGAAATTCAACGGTCGACAGATCAAGAGTGCAATCAAGACGGCCCGCATTCTGGCAGCAAAGAAGCGAGAACCGCTAAACATTCGACACCTCGACATCGTGCTGAAGCTCCGTGATAAGGCCTTGGGCATGATGAGCGGTGGCGTGGAGGCTGGGAACTTCGTGGAGAACACACGGTCACGAATGGAGAGTAGTGAATGACACAATCCCCTCAGATGAGAAAGTCGATCTGGAGATAAGATAAGGAGATGCTCCCGTGGCAGAAGTGGATAGTTTGAGTCTATAGTCCGCGCCTTCTTGTTTCGAGGCTGGTCATTCCTCAAGAAGAAGAAAGGTTTTATAAGATCCCGTAGTAGTATTTTATGTGGTCTGGATAGCAGGTTGACTTTTACGGCCTCAGGCTTGACAAAATATGACAATTTCAACGCAGCTCCTCTCCCTGCACATTCCAAATCATGGGAGCCTCGTTCAATTAGCGCGTGCTTTGAACGGCTGCGTTAGCGAGAGGCTTTGCGCAAGGCAAAGCGGGGTCGCTAGCATGCAATCTTCAGCCTTCGCAGCGTCCCACCAGCTGACAGCTGATCTCTTTTCCTTCGAATGCACATGCTCTGTGATGCGTTAAAATGATACTTATTGACACTGCTACTCTCGTGCTCCACTCCTTTCCAAGCTGTGATCAGCGGTACGCCATTTTGTCCCATACCTGGGGTCCAGCTGCCGAGGAAGTGACATATCAAGAGATGATAGCGCCCACGCGTTCTGAGTCCACCATCACCAAACCTGGGTACCAGAAGATCAAAAAGACATGCGAGATCGCTAGGTCCAACTACAATCTTCCGTGGGCGTGGATTGACACTTGCTGCATCGACAAGACGAGCAGCGCGGATCTAAGCGAAGCCATTAACTCCATGTTTAGATGGTACAGGGAGGCCTGGGTGTGTTTTGCGTATCTATCTGACATGGATGAAGATCCTAGCGCTTTCTTACATTCAAGATGGTTCTCACGAGGATGGACGTTGCAAGAGCTGATTGCACCTAAATATCTCATATTCTTTGATTGCGGCTGGACCTTTCGTGGCACTAAGACAACGATGACAACTTCTATCTCGTCAATCACCGGTATTCCAAGTGAGATTTTGGACAACTCTGTTGAACTGGATGAGATTCCAGTTGCTGTACGGCTGTCTTGGGCTTCCAGGCGAGAGACGACGCGCAGCGAGGATTTGGCCTATTGCCTGTTGGGGATATTTGACGTAAACATGCCTATGCTCTATGGAGAAGGCCCAAAGGCTTTCGCTCGATTACAGGAAGCTATCCTTAGCCAGAGTGCTGACATGTCCCTCTTCTTGTGGACCGACCTACAGACCAGCCAGCAATACACTGGTCTTCTTGCGACCGCCCCGGTCTGTTTCCGAGAAATGAGACTCGCCAAAGCAGAACCTTCGTTCACGCAACGCGAGTACTATCCTACGAATCGCGGCATCCGCTTGAAGCTAGGCCTTGCATGGGACCCTACGACCGGTCTCGCTATCTTGCCATTGAAACATTCAATTGGTAACAATGGAAAATCTGTCGGTGTATATCTCCGAAGGGTTGGGCTGGATCAGTTCGTTAGGGCGCAGCCACAAGAACACTGTTTGGTCAAGACGGAAAAAGCCTACGCAGTTTTCACGGTCGCCAAATCTGTGACGAAGTCTCAATCTGACGCCATCTTATCCAACGTTTTGAAGATCTCCGTTCCCCGGGACATCTACGTAGAGAAAGAAGAACCACGCGGCTCTTGGGATCCGGAGAATGGCTTACTGCACGCAAGCTATACCGGCACATTTCTGGGATTTATGAAGTTTGAGAGCGCGAATTACCGCCCATTTACGTTAGTATGCTGCTTCCAAAATCGGCATTGGTCCACTAGCGTTGTTTCGGGAGAGCGATGGCAAGAAATCAAAAGCACTTTCTACCCGTACTATAAGGAGAATTTTGGGTTACTCACTCAAGAAGACAGGGCCAGGTTTACAGAGATCGGCTACATTGATGCCTCGAACAAGACCAAGGGGATATCGATACGCTTCCGGGGAGGTAGTTCGACTGAGCCGCCAAGTATATTGATGCGCACTGTTGATGCCATGAGAAGTACTCCACAAGTTTTCTTTTAGAATCAATAGCAAGAACAAAAGCAAATTTGGGAGATGAGGAAAACGAGAGGTTAATAGGGGCTCTATGTGCCCTAGGGCCAGTTTTCATGAGGAAGAAACAGCAGGCTTCGTAAGATGAGTGAGTAGAAGACCCACTAGTCAGGTCATGGATTTCTTTAGGCAATCGGGGCAGCAATCGTAATAAGAAGGTCTTTAGATGTTCCTCGTGACAATGATATGTTTGAATTGTGGGTGTTCCAAATTTGATACATTTGCGAGTAATAATACATCCATCTTCGACGAGTGCTAAGTGGTAGCTGCAAGCTGACAAGAGCAAAAGAAACTCCAAAGGTCAGCCTGAAGGGTTATGCAACCGCATACGTATAAAACTCAGTCCAGCTGAAATCAAAGCAGAAAGACTAGCTCGCGGTCGTAATAGTATCCCCACCCAGATCAAGCAACAGCACTGCCAACGCGATTCAACGATTATATGACGTCCCAGAAGCCCTTGCCAGCAGCACTCTCGCCGCCGTTCCTCACCGCCCCCTTGGCAATCATCTCAGCCTCATACTTCTCGACCAGTAACTCATACTCGCTCTTAATACCCAGCTCAACCCTCACATACTCGTAGCACCTGTCTGCAAAGCCATCGCCAGTATTGCGGCAGAACTTGGTTGCGTGCGCAGCAGTGAAGTTCTGCATCGCGAATTGCACGCCGGCGAGGAAGATGTGCTCAGGTTTGGCGCTTGCGTCGATTGCGTTAGCGGGGAGGTCGAGGAACTCGGCATTCGAGAAGGTACGGCGGTAAGGGTTGGGATGCGTAATGGGGAGGTGCATATTGGGGAAGTTGAGAGGTGTTGCAGGCTGGGAGGAAGAGGCCCGCTGTTTGCCTTTGTTGCTAGCCATATTGTTGATAGGTGTGACCTGAGCGCTGGAGGTGAAGTTTGGCGCATAGGCTGGATGCATGGTATTCGTGCGGTTGTTGGTGAGAGGGCTTGATGTAAATAGATCAAGAAGTGCGGCGGCGGCTTCTCGCTCTTCGATGGTGTTGGTGACAGTGGTGAGTGCTGTAGGTGAGGCGATGCGAGACTTTGCGCGCGTCGTACGCTTGGATGTTGACTTCTTGATGCAAGCCTTGGTGGTCGCACCTGGGTTGCGAATGGGGCGTTTGGTCACGGCGGAGTTCTTCTTGCGGTTTGCAGGCTTCCTGGCTGGATGCGCTCTCGTTGCACTGACTGTTGCAGTATCGCTAGGATTCTCCTTACCGCTGGCGGAGTGGGATGAGGACTGCTCCCACCGCAATCGCTGCTCGGTTTCGAAAGCAGCAGTCAGATCGCGAGTGAGTTGGTCATCCGCATCTTCATTCTCGCTCTCCTCTTCATCTTCACCGGCTGCAGCGACAGCCAAACTCGAGCTCGGGCTCACAGCAGCCTCGCGCTCGAACCGGTGATCAATCTCGTCAAGCTTTGCTGAGACCTCGTACTTCAGGTCGCTGGGCTTGAGCACGCTCTTGTCACCCTCAAGACCTGCTTGAGCGGCGACGATGCCTGCGTTGATAGCGTCCTGGGTGTCTTTGACTCGCTGGGCGTTTTCATAACCCGGCAGCTGCTCAGGAACGCTGTCGCGCAGCGTATGGAGACGCGTGAGTAGGCGGGCGTAGGTGAGTCGTGCCATTGTTGAGTGGTTATGTGGGCGTGGTAATTGATGGTGTTTGGGAGAAGGGCTGGACGGCGTTGAGCTGGTGGCTGGCGGGCTTTTTATATGAATGATAGCTGAGAGTTTACGACGTCTGCTATTGTATTATTGTTACAATGGAGCCGGGGCAGTGGTGAAACTATTGTTAAGCGACGTATTGTAGCTAGGTGAATGAGAAATTTGCTTTCACTTTGCACGCAAATACGAGTGCTGCCAACAAGAGAGTCTGGAGGCCTTTGTGGAGATTTACTCTAAAAGTAATACTATCAACAGTGGATAGAAGGCATACTGGCTGTTGTGTGATTTGTTAGATTAGAGCTGTAAAGTTACCTGAAGTTAGCCAGGCTCTATTAACCGGCACGTTTCTTGTTGCCACAAATTTCGTTTTGAAGTTATTATAGTTAGCTATCTCAAAAGCAATTACTCCGGATACTGCTTAAAAGATTCCTGTACTATTAGATGTTCATAAAATGTTATTGAAACCAGCTCTCAAACTATTATGTGAAAGGTATGGAAGGCGTGTTACAAATTATAATTAATAGGATTCTAGACATGACGACGAACTATTTTGACTAGGTGCCTATCTTTAAGCTCACATATCAATACATTTACGACACTACGACGGTATTCTCGTAGGGCATGTATGAGTATCAGTATTATCTCGAAAACGAGTAACAGGGTTATCCCCCTTAAGCGATGAGTATGGTTATTATTAGGCACATAGATAGTTTAAGTCGCTAGGTTCGTGGGTCCAAAGGCGATTTGGGCTCTGGGTTGACAGCCAAATTATCTTGCGTTATAGCTACGTGGATATACTGAAAAAAGATGGATCTCTGTCTATAGCCCAAGATTATTCTTGCTTTGCTGGACCGAGTCGCTCGTTATATGGCCCAAACGCTTTCGGTGGGTTATAATATAGTGAGATTCAATGTGATTACACAGGTCTCTCCTTGGACTACCTCTGCAGATTGGCGCAGTTCCCTTCAAAGTTTTGCGTCCATCATATTTTACATTGACGCACCAGAGTACATTGGCATGAACTGGCACAACTTTGTTGTAGAGTTGAAGGCGAACTTCTTTACCGGCATGCCCGTTTTGGATGTGTTTGAGTTGACGAGCACCAGGGGGCGATGAGTATTAATATTGGAATGGTGCTACTTGGCTTTCACTTTATGAAAGAATGGAGATCATTGCATGGAGGCAATGTGTGCAACGAAGGTGGAGGTGAGGTGGATAGTATAGGATAGGTATTATGTACATAAATAGAACATGGAGCGCCCACAAATGTTTATAGACTTATGTTATAACTTGTGATGTAATTGAGTCCCGGTGGATCACTTCCAGTGCTCAGTTCCGTGGTTCAGGTTGCAACACCGCCTCTAAGATTTGACCGAGAGCTCTGGCGAGCTTTAAACAAACTCCTTCTCTTATAACTTGTGATACCCATCTACCACATGCTAGTCACCAGATACTTTTTTGACATGAGAAGAAGCAAGGGGAGTAGCCGTGTACTTGCGATCCACACTATAAGACCTTGCAGAGGTAGGGTCGAAGGAATTCAGGAATGTTTCTGGTTGCATGCGACAGCTCCTATTCTAAGCAAGCTCTGCAAATGTTGGACTGGGGGTATGCTGAGATTGACTTATAGACTAAATCAATCTACCGAACTACTCCAGGACGCCTTTGGAGCTACTCATCACCCGAATTGCCATACTCAGATAAGCCACCAGCCGGAGACGTTGAAGGGACTTTATCTCCAACCTTTCTTGGGTGCCATGCGCAACTCATAAAAGTCCAGAACTCTAACCCATCGGACTATCCATCCTGGGACACGATTGCTTCATCTCCCTCTCCAGCCCCGGCAAGTTCAAGCTCGTAAGATCCCAGCTGCAAGCTTGGCTCTCGCAATGCAGCACAAGCGAGCTGAAGTTCCCGAATCGCTTCACACAGTCATCACCGCGGCACACAAAAGGGTGAAGGAGACCGCCATCCATCCATTGCTGCAATTCGTCGAGGTTTATGCGACCCGTACGGATTTGGACGTGGATGTCGAGATCCATGTAGAGCGTTGAGTACCACCAGTTGCCAAGACATAGCAATGGTTTGGATATCCCGGTACACGTGCCTGATTCGAGGTGACCGATAAGGCTGGAGTAGGTGCGCATCGGGGCGTCGCAGCCCCAGCATGGTATATCACCGGCGGCATGTTTCGTCATGTGCTGCCACTTGTTAGCATTGCGCTGTATTTATTATATGATACTGCTGTGTATGTGGGCAGGTGATTATAACCACGTACGTTTTGATAATCCTTTTCTTTCTGAGTGTGATATCCGCACTCGTTGCAGAAGTAGCAGTGCTCTAGATGAAGCGCCAGCTGACCCTTCCCAGCGCATTCTTTGCCGCACTGGGAGCAGAACAATGCAAAATAACACGTCTCACTGTGTTGGGCGAGTTTCGTCTGGCTCGGCAGTACAAGCTTGCAGCCTTCGCACTGGAAGTGATCTCGCTTGAGATGCCGGTCGAGTGCGGCTGCATCAGGACCGTCGAAGTCGCATCCCGGTTGCAGGCAATGCTTGTGCTCTGAAAGTAACATTAGCTGAGGACTGAGGCGAATAAAAAGCCGCTCTTGACACTTACTGGTTGTCTTTTTCCAATGCGCATCGCGCTCCTCTTGATTACGGAAGTAGCCGCAACATGTTCCACACCACGTATGTTCTTTTGCCTTCTGCAGATGTCGCTCAAGCTGAGCCTGACTCTCGAATGCAAGTAAGCAAGTGAGACACGCGAACTCATGCCCTAAGTGGCAGTTGTTCTCGAAGTGGTTCCTAAGACCCCACAAGTCCTTGAAGGCGCTGAGACATAGATTGCAGAAGATCTCATGAGCCAATGAGTTTTCGACATGGTTCTTGATCCCATTGCGATCTTTAAAAACTCGTTTGCAGAGATTGCAGTAGTGTTGATGATCCGGCGTGTGCTTCATGTGATTTATGAGTGCCGACTTACTGGTGAACTTCTGGGAACACACTCCGCACCAGTTCGAACGCGAATCATAGGCCGTGTCGCTACTCTTAGTAGTGGCGGATGAAAAAGTGCGGGTCCTATCCTTTCTATCCGCCGCACGATCGAGTGCTGCTTTGGTTTGGTCTTTTGTGTGCAGCGTCTTGTCGCATTGATGTACCAGCTGCGCTGGAGGAGCGCCGCGCTTAGTGACCTCCTGCCAGGGATTTGAGCTGTCGGCAACCTGGTTTAGGAACGGGTTTGGGGGGATGTCTAAAGCTGGACTGCTCTTGGGTGATGCATTCTCATCCTCTTCGGCGAAGAGCGCATAGCGATTGTTGCGTTTGGCGTCCATCTTGGACTGCATGTTGTAAGTAGGGAGTAAGACGCAGCTGATGTGTTGTAATCAAACTTATCAAAAGTGAGCGAAGTTGATGTACCTTCACTGCTAGTCCCGATGGAGAAGAACTAGCGAATTCAGGCAGCAAGCACGGCGTAACGTGGCACTAGACGGGTGGTGACATACAACTAATTGACAGCGTGAAAAGAAGAAACTCCTAAGAGACAAACTTAGAGCTGAAACAGCACTAATGAGTCCAGATCTCTCAGCCTGAGACATGAGGTTGCATGTGCACAGTATCAAATGACGATGACGTAGGCAAACAAACGCAACAACGACAAGGGAAAGAGGCACGCGGGAGACATAATGCAGGAAGCCGCGTCTACCCGCTATATATTGTGAAAAAAACTACGCGAAAATGACGCGTTCAACCGTGTCTCCTTTCCCAAGCAATATCCATGAAATCTTATCCCTCCAGTATTCTATGTCCGAGCCCTGTCCACTCGCCCACATGTTACAACTTCTCAGGTGCGCCAATTGATGTCTACTCAGAAGATTACCAAGCGATGCGAAAATCTTGCTAGACGTGTCCGAGTGCTCGACTCCTCAGTCGACTAATACCAGAGCTCAACACTTCCAATCCTGTCTCTTCACATCGTCGAACCCACATTTAGCACGACCAGCATAGCTACTTCAATTGCCTTACGCCTAGCCACGACAGTGGCTATATCATGATAGGCTACGGCGGAGTGAGAGTGAACGAGAGTGAAGGAGAGTAACGAAATGGGGCTCAGAAGGGCGATTGGATAGATGACTAGTAAACGATCTACTCATGGCGTATAACTCTGGGGTTTTAGGCAGATAAAACGAGGTTGAAAATATGAGCAAGAAGTTAAATCGGTGGATAACTTTCCATTAGAGACTCACAGTAATTTATCGCTAGACACGCCTAATATCTCCCATACATGCATACGATAAGATCCAATGATAGCATAGCCAACTCGTTATAGCTATTGCAAGCTGCCGTTACATTGCAGTTATCTTCCAGGTATACTTCGCCGAACTAGCCCCAAAGACGCATGTAGAACGATATTGTGTACGCCTCTGATCATCGACCCGCTCGATTGGTAACTATCCTGAGCAAAATCAATGCAGCGGCCTCGTAGGAGCAATTGTCAGCGTGTACGCCATCCATTCTCCAAAGACGGAACTTGGATCATCGGGCTTCTCACTGCCCTTTTTGCCACAAATGTTGTGATTCTATCCATCTCTGGGCGAGCGGAGCTAATTTATGTGAATTAGCTTAATGCTAATTCAGATCTAGATGCGGTAACTTGGGTACGACAGAAGATCCGACCACAACCTAGACAACTTATTCTGGATGTACCACTCGACATCGAGCCTAGTATCTATTTATTGAAAATACCCCAGTCATCAGTAGGAGCGTCAACTGTTACAGTCACACGATATGGTCCGCTACACTCAGTGACAAACTAGACGCAGGTACGCAGAGTTAGCAGAGATCCGCTCACCTTCCCTCACTGTAACCTTTATATATTTGCCGCTATTTTATGAGCAATATTCTATGAGAATATAACGCAGTATTATCAAAGGGTATTTGCCTTTTATACGCGGTGATGCTGGGTTCCGAAAGGCACCCTCCACTTTGGGTTTCTTTCACTCTAAATTTTGCACAGGTGAAAGCTAACCACAGTGAAGACCTACGAGAGCGCATTCCATCCTATGATGTCAGCCCTCAAAACGGCTCAGCTGCTTCTTTGCCTCTCATGGAAAGCTTCCCTCTCCCAGTACCTCGTCCCCACTAGCTTCAACGAGTCCCTTCTAGCACAACATAGAGCAGTTTGACACTAGAAAACAGGCAAGCCTTCGTTATACAATCCCAGAGATTCGAAAGAACTCAAGCTATTCAAATCTATGGCGCCCCTACAACTATTCCGCAAGAAGCTTACGCCGAAGTCGCACTGGAAACGAAGATTAGGAGTTAAGTTGCACACGACTTTGATGTCGAGAGGGGTGAAAAGGCATACGATGAAGGTAACCTCTCATCTACCGCGCGAACTCACGGCGGAACAAGTCGAGGAGGCGCAATACCTTGCCAACATTGTCCCTCAGAGTCAGCGCCCACCAATAACAGCCCAAGAGGAGATGAGCAAGAGGCAATCCCCTTCTGCGAACACCGCGTTTGTGTCCTCTTTATTGACTGTCCCTCCCATCCCCGAGGCTCATATGATTCTACCCTCTGTTCCCGTTGTATCTCAGTCGCCAAACATATCCGACTGGGAAATTCAAGCTTTGAAAGGCATCAGGAGGAACAAGTTGAGTCTGGACAAAGTCTGGACAATGAAGACTTGGAACATGAAAAGCAACATCTCCCAGAGGCTGAAGTTGCTTGATGATGACGGGTATGACATCAAGCCCTTGCTCATCAAAGGTACGACTAGTGCTCAGGTTACTCAGGCGGTGCTTGATCACATCGAAGATCGAAAGCAGCAGATTGCAGTAGTAACTGCCTCGGACCCAAAACAGGACGTGGAAAACGATGCCACCCAGCTAGTCAAAAATCATGAACACTTTCATCATGCAAGGCATCTTGAAGATGGGTCTCTCGAGACTGTAGAAAGCGAACCACTCCCCGAACGTCGCCCACATGTTACCGAACCCATGACACCACAGAAACGCAAGCATCAGCATGACTATGATGAGCAAACACGAGATGACCCAGAGGGTACAGGAACAGATAAGACCTCTATCCCACCACCATGCACATGCGGACCAGCGAGAAAGAGGCCCCGCATGTCGACACCGGCGGAATCGGAAAAGGCGATACAGAAGGAGGCGTGGAACCTCTTCAAGAACAAGGTTGCGCGCGACATCTTCCAATCCTCTCGAGCGGCATGTAAGGAAGCTGTGCCAAATCGGTTGTCTATAGTAGATCCAGTATCCGCACCACTACCAGCGTTCTTACCCAAGCCACCCGTTCCCTCGTCCCGGATCATCTTCACATCCACAGACCCCTCGTCCAACACGCGTACCCCAAGTGACGTTCGTATCGGCTCGCGCGGTTTGGCTTTTATGATGGACGAAGTCAAGTTTTTGTCTCATACCCAAGATGAACAAGGCAGACTGTACATCTGCGATCCGGAAGCTGCCGAGGACCGAGAAGGCGACCAAAATACAGTCCGCTTGATGGAATACAAGCCCACAAATTCAACTGGAGACTACAGCCCTATCGACGGGGAGTACCGAGGCCGCATCCGTGTTTCCGAAGACTTATATGGTCAGGTCATCATGCACGGTGATGCCTTTGCATTGCAGGGCTTGATAAAGCAGCTGCGAAACAATGATCTGAACCACATATCCAAGTGGCGCTTCGATGGCAAGGAGGTTGTGCGGGAGGACAGTATGTCGTGGTCGTTGAGTAGTGATACGCAAGACGTATTGGCGAAGATCGAGAAGATTCTTGAGGCAGGTCAGGATCGAGGTGGGGTAGTGGTACGTGTTGAGCAAGTCTACAATGGAAAGAAGCTGCGCTACAGCTGAAAACATCGCGGTGCAGACCGATGTGGGTGATTGAGAAGAGCCATACATGGTGAACTAGGATAATGATGTAACTAGGAGGATCGCGCGTTTTTTGCAACAAATAGAGGAATCTACGGTGGAAGAGAGGAGAGATACATCGCAAATCAAAATTGGAACAACTTCACAAAGAGTAGCGGATCTAAATCGGGATACATTTATGCCTTGTTTGGATATGACGGGAAAACGTGATGTCGGATGTGAGTGCCCTGACGTATTGCCTAATTATTGTATCAGTGGATGTATCTTAGAAGAAAAGTATCCCCGACTGCCAAATTAGGTATACTCAGGAGCGCTGACATGAACTTCTTTGTAGTTTTGATTTGCTTGGTGAAGTTGTTGAACCTATATCTAGTTCATTCGACACTGCCGCTCATCTCACCAAAGGCCCCTGATCTACTCTCACTCACCCGCCCAAATCCAGATTCCTCGGCTTTCCGCCGCGTCGGTCAATAACTGGGGTGAATTTCACACTCACCTAAGCGCCCGGTCCTATAACAATCCTTCCTCATCCTCGACCCCAAATACCCATTAACAGGGCAATCAACTTCAACCAAGCCACAATACCGCCTTCTGAGCATACTTTTCAGCTTTCCGCTCACAACCTCTAGAGTCGCAATCATGCCCCCACGACAGAAGAAAACAGCCCACAGCATGAACAACAACGAGGCCGCCGAGACCGAGAGCGGACCCTCAGACTACCACCGCAACGAGGGCCAATCCCAACCACCAGCCAGCGCGCGAAACCAGCAACACCCAGCAGTCTCTACAAACCGCGGCACCCACAACGACTTCGACTACCTCAATATCCCGACGCCCGCCCCAGTGGAGGTATCCTTACCTAAGCCACGGACATTCAACTTCCCCAACGCGCAGACAGAGGCCAAGTACATCGCTTGCATGCGCGGAAAGCTCCTTGAAGCGAAGAACTACATACTCAAGGAGCAAGAGCTTGGTCTCGACCCTGACCGTCCTGGCATGCACAAAGAGCTGACTGCTATCCTTCTCGCGCAGCCGCCTATCAAGATCGATATGAATGCCCAGCAGCTGGTGCGACTTCTGCTTCTGGGAGCGGTGCAGCTTAAAGAGCTGGCGAGAGAGAGAACAGCTGAGGACCCTCAGGTGCTAGAGGCGATGGCTGATTATTGGCTGTTTTGGACGCAGTTGCGGGCTATCCTCGTGTGGCAGATGCCTGGGAGGGATGAGGGTCAGAGGGTGGAGCGGGCAGATGCGATGATGAGCGAGGTGTTGGAGAAGATAGTTGAGCCTTAGGGAAGAGCAGAATATGTGGGACTGGGTGGGAAGAGGTCGGGGTGAGCGGCCGTGACATCCTGTTTCACATGATTTCGAGTGTGAGGAACACCAGGGGCGGGTAGACATATTTGCATCGTGCTTGCGCAGCATGTGCTGTTAGAAGAGATTCCTCATCGACTGAATTAGACTACTCTTAGTTTCCCAGTAAATGAATCGACTCACGGGCTTAGGAGCTGCGCCTACTGTCATGTCCATCCTGGAAGTCGGCGCACTGACTATCCTATCACGCCCGACAACCTCTTAGAAATCGAGTTCTCCAACGACCTCAGTCGTGTATCCATGCTGCCTAGACGGACATATATCATTCTCCTCCAACATCCGTAAAGTCCGCATCAAGATCTGCGTTCCATACCGTTCCAGATATTGCACTGATCCCCAAGCCAACAGCGGTTGCTCCTGCACGAGGATTCTTGAATATGACGCTCTATGATGAATGTGAAGGTGGTGAGTAAACTTGTCCCAGTCGAGGAAAATTTTCTGGTCGCATGTTCGCAATGCATGTGATTCCGCGTGGCTTGTAAGAAAGTCAATGTACACGGCATCTTCCTTGTCAACGCCGCCTACTTCAAAGTCGCAAAGTCTGCACTCAGACCGTAGGACTTCGAATGCAGAGCGGGAAGTCTCGAAGGATGAATGCATGTCGTGTAGATATCGACAGGACCAGGATTCGCATTTGGGGTGTAGCTGCGCTGCAACCGTAGCACTTATGAATTCTAAACCACAAGTGGGACATGCGAATTTTCTGTTCCTATCGATCATTATTAGTAAGTGCTTTTAGTGTAAACTTCATGACGGAGAGTACTCACCCTCTTACCAGAGCTGTAGGAGCAGGTGCTCGATCTGGCCACCACGAGAGTTTACATGTACGATCTTTAAGATGCTTGGCCACGTGCTCTTCCCGTTCGGCCCAGTTCGAGCAAGATGTACCACAGAAGCCGCAGCGAAGTAAGAAAGGCGAGCTCCGGAGTTGGGGGTTATCGGATTTCCAAATTTCAAGAAGCCACTTCGGTACAGTTTGGGTTACTCCATCTAGTTTCAGATGTACTCTTTTGATATGTTGTGCAAGCTGGTCTTGCCTCAGAAACGTACGCTTGGGTTGAGGCTTATCGACGCAGCTGGGAAAGTGGTCTTGAACTATATGTCCTATAGTGACGTCGTTCTGTCGTCCGCAAATGTAGCACTCTGGGAGTTTGACATCATGGGTTCGATCTGAACAACATACCCAATGATACGGGTTATAGTGCACTGCTTCCTCGTGGCGGACCCACTCAAAGCGATGTTGGAATGTGATGGAACAGTTCGGCCAGGTACAGAAGTATGCGGGACATGATTCCGGTAGGTTGGTTTCTTCAGGCACTGGATTGATATACAACTTCATCGGAGACTTGCGCTTAGAGATGTCTGGGTCTATAGCACGACGCTTCGGGGGAGGCGGACACATCTCAACGGACTCAATCTGGGTACATTTAGTAATGCACAAGTAGAAAGTGCATAACAATAATTACCGTCTGGTCCTGGTAAAGACGCTCTATATCAGAAATGGGTGGTAATAACTCTGCAGGCTGTAATAACTCCGACTTTACGGAAGGACGCGTCCACCGTTTTCTTCCTCGACGTGAGCCTCTTGAGTCGATCGATATTCGACTGCTCCAGCTTTGTATGCTAATAGCGGAGCCAGCTGAGCTTTCAGAGCCAGCTGTGCTGAAAGCCCGCATGGGAGAAAAGGTATCGCTAAAGAGTCGACTCGTCTGAGAAACATCTAGTCCAAAAGTCCTGATGTGGGACCCTAGCGCGCCAAATGGAAGGGCCTCTTCGCTTGCTGGCGTTGCGAGGTATCTCTCGAGTGAAGAACTACTGGGCGTGGGTGAAACTCTATCGAGCGCGTCGAGATTGGCGGCTGAAACGTTGCTCACTGGGGACACATCTCGGATGATACCACCAATATCCATTGTATGAAGGTCGCTATTCTGCCTCTCAGAGGGTCTCACTTCTAGAATTTGTGGTTAGCAAACGTGCGAGGCTATCCATGTCCGACGAAATGAAAACTTCGCCACAGCGAAGATAAGTAGTCATATACTGCCTCTACGAAAAGCCAAATCTCATATGATGCGAAGGGAAAGTCTACTTACGTTCAGGCGCATTCTTGCGCGACCTTGCATTAGAAAACCAGTTCTTAATCGCGCGTGTGTCGAGCCCTGTCCTACTTGATAGAACCGCGGCGATATGGTCGCTAGGGTATGGATCAAGCAGGAATTCTTGTTCCAGCATATTCCTTGCAGCAGGAGAGATTTTTGTTCGTCGATGCTTCGACTTTCCTCCAGTTTTGCTCTCTTCTTGAAAGGTTCCGCGGCGTTTGGCTGTTGTCGTAGGTCGTTCTGGTTTCTTTTCGACACGATCATTAACGCATTTCGCCTCCGTTATGTCATCTTCTGTGGGAAAGTTCCTTGTATCTACAGGGTCGAGTGCATTGTGTATGGCAGGATGGAATGAAGAGACATCTTGAGAAGGAACGAGGATGTTAGTCGGATCGGAGAAGAGATCTGAGGCCGAAGACTGGGGGCATGGCAGTCCATCATTACTGAATAAATCCTGCTGGCTGTCAATCTGAAGAGGGTAGACTGGACAAGTGGATTCTTCGAGTTCCGGAATGCTCAAGTCGTCCAATCCAGAGATGCCATCGGGTATGCTCACGGTCCCATCGAACCAGGATGGTGGTACATATGAGTTTTCATTTGCGAAACATTGGGGGCCTCCGAAAGCGTCGAAGTTGAACAGGTCGTCGAACTCATCAGGCTGAGCAGGGAGGCTCCAATCAAGTGCCATCGCCGAGGCCGGTTCGCCGAAGAGAGAGATCAAGTGGGAGAGCGCGAATTACAGCGATAGAGGTTCTGGTGGCTAGCGGGGGGTGAGTAGCAGACATGGTGTGCAACAGCGGTAGAGAGCGATGATATAGAATGAGGCTGAATTACAAGGTGAGCGCGTTGATTTTCGAGGTTGCGAGAGTTGAGCAGGGATGCGTCCAGAGTGGCGTATGCCAGCCTATCAACAGGGAACACACTACGTCAGCCCTCGCGAAGAAGGGCAAGGTGAGATGACAACACGAACAGGATCGGTATATGCGGAAAATCTAGGTTTGGTACTAGATGCTGTCTCATACTCACTGTCCTGACATGAAGTCATCACTGATCGACAGGGTCTACCCCACTTCAACGTGGGGCATCTGCCCACAGTTATCTTCCCATGGTTCTATCCACTAATCAGACAGCTCACGATATGCCTTACACACCAGCTCAACAACCCCACCGACCGTTTCTACCACCCTCAAGTTGCCTCACAACACTTCTTAAGCCATCACGACAATGGCCACGCCCTTCGCGAAAGCCCTCTCCGCAATTGACGCAGCGCACGCCCTCGACCCAACCCAGATAACAGTCCACAACTCCTCAACACCCTACGAACTCCACTATGCGCAAAAATGCACCTCGTACCTAGACCAGCGCGCGCCCTCTGCGTCAGAACCCCTCCGCCTCGCAATCCGCGCCCAGCACTTCCGCCGTTGGGAAGTGCCCCGCTCCACCTACCCTATGACACGCATCGGCTACCACGCATGGCGCACGTATCTAAAAAAGCGACAAGCCGAGCTAGTAGAGGAGATATGCGTGGAAGCAGGGTACTCTGCCGCTGATGCAGCGAGAGTGGGCGCGCTGATACGCAAGGAGGACTTGAAGGCTGATGAGGAGACGCAGGTCTTGGAGGACGTGGCGTGTCTGGTGTTTCTGGACGATCAGTTCGAGGCGTTTGAGAAGACGCTTGATGAAGATAAGATTGTGAGCATATTGAGGAAGACGTGGGGAAAGATGACAGAGAGGGGGCATGAGTTGGCGCTGAAGATACCCATGAGTGGACGGCCGCAGGAACTTGTGCAAAAGGCCCTTGCAGGCTGATTCAATTAATTCATTATTTTAATAGTGTTATTCGGAGTTGAGGTATCATGTCTGTACAGGTGATGTAGGCTTCAGACCTAATATGTCGTCCATATTATCTTCTCGGGAAGGTAATCCATCATTCTAGGCCGCTGGGAAAGTTGCAATTGCGTCGTGATTAGGTGCGCATGTCTATGCGCCACCCTCCCTCTTAGCATATTCCTCCTCAATCCTCTCCTCATACAATCTTTCCGCGTCCTCCTCCTGCTGCGTCTTCTCCGTGTGGCTTGCGCTCGCTACGCTCTGAGTCGATTGGTTTCCGACATGCTGCGCTGTCTGCGCCGTCGTAGAAGAGGTGGTGGTGGAAGTGGACTTGGTCGACGTGGAAGGATCTGCGACCGGCATCTTGGACGTTTAGAAATTGAATTGTCTGGAATGTGTGACTGGTTTAAGGTTTGAAGTAGTTGTTTGATGCTGGTGCAAGTGTTCGTGATCGGCTGCTCTTATACAACTGTGGTGTTACGTCATTCAAGTGGCGGTGGTGTGGCTGGAAGCTTCCACGGCTTGTGATTTGCCACTCTACTTTTCTCACCTTTCTGCCGCATCTTTTGCACGTGAAGCCGCTGAGTCTGTTGCTTATCGTGTGAAAAATACAGCTCGCGTTCGACTATTGTGAATTGGTATTCCGTGTCTCACACGTTGACGTTAGAAAGTCACAATGCCTCACTATTCACATATTCGATGGTAGGGCCATCACGTAGCTTCATAACCCAAGAAACGAATTCGAGCACCTATAACTTCTGTCTTGGGAAAGGCTTTGCCATTATCGGAAAATGAACTCCAAGATGTTGATCAACTGGCTTGTCTTGCTGATATCTGCTGTAATCGCCAGTTCCTTCGGCTCGGCGAACCCACCGTCTCTGGCCCAATCAGCACCGGCCATGAGGGCAATCATAAAAACATTTACATCCACATCAGACCTCTGTCCGTCCTCACTAACTCAGTGTGGCTCCATCGACTGCTACGACCGCGCAACCCACAAATGCTGCCCGGGCAAGAAGAACTTATGCGGAATGACCGAAAACTGCGTGGAGGTGCAGCTTGCAAACAACACAATAGCACACGGCTGCTGTCCTTCTGGTAATCTCGCATGTGGCGACACCTGTTTCGACACCACAACCTTCAAATGCTGTGCCCAGCCAGTGGGGGCTTTCGGACTCTGTCCTGCGGGCGCAGATTGCTGTGCAGATATGTGCTGTGAGGAAGGACAGGTCTGTGCAAAAGCTGTGCTTGGACCTCGTTGTTGGCCAAAGACAGCACTGGGTGACTTGGGGGAGAATGAAAAGCCTCTAGCGGCCGCGACGAGTGCGGCTGCTGCTACCACGCCGGTGTCGGCAACGAGTGGTGGCGACACGGTCCAAGCCAGCGTCAACGTGTCAACGACGAAGAGTAGCGGCGGTGCCAGACCTGTCGTCCCACGGCTGTTGTCAACTCTCCTACTCTTTGTCCCATCCGTGCGTACAAGCTACATCTTAAGCCCTGTAAATCTTGAGTGCGACATACCAGAAATTAAAGACCCTCGAGAGAGCCAGTAAGTTGCAGGATAGCTCGAAAAGCACGGCAAGGACTGATGACGTAGCAGAGTGGGATGCGGAAGGTGATCAGTCCGACAAGAAAGGTGCTTCGAGCTGGATATGACGGCGAAAGTGAGTAGCTTTATAGTATTCTGCTTTCATATAGTTATGCTTAGTAAAGTTCAGGTATCAAATCGAAGATATCATTTACGTGTATACGGCTCAGACTTGCCTTTTGTATACTTCAGTGACACCAAGTGCTTGTACGATATATCGTCTATTGCTAGACGCAGTGATCGGAGGAAAAAGACTGGTGCCTCCGCAATTTGCTCCGTGGTGTAATCATTGCCATAAGAAGGAAAAGAGGTAGTACTAACCTGCTCAAGTAAGCACATGCGTGCCTTTTGTTTTTCCAGTCTCCATCTTTGCAGTCCGGGCCCCAAATTGCATGGCGCGCTTCTTCTCGGCTGCAACACCTTTAATATTCAGCTGCCACGCAAGCAAGCGAAGCGCTCTCTTTCCCGGCTCTAAGAAGTACGCAGGGTCTTCAGATGTCTCATCTTGAGCATTGCCGAAGTCACATTTGGCGGCTACTGGGAGGTCGAGCACCATAGTAATGAAGTCTTCGTCGAGATAGGGGAAGCGTACTTCTTTGCTGGAGTTGCTGATGACCCTGTCATCCCGCCCGAGATTGCGCTTCCCAAGTCGATTGAAGTCAAGCTCGAGCTCTTCGATGAGACCAAGATAGCCTTTTCGGGCAAAAGCTGTAGCATGTCGCTGATAGCCCCCAAATAGCTCGTCGGCCCCAAGGCCGGAAAGAAGCACATGCGCAGATGTGGCATATGACTCTAGTGGACTGGACTGTGAGGAACGAGTGCTACCTATGCCACGCGAAGCGAAATATAGAGCATACGATATTGACAAGTCCATCTCAGTATTGTGAGGGTGCATTAGGGTCATGACGGTCGTACGATATGCTTGAGTCTCAGTGTATGGTACATTGACCTCGACGAAACGCCAAGTACGACCGGGGCAGATTTTGATAAGCTCGGCATGTGATGATCGCCCAGTGATGCGATCTGGGCAAAGCTCGTATGGACTGTTTCCTGGATCAAGCTTCCCGTGGATTCGGGGATTTTCGAAGGCGACGTTGAGGAGATCGATGGTCTCGCTCGCGGGGAGTAAGTCGTGACACATGCGTGCAAGGATAGTGCAGTCAAGGCCACCCGAGAATAAGACGGCTACTCTCGCTTCTTGATCAAGTGCTCCAGCTACACTTGGTTTCACAGCTTCGCGGACATGTTGTGTGCGAAGTTGAAGAGATCTTTCGAGTGAGATATGTAGTTTGCTTACAATCTGAGCACGTGGGTCATGGAGTTGCTCGGAAACTGTGCGGTTCATGGCAGGGAAGGGGAGATTCTGTCACGATTAGCAGGACCCTCAGACCCGATGACTTACCTACGAATGATAGTAACGCGCCCGCTTCTTGATTTGGACCGCGGTGTGGGATATGTTCCGGGCAAAGCGATGGTGGTTGTGATGTTTCAATGGGGAAGTTGACGATGTAAATGCCATCGGCTTCTACTTCCGTCCACGCTTCGCCAGAAGCGTTGTCGCATACGCTAGATAATATGAGTGTGCCATCTGGCGCAGACTTCTTCAGCAGCGAGCGCCTCCCAAGGCAGTCGCGTCCGTAGTACAGACATCTACTCGTCGCATCGTAGAAGACAAAAGCATAAGGTCCTCGAATTGAGGACAGGAGATTGATGATTGCCCGTTTGGAAGCATCTGGAGAGCTGGTACATGTCGCCAAAAGCTGCGCGAGGACAATCTTGGAGTCATTGCCGGTTACAACCTCGCCGTGGATGCTCCATGCTTCACCGTTCCAGCAGAGTACAGACCCAGTTGCCTCATCTATGAGAGGCTGGGCGACCACTGTACTGCCTCGCAACGACAGCACCGTTGACAAGAAGGTTGCGTGAAGCTGGGATGAGGTCTCTTCATCCCTAACCTGCAATGGCTTGATCAAGGTTTGATGTAGTCCAATATGATCCGGTCCTCGGCTCTGAAGAAGTTGCTGCGTACTTGCATCCGGGGCTACGTAGCCGTGGCAGCTGAGCGAGCAGAAGATGCCGCACATGGCAGGGCTGTGAGTGTGGTGATTGAATAACGGTGTAGAGCTGTTCTTCATATGCTTGACGCTAGCGGGGGTGGCTCGGAGATTTGGCTTCCATCCGCCGACAACTGGCCATGCGGACAACGCTCACATGTAGGCGCAGCACAAGACTGGCCAAGAAGACCTCTTACGTATAAGCTGCTCTGTTGGGCTTTCTATACTTCTATTCAGTGTTCATGGAATCTTTTTGATCCGCCCAATCCCACTCTGACCTTCGTCGCCGAACCGGTCCATGTCTCCCCCGACGGCACCTCCGCAACTCGATGAAGCTCGGCACCAGACCCAGGAAGAGAAGTTGGATGATGTGGTAGATAGACAGGGGCCCGCAGCTACAGTTTTGGAAGACACCCTCTTAGAGAAGACTTCTCGGTCTGAGGAGAGGGGCAATCATGAAGACATGACGAGCGAAGCGGGGCAGGCTATCAAGTCTGAGGCAGAGGTTGGAGAGGCGGTAGAAGTGGCAGATAAGGACCAGGTTGTAGAGGAAGAGCCAAAGTCTGCTCCTGCAGCGGGACGGCAGGTGGAACCTACCCAACCAATATCTGCGGAGCTCGAGGACAAGCTCGCAAACAAGACAGAGAGCATGGCTCGATCTTCAACAACAACACCGCCACCAGAACCCACACCGAAAGCCGCTGGCAAGTTACCTGTCCGCTCGCCTTCGCCCCCACCTCCGCCTCCGAAAGACGACAAATACCTCTCGACGAGTAATGTACCCAGCCGTACCACATCTCCACTATCACAAGGGAAGTCGAGTGGGAGGAACTCCGAGGACAACGCGGCAGCAGAATACGCTGCGAAGTACGATGGCGGGGAAGATGCCGTCGATGACTCGCAGACAGAGATCCAGAGCATCATGGAGCAGTTCGAGGGGAGCGGAGGGCCGGGCGCAGACGACATCATGTCTCCACGGCTAGAGCTGGCAAGCCCCATGCTGGAGTCCCCATCAACCGCCTTTCCACCCCGACGATCGAGTCTGGTGCCACTCGATAAGCCGCTCCCCACCCCAGCCGACGACGCGGCTTCGATTAGCCCCCTACACTCTCCGCCCCCAAGAACATCTTCATTGTATCGCGTGGGGACCAACACATCCTTCGAAGAGCCCACCTCGCCTAGCGCACACGCTTCCAAGTACAAACCTATCCAGCCAGCTCCAGAGCCAGAACCAGATTTACCCTTCGATTTTCATCGTTTCCTGGAGCAGCTGCGTCACCGCACAGCAGACCCAGTCGCCAAATTCCTGCGTTCCTTCCTCCTTGAGTTTGGCAAGAAGCAATGGATGGTGCACGAGCAGGTCAAAATCATTGGCGACTTCCTCGAGTTCATCAGCAAGAAGATGGCACAATGCGAGGTATGGCGGACTGTCTCTGACGCCGAGTTCGACAACGCAAGAGAAGGTATGGAGAAGCTCGTCATGAACCGGCTATACAACCACACCTTTTCGCCGGCGATACCACCCCCAGAGCCCGCATCTCCGCGGAAAGGAAGGCGAAGACAAGAGCCACCAGGCCCAGGGCGTAGAGGCCAGCACCAAGAAGACGTCGAGCGAGACGAAGTACTGGCTCAGAAGGTGCGAATATACAAGTGGGTCAAAGAAGAGCACCTGGACATCAAGCCCGTCGGAGACAAGGGCAGAAAGTTCCTACATTTGGCTCAACAAGAGCTACTAAAGATCAAGAGCTACCGGGCCCCAAGGGACAAGATCATTTGCATCTTGAACTGCTGCAAGGTCATCTTTGGCTTTCTTCGCACGTCAAACTCGGACCAGTCTGCCGACGCCTTCGTTCCGCTCCTCATCTACACCGTACTACAAGCGAATCCCGATCACCTCGTTTCCAACGTACAGTACATTCTCCGCTTCCGGAACCAGGACAAGCTTGGCGGTGAGGCAGGCTATTACATCTCGTCACTCATGGGCGCTGTGCAGTTCATCGAGGGCCTTGACAAAACTTCACTTACCGTCACCGACGAAGAGTTCGAGAAGCACGTAGAAGAAGCCGTATCTGCCATCGCCGAACGCCACGCAAAGGAAGAAGCAGAGTCATCCAACCCACCCCCACTCCTACATCCCACCACACCGAACCACAGACGCATGCCCTCACCACACTACCACCACATCGTAGAAAAGGCAACCCCCCTCCGGCCCGAACTCACGCAACGGAACTCCATGGAAGCAGAACGCGCCGGGGGCACACGTCGCTCGACCAGCGTGAAAGGCCGCAAGACAGAAACGGATCCGCCCGAGGAGGAAAACGCCGCTGTAGCAGGCTTACTACGAACGATACAACGCCCCCTCAGCACAATCGGGCGCATCTTCTCCGACACCGATACAAGCACCACCACCACATCAGGCCCAGCCACCACACCCCAGCAGGGCAACACACCGCGGCCCTCTTCAGATTTCCCCGGCCAAACAGCGACATCGCAGATGAACGAGAAGCAGCAACGACCCTCCCACGAAGAAGAGCGGCACACGAAACATAAACTCTCAGCCGACGAGGCAGCGGCACGGCAGGCCGCCGCGGAAGCAAAGCAGGCGAGGAGGATACAGCAGCAGGAGCACAAGGTAGTGGTCGAGACGCTGGCGGGCATGTTCCCACAGCTAGATCGGGATGTCATCGACGACGTGGTGCGGCAGAAAGAGGGCCGGTGAGTTTTCCCGCTATTTCCCACTCGCTTTAAACACAGCGATAGAAGCTAATTTTGAATACAATCTAGTGTCGGTCTAGCCGTGGATGTATGTCTCGCGCTCGCGAACCCATAGTCACGTTTACCTACCTCCATGCACGAGCGAAGTTTTGAAAGGAATAGCGTCTTCCATAGCATGACGGTGATCAATGTTAATACGCGGAGCTAGCTGCTGGAAGCAGAGCTCTTCATGTTTCTCTCTCCCACACATATACGCTCTTCTCAACATTGTCTAGCGTTTTGTTGTCTTCTTGAATGCATCGTGATGTACATACTACGCTGCCCCTTTGCATAGCCATTATACCGTCCCCAGCGACCCTTGATGTTCTCCCTCGCACTCTCTACTATGCTCGACACGGTAACATGGTGAGATCCATTCACTTGTCTTGTGGTGCACGCACTGTACAATGCGCGTGGACAGGTATAATAATCCGTAGTGCCCCTTTCCTTTGCAATATTTTCCGACTGGAAACTATGTTGTCGTATGATCTCCAGCCAAGCTTTTAATCCTTCTCCTTGGTAACGCCGCGCTGACGCCATCTTCGAGCCTAATAAAACTAGCTCTACCGTTAGGCGTGTGCCTGCGCCGGGGAATTATCGGCAGGAGCGTCAAATAGGCGCATGTCGAGGCCGCGCGTGTCGAGTAGACTCGCATTAGCACCCGTTCGTCTTTCTCGGATTGCGTAATTCAGCCATCTTTGTCGCCGTGGTTCCGCGTCATCCCCAGTTCCCCTGCGTTGGTCCCTGGTTCCACGACTCGCTGTTATGGGTCTGCAGTGAAGGGGGAGCCCAATTGCCATTATCTTGTTGTACTGGTGCGTTTTGAGTCCAGTTCATGTCTTGGTTTCGTGAAGCGCTCGGGCTGTGGCTCCGTGGACGCGGAGCGGGAATGCCCGGACCGTACAAGAGTGCTCGTCGCTTTTGGCCCTCGGTTGGCGGGGGTAGGTCGGGCATGGGCTGCGGCGATGGCGTTGTCCACTGTCCTGGAGCAGGTGCCTCGTAGGACATGCTGTGCTGTTGTGGACTTCGACTTTGGTTGTCAAATGGGTTTCCACTATACGACATGGAGCTGGAGAAGGGGCTGTGTTGCGGGGCGTAGGTAGTAGGCGGAGTAGTAGGAAGGCCATGATAGACGAGTTGTGGCGGTTGCGGGGAAACAGAGGGCATAGACACCCATTGCGGAGGGTAGGTTACAGGCGGCATCTGCTGTGGTGGAGGAGATGTGTGAGGTGATGCATTCATTCGTCCATATAGCTGTGCTGACAAGCCTGCGGATTCACGCTGGAAGCGATCGCGCCAATGTGTGAAGCCAAATCTCAGACCAAAGTTGGAAAGTACAGATGTGAAGTTATTAATTGCATCAATGGCTCGGGTGGTAGGGTCTGCCAGCAGAGATTGACCATCAGGCAGTAATGGCAATGGGAAAGGTGGAGCGCTGATTTGCATCGGCGGCGCAAGCGGGTCTTCGGATTCCGTTTGAGACGCAGATGGAGTGGGAGGTATGGGAGGCCTCGGGTCTAAAATCATATCCATATTGCGCGACAAGACGTCCACAAACTGTCGACCCGTCATATAGGCGCGCATAGCATCGTAGAAGGTTACCGGGGGTTTGGTGATGTTGGATGGCTTGTGGAGAAGTGACAGTAAGTTGGTGGCGTATGATATACAGTGCTCGAATATCAAACGCTGGGCATATTCGTGTATGTGAGGGATTCGGGGACTTGGCGAAAGAATGTAGACGTAGCTGTAAAGCAATTCGAGTTCGAAGAATGATTTGATGGCCGGAAGGGTGCTTTGGGGCATGTCTTGAAACCACTCGGCCATTCGCTTGTAGTGTTTCCAGATGTATGGGTAAGGGTCTTGCCAGGGTTCACGGCCTGACTGGAAAAGGTCCATATACCACTCAGACTGGATCTCGCGAATCCTGAACAGATCGAGTGCTGAGTCGAAAGACTGCTGGAAGAAGTTTGACTGGGGCGATGAGTATCTCGGAGAAGAAGCCGAGCTGTAGAAGGGGAACGAGACGTGGGCAGCCTCGTCTGAAAAGGAGAAGGCGCGAGTCTGAACAAGGGAAGTGGATCGGTCGAGCGAGTATACACACCAATACACTCTTCTCCTAATCTCCAACTTGGCACGTGAAACAGCAACATTCCTAGAAGGGTCTTGATGAATGCCAAGGTCAACCATTGCTCTCGATGCTGCCCCAATCAGCGTCCAGCTATCGAAGTGATGAGGATCCATGGTGGCATAGATGGTCCAGAGTACGAGGGCTTGTATGCTGGTGACGTAGCCAGGATGTAGAACGTCCTCGGCATTCTCGAGGGCGGCGCTGACGTGGCCAACAGCGTCCGAGTACTTGGTATCACCTCTTTGGTCGGATTGTGACAGGCATGCAATGGCCAAGACCATGCGCACACTCCATCGGTCCCACGGGGTTGCATTGCCGCCTTGCTGGTAGATGGTATCTACGGATGAGTATAGGGTAGCCTCTTCGAATACTGGGAGGAGCGTGAAGATGTTGTTCAGGTAGTGCTGGATCAAGGGAGTGGCGGCAAACCTGGGAGGCAGGGCTTTGGTCAATCCGGTGGGCAGCGGCTCCTTGGTACTTGCGGATCGAATCAGGCGAGCGTAGGACATTTCGGTTGTGAAGCCGTAGAAGTCTCTCGCTGTGGCATTGACGGCGAGAAGGCCAAAGTCGGACACCAGATCGTCAATGTCTGACGCCTCCTTGCGGCGTGCGGCTCGTTTGCTGATGGGGCGAGCGGCTTTCAGCGTGTCGGCTGAGGTTCTGCGGGGCGTCGAGGTCTCGGACATGTCCAGCATCAAGACGGACGACTTTCTCCGCACTCTTGCTTCAAGAATCTTCTTTTCCAGGCGTTCCACTCTGGCCTCGAGGGTGGCCACGTAGCTCCTCTCCTTGCCCCTCGCAAACTGGTCGTTTGTGCTCGAACACTCGGAGGCGCGATTGGACTTTTCACACGCTGTGCAGGCGGGTAGTTTGCCATCGCACTTGACCTTGGCGGCTCGACATCGCGAGCAGGCGGCCACGGGCCTGCTCACCCGGAGCAGTGGCGTTTCCAGCACCATGAGTTTGTTGCTTTTATTTCTTAGCAGTGATTATGGGGACGACGCATGGTGGTGGGCATTGACGCAGCTGTCCCCATCCGATGCCAAGACAATTGGAGCAACCGGGCATAAGGACACACACGGAGTTAAGAGAGACGACTGGCTGGGGGCGGAACTCACTAGGCTTTAGTGGAATGTAGAGTGAGGGAGGGCGAGGGGGGTGAGGTGCGGTGTATTGAGGGGGTCTGGCGGGCGGTCCTTCTGGACTGGAATGGCAGATAAGCCGGAGAGGCTCGCCAATGATGCCCAGCTGCTGATGTTCTTGTGGCACGACGGGGCGCGGGCGGCGTCGTGGTGTGGAGAGGGTCGCGGGTGGCGCACCTTCACAGCGCTGTAGCGAGCAGCCGTAGTCTCGCCGGGTTTGTGGCCGTATCAGGGTCTAGAAGACGGCATCTCTCGAGGCCTGTGAGCAATTCTCGAAGGCTGTGGGCAAATTTTGACGGGGCTTGGGTTCGCAGAGTCGCGACGTGGGTGGGTGGGTAGAGGCAGGCCCAAAGCAATTACCGTAGGCACCTATCAGCAGCCTATCGCGTCCTCTGCCCAAGTCTTCGGCTCAAGCAAGCACACAAGCAAGAAGACTCGTCCTCGTCCTCGTCCTCTCCTGCACGAGTCTCGACCTGTCATGTCCAGGCGGCGCCGCATCTCCGGACGCTTTGTCATGCTGTCTGTATTGCATCTGGCCGTCTGATTGGCCCCTGTCCTGTTGTAAGCCCTTCTGTTCAACAAGCAAGCTGCCCAGGCCTCTCGAACAACCGCCGGGCCTCCGTCCGGGTTGGTTTGGTACATGTAGGTGCGTATTTCCAAGCCGTGCACAGGCAGTGAAATGAAAGACTGAGGTCATCCATCGTCGGTCAAGGACGCAGAATTTGGTATGGACTCAAGCATCTGCCTCCCCACCTTCGACACGAAGCACCACCACGACCCAGCCCTCCCCTCCTCCTCCTCCAGCGCCTACGCCTGCGCCTGCGCCTGCGCCCGGTGAGAGAGCAGCCATGGAAGGCGCGACGGCGACACAGACAAAGACAGAAGGCGCCCCGCTCCCCTCAGAGGAGGGTACCAGCGCTGGTCAGAGCCGCATCGCCCATACCTTGACAGCCTGTTGTCGCTGCCGCACGGTAAGCCATCCTCGCCAGCCTCGCCAGCAGAGCCTCTTCCCTACTACCACGACGACTGACACCCCGCCCAGCGCAAGACGAGATGCGACCCAGGACTCCCCCGATGCGGTCCCTGCGAGCGAACCAATTCACACTGCGAATACTACGACCCCACCAAAGGCAGGAAGATTGCCCGCAACTACGTCGTCCACCTGCAGCAAAAAGTGCGCGACCTGGAGAAGCAACTGGCCGAGCTGGAGCGGGAGGACGTCGAACCAGACCCTGAAGATGTCATGCGCGGCGCAGCAGCTGTGCGTGTCCAGGACTCAGACGAGTCCAAGTTCCTGGGGCCCTCGAGCGGCATAACCATCACGCGCCTGGTCATGCAACTGGCCAAGCAGTTCACAGAGTCCAAGAGCATATCCGAAATCGTACCACACGCGAGGCAAAAGTCCATCAAGGCCGCCTTCGCCCAGGAAGACGAGCGCCCCACCTCCAAAATCTATCCCCTGGTCAGCGATGTTGCCGCTGAAGAGCTGCCCAATCGAGATCTCACCAATCTACTGGTCGAGCTGTTCTACTGCAAAGGTACCCATGGCCTCGCATTTCGTAGCCGCCATGTCTGCTAACGAAATGCCTAGTCCACCCCATGTACCCCATCTTCCACGAGCCCACCTTTACCAAGGATGTCGAGGACGTCTACAACGGCTCGGTCGATCCTTACCAAAACTACTGTCTGCGCATGGTGATCGCCATTAGCCTGCAGAAGATGGACACGCAGTATGCAGGCTTGGCCGACAGCTATTACCTTGCAGCCCTCAAGTTTTTCGAGGCCGCCATCAAGCCAATGAACCTAAAAACCCTGCAGTGTTTCGCTCTAGTGGCTGGCTACTCGCTCCTTACGCCAACCAGGACTGCCGTCTACTACATCATGGGCCTCGGCGTAAGGCTTTGTCAAGCATTAGGCCTGCATGAGGAGAAGACCATCACCATGGGCCCAGGTGGGCGCTCAGCTGACCCCCTCGACGTGGACATGCGTCGCCGACTTTTCTGGAGCATTCTTACCATGGACTACGGCCTTTCCCACAGCCTCGGACGGCCCGCTCACTTTGCAACCAGACGAGAACACATCGATGTCAACTTTGGCGAGCTTGTCGACGATGCCTTCATCACCAAAGAAGGTATCAAGCCGGCACCCCAGGCATCCCTCAAGAAGTGGATTGGCATCCACTTTTACAAAATGCGCCTCCTGCAGCTAGAAATACGGAAAATGTTATATCAGCGAAAGAAGCCCGAGCCCAAGGACGACGACCATCCCTGGTTCACCGAAATGGTGGCAAAGATTGAAGCTTGGAGGGACACCAGCCCCGAGATGGACGGCGGATCAGGCTTGAACAAAGTCTGGTAAGTATCACATGCGTTGTCAACGTATCCCGTGACTAACCATGTGTTAGGTTCATCGGCAGGTACAACACAATGGTTGTCTTTATTTTCCGTCCCTCTCCCCAAGTCCCGCGGCCTTCTGTACAAGCTGCCATGCGCTGCTACGATGCATGTCAATACAACATTTACATGACAAAGAAGCAGATTGAAACCAAGTCCGTGGACATGACCTGGATCTTCGTCCAATCCATCTTCATGTGCATCAATACCATACTCTGGACCCTGTCTTATTCTGAAGTGCGCCGCCGCCACAGTCGCGACGAAGTGGAAGCCCATTTGAATGTGGCCATGGAATCCATCAGGCTCTCTTCTGAGCGATGGCCAGGAGTAGCATCTGCCATTCAGTTATACTATAACCTTATTGGCGCTTGTATGAAGATCTTCGACAAGGATGGTGACGTTCCCATCACAGCCACATCTCCATCCGATACCGCATCTGTCGTGTCGGGCAACATCGTGGATGGCATCAACAGGTCTCGGACAACAAGCCCAGCCTCGGCGTCTACTGCATCAGTGAGCACGCCTTCGGATAAAGTTCCTGCCCCGTTCGGCTATTTACCAAACCAGAACCAGCCCACCTTCAACAACAACAACGCGGCCAACGTCGCGAATCCTTTCTCGACCTCACCCAACATACAACATGCTTCACTACACGCATCGCCTCAGCAACACGCATCGCAACCGTATACTGAGCTGAGCCCCAAGACATCCATGGACCCCAGCATACCCATCTTTAGCTACCCGCCGACCACGCAATTCTCGCCTTTACCAACCACCTTCGCCGAACTTCCTCAGTGGAACCCAACATTTTCAATGCCTCAACAAGAGTCTTTCGGTATGCCCACGATGCCCATGTCGTCGCCATTCTACAACGAGGCGTACGCAGCAAATCAAGGCTACGAGGTAGCCGACTACCTCAATCCAGGGTGGAGCCAGGAGGCCAGAGGCACTGGCTTGAACCAAGAGCAGCAGGTGCAATTGATGCACGATTTCGAGATGAATGAAGCAAAGAACATCGAACAGATGATCCAGCAGAGCCACCAACTCTTCCCACCGCCGCAGCTACAAACGTACTGAAGAAGAGGAAGCGCGGATTTATTCTAAAAGACACCCGACATCGTATTATCTCCACGCAGCGCCTCATATCGACAACGAAATCTTGGCCACCGGCGGTACAGTCGATTCCGGGCCACGTTCCCCGAATTCAATGTTTGCGGTCGTGTCCGAGTCAGGAATCGTCCGCTCCTGTCAAAACGCCAAGCGGGAACGCCCAAAGACTGTCATGTCGATCCTGCCGATCCTCGCCATCTTATGGAGCTAGATTCGTCCGAACGCCACCGAAACAGGAATACCATAATCCGAATTCGATCGACCTCTATGAGGCCTGTCGGGATCTGGACCATGGATCCTCGCCACTGGCTACGGACTCGCAACAGAAGAAGGCATTTTGACCGATGCAAAGGTACCTAAGCGCGGCAGGTTTCATGCCTGTCTAGCAGGGATCACGCATCAGGACAGCAACGATACTAAAGTAGACAAGCCTTCCGAGGACAACATTTTTGTGGGCAGATGTGGAAGATTACTAGCATCGACTTTACCAACAATCAAACCTGGATGATGACTAATTAGGCCAGTATTACCCATGTATGCCAAGACTTGAAGAAGGATGGGGGTTGGAAGCTGTATAGGCTACACCAAGATCCAACGGACAGCCCGCGAGTAAGTGGACGAATACCGTAGACGGAAAATAGACGCGGAATTTACGATCGATTTCTCAGCTGGCTCTGAGTCATCTTCACAACAGTACATCTCTGTCCTTGAAAAGTTCCCGCTGCATATCAATATCCCATCTAACCTACCAATTTGCAGAGAGCTTCCGAGCTTTACAACTTATTCTTCTCTAACCTACCACCCACCAAAACCCTACCTCGAAGTCAATACCTTCTCTACTACCACCACCACCATCCACCCATCCATCCATCCATCACCTCCCCGTCCCCACCCTCTCAAACTCCCCATCAACCCACCCCAACATCCCCTGCACAACCTCCTCAACCCCTACCCTCCCTACTCCCTTTTTCCCTTCCCCTTCCCCTCCCTCTGCCTCCTCCCAAACCCCCCTCAAAACCCCACACACCCACATCCCCCCCTTCAAAACCGTCTTCCGCTCCCAATCATACACCCTCGGCCGATTCTCCTCCAACTCCTCGATCAGCTCGAGTAAACTCGCGCCCTGCGGCTCAGACTGGTAGTCCTCTAGGATGTTTTCCAGCGCGATTTGCGCGCCTTTGTGGAAGGGTTGCCGGTCTTTGGGTGGCATTTTAGGGACGGCGGGGAATGTGTAGGGGGTGGTGGTGCGGGTAGTTTCAGAGAGAGGTAGGGCGTGGTGCTTGTGCTGTTTTTCTTGCATCGCGTGCTGCGGGGAGGTTGTTGAGTCTGTTTCCCAGGATGTAGAGGATGAGGATGAGGCTTGGCTGAAGGAACGGATCGTGTGCTTGGGGTTGGTTACTCTTCTCTTTTTACTACTGCGAGTAGTTTTGCTTTCCTCCTTGGTGCTCAGCTCGGCAATGGGCGTATCGTGCATTTCTACATCGCTGTCTTCCGTGTCTGAAACTACGTACGTTGCGCTTTTGTAGTCTCTCGCTTTTCTGCCTCGTGGCTTTGATGGCGCTTTTTGGGGCGGGGCGAAGACCTGGCGTTGCTTTGGGACTTTGAGTATCACTATGAGGCTTTTGCGAGCGTCTTTTCGCGGTACGGGCTTTGTACAGGTTTGCGTGTTGTGCGCTTGTTTATTGCCCGTGCCTTCGACCTATGTATGGTATGTTAGCGACGGTGCGGAGAGTGTGCGGAAGAGTAAGTACGTACCGACCGCCGCGTTGGCGATGGCTGCTGATCGCTTGTTGGAGGACTTGCGTGCGGTGCGGTGAAGTGTAGCGTGTTGTCCTGGGGAGACATATAGCCCAATTTGTCCGCGTCCTGCAGCGTGCTGGTAGAATCGCGTTCGGGGGGTTCAGAGGACTTCATGGCCTTTTCGCGCCCGCCATGGGTAAGCAGTTTTCTCCTCTTCCTCGCAGCGATCGCACTGTCGAGCCTGCTGGTTATGACCTCCGTCTCATCCAGCTCTGTACTTCCAAGGGCCTCTTCATGCACAACCGCTGTTACAATGTCCTTGTCCAGCAGCTCATCCCTACTATCCGGGGTTTTTGTCTGCGGATCGGAGGCGCTTTCGCGCTTGATGAGTGGCGGCGCAGCATCCGCGACCCTCTTTCCATTCTCAAAATACAATGAACCAATGGCTTGTAGAACGTTTTTGAGAATGGATACGGCTGGTTGCCCCTCGGCGATGGCTCTTGGTGCGTCAGTGTCGATGGCGGCGTTGAAGGATGCGAGGCCGCGGCTCAGCACGTCAGGCATCAGCGCTGGATCGGCAACAAATCTGGCCTTGCGCTTGTATAGCTCCAAGAGAGATTCTACATCGCTGAGAGTCTCGTCAAATATTGCGCGGTTCTTGTCGGTCATGGTAGTGATAACTGAGAAGTTGATGCAGTGGGATTGGATGTGGAGGTGGAAAGAGCGAGTGAGAGAAGGCGCACGCTCTCTTGAGTGGCGGCTGTCGGTGCTTTGAACGACTAGAGTTGAGATAATGAAAGATTCTTAAAGCTGAGGTACCGGAGTGAAATAGCTGGAATCGGGCGTTGCGGTGGTCTTACCTCAAGTAGTGAAGACGGGAAGAGCGGTCGGAAGCCCATGTGATCATAGCCTTGAGCTACACTGAACTCTGCCTGCCAAGAATAGATATGTTTGCGCTCTGAAATCACTGAGTACGTACGTCATGTCTCACAGGTGCGAGAGACTTGAGTTTAGTACAATCATGAGTAGCGACGCTTTGATTGAGCGGAACAGTTGAGAACTTGCGGGCTACTGATACAGGGGCGAGTGAATCTGAGTACTATACAGTGTCTTCAAGGCCTTACAAGTTGCCTATCATTCCCTGCTTACCACCACTGTTTCCCCATCTCCCTGATCGTGTTGGTCCCACAATGCACTTCACCGCCAAAGGCGTGGTGTGAGTTCCAACTATCCAAGAACCTGACTTTCCAGCCTAGATTTTCATAAATGCTTTCAGTGGTCTCGGCTATGATATCTTTTCCATTGATCACTGGCCCCCAAGGGTTAGGCGCGAGGTATGTCCCGAATCCAGTCAGGACCACTCCGTTGATGGTCGCGGGATGCGCAGCGATGCACGCGAGTTCCTCGTCCGCTGCTCGTGGACCGTTATCTGGGACCTCATTGCGGTTAACATTGTAGAAGAGTATGGGTAGATGGTGGATGTCGGCGTCACTGATCCCAATCTCGGTTTTGAGAACGTCAACGTTCGCTTTGATACGTTTAGCAGCCTCGGTATTCTTAGTAGTAAATTCGGGGTCTGAGAGAAACTCGTTGATGGTCTTTTCGGGGACGGGCACCGAAAGCGAGCCGTAATTCTCGTCTGTGCACGTCTCTAATGTCACTCCGTCAATTGGGGCGTCGGTCTTGCGTGAGTACCATGTCACATCACCGTAGCCGGCCTTTTGAAAATCCTGAAGCATCTTCAGTGCAGCTTCTGGGTCGGCGACCATGACAGCCCATCCTCTATCTGTCTTCGATGGCACAAATTGCACAAACTCGTCGACGTGGCCTACATACAGCCACGCCGTGTCGAGCAGGATTGGATCTTGGACTTCCTGAGCATGGAGATACGGAAGGATATGTGGCTCATATGGACCATGTCGACCCATGATTATCCGACCAGCAGGCCACTTCTTTCCGTTGAACTCGAACGGCGGCGTGCATTCCAGGTTCCCCATTGAGTTGATCTCGTCTCTTGCGCCACCTAGCTGCTGAACAGCACCCACACCAGTATCTCTCAAGCACTCAAAGACTTGGCGTCCTGCTACGCGAGAATCTTGACTTGAGCGTAGATGTACGCGGAGTCCAATGGGTCCATCCGGCCCAGGCATGCTAGTGTACCTGTAGAACTGAAGAAAGGTGATCGTATTAATGTAGATCTATATGTAGGGGGAAGCTATATTTATATATATAAAAAAGTAAAACTAGAATAAGCTAGTCTATATATAAACTAGTATATTAAGCATATAATAAATTATATATTAAGAATTTAAACTAACAGCCCCTTTAAATTTTAATATAAGATAAAATAAAAAAAAATAGTAGCGTTATAGTATTATACTATAGTAAAAGTATTCTATATTAGAATTATAGTCTATATACTATTTACTATAGTAAAGCTATATAAAGTTATAGTTATACGCCTCTCCCTTATAATTATAATATTTATAAATTCTAATATAGTTAAACTATACTTCTATATAGTCCCCTGTAATGCTGTAAGTAGTATAAAGCTATTTAAATTTTAAAATTTAAATATATTTAGCGTCTTCTTAAGCTTGCTCCTGCTATAGTATATAAATAATAAAGTACTATTCTACTTTATAGAGCTTATAGTTATAGATAATAGTATTATTTATATTTATATTAGGTAGGTTAGAAATAGCGCTTATAGCAAGTGCCTAGTTAATAAGACTAATATTTTAGTAAACTACTTTAAATTTAATAAAGTTTAAAGCTTTTATAAGTATATTAGCAAGATTTTTTTTACTACTAATTTATTTAACTATAATAGAACTTTGTTAAACGTAGTTGCAGAAAAAGTAGTAATAAAAGTTAATATATTTACTATATTAGTAAAACTCTAGGTTCTTAGCAAGCTTAATAGCTAATTAATTATTAATATATATAAGCACTATATTAAAGTAAATGCCTATATTAAAGTTATTAATAAATAACTTAATTTATATAGCTTTTTTTACAGCTTTACTAAGAGCTATATACTTTGCTTTATATATAGACTAGGCTATAACCTTTTATATAATAGATAACTATAAGATAGGACTTCTTGCTAGTATAAAAATATAGCTAGTAGTAAAGTATTAAAAGTTAAAATATTTAGCTTAGTTAGTATTAATATAGCTTAAGAACTAAGGTTCCTGCTTTTTATATATAATACTAATTTTATAAGTACTACTTATATAAGCGTACGCTCTAATTATTGCGTTTATATAATATTATATTAAATTACTATTAAAATATTTATAAAAGAACGCAGCGTAAGCTAGGTTAATATATATTATAACTAATAAGTAGTTAAAAAAACTAAACTTTTAAAAATATTTTTTTTTAAAAGTAGAAGTAGTAATATTATTATTATTTTACTCTAGCTTAATATAATAATTATATAAAGTTTTAGTAGCAGCTATATTGCAAAAGTTATAGCAATTAAAAAGTTGCTAAATATATTTAGCTTAGTAAATTTTTATTATATTTAGACTTTATTTAATATATATTTCTAAATACAAAGTATTAGAGTCTTCTAATATAATAGTAAAAGCGTTAGATAGTTTACTTTTAAACTTATTAATACTATTCTAGTATAGAGCGTAGATTTAAATATTATTAATATAGACTAAAATAATTAGCTTTTACGCAGTATATATATAAACGCAGCTATTATAAAGTAAAATATAAAAGCTTATTTATATAAGCTTTATAATAAGCATTTTATACTATACGCAAGGCGCTTGCATAAGCTTATAAAAAAATTTAAGTAGTAACTATATATAGCTAAGAAGTAGCATAACTAAAAGTAGTAGTATATAGTAGACTATTTCTTAAAGTATAGTATTAAAAAAAGTAATAATAATATTAACTTATATACTTATTTATTTAAGTAGTATATAAATAGCAAGCAGTATACGTATTAACGTGACGGTAAAGCAAGCTATAAAAAAAAAAGTTTTAGTATAATTAATACTAAAGCACTATTAAAAACTACAAGTAATAAGACAAGCTTTAAATTTAGTAATTTTACTAATTAGTATAAGTTTAACTTTATAAACTATTTTAGTAAAGATAATTTTTTTACTTTTAAGTAAAAAGACTACTTTATAAATACTCTTTTTAAAAAGCAAATTAAATTCTTTTATTATTATATTATACTATACTTTTACTTTAAGTATTATTATAGCTTTTTTATAGTTACGTAGCGTGTAAATAAAAGATACTATAGTAGCTATAAAAGCAAGCTAGTTATATATATTTTAAAAGTTTCTATTAAGTAATATATTATTTTTTATAATAAATAAGTTTGCAAAATTACTATTAAGGCAGTTATTAATAGTAATACTTATGTCTAAAACTTGCCTAAAGCTATATGCAAAAAAAGCAAATTAATTAGCTTAAAAAAATTTTTTATTAAAAATATCCTTATTAAATATATTACTATTATTATTATTATAAGGTATTATAAGTATATAGGCTATAAACCTGTGTCCTTTATAATCTAGATTATAGGTAATAGTAAATATTATATAACTATAGTTGTTAAGTTTCTTATAAACTATATATATAGCCTTTTTTTTAATAATAAAAATATTGTTTACTGTCTTTATTATACACGTCTAATAGTATTTATATATATATAAATATTTTATAATTATATACTGCAAGCACAGATAACCTTTTATATAGTTTTATCTAGTAAACTAACAGGCTATACAGACGCTAAATTTAAAGTAATTAAAATTTCTATTAAAATAGTAGGCTGTCTACGTAGTGTTATTATTACTATAGTATTTATATAAAATGCTACTATTTATATAATATAAGCAGGAAATAGCCTAGTTATACTTATAGCCTTTTTTAATATAGTAGTTATAAAAGTTATTATTTTTATTAGTAAAAATTATATATATATTGCTGTTTGCAATATATATATTATATAAATATTAATTATTGCATTATAATAGTTTAAGTATTTATGCGTTTATGCAGTTTTAAATTTTATAGTTTTAATATATAGTATATTATTATTTTTTAAGTAGTATTTACTACATATATATTTGCACTAGTATATAGTTTAAATATTTATTAACTATAATATAATAGTTATATAGAGATTCTGTGCATATTAAGACTTTTATAATTTTTCTGCATTATTTGCAGCAGTTGCATGCACGCTACTACTTTTTTATTAAAAATAAAATGCACTTACTCTTTTTTTTAATATACTAATTGCATTTTATATTATTACTTAAGATTAAGCAGTTAAGCTATTATACAAGATAGTTAGTATAGATATTATTAATAAATTTATTAATTCTAAGTAGTTTAAACAGATTAAGTTCTTTATTACTATTACTATTTACTAAGCTATAATTATTCTTATTTAAAAATTATTATAGTTCTAAAAATATCCTTTAAAGCGTAGAATTAATAGGTATTTTATAGCTAACTATAGTAGTGTTGTTATAACTAAGCTAAAGCTATAAGTTAGAAATAATATTTTTAAGCAGAGCATTATTACTATTATTAAAAAGGCTAGACAAGCTGTTTCTATTACTTTTATTAGTAAAATTAATAGTTGTATTTTTATCTAGAAAAGTGCTATTATTTTTATTAGTAAAGTTAATAGTTATATATATTTATATAAGTGCATTTAATAACTACGCAGTACTATTAAAATATTATATAATTAATTATAAGTTAAATATAATATTATAAAGTAGTTAGTTTATAGAGTAATTCTTAAAAGTGTATATTCTTAAAGTTTAAAAAAAATTTATTTATTTATTTAAAAAACAAAGTTTTATAATTTAAGTAAGTTTAAAATATAAGCTTATACTTATTAGCTACTTCCTCTTTACTTAAAATTAAGTTACCTGTTAGTAATTAAGCGTATAAAAGTAAAATAAAATAATAGTAAAAATAAAAAGTAATATACTTAAATATTATTTGCGCGCTATCTTTTAAAACTATATTAATAGTACTAGTATATATACTAGTAATAAGTTTAGTCTGTCTAAAAAATAATCTTAGCATTACTAGTAGTAACAGCTAGTTTAAGCAATATGTGTAAAATTATATATATATATTACTTTTTATACTTACTTTATAAAGTCTTTATTATTAAAAAATTTGTCTATAAAAGTAGATAGCATAAAAAAGTAGCTATTAAAAGCAGACATAGCTTTATTATTACTATTGCTATTATTATTACTATCTAAGTTAAGTATTATATCTAGTACCTAAACAAATTTTTATAGTACGCAGTTATTAATATACTAACTATAAAAATAAATATTATTTATACTAGTTGTATTATTAACGTAAGCTATAAAAATACGCCTAACTTATTTAACATTAAAGCACTAGACTTAGCAAATGTCTTTACTATCTATACATAGAAAGTATATAATATATTTTTATAAAAAGTAGAGCTTTTATTAAATAATAATAGTAATATAGAGTTTAGAAGGCGTAGTAATATAAACTTATACTTTTTATATATTATTTTTACTAAAGTTAGGTTTCTTACTATAAAAAGCTTTATAAAAAGTCTTTTTATTTTATAGCGCTTTTATAAAAATTTAGTTTTTCTTATTAATAGCTTCTTGTATAGTATATATCTAAAAGCTTTTTAGTAAAGTAGTACTACGCAGTATTTTTTTAGTACAGTTAATAATAAATTTAATTATATTAAAAAAAAGTATAAAGTTTTTAATTATAGCTAAAGTATATTTATATATAATCTAATAAAAGTGCTTAATTACGCTAACTATATAGTAAGTGTATAGAATGCTAAATTTAATAGTAATACCTTTGCTATTGCAAAAGGCCTAAATAAAGTATTATAAAAACTTATTATTATATTATATATAAATAATAAGTTTGCTATATTTTATAAATATATATATAATAAGCGTAGTAAAAAGCTTTGCAATTTTATCTTTAGTAATAAATAAAATAACCTAAGTAAATTAAGTAGCGTTATTAATAAAAAATAGTATATACTTCTTGCTTTTTAGGCCTAGGACAGAATATAGTTTTTATATATTTATAATAATAAGTTGCCTAAATTTCTTATAGTAATAGCAGGCTAGATTATAGGAAATTTTATAAAAGGCACAAGTAGTATAGCAAATAAAATAAATATTTTTAATTTTAGCTTTAATTTATATATTTATAACCTTAAGTCTTTTGCTTACTTTAAGCAGTGTCTATATACTATTAAAACTTAAGTAACTAAAATAATAATGCTTTAACTAAACTAAGTTATTAAAATTAATAGTAGCAGTAGTAATAAAAAGTATAAGTAAGTACTAAAACTAAAGTATATAAATATTTATTTAAAAGTAAAGCAAGGCGTATATAAACTTTACTTTATTATTTTTTCTATATATTTTTATAGCAGTGCCTGTAACTATAATAATAAAGTTTAACTATATAAAAAGTAATAAAAATAGTAGGTTGCAGTATGCTTAAAGGGCATATTATATATAATATAGTTTAAAAATAATAAATTTATTATATAAATTAGTAATAACAAACTTAATATTACTTATACTAATAATATTAAATTAAAATTTTTATTTGCATTTTCTAATAGTCTTCTTATAAGGCTTAAGCTTAAAAAAGAGGGATAAGTTATTAATAATATAATAAAAAGCACTACTATTATAAATTTAATAATTAAAAAAAGTTAGTAGTATTAAAACTGCATATATAATTTATATAAATAATCTATTAATTTTATCTAAATTTTATATACTTTAGCTATTACTATTTGCAATAGCCCCCTTTGCACCTGTTTTTAGCTTATATTTATAGTTTTATTACATGTTAGACATAAAAGAGCAGTTAAGGGTAAAGTATATATATTTAAAGTTTAAAATATAAAAAAAATTAAAATTAAAATTATTAATTACTATTATAATTATACGCTTAAAATAGAGATTATTAATAATAGCAAAATTAAAGTTATAATTTTTACTTATACTTTTAGTATTTTTAATATTTTTAGTATCTTATTACTTTTTGCAATAAGTAACTTTAATATATTTAAGTTTACTATATTTAGTACACTTAGGAGTGTTAGGCTTGCTAATATAGTAATAAGTTTTAATAATATAACTAGTATAACTATAGTAACTATATATAAGGCTATTACTTATATTATAGTTGCTATTTTTATTATTATTATTATTTTTGCCTTTTCTATTGCTATTGCTTTTGCCGTTGCTGTTAGTATAAATATTACTAGTAGTATTATTAAACTTGTTTTTAGTAGCGTTCTAGGTATTTTTATAGTTATTAGTATACTTAGTAATAAAATTCTAGTAGTTTATTTAAGTTTTTTAAGTAATAACTTTTTTTTTAAAGTAAAAAAGGTCCTAAATTTTAATAAAAGTATAGTACTATTATAAAAAAAAATTTTTATTAATTTTATAAATTAAAATAGTATAAGTAAAGAAGCCTTTAATAGCATTAATATTTTTATAATAGTACTTAAAATTAGCAAAAAGCAGGCAAATAGTAGAAAGATTTATAAGTATAAAAGCATTTAGCTTTGCTTTAGTATAGTAAATAATAACTAAATTTAAAATTTAGTATATTTTAATAATATTAGCTTAAGCTGTATAAAGCTTTTTTTTTTATTTATTATTAAATTTATTTTAAATATAGTCTTCTACAGCATCTTTAAGAAGATAAAAAATAGTAAATAACTTTTTATAATACTTATTATAAAATTAAAGCTTAAGCTTATAAATTTTAAGCTTAGCCTTATACTTAAATTAGGCAGTATTGTTATTATTACTAGGCAAGGTAATAATGCTAAAAAAAAAGTATTAATTTTTAAAAAGTAGTATTATAGCTTTAAATATAGTTTTAGTATGTAAAGGAATAAGCTTAATAAGCTTAAAGTACTAAACTATAAAACTATTATAGTAGTTAAGTAAGCTTTATTAAGCAGTAACTTTCTTAAAAGCGCGCTTTTATTTATAAAAGTTATTAAAATTAATTAATTTAATAAAATCTTTACTAAGCGCCTGCTTAGTATTAATTATAAATAAAAACATATCTAATATTATACTATACTTAATATAGTAGTGCTTTAGTAAGTTAAATAAACGCAGTAGTCTTTAAAAAACATAGTAGTTAAGCAACTTAAATAAATTAATATAAATACTATAGTTTTAAAATTAACTTTATAGTTAAAAAGTAACTAATATAGTTGCGTAATAGTAGCGTAAAAAAAGTATAGTTTATTATAGCTAAACTACACGCAGGTGCGCAAAAAAGCTTATAACTTATAAAATTAAAAAAAAAAAATTGTATTAATATAAATCTATATATAAAAAGAAGCTATATTTATATATAGAAAAGAGTAAAACTAGAGTAAGCTAGTCTGTGTGTGGACTAGCGTGTCAGGCACATGATGAATCACGTGTTGGGAATCCAAACCAACAGTACCCCGGCTTGAGGAAGTCTTGCACCCAGGGATCGTCTTTGCCCTTGAAAAGAAAGGGCTCGGGAAGATTCAGACTATTTGTTTCCAATTTCAGATTCTGCGCGAAATGGTGCTGCCACGGCATGTTCGCCTCATCTCCCGCGACTGAAAGCAACTGCTGCACCTTATCGAGGTGGTTGTGTACAATGACCGGCGCAACACGCAGTTCAACTTCATCTATCGATGTCTCGCTCCCATCTTGGACCTTGAAGCTCACAGTGGCGCGACCGTCCCAGACATCGGGTCTGCGTGTGTCTCTTGCATCAATTCCAAAGTGTAGGCCGCTGCGAAGTTGCGATGCCGTGAAGGTGTGTTCATTCCGTACAATCTCCCAATTGCCCTCTTGTTTGTGAAAGATCCGAGTGAGAGGCCTTTGCTTGAGATCAGGAATCGATATACATCCGGTTGCTGAGTCTGATATATCGGTCAAGGGCACTGTCCGAAGAGGAGCTAGGTGCTGTGGGGCGCGCTGGATGTCATCTGATGCATCATTGCATGCCACCAGCTCTTTATCAATCAAAGGCGGTCTAATTATTGAACAGCGACGATTGGTATCGCCTATGTTGGGAAGGAAGATGGCGCCCCGCTCGTTGGTCCACTTCGCTTTTCCGACACAGTCAGAGGTGCCGGAGATGTCGACAATGCCATCGCGATTGACATCGGCACGAATGTTCGCTTTGAAGGCATACAAATTGGCTGCACCTGAACTAAATTAGACTGTATTCAGGATCTTGTTGGGTGCCCATACCTGAAAAACGAAAGACAGGATGGAAATGTATCTTGGGTGACAGAGTTCTACTTTGTATGCGATGGTTGTAGAATAGTAGTGGACCTCGCTGGAGACGACATGCTATCCTATACGCCATATTCAATTGTGCTAGAGGCACTTGGAGTTGACCCGGCGTACACAAAGGAGAGTCGATAGGGGCCTGACAAGGACAATGCGCCTCTTTGATGGGTCGCACAGCTAACACAACCTAGTCTAAACAAGATATCACCTCTAGAACAAAATAAAGCGAATGAAAAAGAACTAGGAAACAAATCAAAGTATTCATGCGTGAGGTTTGACAGAACTAGGCAGCGAAACAATATGATTGGCCTGAAGGTAGGCTAAACTCAATTATGCCTTAGTGCTACCCGTTTCATCCAGGCCGTGGGTGCAGTCTTCCGCGCCCATCTTCATCTCGACTCGGCCGCCTCGCGATGTTATTCGGATACCATAGAGCAGCTGTTTCTGATTCGACTTGTCTATTTTGTCGTCTGCTGTCCTAGGCCTCGTCTGGTCGTCTGGCATACGTAGACTCATAATCTCCGATTACGCCAACTTTATCTCCGAACCCATCTGGAACGAACGCGAAGTAAGGATTTCTCGATAATATTGTGCAAAGGCGAGATTTGAAGCAAGCCAGAGATCTGAAAAGCATCTTGCATGTTTGGTAAGATGCAAGAAGGTATTAACTAGTCAGCGTCTGTCCCTGGATCGCGAGACACATCTAAAGCAAGACAGTTATTATCCCTAGCTTTTCTAGATACTGAATATATGTTATCTGTCTTCCTAGATGTTGTGAATTGTGGCCTTACTCCTCCATTGTATGAACTCATTCTGATTGAGCATCGCACAATTAAAGCCTGTTTTCTCCAATTGACTTCAATTACAGCCATTAAGTCATTGAACTAGCAAATGAACGGCTGGGAATTCCACTGGAGTTGAAGCCTGCAGTCCGACGATGGTATCTGCACATAATGTCTTGGTTCTCCCGAACGCTCTCTACACTAACCAAAACTTGATACAACAAAAAGAAATATATAGTTGCAAACATTACACTACTGCCCAGAGCGTGCTTATATGGTTGATCTATAAGCAGCGAGTTCGATTCGGCTAAGAGCCATATGTAGCTATAAATTCGTGTACACATGTCAAGAGCACATTTGATGCCCTATCACCTAACTTTGCTTCCCCACTCACATATCTCTGAAACAAAGAGGATTGGTACCTCCCACGCCGCAAAGTGGCCCCCTCTGTCCATTTCCCTCCAATGCACAATGTTCTTGTAGTACCTTTCGCACCATTCCCTCGGACCATAAGCCGTATCGCCTGGGAACCAACTCACGCCAACCGGAATATCAATCGGCCACGCGGTTGAGACGAGCTCGCACTCCCAATAATAACGAGCAGATGATGTTCCAGAATTAGAGAGCCAATACAACATAATCGTGTCCAGCATCTCATCTTTACTGAAAACCATTTCCACATTCCCATCGTGATAGGACCAGTCTCTTAATTTTTCATAGATCCAAGCAGCCTGCGCGATCGGCGAGTCAGCAAGCCCGTAGCCAAGGGTCTGTGGTCTCGTTGACTGCTGAATGTAGTACCCGTAATGTCCTTTGTCCCGATGGCGATCTAGATGCATGGCTCGTTCTTCGCCCGTCTTATCTTTGCATGGTATTTCAGCCTCTTTCTGCAAATTAGATTAGCACATGTCTTGCCTAGTATGTTGGAGCAGAATTTTACCTTCGGCTCAAAGTATATGGAGTTCATATGAACACTCTTCAGTCCCTTTGGTGCTTGATGGCCCAGACTTGCGACCACGTGGGCACCCCAGTCGCCGCCTTGAGCGACCCATCCGCTGTCTGCATAGCCCAATCGTTGCATTAACTCAGCCCATGCACGTGCGGTCCGATGGTAATCCCATCCTGTCTCCGTCGGCTTACTGGAGAAGGCGTAGCCCGGGAGTGCTGGAATGACAAGATGGAATGCGTCCTTGGGAGAGCCGCCGTGTGACTCGGGGTCGACGAGCTTGTCAATCACATGTCTGAATTCTAGAATTGAGCCAGGCCAGCCATGTGTAAGGACAATTGGAAGAGCATTCTCGTGCTTTGATCGGATGTGTAAGAAATAAATCTCCACACCGTCAATGGTCGTCGTAAATTGAGGGTATGAGTTGAGCAGTTCTTCACATCGCCGCCAGTCGTATTTTGTCTGCCAATACTCGCAAAGCTCTTTAATTGTTGCAAGGGGGACTCCCTGAGACCAGTCGGTAACTGTCTCCTTGTCCGGCCAGCGGGTCAACCGAAGACGGGTTTGCAAGTCATCGAGAGTGGATGAGGGAATTGAGAGCTTGAAAGGGTGGATAGATTTGGATGTTGGCATGATAACTATCTGTAATGGATTTTCTGGATCGAGAGCTATGTTTTATAAGATCAATCCAGCTTCAAGGCGACTTATCTTATAACAAAATTTGAGTGACGCGGTGGTGCTGACAAATTGTGGAGCTGACAAATTGTAGTACTGATCGCTCTCGAGGCTAAGCTCTAGCGCCGATCTTAAATCTCCTGTACACCCATGTCCGGAATCGTGTTATCGTCTACCAATTAATAGTTAGATGTCCTTATTCCTGTTGCAATAATGAGCGCACAACTTTATTTGTGGGTGTATTAATTAATAATCTTCTTACATTATGTACCTTTTACCCGCTTTTTGCGCAATTGAAGCTATGAAATTAGCGGAAACCTAGTATTTTTGACTAGCCTCTTCACGACCTTTCGATGGCTCCGACTAAGAAAACAGAACGAAAAGTGCGGCATAGAACTAAAGAGGTCTCATGGCGTTGAACTTGCGTATTAAATAGACTTGGTATACAAGGAGGGTGCATGAAGTGTAAATCATTTTGCTGTTCAGGCAAGACTTGTCCAAATACGACTTTAGTTCGACTATGTACGTGAAGTCATGTTGCCATCACCTTTCGACCTCTCTACTCCTTTTCATCACCAAGCACACCACCGCTCAATGCCCACTTTTGGAATTCTCCTGGAGACATCTCCTTCAACAGAGCCTCAATCTTTACCTTCATCTCGCGATCTTTTGCCCGGTTGAGCACATGCTTCTTCTTGGCTTCCTCCCTATTTGCCGTGTCTTCCCTAGCCAGCTCCTTTCGTGCATGCTTTAGGTGCAGAAGCTCCGAGATGGTGTCATTGTCGTCTGCGCGCCGCTTCGTTCCAGAGCAAGGACCACCTTGATCTGCAAGGGAAACAGTGTCCACCATGGACTCAATGTCTGGCTGTGCACTTGCAGGAAGATCAAGAGGGTCCGGCGGCCCCATTCCGTTCAATGCCTGAGACACAGGAGAAGTCTTGTCGGCCAAAGGCTGGTCTGCGCCAATGGTGAGATCGTCTTCGTCGTCGTCGTCGGAGATTACGGTCTTGGTATCATCGTCATACTTCTTGGGGGGCCAATAGGAGGTGGTTCGAGGATGGTGGCCACGTTGGAACGAAAAGTCTTCACCTGGCGGATGAAGGTTCGGGACTTTGTCAATTCCTAGATTATATCAGTAACGTACTGTATTCAATATAAATTCAAGCTTACCCTTCGCATCATAGTCATCGCTGATACGCTTGATGGCTGATGAAATGTAACCCCTAGCAGTTTTGAAGTCTCTTGGGAACACCGTTGTTGCGTGGCCGGTGTCCAAGTAGAGATAAAGAATGAGTGTCTTCAACTGCCTCATAAAATATTCACTGCCGGAATAGCGCTTCTTGAAGACCTTTAGGGGGTACATCAGTGCCAGGTCTGTGATCTCGGTTGCGAACTCCTTCTCGCCGGTCGCATATTCATTGATGAATAGGACCTCCGTGGCCTTCTGCCTCTTTTTCGTGGCTGTGTTGCTATACACTTTCACGATAGCCCAGGTCTTGTATGCAGGATTCTCGCCGCAGAATAACTTCAAGTCGAGAGTGTTCTCGTCCTTGATGCGGCTTTCTCCAATCTCGATGAAGGTCCACTCGTCATTGGGCGGAAGTTTGTTCAGCTTGCCTTCAAGCGATCTTGAAGTGAAGTGTCTGGCTACCTCTTCGATCTGGGAGATCTTAGGTCGCGCGTTTGTCTTGGACAAGCCTATCTCAAGCAAGTCGCGGTTCGAGTAGGTTGGAGGGCCTGCAGCCAATGTGAGTGTCAAATCGAACAGGAAAGAGAAGGTTACTTTGCTTACCATTCTGACGCATAGGCTTGGGTACCAGGACCTGGTCTGAAACGGTCTTCTTTCCGCGAGCCGTACGATTGATCTTGGGGGCCATCTTGCTGCAGTATACGAAGGCGACGATGTAGAGTTCGGCGTTGCTTGATATTAGATGATGACTACAAAAGCGCGAATTGTTAGCCTCGTCTCGGCATGGAGGTAGCGCGTAAAAATGGGTGCGAAGCCGCCCCTCGTACCCAAAACAATGGGCGCACGGACCCGATAAGCAGAGCCGCCGCGCTCGCTTAGCAGTTCTGGCATGCTTCAGTGAATGTTAGTCCCGTGAGCTAGCATTGCCACAGTCAACCCTTGTGGAAACCCTAGCGGTAACTAGCGCAAATCGAATGCCAAGGGAGTGCTATAGACATTAAGTTGGCAGGCTTATAGCATAGCGCATTTTGGAGAATATACATGAAGGAAATAGTAAATAATATCTATTCCATCGTACCTGCGACAAAGTCGGGTGCCGTAAGGAGAGTAGGTGCTACTATAAAATGCTAATACAGCATGAATGAAAACAAAATGTCCTAAGAACACCTTAGCCAACTATCTATTTTTCTGGTAGGTACTTTAGCCTATATGCTATAGGCATTATACTCCTATAAGCGTTGTGTCTTCGTCGGTGTATCGCAGGTGGAGTGAGGCTACACTTAGTATATTACATAGATGTGACGGACCCGCAATGGTGAAGAAGAGATAGAGGAGGATGGCAAAGAAGGGGGCGATGAAGAACTAGAAACTAAGGAGTCTGGGTCTAAAGAAGAAGAGGCACAAGAATCTAAGGGCGAGCACATCGAGCTGCCAGATGACAAGTGGCAAGAGCTAGGGGCCGTTAGTGTTGGTAACAGGTGCTGATAAGGTGCAGAAAGTACTGGCCTAATGCTGTAAAGCGCATGCTCAACGTCTGGTGATTCGAGGGCTGCGTATAAGTGTGCCTGTTGTTAAAAGACCTGTGCTGTTGCAACTGCATCGTTCCCGGCATTATGGGACGGCCTAGATGTCGGAACCTTGTAAACGCTTGTTACGAGCCGGTTGAGTAATGTCGAGAGGTGTTTCCCTCAGGCTTCCTTCTCCACGGCATCGATGTTGATAAGTCGGAGTTGTTAAAGGAAAGGCCATGCTCCTCTAACCAAGGTATTTTAGCAGTGCGGTGACTGTGGCCAATAATTACTCTGTACGGTGACTCTCTTACACGCTCAAGGACCGCAGTGAATCGGTTAACCACTGCGTCTAGTGGCAGTACCTCAGGCTCTCTATAGCGAATTCATGTGTTGCACCCACACAAAATGCCCTGGTGCTCCGAGATGATGAAGTGATTGGCTGTCACGAGCTTAGCGTGGGAAGTCGATTTCCAGGATCCCAGCCTGGAGCAGTTCGGTGCCGTGCTCGTTCTTTTTATCGTCAAAGACAAGGACTCGGGCTCTAGTATTGGTCTTAAGGTATCGCATTAAGCTATAGAGCGCAGCAAGATCAATCGCGGCCGCTTCTAGGATCTTCTTCTGTTTGCGAGTTGGTGTGGGCGTTGGGGCTTGTGGAAGTTGATTGTCTATGGCTCGAGCCGTGATGAGATTGTGGTAGGCGGTGTAGCCGATGCATGCGATACGGTCGAATACACTTGAACGGCTGTGGTAAAGGAACAACCCAGGGGAGCGATTGCGTACTGATTAGACTAAGCGCCTTATAGAGAGCGATCTTCCTCGCCACCCTTCGGCCGCTGGCCTCCGGGGCACCCGCATCTCAGGCATCTGCGCCTCGTTTGCGTTGGGCATCGACTGGGCTAAGAGTCTCACCAGGACCGTTGTTCGTGCTTGTTGAAAGGTTAATGGTGGGCTGCACACGAGTACAACCTGCTCGGTTCGTATCAACACGGTTGCTAGAATTAGTGGTAGCCTGGGGAGGGCCTTGTCTTGCGCGGGATGTAGCGGGCGTGTCGGAGTAAATGTCATCATTACTGTTAGACAACTCGATGAAGGTGCGACTAGGCCTGGCTAGAGTGTCATGTGGCTGCATGGCCTGAGCCTGGAAGGGTTAATGGTTATTGTGGATTCGACCTTGACCTTCGAGTAAGGATGCGCTTGGCCTAGCGGAGCTCATGGGTCGGCTAGGAATGGTAGGGTTGACAGTTGGTCGTGGAGTGTGGATATGAACACGGGTTCCTTGGTCTGAATAATCTATCAGTATTGGAAGCATATGTGGGTAATCCACGTACAGTCTGACCCTCCATCACTGCTATCAGCACTGTCTAGGACTGTGATGTTGTTGAACTTGCCCTAGGAGCAATAACGGCTGCTGCTCGACGCTCTTGGCGGAGGGATTCGGCAGCTCGGTCGTCGCTGTGCACATAAATGTTGCTTCGTTTTCGGTGAGGCCCTGTGCCGCACTCAAAGTTCTTTCACAGAACCAGCGATAGCTCAACTAGGGCGTAGGCGCTTTGAAAATCCTCTTACTGCACCTATATACTCTTATATATCTATACGCGTTGCCTCGCACGAACCGCTCTGTAGCAGAGTCTGCCTCTCGATTTTCGTCTGCCATGGTAGAATTGGAAGGCGCTGGTAGGTAGAGATGAGGGGAGAACGGTGGCACGTTTTACGCTCTAAAGATTTTAAGCACAGGCCTTTTTATGCCCTGGGCAAACGAAAGGGAAACGTACATAAAGGTGAGAAATAGCAGCTATTGTAAGTAGCTATGGTTTAGAGTGCTATTAAGAATAGTACCAGATTGCATAGGCCTGAGGAGGAGTAATATTGTAAAGTAAATTAAGCTGTGAATCGCGTTGCGTCTAAATCTCCTCTTAATTAGTTATATACAGACTAGGCTTATTAGGTACTGATGGCCCTGACAGGAAGACATGTACCTAGCTGATATAGAAATACCTTTATAGGTGCCGTAACACAAAGAGATATTTCGGTAATGACATAGTATAATTTGAATTGGTGCTTAGAAATTATGTACTTACTAACGTGACTAGCTCCCTTTTTATCCTAGCGGGCATTCTGCACCCCTTGCTGTCTGTTTATTCTTGCAGGTGCTTTTGCGGCATGCAAGACGCCCATGTCCCAGGTAAAGAAGGTGACAGTATGTGTCTTCCCTGTCGGAAATATCACCCACGTCGTCTAGCCAGTACGATTGATTAGGACGTTGCCGAATAGTGGCCTCCATACAAGACCACCCAGGCACTTTTAATCCGAACTATTTAAGTAACAGCCACTGAATCACAGTAATCCTATAGTACCGATTGCATTATGATCACTGTCATTACACTTTTCTCAATGCAAAATATCGAGTGGGATATTCTATATGCCAATGATTCCCAAACGCCATTCATGTAACAATGCAAAATTAATCTGAGACGAGTCAAAACAGACACTATGGTTCACCCCGTGAGCCAGACCATCCATTCGAGCTATGACTAGCCGCAGTATCTCGCTCAGCTTGCTTCTTCGCGTCTCGAACTGCTGCATCGACAGCATCGTGTAAGTCGATGTGAAAGAGCGGCCTATCGATACCATAAATTGGTTGCAACACATCAACTTTCTCCGTTGCTGTATGAAGCTGGATGTTATGTTTGGGTTCCGTGCCCCGGTTAATTGCATTTTTGCCGCGCATTTGCAGCTGCAGAGTCTCTACATCTCGCAATTCTTCTTCCGTCGCGCCCACTAAGCCCGTAGCAACAGTATACGCAGGACACCAGTCCGCTAGTTCATCAACAGAGCTGATAGCGGGAAACCCGAAGCCCGCAAAGGCAAGCGCTCGACGTGTCCATCTATTTTGCACGCCGGCGAAATGCCACTCCACCACGGCAGGGGCGGCGAACCGATCTAGTGTGTTGCGGAGGTCGAGGAGGCCTTGGACGCTTGTTATGTCGATGTTGTTGATTGTTGAGAAGTCAAGGACAACAGCTCGGAGGACGGGCAAAGCAGACTTTTCATCCCCAAGTTTGGCTGGAGGCGGAGCGTCGCACCATAGTCGGTCACTAGCACGAATCCCATCATCTACTAGTGTGCGACGAGTGTTCTTCATGATGTAGGAACTGAGGTAGTCGATGTGGGAAGCCTGATTGATATAGTTGAAGTTCTCACTGAAGCGGTAGATAAATACACCTGGATAGGCGGGCTCGACCTTGATGTCAGGGTTGTGAGCGTCTGAGGTGTCGTAGGGGAGGTAGACCTGTCTACTCTCCGATGCGTGAGCAGCCGTAGTTCCTTCCCGTTGGGTAGCTACAGTCTTGTCTGAACTTGAGCATGACGTTACAACTTCTTGCACGCGACTGTTGCGAACTATGCGTGTGACACCGACCGAGCCCGTGAATTTGCCCGGACTTTTAGCCATGCGTATGAGAAGTATCGCGAACGACAAACCGATGGTGACGTAGATCGCCGTCTCGAGGTTGGTAAAGAAAGCGATGACGACGCCGCAGACCCAGATGAAAAGCTCGAAGGGCGACAGTTGCCAGTACTTGTAGAGTGACCTGGGCGGTGTGATCAAATTGACAGTGCAGTGGATGATCAAACCAGCGAGAGCCGCATTCGGAATGTAGTAGAAGACTGCCGTGAGTGCGTACAGAGCCAGTATGAGAACCAAGGCACTGAATAAGCCTGCTAGTGGAGTGCGAACAGCTGCCTTGGACAAGACGGCCGATGCGCCAAATGAGCCTGTACATACGTAACCGCCAACGAAGGGGCTGAGTATATTGGCAGCACCTTGTGCAATCATCTCTTGCGATGGGATGATGGTGTAATTGAATATGCGACCAAATGACTTAGCAATGGCTATATGCTCTACGATGAGAATGATGATAATCGCAGGTAGCTCAGAAGCTACTAGACCGAAAAGTTCGCCGTCCATAGGCGGTATGCCTGCATGGGAGAACCCCTTTTCGATATGCCCAACAATTCGGAACCTCTCTTGTCCTACAGGAGCCTTGCGATGTACAAGCCAGCTAATGAAGGTGTACAGCAGAATCGTGAATGTCAGCCGAAGCGAGGAAACGAGTGACCACATTCGCTTCCTATTTGGTTGACGAAACTCCATCTTCGCGCACACATCCCGAATGAGCCATAGCAGCATAATGGAGGTGATACCAATGGCTGCATCGAGCCTCGCGTTGGGTAATTCTTTCAGGGTATTTACGTAGACCATGTACGGGGACTCACGCGTATTGATACCAGGAATGCCCAAGACCGTCGGTAGCTGTGTGGAGATGATGGTAATACTGGCCGAAGTGACAAATGCGGAGATAGGAACGTAAGGAATGAACTCTATCAGCCAACCAAGACGCAGGATTCCTAGGACGAAGAGAACGGCTCCGGCAAGAAAGGATAGCACATGAGCAATGTCTTCAGGCTTATAGACTCCGGGATGGTCAGCTTCGATTTTGCTGATGACGCTGCCGACGAGGAGGGATCCAACAGCGGTGGTACCGATAACAATGTCCTTTGATGTTCCAAACACCCAGTACAGGCAAGCTCCTGTGAAGGTCGTGTACAGCCCAAACGCAGGCGTCAGTCGAGCAAGCAGCGCGTAAGCCATAGCCTGCGGCACAACCACAAGTCCAACGGTTATACCCGCGATAGCGTCTCCCACCAGCCAGTGGATATTATATCTCCGTACCCACCGTGCACTTGGAAAGAGCTCTTGTACATACTCAGCGACGCCGCTTGAAGACGGCACTAAGCCGCGAAACCACTCTGCTACCGACGGATCCTCTTCGAGATACGCGGTCCCGATCGTTTCTCTGGCAATCTTCTCTAACGATGCTGTCTGCTTCTGTTTGCTGTGTTGATGCGAGGAGGTGGGCAATGCCTTCGTCGCCGCGTTGTTGAGGAAGGCTTTTATCTTGTTTCCACTCATGATGAGGCCAAGAATCAAGAACACACTCCGAGGCGAGGGAGATCATGGGTGTTGCGAGTCAAATAGAGTAGAGGTTGGAAGTGATTTGGATGCGGAAAGAAGTGTGTTGATAGTCGATGACCGGATTTTGAAAATGTCGGTGAAGGTTGCTTGCGCAACAACCGAGGGAAAGGTTCCTTTATGATTCATTGGCATTTTCGGGCTGTCCGCCTGTCGGATTTTTGTTGCATAGAATTTGATGCACTGTCATGCTCGTGACGTTGTGCCGACGACCCGAGCATTTCGGGCGAGAGGTCTTGGCCAATCGCGTCGATAAGGATCCACAACTTCTCCATCGCCCATGCTCGTCCTTCCCAAGACTACTCACCCTCAAACTCATTCCTGAGGCATCAGGATTGTGCAAAGGTAGTAGTAGAGACGATATTACGCTCATTGCGCCTTTTTAGCCGCTTCGGCACCACCCGTACTTTGTACCATCGTCCGAATCGTAAACTTCGTCAACGATCAGCGATGTTCGCCCTCTTTTTCGTGGAACCTTGTTGATGATCACAAAGTTTGGAAATTCGGAAGTTGTTCGAATTTGACGATCTTAATTATTGGTGGAAATACGGTGCCGAGTGGATCGAGAGGCTCGGGACGACTAGATCTCTCAACGTATGTTTGTGCTTTCTGTTACATCATGCTCAAACTCGTTCATGCCTCACATATACTCCTGATTTTTTCTGTTCTCTGTCCTCTATTCATCGGCTCGACCTACTCGTCATTTTCTGCACGCTAATCTAAGATATCGGGCTCCTCCTCTTGGTCGAACTCGATTGCCGTCTCGTCCTCGATCTCAAAGTCACCGTCCCCATTACATCATGAAGTTTTGAAAGGTTCCTCTTCGTCATCGTCACTCTCATCCACATCCACATCCGTACTATCAACATCGTCGCTATGATGATGGTGAGGCTCGCGGTCTGCGCAGTGACAGCAGGTACAAGGAAGTTGTACGCCGATTCTTGACAACCACGAGGTTATTAGTGAACGGGAAAGTTGATTGCCTCGGATCCTGTCACCGTTGACGTACACCGATAAAGACCCATCGCGGTTCTCAGCGAAACCGGGTGTGTCTGCAGGCAGATCAAGAAAGTCAGCAGCCGTATGATTCTCGTCATCCTCGCCAGCCTCGCCATCAGCACTTGCTGTCTCTTTGGTGGTTTCCGAGTCATCGGTTTCGTCAGCAAGAATGTCACCGATTGCTCCCTTACACCAGTTGCACATAACTTCCAAATCTGTACCTAGGCTCAGCTTGGCTCCGCATCCACAAGTTCGTGAGATGATGTGTGAATGATCACCGTGATCTTCAAGCTCAACCCGATTCGAAATCTCCATATCTGATGTCTTCTCCTTCTCGTAGCAGGGCAGACATAGCCAGCGATCCAGAAATCGGCTCCTTAAAGTGCAAGAGCACGGTGGTAGCTGTTGCTTCTGATGTTCTTCAAAGCAGTGTTGGCAAACTGGCTGTTTGCGAGAGTTCGCTATGAAGTTAAGCACTGTGACGGTTCGCTGGCCTGAAAACGGGAATGTGGTTCGACCACGCGGCGTAATTATGTGGCAGCCAAGATTGATGTCCAAAACACGGTCAATCGGTTCAGGGTCGGCTATGGCGGTGATGTTGAGCGGGGTATGAAACTGGCCACGGTCGTGAAGCGGCATCATTCGGTCAGTCGGCAAGTTCCAAGCAGTTCCGTCTTCGTTCTTGCCAGGGTACAGCGCAATCGCCTGCGGGTGGAGAAAGACGTAGCCTGCCCACCAACGGTGCATGTCGAGCCCTGGGTCCTCCGTGAGGACTTGGTAGAAGACATGAATCCGACACTCGTCGCAAGTGTTGATTCCGCATTCATGGCAGGGTCGTGATTCGACTTCGAATCCATTCGTGCCAGCGCAGCCAATGCTTGCGCTAAAACCCTTTGCCGTGCAAGGACAGTGAACCGATTCCCGCATTCCGACTCCGAGACCGGGGCAGAGTGTTTTTGCAAGTAAGTTGGTCTTCGCGTTGACGTCATGCATCCGAATGACGCTGTGGGTAGCTTGCGAAAGCCTTGATATCTCAACCAGATCATCTGGCTGGAGATGCGACACAAAGACCTGGAGCTATGTCAGTGAGCTCAAGGCGACTCGCGAGGTTGACATACCTCTAGGATGGGGTATTGAGCTATCATATTGACGAACGGGTGTGTACTGTTTGCAATCGCTTGTGGCAATGTCCAGGTTCGTGCTGGGCTGCTGCGCGCAGTATCCTGCTGTCTGACTGACATGCTGCTGTCCTAGATTGACTTGAAATCCCATGCGCTCAATGTCGCCTAGATTTCGTCGCAGCACTCCACACCTGTCGGCTTGTTTCCAAACGTAACCAGACCTTGTCAGGAAGTCGCGGTCGACTTCGAGTACACCTCTGAGATAGGCGGATGAATGCCAGTAGGTAAAGAGTGAGCTTTCTTCGGAGGAAGGGGCGTTGAAGTATCCTGGAGGTGAGGGCGAGTTTGCTTCAGATGTGAAAGAAAGCGCGACCTGCAGCTACCCGGTGCACGGGCAGTCAACAGGCAACAAGTAAATTGTCCAGAATCTCGCATGAAATATGCCGCGGCTTGATCTCGAAGTCACAAATCTCGAAGAATCGATCGTTTGTTGTTTCGAGATGTTATAATAACACAGGATAACAGGTTGTGGCCCATCCGCACGCACCACCACCAACACCGACACACGCCCAGCAAACGCTGAAGCACTACTCATCGCAGGGGTCTTTTTGAATGCGCAATCTCAGTATAATTGCGCAAGCTACCCTCGCATCTGCATCACGAGCAGTCAGAATGTGCCTTGTGGACGAGGGCGATATTCCTCGTCGCAAAAGAGAGTTTCTGGTGGACTGGTAGTGCAGGTGAGCAACTTTTGGGTTGTCCCTGTTACGATGTTTAGCTTCCCATTAGCAAGAATAATATTATAAGGTAGGAATATTATTGCTGTTGGCAGGTTACAGCATGAAGTCACTGTGGTTCTTGGACATGAGAGACGGATGATGGGGGATATATTTGGTTTTAGTAGCCTTTGAATACTTCCCACTTGCAGTGTCCTCACCAAATCATTGTGTTCGATCTCTTTATATCAGGTGGAGGCCGTAAGCAGAAATTTGCCACTATTCACCTCTACAAAGGAACCGTCAGCTTTATGAAGGGATGTGATTCTTCATCGTCAGCTGAGGCGTACATACACTGCAGAGCTCTTGCATCCTACTCATACGAAGTACCCATAGTTTTTCCCCTTCCCTTGATCCTCATAGATCTCCAATGGTGGCCGAAGTATTCCTGTTTATCTTTTAGCGTCAGTCCACGCTTTCGTCGAATTCTTGCGCCAACTCACTCTAGCTCCTCATTCGTTAGATACGTCTTTCAGCCACTCTTTGCGCTCCCTTCTGGCATCTCAATTCTCTCACCAATGCTAGCTCGCTTTACATCCTTACCCGCTTGCTTCACCACAGTCTCGTTCCTATCGGCTCGCTCTCTTATCTCGCCCGCAGACTGTTCTCGCGGTATTTCATTTTGCTTGCGCAACATAGCCCAAGCCTCTCCAGCTATATTAAGAATATAGTCGAGTGCCCCCTGCAGCATAGGCCAGATGGGCTGGTGGTGATGATCGTCCATCGCAGTTGCGCGCTCAGGTACCCGCTATCCTCGACTGTGCGCACTTTTGACGATAGCGCGCAATTTGTGTGTCTTTTGTAGTGAGTTACCGGCGAACGTGTCGGGAATATAGCTGAATTTCAATAAGAGATAATACTCGAAAAGGTCGGAATGTTGTGGAACCAGTGTGAAGACGCCGAGAGATAAGGTCGTAGATAAGGTACCCGACAGACTATTAGTGAAAGCGAATACCGTGCGGCCGGACCGCCTCTGCTCACACTGTTTGCTTGAAACGCTTGGCGTCTATTAGTGTAGTATTAGGACCCGAAGCATAATTAGAGGGCATGTGGTGTGGGGAGAGGTCATTGAATTTTAAGCAGTACACGACCCATACATCAAACTATCCACCTAGCACGAAGACCATGACCCAATTTAGTTCTATCATAACCCTACAGCTCTCCTACAGCAGCTAGATATAAGCCAATTGTATCTAGGCTACCTCATCCAGTGACACGTCGGGTTCCAATGATCAAGGACAAGCGGCCGCGCCTTGCAATTGCGTCACCAACAAGTTCTGCACCCACGGAAAGAAGAATACGATTAACGTCTTCCTCTATTTTTAAGTTAATTTCAGCAGGAGAGAAATGCTGCCAAGACTCACCTGACATGTTCCAAAATGTATCTACATCAGCAGGAAAGTCCGGAATCGGCGTGTACGTGACATGATCGTAGAGGACTTCGAGTGCCTTCGAACCCTCGGGCCGAGTCAGATTGCGGAACTTGGCGATCAAGTTGGCGTAGCTAGTCAATTTAGTAATGGTCCAAGAACAAGCTTCAACTGCATCAGGGGTTACTCACCTCGCTTTTTTTTCATTGGTCAATTCCTGCCAATGGTTTGTGATATCATCGATCATCTCTGCTGCATTTAGGATCGGGGGTAGTATATCTCTGGACATGGTTGATAATTGTTGTTTTTTTATTGTCAAGACTTGTGGGGAGTTGTGGGAGTTGTGGGAGGTGTGAGCGTTGTAGAGGTTCTATGGGCGCAGCGGAACCTTTTTATAGTAAAATTCAGTGGGAGTACATAGACTCATGGGTAACCTTCGTTAAGCTAGCTGAATGACCTATTTATGACTTGTGCCTCTGGGTACAGACAGTCGGTACACAAAGGTCACTTGGGGCTCTGCCCACCGTTTTCGTGCGAGAGGAACACGCACCATGATAGGTGCGCGCCTCTATGGCGTCCACCTTTACAACATGTCAAACTCTACAATGTATCGTAAGGAGTTTGTGAGTCACATTACAACTGTCACTATGACCATGGTACTCAAGATAGCTCCCTGGTGTAAAGCAACGTCTCTAATTCTACATCACGGCAAACAACAATGCGATCAATGCTGAAAGGGATCATATTAAAACTATATGGACAGAATCTTACCAGACCTGCGCAAAACCCTACGGAACTGCGCCATGGTGCTATGGATTTACAGTCTGTTGTGACATGCTCTTGTGGCAGTCATTTTGTGGATGTATTGGGGCCGGCATGGAGCGCCCCAAAGGTTTTGAAAAGCGATGTAGAGATCAAACCATCTATTTCGAACGGATTTCGTGAGTTCCTAACGATAGCTGTCATAAAGCGCATAGCTATGAAGCCTAGTCGACGTCCTTTGGAAAGAATTCGGCTCGACAAGCGGCACACCTATATCGCATGTTGTGGTAGGTACTCAGCTGTTGTTCCAAGCAATCCTCGCAGAACTCGTGGCTACACACATTGATATTGCGCATCGTCGACTTTGTATCACCGCAAATACCACACGAGGACACATCTGCAGCTGGAACGACAGTGCTCACCTGGTCAACACGTACGTTCGCCGGACCATCGAGTACGTCCACCAAAGTGTTGACTTCGTACTGCTCCCAGTACCAATCTTCTTCTTCATATTCCTCGAAGTTGTGGTTGACAACATGCTCAGGTAGTGCATTCTCGGGGTCGGGCTGGAACATTACTTCGTCCCCGTCGCCCTCATCCTCATCTCCTTCCTCCTCGTCGCCTTCTTCCTCGTCGCTGTCTCGCACAACAGATACATCATCGGGCCAGTATGTGCTTAACAGCGGTGATGCATAGGAGAAGAACCGAGCGATGTCACGGACAAGGGCGTCGATCTCATCCTTGATACCTGCATTATTCGTGTGGCTACCATAACCGATCCGCATACCGATATATTGGATCGAGTCGTGGAAGTATCCTTCAATATGACGGCGTAACGGCACGTGGATCATTCGGGCAAACATCCTACCTACGTGGCCGCCGACATCAAAGTCGCCGTCGAGTTCGAGGGCGGCTTGGTCTTGGATGACTAGCTCAATGGCAGCGCAAATCCGGTCGATATGCTCTCGCTCGAAATTGGCAAATGCTTCGGGGGATGCATCCTCAATCCATAGAGGCCTCAATGCTTCAAGCATGTTTTCCATGGTGTTAGCCAAACTATTTGATAGCGTGGTGTTAACTGCATTCATCATGCCGACAGGACCATATTCGTCATCGATACCTTGGGGAAGCTCCAGTGTTATTCGGTGGTGGAAAGCCCAAAAGATGGAATATAGGTAGACGAACTCGCCAGCGATGGCCTCAGCATTGTTCAAGCGCTGATAGTACTCATTAGTCATCTCCTTTAGGTTGTAAAGCATGGCATCGCCTTCGCCAGGGTACAGCGTGCCCCATACAGAAGTCTCGTCCGGGTCAGCGAATGCGAAAATGATATTGGTGAGGGCATTATGGACCTCGTACGCCCAGGGGAAACCATTAATGTTGTAGAGCCGGGCAGCTTCTTCGCCAGACGGGAGATGTTCGTGGAGTCGAGCAAGAGCCAAAACGCCCCAAATGATACAGGTGGGATTCGTGAACTCGATTTTTATCTCGGGTTCCTCAGTTGATTCCTCGTTCGACATATTGAGCGTCTCTGCAATTTCTGGTTGTTGTAAACGTCCTTGAAGTTGTAATTGCAAAGATATTGGCAGTGGAGTTGAGCGGGTAGAGATTGAGTTGTAGTCTCAGGAGAAATCTGTGATCAGAATATATCTCCATGGGAGCAACATTGGAACCTTTCACTGTACTTACACTATGTGTGTGGCACTGGGCATTCTGGTTACCTAGGCGAACATATATGTCGGTGAATAGGTGCTCGTTGACACTGTGAACGCACAAGCTCGACCAGGACGAACATGCTGTTCTGACATGAGATGATTAGATTACTAAACACAATGTAAGTCTAGCCTTGAAATACCACTCAGGCTTCTCGGGATGAAACTGAAAAGGAGATATAGTATTGCTTTTCACACAAGCAGTTCAAGGGCGGCGGTAACTCTTCTCCATATGAAATGTGCGACTCTGGAAGTATTGCGTAAGGAGCGCACTATTCCCATGAATTTTGAACGGACAAATTGCCCAAACTCATTCTCCAAAACAGTGAGGCTACTAGACCGGCCTGCCATAGGGTAGGGCCTGGGCCGAGGGCCGCTTTCGTGAAAGGTGACGATCGCATCGTCGTAGGCTCCAGAGGCTTGCACGTAAGATGGATTATTGTGATCTAAAAAATGTTAGGTAGACCGAAAAATCAGTCTTGGATGGAATTAGCAATGAAGTGAGGTCAGATTGCGCGATTCAGAACCGCGAGGGGGCGTCAGGACGCTTAGTCGAGGAGACGTTTCTCTTTTCCTTCTCAACATTGTACATCCCGTTTTCAGAAGCCTCATATCGAAGACGACGAGGCTCCATTTCTTGAAGTCATGGTTCCTCGCGTCTAGATAGCGAAATACTGCGGTTTCGATGTCCCTCGGCCCTCATAATCGTCAACGAACAGCCCTCTCTGTCCGCCATAGCCTTGCCACTTAGCATCGACGTCAAGATGTAAAATCTGTTCGTCTTTATTTCTTAGTAGAGCAGAACCACAGACCCAGGTTTCGTCGCCGAAGTAGGCCGCTTATACATACTCATAAGATAGGTGCTTAGATACGCATGGCAAAACCCTTTGAAGTGCATTAACCCAAAAGCTGCGACCGTACACCGTATCATTAGCGTCAACTTCCACTCGAGTCTAGCACACGAGTCCGATCAAGACTATCCTCAATAAAAAATAGCGTGACTCTAGTTATGCTATAATGGAGATCAAAATCCTCAATTAATTTACCAATCTGGCCCAACTCAGAGACACGTCTTGCCGTCTCGTTTAGGGGCCGAGGTATTGTGCGAAAATAGTACACTTCTTTCAGAGGAACGAGATTGTGCAAATACCACGAACAAGTACCGTAAAGTTCCATCTGCTTCATCGGGTTGTTAGCAAGCAGCCTTTGAATTGTGCACCTTCCCCAGTGGGCCTAATACCCCTTGCGGGGCCCTGCACTTTGATTCTTAAGAGGATTTTTAAAGCGCCTGCGCCCTAATTAAGCTATTGCTAATTTTTATAAAAGTACTTTAAGTGCAGAAGTATTTATAATTATATTAATTTTTTTAAAATAAATTAAAATAGTTGCTAACTATAGTTCTAAACTTTATTATTATTATTTTATAGTACTATATATCAATTTTCTAATAAGTTTAATGCAAGTTTTAGTTGTATTTAATAATTTAAATATAAAAAAAATTACTAGCTTTTAAAGCCTATATAAAGCTACTTTATAATTTTTATTTTCTATTTTTATATAATAGCATAATAAATTCTTTTTTTTTTTATTTACTTTAGTATTAATTTTTTAGACTTGCCTTAGCTAGAACTATAAAAACTTTTTTTTAATAATTTTATTATAAAGAAAACTTAGCAATTTATAAAAATAAAAAAAAAAATATAATTATAGTATAACTTGCCTTTTTTTATTAAAACTATATAATAAATAAAAAGCTTTTATTTTTTTATACTTATTTATTAATAATAAAAGCTACGCTAAGTATTAAGCCTACTAAAGTAGCTAAAATAAAAGTTTTTAACTAGTTACTTAAAAGACTAGTTAGCTAAACTAAATTTATAGCTAACTAAATATATATAGCTTTTTTTAAATAGTCTAAAAATATAATAAAAAAACAACTAGTTAGGCTATACGGACTATAGGCGCTAGAACAATAATAGAAGTCTGTTATTTTTGTTAAAATGGGCTAGTTGGGAAACCATGGTTGAGAGCTATAGACTACCCTGGGCGGAAGAAATTGAACGCGTACGTTGAGGAGACTTTGAGAACTTTGAGAAACCGCACTTTGATTCTTACGCCACGCATCAACATCATCCACACCAAGATCTACATTCCCCAAACGGATAGGACGGCGCATTCGCCACGTTCTCTTTGGCTGAAGGGTTTATCAACCCTGCCGTTTAACCGATTCATCCCGCGCCTTAGAACTCATTGCCGCGGCAGTTGTGGTGCAAGGGTCGACTCAGTCGATTTAAGGTTCTACCATTCACACAGTGATGATAAAGGCGCATGTGCGATATTTAGTATCAAGGCCTACAGCTCGGGTAAACTACTTGAAGATATCGTTGTTTCCGCCCTCCCAGGTCGATATCCTCGCAACAGGTAAACCACTAACAAAATGGTGGATACAAAACCGACCCCCGCACGACACTCTCACGATGTAGAGAAGGATGAGGTTATACATTTGGAGAGATTGAGTTCTCATCCAGCTTCAAATGAAATCGAGAAAGGGCAGCAGTTGGTTCCCGCTGTTAGTAGAGGGCCTATGGTTCATGAAAAGGTAAGTAGTCACGCATTGGGCCCTCGATGAGCATGCACTAAGATCCGACTAGATGAACACTCAGCTATTCTTGACTCTATTATGCATGTCCTTTTTATGGATTGGTTCTCAAATCCCTTTGTATCTCTTTGGCTCCGTCCTTCCCATCATCTACCAAGACGTTGGCGGTGCGGATCGATATGTCTGGTTTATCATCGGCTACTTGATTCCCAATGCCGCGCTTTGCCCCTTCGTCGGCGCGCTTTCAGATCTCTCTGGGCGTCAGAAGGTGGCCATTGTCGGTCAAATGGCTCTCATCGTAGGCCCAATCATTACTGCGACTGCTCATACGATGAACATTGCTATTGGTAAGTTTTCAACGTCCACGATATGAGCAGACTCCTAACCTCGTCAGCCGGAAATGTATTCTCTGGAATTGGCGCTGGTCTGAACGAGCTCATTGCACTCGCGGGCACAGCCGAAGTGGTCCCCATCAGAGATCGAGGCAAATACGTTGGCCTCGTTGTCATTACCATTCTGCCATTCTGCCCTTCCGTCCTCTATGCTCAGCTCATCTCCCAGGCAAGCAACTGGCGTTACAACGGCTTGTTCGTTGGAGTTTGGAACTTCGTCGGGCTTGTTCTTTGCATATTCTGCTATAAAGATCCGTCCCGCCTTACCGAAGAGTACACTGCCCGCCATGTGCTCCGCCAAGTCGACTACATTGGCGGTATTCTTAGCACAACTGGCATTACTCTTTTCATGATGGGCTTGCAGTGGGGTGCATCACAGGTAAGTAGCTTTGTTTGTTATTGTGCAGAAATTACTGATTGTCAAGTAGTACCCGTGGGGAAGCGCCCACAATGTTGCTCCTCTAGTACTCGGCCTTGCTCTCATCATCGCTTTCTTCGTGTGGGAGTTATACGCGCCCTACCCTATGGTACCGAGAGCGCTATTCAGCAAAGCGAAGAAAACTATGATTATCATCCTTCTCATCACATTCCTAAGTGGTGGCAACTACTTCGTGCTGCTCCTCTTCTGGCCGACACAAGTTTACAATGTCTACGGTACTGTTAACCAGTACCATTATCGCCTGAGAACATGTGACTAATGCGGTGATAGGTGACGACCCAGTCGGCATCGGAATTCGCTCCCTGCCCATCGGCTTCGGCATTATCGGCGGTGCAGTCATCTGCCTGGTCCTCATTCCCATCACGAATGGCCGCATCCGCGCGCTGATGAATTTCTTTACTGCCATGATGACTGCCGGTACTGGTGCAGTGTGCGTCGCGACCCCGCATAACCTCAACACAATATACGCAATCATCAGTTTGGCCTCTATCGGCGTGGGCGGTGTCATTATACCCTCGTCCATTATCGCACAGATCGCCTGCCCCGATGAACTCATCGCCACCATCACCGCCATTACTCTATCCATCCGGTACATTGGCGGAGCAATCGGATTTGCAGTGTATTCAAACCTGTTCTTCCGCAAACTCACCGAGTCGTTAACTCAGATCGTCGCTATAGAGACCCTGGCGATGAAAGCTATTGTCAACCCGCTCAAACCTGCAGGCTTGGGCGTCATCACTCAGATTACTAAGCTCATGGGAAATGCGCGCTTTAGCGAAGTCAAGGAGATTCTTGCTACAAATCCTCAGGTGTTGAATCGAAATGCGTATCCGATGATTGTGGCAAGTGCGCAGGAGGCGTTCGCGCTAGCGTATCGATGGCCGTATTGGGTGAGTATTGCGTTTGGTGCCGTGTGCTTTGTGTTGAGCTTCTTTGTGGGAGATATCACGGCGCTTTTGACGGCACAAGTTGCTCACCCGGTCTGAGGGGAAGTTTTTTGGTTGATTATGAGTATGCACCTTCGAGGTTACATGAGTAATGTAGTATAATGAAAAGGTTGTTCTAATCCTATTGTAAAGCCGGGGACTGGAACATACAAGCACGGATCGTATCAGACCCATCAGAAGGTTGTTAGGTGGTACTAGTTGGGAGAACAATGATAAGGTTTAATACTGTATCTAACTACAGTTATGTCAACTTATGATACAAGATTTAATATGATTACAGAGACTTCCGCACGTAAAGTACATAATAGTAGCTCAATAGGTCGCACTAGGGATTCAGCCCTTTTTATAACGTTTTTGTGTGCATAAGGCTAGGAGATGCTCATGTCTCTTGTTGTTGTAGAGTATACAGTGTCACTACAAGTTAGCTTGCATCCCAGTATTTAAATGGCAAACGAGAGTCTTTATATCATACTGTTTCTGTCCTCTAATCGGAGTCAATCTACAGGATTTAAGCCACCTATTAGGAACATTGTAATTAGTGTGTATCAAGTGAGGGAAAGTTGCTGCCTGATCACACGTGACAGCGCGTCGGCGTCTATTCGCCCCGCGGTCGCGCTCCGCCGCACAACGTTTTCTGCAACCACCTCCCACCTTCCCTAGCATGATCAAGCCCACTTGATACAGGGACTGGATGATCGCAGGTAAGTTAAAATCCGCTTCCCTCGCAGCGTATGATGTGCTTAGTTCGCTCCTAATTACGCACAGCCTCGTAACTACTCAACCACAATGGGTCTACGACATCAATTGTTTATCATCGCAAAAATCAACGGGCGGTATCGAAGTCTCGCCTGTGTGCATCACCAGTGGTTATACGGCTTCACGGTCCTCAAGAGTGAGTACCAATCGACAAACATAGCAGGCATACGTACAGTACTAACCTTGCACTTTAGCATGTCGCAGACTAGTCAAAATCTTCCAATGTCCTCAGAACGCCCACTTGCTGAAGCTCGAGCTTGCCCGCGCCAGCGGCTTTCCGCCCAAAGCATGGGAGGATGAAGTCGAGTTCGACGAGCCGCCCGAGTTCCCTTTCATCACGACCTGCTTGTTGACGGGGACTTCCGTTGATCTCGAGAATAACTACATTAGCCAAGCTACCGCAGAACCCTGGAACGTAGCTTTCTATGCAATTGACAATGACGATGGCATCACCATCTTTGATCTGACCGACCTCAATTGTATCTCTCACTGCTTCGTTCACTTTCGGGCCGACAATTACGAGGACGATAAACAACAGGCAGGCATTTTTATCTCGAAGACCATGGTGCCATTATTCGGCTCAGAATATCTCAGTATTTACTACAAGAATTCGGAGCAAACCCTTGAAATGAGACAAGTCGCAGATTGGATGAGCGACATTCCTCTGATCGACACGACCGTCCTCGAAGACATCTGGCCAGAAGGAGACTGGTTCTCGAGGAGCAGGAATAGACTACCTCCCGCCGTCTCGAATCTTCAAGTCAATAATCCGGAGCTCGGACGCAAGACACTTGCCGAGCAGGCTATGGAAATGACTATACAGAAGCTCCTAAGAGAGGAACACGAGCTACAATATGATGTCGAAGACCTCCCTGGTTTTACATCGCGCCTTCGGTCCTACTTCAATGTTCATCCGCATGCCATTAAGGATACGCCTTTCGGATTCGAACTTCTTCAAACAGCGTATCGAGACTCATCTAATCTCGACCTCCATGCTTTTCCATTCTTGACCGGAGAAGAAGTGCTTGTACTTGTACGCAATGCCTCGAAGAACCTCAGTATATTCGACGTCAGCGGTAACAACAACATGCATATCGAGCATTTTGCCCAAATTCCGCGAGACATTCACATCGAAAAGCTCTACATGTGGGCCCCAGATGCTTTATCTTCTTCTGAGGTCAGACTAGCTTTACAGGGTCATACTATTGGTAACGTTTATGCTTGGGCTGACTTTCGGGCCGCTTTCGTGGCATACAAAGCATCGCCCGATATACCTCGACCTACACAGGAAACCCAGGATTCAAGCCAATCTTCCAAGGAGGCTACCTTCATTGGCCTCGCTACGAACATCATGTGGGTTCTATCTGACAACAGAAGCGATGGAACAAGTGCAACTAAAAACCAAACACCGTCGCCGTTACTTCTATTCCAAGGGTCCACTAAAGTCGAAGGAGCGGTTATACCAATCAAGGATACCTACCTTGACTCAGCCATGCTGACACACTCACTTGCAAAGTGTATGTACGCTCTGGCTCTAGTAGACGGATATAAATTATCTCAGCCTCACGATGTCATATCGGGTGTCCTTGCCTTCGGTTTAGCCCTCAGGAACCCAAAGGTATGTCAAGAAAGCTCAGTTGCATGTATCAGTACAATTTTAACGAACATATAGTCATCATACGCCATAGAGTCTCTACCAGCCGAACTATACACGCTAGCGCGACTTGCATATCATGGTTACCCGGCGGTTGTAGTACCTCCATCAAAGACAAACGAGAGGACGATCGTTATCGTTCAGGAGCGCAGCAAGGACACCACGTTTCACTTTCGTGTTGCATGCGTCTCCGTGGATGAAAATGGGATACTCCACTTTCATGACTTTCCAACGGTGTTGGGTGGGGACGGTATGCAACAGAATACAGGAACTTGGACCCACCTGGTCGGAAACATGAAAGGAGTTGAGGTTGGGCCGTGCGATGAGGGGACAGTTCATAACCTGTTCAAAATCGTGAAGAATGTGCATGTCACGAAGGTTAACTAGGCGTGGAGCTGATTACATGGCAAAAACCTTGGGTGGTTGACAAGATGGCCTTGATGGAATGGCGCTGGCTCTGTCTGGATACAAAATCCTGCTCGTATTCAAAGAACAACCCCAGAAGCTGTGTATTAGCAGACGCGGCAGGATATCTGTCCAGGGACTAATTTCCATTCCTCCAACCCGCCACCTCCGTCTCCGTGATCTTGCTTTGGTACAACCTGGTATGAGACTTCTAGGCCCTTTTCACGAGAAGTAGTTACTTGATGACTTCAGCCGAGTCACACCCTGTTCTTTACGGATCATCACCGCAAAGGCATTGCTTGTGATTGTCCTGGAATAATGATGCTGGTTCTGTAGATTATGTTCACGTTGTTTATAGCAGTGTGTGTAGTCTGCGAGGATATGGGTGACTAAATACAAAACGGGTGAACCTTTCCGGGCGAGTTTATTACCAGGTTGAAACAGGCAATGGTCGAAGTAGATATAGATTGTGGAAGATGGGCTTGTTGAAAGCATGGATAAAAGATGTCAAGAGAGCACAAGACATTAGAGTACACACAGAGAATTAACATTACTTTTCTAATCTAGGTTCTTTCTCTATGAGAGAAAGGAAACGACATGCAGAAATTAACAGACTAACTTTTAGCAGTTCCGGGGTATATAACTCCATGTAAATGCCCGTGAAGCTCGGTGACTAGAAAATCATAAAACACGTAAACATCGCAAATAAGCTGCCCCCCAAGCATTGTGAAAGAAATGCGTGGTGCTCAAGCCGTCTAGCGACGGCGAGCGAGGCAGAAAAGGCCACCGACAACGGCGCCCGCAATGACAACGCCAACTGTTATGCAGGGCACCAGGGAGATAAGTCCACACCCAGTCGAAACAGCTCCAGATACATAATCTGAGATACTTGGATTCGGTTTGATGTGTTCTACACCTGAGGATGGCATCTCCGGTACGATAGCGAGCGCCTTTGGAGAAATCCGAGAGGCGGCAGGAGGAAGAGTGGGGGTTTGATCGATAGCTTCAAGTGGCTCATCGTTGACAATGTCGATCTTGCACTCGGTTGCGTCTGGAGATGGTGGGGAATTGGAGAGAAGAGTAGGAGGGAGGTCGATGACTCCCGGTGTCTTATCATCGATGATAATGTCTTGGTCCTTGGGTGGATCCTCATCATCGTCGATTGCATCTTCAATGGCGTCCTCGTCTTCTGAGTTCTTCCTGAACTCGACAAGTGCGTCCATGGAATCGTGGCGCTCGGGGCGCTTGCGATGAGCAAAAGAAGCGGTGGGGCGCGGGCCAACTGTCTTCATTGAGAAAGCTGTATCGAGCTTCTCGTCGCTACATGTAAAGGTTGGAGATACAGCTGGAGAGGTCGAATGATAGCCTTCGTCGGAAGACTTCGTGTCGTTCGGGTCCTCGAAGACTTCGTCAAAGTCGAAATCGCCATCAGCTGCTGCGACAATCTTCGGACGAGGCGGGTTGTCTGTAGTAATCGCATCATCCGACACAACTTCGATGTCAATCGAAGGCGTCTTTGCAAGATCGGACATTTCGTCATTCTTCTTGCGGATGATCGGTACTGGAGTCGATATAGGCGGCGTCTGTGCCTCCTCTTCGTCCGTCTCACTGCCGCCGTGTTGGAGCTGAGGAAGATCGTTTATATCGATCTCGCTGAATCGCTCGTAGGCCTCGACATCCTCGTCCGCTGGTTCGATCGGCTCAGTGATTTCGTCTTCTTCAAAGAAGAAGACCTGTCGCAAAGATGAGGACCTATAAAGCACTGGCCGCCGACAGTCAAGACCGCTATTCGCCTTCATCTGGTTCCAGTTCTGTGTATAGTTGGCGCGCTTGTGCGGACTCGGATTATACTCGTCGTAATAGCTCATCTCGCCGTACGCTGGCATATCAGAGGAGTCTTGTAGTGCGCGACACACGAGTTGGTCATGAGCGCACTGCCATTCAGCTTCTCCAGTCACCTCTGCTTCACCGTCGGAGGGCTGTTGAACCGTCGACGAGGTGTCATCGAGAAGCGGGAACTCGCCAGAAACCGTGCTTGACGCGTGCTCTTTAGAGAGCTCTAGCTTGGTGACGGTGAATTGAGATTCATCCTCGCTGGGCGGAAGTTGCAGTGGGGTCAAGTCCTTGATGGAAGGTGCGGAAGTGTCGGCGGTGGCTTTCCAGGACTCAAAATCGAAATCGTCCTCCTCGTCGTCGGCCCAGTTGAAGGACCTGGAGGGGCGGTTGCTAAGGGTAGCAGTAGTCATGTTGATGTTTGTTGTTGTGTAGGGATTATGTGTGTTTGATTGGTAGATTGGTGGAGTTATAACTGGTAGAGAGATTTGTGCAGTTGAGAGGAAATTTATGAGAAGAGAGTCAAGTTTCGGGACTCATATCAGTGGAGGCTGGCTGCTCGTGAGCTCTTGGCGGCGCGTTCTCTGCGGGTGTGGCTTGTGCGCAGGTGATCGTTGGGGAAACAGTTGGACGCTGACCAAAATCATCCGAGTGAAACGAGGCATTTTTTTCGGGTGAAATTCTACTTATCGACGTTTTGGCCGGCTGTCGATTGTGAGCAAACATAGACCACTCCCAGTAGTCTTAGTCATCGAGTACCAACACAATGGGATATGCACAGAGGGAAAGACATTGTAAAACTTGTAGAGCTCTCGGCCAATCGTAAACGTGGTGTTACAACACAATGAACGGTACGGTGCCGAGACACAAAATCTGTCGCAGCAGCCGTGGTCACACACACAATGTTGCGACAAGACAAAAATTACATTAATGGAAACAGGTTATGAAGTATATGTGCCTCATCGCTCTGAGCGACTATCTGATTCCGAGAATTGCCTTATATGAAGTAAGAACTGAAGGAAATGTAGCACTATGAAGATGTAGAGTAGAAAAGATACAAGCAATGAGAAGGGAACAGTATCCCAAGAATAGAAAAGCCGAGCACCTTGAAAGCATCCAAATCGCTTAAAATGGTGAGCAGGCGGAAAGGGCAACCGGAACAAAGTAACGAACGGTCTTGGTGAGCTTCTTCGTGGACTTGACGCAACGGCGTGTAGTCTGTTGCACCTTCTTAGGAGCCTTGCTGAGATGTTCCTTAATCTTTCCGACCCAGCGAGGTTGGCGTGATTCATAAGGGACGTCGTTGAAGAGCGTAGGGTACTCCTGTCCGTGGGCGGCAGTCGCAGCATATTCATCATACTCGGGGTGGGTAGGCTCCTTGGTTCGAGACACTCTAATTGGCTGATAGGCCGCAGGGGCTGATGTTAGATCGATGGTGTCGGATTCGACATTTGGGAGAGGTACGTGTGATTGAGCGCCGTCCGGCGACTCCTCCGACCCATGTGATGTGATAATGTACGCTAGGAGGTTATCAAGCTTGTGGTTGATGCGATTTGGTGTATCCGGAACACCAAGGTTATTGCGGAGTCGCGAAGGACTACGGTGAATACCCGGCCCATGACCGACTGGAAGGAATGCCGCCGACTCGTCTGCCACATGGTTGGGCTGCATCGCCGAAGGTACCAGTGGTAAGCTAATAACGCGCTTTCTACCATTGCCCATAGCCGCTGTATGGTCTGCCGATACGGCTGAGCGACCAATACTAGCATCTGAGAAGCCTCGCAGAGTAGTCATGCAGACCGCGCAACCATCTTCACAATCATGTGCGTCGCGCTCGAGGTCGAGTGCATCTATGAGCCGCGAGTAGCTGTGCTGAAAGCTCTCGTAGGATGATTTCGAGGTGACGGACGTTTGGTTCGAGAAGATTGACGTGCGAGCAGATAGGTTCTTGTTATCTTCGTCGTTATCGATCAAGGTCTTGAGCAATATGGGTCCAGTATGGTAGTGCATAGACGACGAATCATCGTTCTCGTGTTCCCGTGATGCATTGTTGAAGGTCTAAACCGGTTAGCATTGTGCAAGCATAGCGTTGCGTTATCTAACATACCTCGATTCGCATGCGCCCAGCTCGAGCTGCCTGATCCTGTCGAGCCTTATCCAAGTAGACGGAATCGCCTTCGTCGAAAGCGTTTTCAAAGTCCTGTAGCATTATATTAGCCAAAGCCCAACCAGTTGAATAGAATCCACTTGCCTCTAGGACCTCCTCCTCAGCGGCAACCGGGCCTGGTGGTGTCTCGAATGTGACATCTTCCTCGTGCGGGATGATGTTCTCTGTATCATGAGGAATATGTTCGTACTCATCGACGATCTCATCGACAGGACTGCTGGGGGCCTGTAAAACAACATAAGTAATATAAGAGTGAATTACAGGGAGCCAACCTACCTGAACAATGTCTGCCTCAAGCAGCGTATCGCCCTCTTCAAATACGAAGTCGGCCTCATCATCCTCACCAGAGCCTGACGCATCGAATCCTTCGCCAACGCGAAAGGAAGGACCATCAACGTCTTCCTCGGAGCTATTGCTCAACACAGAGTTAAGTCCATCTCCAGGGCCGTCATGTGTCACCACTGGAAGAGAGATACTGGAGACCTGCAATTCGAATGTTAGCTAGATCCAATGTTCGCGTGCTGTAGCTGCTTACCTCGACGTCTTCCTCTTCAACATCATCGTCGTCTTCATAAACGACCTCGTTGCGCAGAGACGAGGGCCCATGCACCATGATCGCACCCGTCTCCCACTTCGCCACATTCCACTTTCTATAGGTCCCGCCATGCCGCTTTGCATGACCGTTCGCATGATGCTTGAACACGAAGCGGTCGCGCAGTGTCCGAACTGCAGATGCTGCAGAGCGGCCAAAAGCGCGCTGTTCGTGGGAATGGCAAGAGCCGTGGCCCGAGAATTGTGGATCGAGGCATGGCTTTACGGCGAAATAGTACGAGACTCGACGATGTGATGAAGGGGATATGTCCGCATCTTCATCGGGGTCGAGGTCGTCGTCTACTAGAAAGCCGTCGTCTTTCGCACTGGCGATAAGACTCGCGAGGGACACTTTGCCGTCGTGGCGCTTGAGGAGGCTCTTGTGGTCGTTGTTGCGCGGGTACTCGATATCTACAACAGTGTCGGTGGCAGATTCAGTCGAAGAAGTCTGCTTGCTGTTATCTTCAAGGCCTTCGTCCGAGTCCGCCAGCGGGAGGAACCGATGATAATCGACCTTCTGGGTGATGTCCTCGAGGTCATCTCCATAGTCTGAGACTGAATCTGATTCTGTATCAGACTTTTCTGGAGATGGAAGGTCGTTCGGATCTGCGCTTGCGATGATCTGAGCAAGAGACGGCATTCTGTGGCTGCGCATGAGACGGGCTTTCCGGTCAATCACGACGTTCGACAACTCCACGGCGGTGATATCAGAGGATGAATCTGAAAGGTCATCTTCCTCCACCTCGTCGATAGTGGAAAGAACCGTTATCCCATCGTCAGTGTAGTCCTCGATGTAATGCTCGACGCAATCCGTCAGAGGCTCCTCCTGGGACGTTGTTGTCGCGTGGCGTAGGCGACGAACGGGGCTCAATATCAAGTTGTTGTCCTCCTCTGCATTAACATACTCCTCCAAGGCTATCTTTGCATCCGGTTCTAGCGAATCCGATACGTCATCATTGTCGAGACCAAGACAGAAGACAAACTTTGTGCCGGTCGGGTTGGTCAGTTCGTGCCCAGACTTGTCCACGGCTTTGTACTGCCCCATGATGTAGCCTTGTATATCACGCTTAGCTGTGCGGCTCATATTGAAGAGGGCTTGCGCGTCGCCTCGAATCGGTGTCGGAATAGGGTGCTCTAGCTGTCGAGTCCTTTTCCGAACGCCTGGGCCGCGGACCATATCGCGGCCGCCGGTGGTTCGAGTACGCATTGCGCTGTAGCTCGTGTCAACAAGGGAAGGTTTGGTGATTACCGAAGTCCTATCGTTCTGCGCATAGCGCCTTGATGGGGTAAACTTGTTGTTTTCGGCCATGTTCTGCTTCGCCATCGATTTGATCGGAGAGGGTTTTTCGGGGGATTTCGCAGAAGGCGTAGGACTGCACCGAAGCCGAGCCATGTCTCTTGCGATAGCTACGACAAGAGTAGCTTTGTGAGCGGATTTAACAGCGTACTGCGTGATGTCCACAATGCTTATCAGAGCAAATGGGTGAAATCTGTCGGAACAGGGTTCGGTTGAGTTAAGGACGCGTTGGTGTGTAAACAAACCGCGCGAGGCCCGTCCGAAAGGAGGATATTCGATACTTTCGTTGCCTGTCTGCGCGTTTTTGCCCGAGTGAAGGGCCCCATGCGAACGAACCCGGGGGCAACGGTGATATCATCCCATATGTTTCTCTTGCGTCATATGCCCTACTATGCTGCATGAGGCCCGAAGTACTCGAGCCTTCTTCCTAGGTAACAACTAGGCTCAATTTCCATTCCCGGCAACGTCATTCGAGCTGGGATTTCCGTGGTCGGGGGTCGACCCAAGTCCAGACGTACTCCTTCCTTTACGCCAGGTATTCCTGATCATAAAGCATACTTGGATGTCGTTAAAGAGACGTACGATTGAAAAAGAAGAGGTGAATAAGAGAGTACCCGAAACTGACAGAGATAGAAAATACCTACCAGCGCTCAACGGGGACGCGCTCACAGCCTGAGCGCTCAGAACACGATGTGTTGCTCGCCATTGGGAACACCACTGAGCTTGTCAAGATGAGATCAACCAACGCGCGAAAGGATTACTGAATTGCTAAGAGTTCCAGACATCTATGAGAACGCAGGGTTGTCGGAGCCTTCCTAGAGTCTTCCCTTGAACGATAAGCTCTCGGATACTCTACTGAAGGAGTTAGTAGTCGAACGTGTTGGCAGACAAAAGGGCTGATTGAAGTAGCTCTCGAGTCTACTGGCAGCTCAAGGCTGTGTGTCATTGAGTCTTATAGTCAATAAGCTGTCTACGTCCATGCGGAGGGCGTTGGATGATCCCATCTATTCCTGAAATAAAAGTCGTTGGACTTACTGTCCAGCAGGCTTCCTATGCATAACTGTAGCCGCAGCCTGTCGACCATTAGAAAAAGTATCGAAGCATAGCAGAAGAGACTTACCTGATGGTTAGGGAAGATCAGTGTGTCAGCAAGTACGACGTTCTCCCTCCTCCCTGCGGCAAACACAACCACCTCAGCAATATCCTCCGGCGTCAGCGGCTCCACACCCTCATAAACCTTCTTCGCTTTCTCTGCGTCTCCTCCAAACCGGACAACGCTGAATTCCGTCTCAACCTGCCCGGGGTCAATCTCGATGACGCGAACCCTTGTTGCGATCAACTCCTTGCGCAGGGCGTCTGTGAAAGACCGCACAGCTGCCTTCGTAGCGCAGTAAATACTGCCACCTTGGTACGGCTCCCGGCCTGCGATGCTGCCAATATTTATAATATCGCCAGAGGGGGTAGAGCGGGCTTTGAAAATGGGGAGGATGGCTTGGGTCATGTTAATCAGGCCGGTTACGTTTGTAGCAAACATGACATCGATGTCAGCGGCGGAAATGTCGGGCGCTTGGGCTACGCCTTTGACGAGGCCTCTGTAGCCGGAGTCAGCTTCCCTCATCCCTATTCTACACTTGCTTGGTAATAGGTGACTTACGCATTGTTGACCAACACATCTATATCCTTGAACTCCTGCGGCAGGTTTCCTACGAAGCTCTGGACTTCTTGCGGCTTGCTCACGTCAAGCTTTACAGGCAGAACCTTGACGCCTTTCGCGAAGCCTTCAATCTCTTTCGCAAGCTCCTTCAGCGTGTCCTCTCGACGAGCGGTTAGGATGAGCTTTAAATCATCCGGTTGTGTACGCGCGAATTCTATAGCGGTGGACTTTCCAATGCCAGAGGAAGCGCCTGTTATGACAATGGTCTTGCCCTTTAGGCGTTCTGCTATTCTCGTAGACATATTGGATGTGTGTTGTTGAAAGTGCCTCGAAAGTAGAGCTTGTGGAAAGACGCGGGGTCGGAAAGGAGCTTTGACGAAGGCGGTAGAGGTACGGAACAGATGTCTCGATTGTGACAAGAGATGCATGTACGTCTCAATATAGCAGATTCGAGCCCTGGGAGCTTGAGAACGTCACTGGGATTACATTGCGAGTTCGGAGTAGGAACGCGGCCGAGTTATGGGTGTTGGCTTATCGGAGCCATCCCGAGGTCCATGAGTCATGGTTTGCTTCTTGGAGGGGAAAGCACGACAGTGTGGAGCAATTTTGTATCATTTCGTGCAAAGCATTTTGAGCCGTATCACATCAATCACTTCATCGCATGTGCACAGAGTAACGTGGATCATTTCATTTCATTCATGTCCCAGACACCATCGCAGCTATCGTGATGACGAATTGATCATCATATTCATGCAATGCCCGTCCTGAACTCCAAGCACAAATCTCTCTGCGCGGGGTATCCATATCTTGTAGACCTCTAGGCCTTGCCCTTCCTCTTGAGCTCCGCCTCCTCCTCGTCCCTCAATTGCTGGTCGATGACGGCTCCCTTTGATGGCTTGTTGCCATGCGACAATGCTGGTAGAGTGGCGTCCTCTTGGCGAAGCCTGTCCTCCTCTGACTTTGGCTCATCAGCCTCCTTCTCGCGCAACTCTTCGCGTGCGAGCTTGTTGGCAATTGTGCGCTCATCCTCTGATAACCTGTTAGTAATCGTTCTGGAAGATGAAACGAGGTGTATGGTGGTGCAAGGTGAAGAGACTGTGTCATGAGGAATTGGGCAAAACGGATATGGAGAACATACTGGAGTCGGTGGCCTTGTGCGAGTGCTCCTTGCCCTCGTGGAACCTGTTATCCTTCTTCTCTTGCTCGATCTGAGAATCGGGAACGGTGCGCTGGTCATCAGCCTGGTAGACACCAGCGTTTCCGACGTTCGAGTTTCCAGACATGTTGTTGATGGTGGATATGATTGAGTTTGAGTTTGAGATTTAGAGAAGATTTAAACAAATGTAATAGCTCTTGGGAGTTGTTGTCTGTCGTGTGTCCTTATTTTCGCTCTTTATGAACTTTGCGCACAGACTAAATAAGGATGACGTACATACGTCGCAATGATATCAGTGTGGGGAAAGGTATCGAATTTTAAGCACCAGGTCGATGCACCTATGATGTAGCTACCCGTCGTAGGGCTGAATTGTGCCTAGAATGTTCCTGGCATGTTGCGATCGCGATCGTCTAGGTCATCGTCGTATACCTAGGTAGTTCGGCTTTTGATACAGCGACCTGTCTTCGTATGGGTATGCGTCATTTCTACAGCTGACATGCACCGATAGCCGTTAAATCAGAATTGTAATTTAAGGATACGCATCTCGTTCGGCTTCCTCTAACTGATGACACAATGCGTAACCGTTCAACCACCTGTCCACCAATGCCAATGCCAATGCCTCCTTCAACTTGTCAAAGGTACCATATGTCCAGCAGTCAACAGTAGCAAACGCAATGGTCGTCTCCCTTCCACTCGCACTCTCCATCCTAACTTCCTTATACCATCCTACTTCTTCGCCACCATTGCTCCACATTCTTTGGGGTTGGGCAACGAACGCGGCTTGACCCTGCCACGATATCGTACTCGCCCATTGCAGCTTATCTACCGTTTTACACGCAAGTTCGAGGTTGCCTTAGTATAAGAGTACATCTATACCATGCTCGAGAAGAAAGAGTACTTGCGGTTGCGTGCTAAACCCCTCGTCACCTGTCGGTCCAAACGTCGTTGCGACATCCTCAGGAAAGACCGAGTAGTTGCCAGCCACCTCGAGTACGTGAAGAGCCTCCCAGGCCCACGGGAGGTTGAGGTAGTTCGCAATACTTGGGATCTCCAGATAACACAGATCGTTTTTCGTCTCGGACGCGTAATGTCGAGGCGATTCCTGCTGCCTGCACCAGACTCGACATGGTAGTGCCTGTAAACGTTGACTGAAGGTTTACCTGCGGTCACCTCAGATATACTTAGTTTTGGGACATAATGGCCCTTCTGGTGGTCAACTCTCATATAACACTAGACAGTATAGTATACTTACAGCATAATTCTCGCCGCTAATGTGAAAGTCTCTTTGCCTTGGGGTCCGGAAACACATCGCTCGTGAACAGCTGCAGAAATGATACATAGGAGTTATGGGTCCTCAGAGGGCTTGCTTTGGGACTCGAAATACCAGAAGAAGAGGTGCTTTGGGCCGACGTCTAGCCAGCAAGTGTATTGTTTGGAATGTGCGCTGCATAGGTTAACAAATTATTGTTGTTTGATGCGTATTGAGTGATCCTCGGAGAAGTCGGTTTGGTATACTTTGAAAGCCTCGACTCTGGGTGTTTCTTGAAAGGGTGTCCGAGAGAACGCTCAAAAACAACCTTCCTCATCCGGCGACTTTTAGCGGATTTTGCCTGAGCGCGGTTGTTTGACAAGGGTGCAAACACTTAGGCTTTGGGATCATCTGTCTACGACGGCTGTACCACAGTACGCGATAGTGAACTCAACCTGTCCGATTTGCGCGACCAAACCGCGTCAACCAGCAGCGTGCACCGACCTGCTCCGGACAGCTCTTTCAGCATCGATCCCTGTGCGCCATCGAGAGACAGTCTCGACTAACTCTGCCCGCTTTCCTCGAGCGCTCCTTCCCCAGAGATGCCGTACAACAATACCCCGATCGCGCCTTCCAAAGAGGTTACTGGCCATGTGTCACTTCCTCGTAAGTAATCACGTCGCCTCTCTTCACTTCACCATTTGTTCCACTGCATCGCTTCGCATTTCTACCCTTGTTTGAAAAGTCGCGAGCGTTTGACAACGCTTGCTGCTACATCTTTGCTACCTCTCCGTCCGACTACAAGTTGTTGCCTGTCGGCCTCTCATAGCTCCCACCTCTCGCGTCGACCACGCCTTCTCAACCCCCATCATGTCTTCAATTCCCAGTACATCCCCCCTGCGCCCCTCCATCTCACCCCAAACCCAAACTGACCCAGCCAGTCGCACGCGTCCAGAAAATCATCCAAGCCGACCCAGAGCGGATAAACACGTCCAAAAATTCCGCTTTCGCCATCGCCCTCGCGACCGAGATGTTCATCCAGCACCTAGGCGCCACAACACACAACGTGGTGAAAGCCGAGCGGAAGCCTCGACGAAACATACAGTACAGGGACGTGTCGAGTGCGATTGCAAAGACGGATAACCTGGAGTTCTTGGTCGATGTAGTGCCCAAGACGACGACGTACAAGGAATTCAAGAAGCGGCAGGAGGAGAAGGCTAAGGGCAAGGAGAAAGACAAGGGCACAGAGAGAGAGAAGGAGAAGAAGGGGGTTACTACGAATGGCAAGTCTGGTGGGCAGGCGGCAAGTCTCGAGGACGAGGTCAAGGGAATCTTGAATGGGATTACTAGGGACGAGCCTGTGCTGAATGGCAATGGCGATAGTGCTTCTTCTCCCACTTCAGAACAGCCAGAGGAGACACCCGATGCGATGGACGTGGACGATGAGCCATTGCCAGAGGTAGAATCCGAGCGTGTCGAAGACAGCGAGCCGGAAGAGGATGCTGCGGCTATGCAGATTGAGATGGAGATGCGGGGCCCGCCGCGACCTGCACCAAGTGCGAGTCCAGATGTTAGGCGGTCATCTGGGTTCACGGCGATCAACGGTTCAAAGTAATCTGACAAGAAGAGAGAGGGGAGTAGGAGTATTTTGGCTTTTGCATTGCGTCAGGCGTTTGGAAGATATCATGGCATGGCACTGGGTCGGCGATTGAATAAGAGAAACCGCTCTTCTTTTCCTCGAATCCATTAAGCATAACTATTTTGTTCGAGCCCAATATGTGCCAGGATACATCACGGCTCCCAAATCTCCACATTCGCCCGCCACCCCTCCCTTACCTTGATGCTCTCCAGCGCCTCTTGAGTCTCTTCCCAAGGCACACCAAACAACCCGCTGTTGATCTTGCACATCCTCAATTCGGTTATCTCATCCGCTTGTCTAATCAACTCAAGCAACATCTGCATTGCTGGTGTAGTATTGCGAAGAATCGCTTCAGGCTTCGCTTTCGCTTTGCCGTACTTGGCGCTTGTGAAGAGACACCCGATCCATTGGCTCTTACCAGAGTCGACTGGGGGAATGATCAGAGCTGTTCCCGGCAGTACAGGACTGTACCTTGGGTTGTGCTCTTTGGTGCAAAAGTCCCTGTAGATGGTGTAGGCTTTCGGGTAGCGCTCTCGGAATGTGCGGGCTATGCCAGCGCCCCAGGAGCCTTGGGTGTTGCACGCGTGGACGAGTAGGCAGTTTGGGGGTGCTTGGTCGAAGAGGTCGCCCTGGTGGGTACTGAGGGACAGTGTTGTAGAGGTTACGTTTCCGGTAGCCGTTAGCCAGTTGGGTGCTAGGTCCTTGGACGAAAGGTGTGTTGGTGCGTCTGCTTTCAATGCTTTGACGTTGCACCTTTCGTCAGTGGGTGGAGAGTCTGAGATTCTCCTCTTGCCATTGTTCTTGTCTTCCTCTCTTGATGAGCTGGCCGTTGGAGCATCGCGGGGACTATTGGCTGTAGGCTCCTCGGTCTTAGTCTTTCCCTGGCCCTCGCTCTTGCGCTGGAAGGAATTGGTGATGTTTCCATCGCGGTGAGGTGGCATGGCTTTTGCGCGTGGTATTCGCTCTTGGGTAGTGGTTATATCTAAAGCAAGACCTGGAACTGGGGTTTGGAGGGTGCTGTAAGATGATATAGCTAGTTGTGAGATGCTAGTAACTCGAGATCGTAGTGGTAGAAAGGAGGAGGCCGCCCTCCACGACGCCCTTTTCAATTTCCAAGCCAGACTGTTGATTTGCTGCCCGGGTAAGAGCTGAAGCTGAGTGAGGGCGCCGCTACAAGTAAAGGTAGTCGATAAGTAGGCAGACTGATCACAAGCTTGACAACCCTTCGCCTTCGACTATCGTTAAGGTCTAGCCTTAGGCAATATTGGACAAGATTTAGTGAGTGCTTAGCCGACTATGATGATCTTGCGACAAAAAGCTCCTGGTGCGTCAGATGTAGCAGGTCATATATCCGCAAGAAGTGGACGAGAGAAGCGTGAAGAGCTTCGCAGTGCTGTTGCCTGGCAGCTGACAATGATCTGTGCACATCCTTGAGCCGTGAATGGACACTGTGTAAGCTACGCGGGAACTTGCTCCCATGAAATGACCAGTATTTCAGATGAAGCTGGACAACTAGATGTTTTGATGTTCACCACTGATGACGCTGGGGTTGACTCGCGCAAGGCCGGAAGGCGCCGACCAATCACAGAACACCTGATCTAAGACGCCGGGTCGCTCCTGCCAAAACTTCAACATGTAGCAACCTCACAGCTCCTCCCCCCATCCACGACAACCCTCGTTCACCCGCGTCCACGATGCCTGCCCTCGCCAACACGACCCGTGCGATCGCACGCTCATGGACAGCCCACCAATTGCCCGTCGCCCGGGCCGGCTGCACCGCCATGCAGACCCGCAGCGCCTCGGCCTCCTCCTTCGACAGCCCCTTCAAGGGCAGCTCCGACTCCACCAAGATCCCCTCGTTCGCTGCGTACAGGAATAAGGGAGGCGAGACAGGCCCCAAGGTGTTCCAGTACTTCATGGTTGGCACCATGGGTGCGCTGTCTGCGCTTGGCGCGAAGGCGACTGTACAAGGTACGTCTTCACCCCATCACAACGGCTAGTCGGAGAACTGGGAAAGATCAGAAAGAGCAGATACGGCGTATTTTCATGTGTGGGAGAGCAATTGGCCATTTTGCGGATGATTTGGAGGCATGGCCTGATGAAGATCGGATGGCTAACGAACCCGCGCAACAGATTTCCTCGTCAACATGTCCGCGTCTGCCGACGTTTTGGCCCAGGCCAAGGTAGAAATCGATCTCGCCGCCATCCCCGAGGGCAAGAACGTACGTTTTCCCTATACCATACTAGAATGTGGCGCGGCAGGAACTGACTAGGGAACAGGTCATTATCAAGTGGCGAGGCAAGCCCGTCTTCATCCGACACCGTACCGAAAGCGAAATCAAGGAGGCCGATGACACCAAATGGGAAGCTCTACGTGATCCCCAGCCCGATTCCGACCGTGTTAAGCAGCCCGAATGGTTGATCATGTTGGGTACGAAGACCTTGTATACAGCAAAAGGGTCAGAGGCTAACATTCGCAGGCGTCTGCACCCATCTGGGTTGTGTGCCCATTGGTGAGGCTGGCGACTTCGGTGGCTGGTTCTGCCCCTGCCACGGTTCCCACTACGACATCTCTGGCCGCATAAGAAAGGGACCCGCCCCGCTCAACCTCGAGATTCCATCGTACGATTTCCCTGAAGAGGGCAAGGTTGTTATCGGTTAAGCAATGAACATGTAAAGTAACAGAAGAGGAAGACGGACGGAAGCAGCGGGCTGTGTCAATAGGAGCGAGCATTACCATTTCCTTTGCTTTTCTTCAATAGATTCGGCTTGTGTGCGTAGGAAATGTAACACCAGTTAGAGTCAGTTGTCGCACGTTTTTGATACTGTCGCACATTTTTCATTATATTACACGACTATCTCACTGCCCATTCAAGTACGTCTTGACAGCCTCCACAGCACCCTCAAACTTGCCTGCCTCAATCAAGACCATGTGGCCCTTCGGCTTGACCCCCAATTCCTGGAACGCCCGCTTACTATCACTTGCACCCTCATCCACGGGCGAGTCATACTCAAAACTCGTATATCCTACCGCATGCTTATGTAGCATCTCATCTTCCGGATGAAAATAGAACGTCTCCTCCCCTTCCTTGCTGTTGTTCTTTTTCTTCTTACTAGGCGGTGCATCGTTTGAGGGCAGGGACGATTGCACTTCAGAGTAGCACTTGGAGAGTACGAGGTAGTGGGTGAAGGCGTAGGGTTCTTTTTCAGCGAGCGCCCATTGGATCTCTTCAAGGAGCATCGTGTACATTGGGGGGACGATCTCATGGGGGATATTGATGAAGCGCTCAGTTAAGATGAGACCGACTTGCGCTTGCGATGAGGCATTCAGGAGAGAAGGTAGGGCGGGAAGGGAGGTGGACTTTTTTGAGAGGTAGGCTGTGAGGTCTTGAATGACTTTCTTCTCCTAGGCACTGTTAGGACTGAGGTTTTGGAGAGGGATATGAGGGGGGTGTACTTTGTGTGTCTCGAGGTTCAGTACTGTGAGAAAGGCGTAGGGGTCTGTCTCGTTGCCATCGACTTTGACCGTGCTCCCTAGTAGTGGTTGCGACAAGATGAGGTCCGCGAGTTCTGAGAGATTGAACAGTTGGTTGTCCACGTCGAGCAACTGTCGCAGAAGCGTCTTGAGGCCATGGAAGTCGACTGCAGGCTGCGGGTCGAACCATTCAAAGTCGACGTTCACCATGTCCATATCCTAGCGTCTGTGAGCTTCCGTCGCATAATGGAGGCTGGACCAGTTCGCATACCTCGTCGCTGCCAGACTCATCGTCATTGTTCTGCTTGCCCTTGTCTGAAGCATCGGGCAGCTCCTCGGGGTCTCTTTCTGATTTCCGTTTCGCCATTGTGTATGTGTGTGAGCTAAGTTCAAAGTAAAGTAAGGTTGTCTGCAGTCGATACAAAGGAAACGCGCCGGCGCCGCTATCGATAGAGAAATTTTGGCCCCACCAAAATTTTACTGCCAGTCACGTAGCCCCTCACATTCCCACTTCTTCCTCCCAGTATCCGTCCCTTTTCTTCTCCCACACTCGTTCAGACTTCAATTGCACCTCGCAAAGGAACACCACATACTTCAAGATGGCGACCGACGGCTCCGACCCAATCCCTCCCCACAAGACGTTCGACACCATCCTCGTCCTCGACTTCGGCTCCCAGTACACACATTTGATTACACGACGACTTCGCGAGCTCAATGTCTACTCTGAGATGCTTCCATGCACGACGAAGCTGGCCGACCTCCCATTTACCCCAAAGGGTATCATTCTCTCCGGTGGCCCATACTCCGTCTACTGGGATGATGCACCGCACGTCGACCACGCCGTCTTCGACCTCGGCGTACCGATCCTAGGTATATGCTATGGGCTGCAAGAGATGGCATGGCACTTCGGAAAGAATGCTGGCGTGGCTGCGGGTGACAAGAGAGAATACGGACATGCGAAGTTGAACGTGGAGAGCCATGGTGGACATGTCGACCAGCTGTTCAAGGACCTAGGGAACGATCTGGAGGTCTGGATGAGTCATGGCGACAAGTTGAGCCACATGCCCCAGGACTTCATCACCGTTGCAACCACCCCAAATGCGCCGTTTGCGGGTATCGCGCACAAGACGAGCAAGTACTACGGCATCCAGTTCCACCCGGAGGTCACGCATACAAAGAAAGGAAAGGTCCTTCTGAAGAACTTTGCGGTCGATATCTGTCAAGCGCAGACAGATTGGACCATGGGCAAATTTGTTGACCAGGAGATTACGCGCATCCGAAAGTTAGTTGGAGACAAGGGACAAGTCATTGGGGCTGTCAGCGGAGGTGTTGATTCCACTGTTGCCGCGAAGCTGATGAAAGAGGCCATTGGCGACCGCTTCCATGCTGTCATGGTTGACAACGGTGTCCTGCGGTTGAATGAGGCTGTCCAGGTCAAGGAGACACTTGAAAGGGGCCTAGGTATCAATCTGACGGTCATCGACGCATCAGAGCTCTTCCTTGGCCGTCTAAAAGGCATCACCGACAACCCCGAGCAAAAGCGCAAAGTCATTGGCAACACCTTCATCGAGGTCTTCCAGGAGCAGGCCAAGAAGATCGCCGCCGAGGCTCACAACTCCTCTAATGCTGGCGAGATCGAATGGCTTCTCCAAGGCACCCTCTACCCTGATGTCATCGAGTCTCTCTCTTTCAAGGGCCCCTCCCAGACTATTAAAACCCACCACAATGTCGGCGGCCTCCCAGCAAATATGAACCTCAAACTCATCGAGCCCCTGCGCGAGCTCTTCAAGGACGAAGTCCGTGAACTCGGCAAGGAACTCGGTATCCCCGAAGAACTCGTCTGGCGACACCCCTTCCCTGGCCCAGGCATTGCTATCCGTATCCTTGGCGAGGTGACTCCCGAGCAAGTCCGCATTGCGCGCGAAGCAGACAATATCTTCATCGAGGAGATCAAGGCTGCGGGGCTGTATAGGAACATCAGCCAGGCATTTGCTGCGCTGTTGCCCGTCAAGGCAGTGGGCGTCATGGGAGATAAGCGTGTACATGATCAGGTCATTGCTCTGAGGGCAGTGGAGACGAGTGACTTTATGACGGCAGACTGGTATCCGTTCGACGGAGAGTTCTTGAAGAGAGTTAGCAGGAGGATTGTGAATGAGGTCAACGGAGTTTGCAGGGTCGTATACGATAGTAAGTTTTCTCGTCTTTGTATAAAAGGCTCTATTTGCTAACATAATTTAGTCACCAGCAAGCCTCCTGGCACTATTGAGATGGAGTAAATTACGCTTCGAGGCGCGCCTCGGCGACTTGGCACAGGGGGCATGGCATACAAAACTGGTAGATTTGGCTTATACGATACTTGGCTTCCAGATGAATAGACGATAGACACTTTGATGATACCCTGCAATGACTACAATACAGTAGCTATATACCAATAGAAAAAGATTCTATAACGAAGTGCTGCTGGACCGCTGCCATGCTGGGTGAATATGTCAAGGCTATATGCCCTGGGGCTTTAATCACCACACTATACATTTCTTCATATTGCTAGAAGTATATTGCCACAATTTTAGGCCTCTCGGATGTTGTGTTGTTGCGTTTTGATTTTTCTTGTGATTTTAACATTGGGTTGGAAAGACGAAAATGACATCATGACACCACAGCTTGACTAGTAGAAACTTGAGAATTTTAAGAGTAACAATGAAATGTAGTTAGTATTTCACTGTCTAGATGCCCAAGGTATTCATATATATATTTTGGCAACATTTCCCAGTAGCATGAATGGCCTTTTTGACATGGTTGTGACATGTGATAGCTGCGGCGGTGCAGTCGGACCTCCGAGATCTAAGAGCTGAACCCTTGCAGATCTACAAGCACACCCACGCACTACAACATCCCGAACCTCTCGAGCTTCTTGAACAGTCACAAATAGAAACCGACAATGCGATGAACCGCACCTCATCCTCGCACTCGCGCCCCCGCAGACCCTCCCATCCACAGTCCACACGCTCCGCCTCGTTCACACCCTCGCTCCGCCGGCGCAACACATCGCACTCGATCCAATCTCTCGACCATGACGACGACCCGGAGGCTGCTCAAAACACGCACACGGACCACGCCATTGTTGAGGAAATTGCTGAGATAAAACGCTATGAAGACTTCACAACAATAGACTGGGTGCAAGACGCTGCGCGCGAGCAACTGCGGCGCAAAGCACGGCGCAAGCAACGCTCCAACATAGGAGCCAGCGGAGACACCAAAGCAGTTTTCCTCGGCCGTGGACGCGGAACCTGGCGGCGCAAAATCGCAGAAGCATACGATGCAGGACAAGCATGGATCGTGGTCACGCTCGTAGGCGCTGCAATTGGACTCAACGCCGCGTTCCTAAACATTGTGACAGAGTGGCTCGCGGACATTAAGCTGGGGCACTGCACCACGGCGTTCTATCTGAATGAGAGTTTCTGCTGTTGGGGTGCGGAGAGCGGATGTCCCGAGTGGAAACGCTGGAGTGGCTTTTGGCCGATGAATTACTTCTTCTACATACTTTTTGGGGCTGTGTTTGCGGCGACGGCGGCGCGCCTCGTCAAGAGTTTCGCGCCGTATGCGGCGGGAAGTGGTATCAGTGAGATGAAGTGCATCATTGCTGGGTTCGTCATGAAAGGCTTCCTCGGCGCAACAACACTGTTCATCAAATCCATTGGACTGCCGCTGGCCATTGCATCAGGGCTGTCGGTCGGCAAGGAAGGACCGAGTGTGCACTATGCGGTCTGTACAGGGAATGTGATTAGTAGGTTCTTTGACAAGTATCGAAGGAATGCGGCCAAGACGAGGGAGATTCTCAGTGCGAGTGCGGCGGCGGGCGTGGGTGTTGCGTTTGGCAGTCCGATAGGAGGGGTGCTGTTCAGTCTGGAGGAGATGAGCAATTATTTTCCGCTCAAGACTCTCTGGAGGAGTTACTTTTGTGCGCTTGTGGCTACGGCTGTCTTGGCGGTCAGTACATCCTTACTCGGAATTCGACGCTGGCGTATTGAGGCTCTGGAGCTGACTATATTGTAGGCCATGAACCCCTTTCGCACCGGCCAGCTTGTCATGTTTCAAGTCAAATATGACCGCTCATGGCACTTCTTCGAGATACTCTTCTACATCATCATCGGCGCGTTTGGCGGGCTTTACGGCGCCTTCGTGATCAAGTGGAATCTCAAGATGCAGATCTTTCGCAAGAAATACCTGTCCCAATACCCCATTACGGAAGCAGTCACGCTGGCTGTTTTGACGGCGGTGATTTGCTATCCGAACACGTTCCTGAGGATCGATATGACGGAGAGCATGGAGATTCTGTTCCAGGAGTGCGAAGGGAACAAAGATGATGGTCAGCTCTGTGATCGAGATGAGCGGTGGCATATGATTGGGTCACTGGCGATTGCTACGATTGTTCGGACGCTGCTTGTTGTCATATCATTCGGGTGCAAGGTACCAGCTGGAATTTTCGTACCCTCGATGGCCGTCGGAGCTGCATTCGGGCGCATGGTTGGCATCTTTGTCCAGCACATCCACGAGAGCTTCCCGAACTCGGCCTTCTTCGCGGCCTGCGAGCCAGACGGGCCTTGTATCACGCCGGGTACATACGCGTTCCTGGGCGCTGCGGCTGCGCTCAGTGGGATCATGCACATCACTGTCTCCGTCGTAGTCATCATGTTCGAAATCACAGGAGCACTGACGTATATCCTACCGACTATGATCGTCGTTGGCGTCACAAAGGCAGTCTCCGAGCGCTTCGGGCACGGAGGCATCGCAGATCGCATGATCTATCTCAACGGCTATCCCTTCCTTGACAACAAGGAAGAGCACACTTTCGGCGTACCCGTATCGCAAGTCATGGCCTCGCACGTTGTCTGTCTCCCAGCAACCGGCATGGAGCTCAAGCAGATGGAGCGCCTCGTGAATGAAAATCACTACCAAGGATACCCCATCGTCGAGAACATGGAGAACAAGACTTTGATAGGCTACATAGGCCGCACAGAGCTCCGCTACGCCATCGACCGCGCAAAGAAAGACCAGATGGCACCTGGGCACGCAAAGTGCTCCTTCTCCACCTCCACTGGAAGCCAGGATTCCCGCACACCCTCGTTAACGATACCCGCCGTGACATTCGACAGCATGCCCGCCACTTCTTCATCCCTCAATCTCGACTTCGCGCGCTTCATTGACCCCACACCCTTGACCGTACACCCCCGCCTCCCGCTGGAGACTGTCATGGAGCTCTTCAAGAAGATGGGGCCACGCGTGATTTTGATTGAATACCGCGGCCGGCTGACAGGTCTCGTGACGGTCAAAGACTGTCTGAAGTACCAATTCAAGGTTGAGGCAGGGCATGGCGGGGGGAGTGGCAGTGGTGGAGATGAGGGGATGGAACGAGTGTATGGAGTCTTGAAAAGCGTGGCTTTGTGGGTTGATGGGGGGTTAGACGTTGTAAGAAGGATGGTAGGCATTGGAAGGGGGAGGGGTGGAGAGGTCAGGCTGGTCAGTCCGACGATTAGGGGGCCTGTGAGGAGAGGAGAGGATCAGGAGACGTTTTCTGTGGGAGAGGAGGATGATGATGGGGATGTGGGGACTGGGGTGGAGTTAGAGGATCGTGGGAGGAGTACAAGATAGATAATAGAGTTTCCATGTATTGCTTCTTCCAGCTTGTACTTGAACAGACCCTCGAGTCTGGAGAGCATTGACGATGGCTTTAGCCTGGAGCCGACATTAACCCGATCCCACGTGCCTGGTGAGCTGGCAATGCCTTCCTCTCGCGGGGAGTTGAGCGAACATGAATAGAGTGATTGATAGTAATAGCAACAACAAGACAAATTCACACACAGCATAAACGCGTCGACGAGCCTCTACGCTTGGTGTAATCGTCCCGTCTGTTTCGACCTCAGAGCACCAATCAGGCTGCGATCACTCCGCACCCCTGGCGCCGCTGCTAAGTGCGGGAGTGATCCGATCGGGTAAGGCGTCTACGGGCTGCGCGTGAGTCGGTGCGCGTCGACTTTCCGTAGTCAACTTTCTAATAAAGCAACAACACATCATCACCGTCGTGGGATACTATATCCTCGTTACCTTGTTAATAAACAACACGGGAGTCCTGTCATCCCTCCCACGTCACCGGAAGCGCGGAGCCACATGTCTCCCCACTAACACAGGCGATAAACAATCAACATGGAGGGACCGCTGCTCCCAGGGGCGCCCAACGGCAGCATACGCACGCCCAGTCCCACACCACCCTCAATCGACCCCCAGATAATCGTCGACCATCTGGAAAAAGTCCTCGACGTCAGTCTTGGTGCCTCGCAACAAGACCTATTCGCACCCGGCAGTCTCCTCTCCTCCGCCAAGCTCCAGGACACCCTACAGCGATGCTCCCGCTTTGCTTCCGAGGGGCAGTCGGTGCTGTACATAGTCAAGGACAGGGCGGATGAGCCGCACGCAGACGCGCTCGACGGCACAAATGGCAGGTACACCACTAAGAGGGAAGGCGCCCCCAGACTAACCAATCCAATAGGCGTCACTCATCGCTTTATCTACACCATTTCCACCGAACTCACGGCTTCTCCTACCTGCGCAGCATTTGTTGTCATTTCGAAGCGACCCATACCCATAGACCCAGCGATACCCCTTAGCGAGCAGGTTCAAATTTCGACTCTTCCCGGCTTTATACTTTCTAATAGCACTTCTTCGCAAGACGGCACACCCTACGAGTTCCTCCATTCTCTGATCCAATCCGCCGTCGAGCCGTACTTCGATACCTATACCAAGAATCAACGTAATCTAGCAGGAGCATACAGCAAGGGCGACAATGATGCCCGCACAGGTATCTCAGCGGCGAAGAAGAAGATGGCGGAGCTGGCACTCAGCCTTCAGCACCTGCAGCAGAACGTGGAGATTCCGGAGTTGCTTCTGCCGCTACACCCGCTCATCCAGAGTGCGCTCGATGACGCTAGTCAGCGTGGCGTCAAGCCCTCACCAGAGCTCATCCCCGCGGCCATTGTACAGGACAGTAGCTTCCTCAACGGCCTCCAGGCGACAGTCAATGGGTGGATCAAATCGATACAGACCATCACCAAAACCTCGCGTGATGTGTCGACGGGAACTGCGGCGCAGGAGATCAACTTCTGGATATCTATGGAGTCTAGGCTACAGGATATCGAGACTCAACTCGGCAGCCCCGGTGTCAGATTGACCTTGGATGTGCTCAAGAACGCGAAGCGCTTCCAAGCCACTGTCAGTTTCAGTGCAGACACCGGACTCAAGGAGAGCACGGATCTGGTGCAGAAGTACAACCAGCTTATGCGCGAGTTTCCGCTCGACCACCTGCTCTCAGCTGCCTCGCTACAGGCTGTGCAAGAAGCGATACAGTCAATCTTCAGTCACATGAACAAGAAGCTTCGCATCTGTCCGTACCCCGTGCGGCGAGCACTACCTCTCGTTGAGGCGATATCCGGCGATCTCGACGAAAGACTACACAAGCTGCTTCACGGAAAGACACTCATGCATATGGATTACCCAGAGTTCCAGGCAATCATGGCCGTTGCAGAGAGCATTTGGCGGACATGGGAAGATAACGTCAAGGAGTTCACCAATGTCGCCCGTGAGGTCACCAGGCGAAGAAATGAGAAGTTCATCCCTATCAAGATCGCAGCGCGACACAAGGAAACCGAGGAGCGTATTCGATACATCACAACATTCCGCAAGAACCACGAGCAGCTGCAGCGCACCATCGTCAATGTCCTTGGCTCCCAATCTTCTCTCTCCGACACGCAAGCGAAGGAATCCGTCATCATCGAGGAGATTGGCGATGTCGATGCGGTCAAAGAGGTCAAGGAAGCCTACGATGTTCTCAAAGACGTGAACGTACTAGACGTAACACCTGAGGGTACTCGGTTGTTCGAGCAAGCGGAGCAGAAGTACAATGAGCGCACTTCGCGTGTCGAGAACTCCATCATTGCCAGACTCCGCGATCGTCTCGGTACGGCCAAGACTGCAAGCGAAATGTTCCGCGTGTTCGCCAAATTCAACCCTCTCTTCGTGCGCCCGAAGATTCGAGGAGCGATCTCCGAGTACCAAACTCAGCTTATCGAGAATGTCAAGCAGGACATTATGGCTCTTCACGAGCGCTTCAAGCGGCAGTATGGTAACTCCGAGGCTCATGCCATGGCACAGCTTCGCGACTTTCCTCCTGTGTCCGGCGCTGTCATCTGGGCTCGACAGATTGAAACTCAGTTGGAGAGCTACATGGGCAAAGTTGAAGACATTCTGGGCAAAGACTGGGCGCTCCATGCTGAAGGTCAGAAGCTCCAGGCTGAGAGCAGTATGTTCAAGAAGAAGCTGGATACCCGCCCCATATTCGAGTCGTGGCTACAGGAGGTTGCCAGGAGGAAGCTGTCGATCTCTGGACGTCTCTTCCTTGTCAGCAAGAACCGCGCAGCAGGCAACATCCTCGAACTGAACGTCAACTTCGATGCACAGGTCATTGCCCTTTTCAAAGAGGTGAGAAATCTCACATGGCGCGGCTACCAGGTTCCGCACGGTATCAACAACATTTCGAAGGAGGCCAAGCGAGTCTATCCGTACGCCGTCAGCCTCATGGAGAGTGTGCGCACTTACACACAGACCGTGCGCTCTATCTCTGAGCTAGCTAGTGTCGCTTTGTTGCTGAACAATTACACCAACGATGTCCAAGCGCTTGTTGGCAAGGGAGTCCCTCTCAAATGGGAGTCCTTCGTACATGCCTACGATCTGCACGTGCGCAATTCCGGATTTCCAGCAGCAACTGGTAGTGTCCGAAGCGAGAGCAAGCATGTACAATTCGTTCGCGATTTCGCAGCTGCAACCTCACTCCTCCAGATCAAGGTTGCGACTCTCGTGAGCATCAACACGACAGTCGAGAAGGCGTTGAAGGACCTGGAGACCTGCTCATACAGCAAAGATGCCTTCCAGCAAAACCTAGAGACAATACAGAAGTCCATTGATCAGCTGAATCTTGAGAATTACGCCAATCTCGCCTCATGGGTGTCTGATATGAATGCGCGCATCGAGGCGATTCTTCTGGTGCGACTGAATCGGGCTATCTCATTGTGGATAGAAGTCTTCAACAACGTCAACGATGACGACGAGGACCGACGGCCTGTCAGTCAACCTGCGCCCACGGAGACGCCTGAGGCAAAACCGACCCTGGCACGCCTCACCCTTGAGATTACAATGCGAAACCAAGTCATTTACCTCAGCCCTCCTGTTGAATACGCACGAGCAAGCTGGCTTGAACAGCTCCAGCAGTGGCTTGCCATCATTTGCACCCTCCAGAAGATAAAGGCTTCGCGGTATGAGATCAGACTCGAAGCCAGTAACGATACCTCCGCCAATCAATTCTCCGATTTGCCAAGCCGCTGTACAGACTCGTTGATTGAGGTGTACGGTGCTGTAGAAGGCAAGCTGCGCGACATCTCCTCGTACGTTGACGAGTGGCTTCAGTTCCAATCACTATGGGATTTGCAGTCAGAGCAAGTTTACGATATCCTTGGCGAAGATCTCTCTCGCTGGTTACAGCTGCTTCAAGAAATTCGAAAGACTCGCGCTACTTTCGACAATTCCGACATCAGTCGCCAATTCGGATATGTTACCGTTGATTATGATCAGGTGCAGGTCAAGGTCAATGCCAAGTACGACCAGTGGCAGCAAGAAATCCTGACCAAGTTTGCCAGTAGACTTGGCCAGCGTATGAACGATGTTTATGTTCAAGTTGAGAAGGCACGCAAGGACCTCGAGATGCAAACGCTAGAAGCCTCTTCTACCGCCCAGGCTGTATCATTCATCACCACCGTTCAGCAATGTAAGAGGAAAGTGATGGAATGGGAGCCGGAGATTGCTACGTTTCGACAAGGACAGGCTACCCTGAGCCGTCAGCGCTATCACTTTCCCTCTGACTGGCTGGAGATGGACCAGATCGACCACGAGTGGCAGACATTGAACGAGGTCCTGGGGAGGAAGACCAAGATTGCCAATGACCAGTCTGATGCCCTTCGAGCTAAGATTGCCGCCGAAGATAAAGTGGTCCATCAGAAGATTGTCAACATCACCGTGGAGTGGACTGAGGAGAAGCCGGTGGCCGGCAATCTTGCGCCCGCAGATGCATCGAATATCCTCGCCAAGTTTGACCAGAAGCTCAGTCAGCTACAAACTGAATCTGGGAATATCTCAAAAGCCAAGGAAGCCCTTGGACTGCCACCCTCGCCTGAGAACGCCCTTGAGACTCTACTGGAAGAAGTGCAGGACTTTAAATCTGTTTGGTCTGCGCTTGGCACTATCTGGGCAAGCATCGACGACCTGCGTGAAGTTCTGTGGAGCAGTATCCAACCTCGTAAACTACGCCAGAATCTTGACAACCTTCTCAAGATGACCAAGGATATGCCCAGCCGTATGCGACAGTACCAAGCTTTCGAGTATGTTCAGAGCACGCTCAAGCAACTTCTGAAGGAGAACGCAGTGCTCGCCGAGTTGCGATCTGATGCGGTACGCGAGCGACATTGGGCTAGGATCTTCAAGCAGTTAAGACCACACAAACGATACTCAGCCATCTCCATGACCCTCGGCGACGCCTGGGATCTCAAGCTTGGACCGAGCGAGAAGATCATTCGCGATGTCATAACCCAGGCGCAAGGTGAGATGGCGCTCGAGGAGTTCTTGAAGCAGGTTCGTGAGACGTGGCAGAACTACGCTTTGGAGCTCGTCAACTACCAGAACAAGTGCCGTCTCATCCGTGGTTGGGACGATTTGTTTGCCAAGTGCAGCGAGAATCTCAATTCTCTACAGGCCATGCGACATTCCCCGTACTACAAGGAATTTGAGGAAGAAGCGTCATCGTGGGAAGACAAGCTCAACCGCGTCCATGTCCTCTTCGACGTATGGATCGATGTTCAACGCCAATGGGTTTACTTGGAGGGCGTGTTCACAGGCAATGCCGACATCAAGCACTTGCTGCCCATGGAGTCATCTCGCTTCCAAAACATCAACTCGGAGTTCCTGTCAGTCATGAAGAAGGTTTCCCGCCAGCCATTCGTTCTCGAAGTGCTGAATATCTCTGGTGTCCAAAAATCCCTGGAACGTCTAGCCGAGCTTCTAAACAAGATTCAAAAAGCTCTCGGAGAGTACCTTGAGCGCGAGCGCGTATCGTTCCCCCGCTTCTACTTCGTTGGTGACGAAGATCTCCTAGAGATCATTGGTAATAGCAATGATGTCCTTCGTATCGCTAAGCATCTTAGGAAGATGTTTGCAGGTATCTCTGGCCTGATCACCGATGAGGATGGGGTTATTCAAGGCTTCACTTCAAAGGAGGGAGAAGAAGTCACGCTTCGCAAAGAGATCTCACTCGTTAAAACACCTAGGATCAACGAGTGGCTAGGCGCGCTGGAACAGAATATGAAGACTACGTTGGCTGAGCTCACCTATGAGGCTTACGAAGAATTTGCCCAGCTGATGGCACCCGACGGCATGGACCCTGACGCCTTCACCGACTATATCGCGAAGTACCCAACACAGGTTGTTGTGCTCGGAACGCAGATTGCCTGGACACATGCAGTGGAGAAGTCTCTCAACGAAGAAGGAACAACTCTGCCTCAGCTATATGAGAAACAAGTCAACATTTTGAAGTTGCTTGCTACCGCAGTCTTGGGTGATCTCGCACCGATCCAGCGTAGGAAATGCGAAGATCTCATCACCGAGTTCGTTCACCAGCGGGATGTAATCCACAAGCTACAGAAAGTTGGTGCACGTTCAACTACGCACCATTTGTGGCTTCTGTCTATGCGCTACGTATACGAGCCCGCCAACGACCTGCTGCTGCGACTGAAGATCAAGATGGCGAATGCTACTCTTGATTATGGCTTCGAGTATCTTGGAGTCGCGGACCGTCTTGTTCGAACGCCTCTTACCGATCGCTGTTTCCTTACCCTCACACAAGCTCTGTGCCAGCGACTTGGAGGCTCACCATACGGACCTGCCGGTACTGGTAAGACTGAGTCCGTCAAGGCTCTTGGTGTCCAACTAGGACGATTTACCCTTGTCTTCTGCTGTGACGACACTTTCGATTTCCAGGCTATGGGTCGCATCTTCCTCGGTATCTGTCAAGTTGGTGCTTGGGGCTGCTTCGACGAGTTCAATCGTCTCGAGGAGCGCATTCTTTCAGCCGTGTCCCAGCAGATCCAAAACATTCAGCTCGGGTTGAAGAAGGGCGTTGAAGATGACAAGTCCCAGATTGAGCTTATCGGCCGCCAGCTGAAAGTCAACGGCAACACCGGAGTCTTCATCACCATGAATCCCGGTTATGCTGGTCGTTCAAACTTGCCCGACAATCTCAAGAAGCTCTTCCGCAGCGTCGCCATGTCGAAACCTGACAAGGAGCTGATTGCTGAAGTCATGCTTTACTCTCAAGGTTTCTCGCAAGCCAAGGAGCTCTCAAAGCACGTCGTCCCATTCTTCGACAAGTGTGCAGCCGGCCTTTCAAAGCAAGCTCACTACGACTTTGGCCTGCGTGCCCTGAAAAGTGTGCTAGTCAGCTCTGGTGGCCTCAAGCGAGCTCGCATTGCCGTTCAGAAAGATTCTCAGATAGCCGACGAAGCCATTATGGAACCACAAATCATCATTCAGAGCTTACGAGAAACCATGGCACCAAAACTTATTCGGCACGATGTCGATCTGATGAAGGCCATCCAGGAAGAGTCGTTCCCAGGCGTCGAATACATCCCTGCGCCTCTGGACAAGCTGACAGCAGCAATTCGCAAGTGCGCTGCTGAATCGAAACTGGTTGTGAGCGATGCTTGGATGACTAAGATCATTCAGCTTTACCAGATCCAAAATTTGCACCACGGTGTAATGATGGTTGGTTCTTCTGGCTCCGGCAAGTCCGCAGCTTGGAGGACACTGCTTTCCGCCATTTCGGCCGTCGAGGGCGTTGAAGGAGTCTGTCACGTTATTGACCCCAAGGTCATGTCCAAGGAGCAACTTTACGGGACACTCGATAGCACTACCCGCGAATGGACCGACGGTCTCTTCACTAGCATTCTACGCAAGATTGTCGACAACCTCCGCGGTGAAGATAGCAAACGACATTGGATCGTCTTCGACGGCGATGTTGATCCCGAGTGGGTTGAGAATCTGAACTCCGTTCTCGACGACAATAAGCTGCTCACCTTGCCCAATGGTGAGCGTCTTAACTTGCCGAACAATGTCCGCATCATGTTCGAAGTCGAAACGCTCAAGTACGCAACACTCGCGACCGTCTCACGTTGCGGTATGGTCTGGTTCAGCGATGACACGGTGGATGTGGATATGATGCTCAAGAACTACGCCGAGCATCTTAAGACTGTTGCTTTCGAGGACATTGAGGACGACTCGGTAGCTCCAGGTCAGATGTCTCAGAAGACGCTCTCCACACAAGGAATGATCGCCGAATTCCTGCATATCAAGCTCACACAAGACCGTTTTATCGAGAAGGCACTCAGCCTGGCACGGAAATTCAAACACATCATGGAGTATACCGATATCCGAGCGCTGAACACCCTCTTCTCGCTTCTCAACAAAGCATGCCGTAACGTGCTCGAGTACAATGTCCAGCATCCAGACTTCCCCCTTGAAGACGACAAGATGGAGACGTACCTCGCCAAGAAGCTGCTTGTCGCCCTAGTCTGGGCACTGGTTGGTGACTGCCCTCTGTCGGAACGTAAACAGTTCGGCGACCTTATTGCTGGTCTCACTGATGTGGAATTACCACCTCTTAATGATTCTACGTCTCTAATCGACTATGACGTCAAGCCGAACAACCCAGACTGGGACCTCTGGCAGAACCAGGTCCCGAGCGTTGAAGTTAACACTCATTCTGTTACTCAAACCGACGTGGTCATTCCCACCCTTGACACGGTTCGCCACGAGGATGTCTTGTACTCATGGCTCGCAGAGCACAAGCCCCTGTTACTGTGTGGTCCTCCCGGTTCTGGTAAAACTATGACGCTGTTCAGCGCCCTTCGAAAGTTGCCGAATATGCAAGTCGTTGGTCTCAACTTCTCCAGCGCAACCACTCCGGACCTTCTCATCAAGACTTTCGAGCAGTACTGCGAGTATAAGAAGACTTTGAATGGCGTCCAACTCACCCCAACACAAGTTGGCCGATGGCTCATCATCTTCTGTGACGAGATCAATTTGCCTGCACCCGACAAGTATGGTACTCAGAGAGCAATTTCCTTCCTACGACAACTTGTGGAACATAACGGTTTCTGGAGGACTTCCGACAAGACTTGGGTCACTCTCGACCGTATTCAGTTCGTTGGTGCCTGTAACCCACCTACGGACGCTGGCCGTACACCTATGGGTCTTCGTTTCTTGCGTCATGCTCCCCTGATCATGGTCGATTACCCTGGAGAGCAATCGTTGCTTCAGATCTATGGCACCTTCAATAGCGCTGTGCTCAAGATCATCCCTACACTACGCGGGTACTCCGATGCCTTGACTAGGGCCATGGTTCAGCTCTATGCTGAGTCGCAGAAGCGGTTCACACCGGACATCCAGCCACATTACGTCTACTCTCCCCGTGAGCTTACGCGCTGGGTCCGAGGTATCTATGAAGCTCTTCGACCGCTTGAGACCCTACCGATTGAAGGTCTTGTCAGGATCTGGGCACACGAAGCTTTGCGACTGTTCCAGGATCGTCTCATTGCGGAAGACGAGAGGCAATGGACTGAAGAATGCGTACACCGAATCGCATCCGAGCATTTCCCAACCATCAACGAGGAGAAGGCTCTTGGAGGACCTATCTTGTTCTCTAACTGGCTGTCGAAGAACTACGTGCCAGTCGAACGGGAGCAACTCCGAGAATTTGTGAAAGCCCGACTGCGGACTTTCTGCGAAGAAGAAGTCGATGTTCCACTTATCCTCTTCAATGACGTGCTCGAGCATGTGCTCCGCATCGATCGTGTGTTCCGCCAGCCACAGGGTCATCTCATTCTCATTGGTGTCAGCGGATCTGGTAAGACGACGCTGTCTCGCTTCGTGGCCTGGATGAACGGCCTGAGTGTGTACCAGATCAAAGTACACGGCAAGTACTCTGGAGAAGACTTCGACGAAGACCTGCGCAACGTACTGCGGCGCTGCGGCTGCAAGGGTGAAAAGATATGCTTCATCATGGATGAGGCAAACGTTCTGGACTCCGGTTTCCTGGAGCGAATGAATACCCTTCTTGCCAACGCGGAGGTTCCCGGACTCTTTGAGGGTGACGAGTACGCCTCTTTGATGACCGCTATCAAGGAGGGTGCTCAGCGACAAGGCACGATCCTCGACTCCCAGGAAGAACTTTACAAGTGGTTCACAGAGCAGATCGTCAAGAATCTCCATGTGGTGTTTACGATGAACCCGCCCGAGGAAGGCTTATCGTCCAAGGCTGCCACCAGTCCAGCTCTGTTCAATCGTTGCGTTCTCAACTGGTTCGGAGACTGGTCTGATCAGGCTCTATACCAGGTGAGCTCAGAGCTCACCCAATCCGTTGACTTGGATCGACCCAACTACGCCGCGCCAGATACCATACCAATCGCCCATCGCGGACTCAGCCTTCCACTATCTCATCGCGAGAGCGTGGTTAATGCTATGGTTGCGGTACACCACTCTTTGAGAACCAAGAATGCCAAGTTACAGAAGACGCAGAACCGCAAAATGTACCTCACTCCACGCCACTTCCTTGACTTTGTCGCACAATACGTCAAACTCTACAATGAGAAGCGCGAAGACCTTGAAGAGCAACAACGCCATCTTAATGTCGGTCTCGAGAAGCTCAGGGAGACTTTCGATAAGGTCAAAGAACTGCGAGCCAGTCTTGCGGAAAAGCAGACGCAGCTCACGAAGAAGGATGCTGAAGCGAACGAGAAGCTACAGCGCATGATTTCAGATCAGAGAGAAGCTGAGCAGAAGAAAGCAGGCTCAATCGAAATTCAGGCTAGGCTTGCGAAGGACAAGGAAGAGATTCAGAAGCGACAGGAAGTGGTGGAACATGACTTAGCGGCCGCCGAGCCTGCTGTGCTTGAAGCACAGAAGAGTGTTCAGAACATTAAGCGACAACATCTTACCGAAGTCCGATCTATGCAGAACCCCCCCGCTGGTGTCAAGCTCGCGTTGGAGGCTGTCTGTACTCTTCTTGGACACAAGCCTGACAGCTGGAAGACCATCGTTTCCATTGTCAGGCGCGACGACTTCATCGCCAGCATCGTCCAATTCGACAACGAGAGACAGATGACTGCCGCGCATCGTAGGAAGATGCAGGCCGAGTATCTTTCGAAAGAGGAGTTCACATTCGAGAAGGCCAACCGTGCTTCCAAGGCCTGCGGTCCGCTCGTGCAGTGGGTGTCTGCTCAAGTCACCTACTCCGATATCCTCGATCGCGTCGGGCCCCTGCGTGCTGAAGTCGACAACTTGCAGACTGAGCTGCAGAAAACGGAGGATGGCGCCAAGGAAACCGAGATCCTTATTCAGAACCTCGAGGACAGCATTGGTCGGTACAAGACAGAATATGCAGCATTGATTAGCGAAACGCAAGCTATCAAGACCGAGATGTCGACCGTCCAATTCAAGGTCGACCGCAGCGTGCGCCTCCTGGAAAGCTTGTCTTCCGAGCGTACACGATGGGAGGAAAGCAGCAAGTCGTTCGACTCTCAGATCGACACTATCGTTGGCGATGTTCTCGTGGCTGCCGCCTTCATTGCTTACGCAGGCTACTACGATCAACAGTACCGAAAGGCCCTCACTGAGGACTGGTTCGACCATCTCAAGCACTCTGGCATCAGCTACAAGACGCCAAATCCTTTCACGGAGTATCTTTCGATCGCCGACGATCGCTTGACATGGCAGCACAATGGCTTGCCAGTCGATGATCTATGCACCGAGAATGCTATCATTCTCCAGCGCTTCAACCGTTACCCACTCATCATTGACCCATCTGGCAGGACTACGGAATTCTTGCAGAATGAGTGCAAGGATCGTCGTCTCACGGTCACTAGCTTCTTGGACGACTCGTTTACGAAACAGCTGGAGAGTTCTTTACGCTTTGGTAACCCGATCCTGATTCAAGATGCCGAGCATCTGGACCCCATCCTCAATCACGTGCTCAACAAGGAATACCAGAAGACAGGCGGTCGTGTGCTCATTCAACTCGGCAAACAAGAGATCGACTTTTCGCCATCCTTCCGCTTGTACCTATCCACGCGCGATCCTTCAGCAAACTTTGCACCCGATATCTGCAGTCGTACTACTTTCGTCAACTTTACGGTCACGCAGAGTAGCTTGCAAACACAGACGCTCAACGAAGTGCTCAAGTCGGAAAGGCCCGATGTGGATGAGCGACGATCGAATCTCATCAAGATGCAAGGCGAGTTTGCTGTCCATCTTCGCCAACTTGAGAAGCGCCTGCTACAAGCTCTCAACGAATCTCGTGGTAATATTCTGGATGACGACCGTGTCATCGAAACACTGGAGACGCTGAAGAAGGAGGCTAAAGAGATTTCCGACAAGGTCTCAGAGACCGCGGGAGTCATGACAGAGGTCGAGAATATCACCAAGGAGTACACCGTCGTTGCGCGCTCCTGCTCGGCCATCTTCGCTGTCTTGGAGCAACTGCATCATTTGAACCACTTCTACCAGTTCTCGCTTCAATACTTCACCCAGATCTTCGAGACTGTGCTTCGCAAGGTTAGAAATTCCTCCATCACCGGACACGCCGCCCGTATCGATCAGATCATTACCGAGATCTTCGTTGACGCGTATCGCCGCACGTCCTTGTCGCTGCTTCAAAAGGATCGTGTCACGTTCGCCATGCTTCTGGTGCAGGCGGCGCCCTACAAGATGGACAAGACCCACATCGACAAGATCCTGGACTCAGATGTGGAGGGTATCGATGTATCGACCCAGTCAGAGCGCAAAGACGAAGCTATGGATCGTGCGGGCAAATTGCCAATGTTCCGAGGAGAACTTGAAAAGATCGATGAGAGCACCTGGGATGCCTTCCTCACCGAGGAGCTGGCAGAACGATTCGCGCCACAAGCTTGGCCTGACGACTTGAACAAATTCGACAAACTTCTACGGGCCCTCATCCTCGTCAAACTATTCCGCGTGGATCGCTTTGTCCCCGCCGTTGAGCGTTTTGTCACAGAAGTGTTTGGGAAGGGCATTCTGGATGCCAGTGGCGATCTTGGAGACATTGTCAAGCAAGTCAACGCCATTACTCCAGTGGCTCTCAGCTCAAGTCCTGGTTTCGACGCCAGTTACAAGGTCGATAATCTTGTCGAAAGAGAACAAGTCACCTGCTCCAACATCGCCATGGGTTCCAACGAAGGTGCAGCATCAGCAGACAAGGCCATTGCCAATGCTGCTACAACAGGTAACTGGGTACTGGTCAAGAACGTTCACCTTGCTCCTCAATGGTTGCAATCGCTGGAGAAGAGGCTCGAAGCCCTCAAGCCTAACCCCGACTTCCGCCTCTTCCTGTCCATGGAATCAAGCCCGAAGATTCCCGTCAACCTCCTTCGCGCTTCTCGCGTTCTCTCCTACGAACAGCCCGCTGGTATTCGAGCCAACATGAAAGATTCGCTTTCTTCGCTGGCCGAGAAGGCCATCAAGCCGCCTGTCGAGAAGGCGCGCGTTTACCTCATGCTATCCTTCCTGCATGCTGTGGTACAGGAGCGTCTTCGCTACGCGCCCAGCTTGGGATGGAAGGGCTTTTGGGAGTTCAACGACAGCGACGTAAGTATCACTGCTATCGCACTCTCTGTTCCTGCCGCTAACATTTATTTAGTACGAATGCTGCAGCTTCATCATTGACACGTGGATCGACTCTGTCGCGCAAGGGCGCTCCAACATTGCCCCTACCAAGATTCCATGGGAGATGATACGCACTCTAATCACCGAGATGTACGGCGGCAAGATCGACGACGAATCTGACTGGCGCACACTCGCGTCGCTTGTCGATGAGTGCATGACGCCCGCCGCTTTCGAAGACAATTTCAAGATCGTCAAGGATACGGAGCATAGTGAAGGCCTCGAGCTGCCGAGCACTACGGGCTGGAAGGACTTCATGCAGTGGGTCAATGACCTTCCTGAGCGTGAGCCGCCTACGTACTTGGGTCTGCCGGCCAATGCAGAGAAGTTGTTGCTTGTCGGACAGGCGAAGGAGATGGTGGGTAATTTGAAGAGGGTGGTGGAGATGTTGGACGAGGGTGAGCAGATTATGGCTGAAGCAGAGACGTAAGCAAAGCATACCACGTCGGGCACACAAAGAATAGCCCTGTTTTTCTTTTTCCTTTGTTGCAGCAGATTGGTCACTCTTCCATCGTACAGATTACTTAGGGAATGGTCTTTTCGGGCGCATCGAGGCTAGCCGTTTGCAATTTCTCCCTGGTTTATACGGAGTTTGCGAGACTTTTGCGAGGGTTTTTTCGGGTGGGAAATCGTTTTCGCTAACTATACCCCATATACCCAAGTTTTCCTTTTGTAGTTGTTCAGGCTTCGGCACCAAATTTTTTCATCGCTGTAATAAGTCCAGCTCTTGCGCACAGAATAAAATATAAACAATTTGTTATACAGCTCTGGTCTAAACATTATTTGCCCATGACAAAACTATCAGTAGCATGTCCCAGGATTCTTTGACGCGTTTGTTCGATTTCAATGCACTCCACTAATCATCCTCATAATTCTCCGCAAAAGCTTTACTCCGCCTCTTGAAACTCCGCCTCAGATCACGCCTCTCAGCGTCAAGCTGATCCCTCATTGCCAGCATGTCATCAAGTTCTTTCTCCCACTTTTCCATAAAGTTTGCTCGCTTCACATCATGTATATCGAGTTTCTGATCGAATTCGTTGATCTGGTTTGTCAAGTCTGTATTCTGTGAGAATATTTGTTCAAGGCACTCAAACTCGGCGTCTTCAGCAGTCCGCTTCGTACCTTGGGACGGCGTTTGCGCATCTGATAGTTGCAAGGGCGTATTAGGACGTGTCGTTGGTAGGGATGCGGGGGGAGGCGTTGTTGAGATTGGTGCAGGTTCTGTGCCATCGGGTTCTATGTCATCGGGTTCTAGGCATGGGGATGTATCAATGGGTGCTGTGGCGGCGGCAGATCCCATACGCTCAGCGATGAACTCAAGGGCAGCCTTGAATCGCTCCGGATAAGCTTTTGTTTCTCTGAGCACTACATCCTTTGCTATTCCAGCTACGATGAAGTACCATTTAACGATCAGTGTCAATCGCGCAGTATCACTTTGCTCGATGGATGTGCCCACTGGATAGGTTTTGTTAAAAGGGTGAACAAGGCGTTGCTTGATAACGTCTCTGGGTTGATATTGGTGCTATTACCATGATATCGTTTTCCCTCGACAAAGAAATTGATCTCGTGATAGGCTCTGGGGCCTTTTCTCGGTCGCATGTATGCATATATTGCATCATGAGTTTTCGCATGTTTTCCGAGGGAAAGTTTCTTTGGTTGGGCTTCCGGGAATCGGTCCTGGTTCTCGAACGGGATTCTTTCCGGTTCGGTGAGGTTGTCCAAGAGATATAGCGCGCTATAATGTCTTAGATGTTCAATCAGCTTCCTCAAGTCCGAATTCTCCTCTTCGCTCGCATCAGCTGGTGGCAATGTCTCGAGCTCCGCACTTAGCTTCTCGTTTGTCGTTTCCCGAGCGTCTGCGTTTGATCTGTTGCGACCACGCTCTCGCGAGCGAAAACTGTATGGAGTTTTGGGTCTTTCAGGTTCCGGACTGTCCTCAATCATCGGTGGTGTTTGGCGCTCATGTGTAGATTGGTCCTCTCGCTGACTCCCTTTTTCTGTACGCTGTCCCAAGTCGATCCTCTTTAGTGCATCGTGAAAGCATTCAATTTTTTCTGTATCATTGCCGTTGAATGCACTGTCAATTAGTTCTTTTGCCAGAAAGTACCACAAAATGACAAGGCTAAATCTTATTTCCCCAGTTCTGGAGACATCGGTATTGTACTTGAACGGCGCATTAAGCGAATACTGCATGACTTGGTCTTGCTGAAGCCTTTGTTGATCGCCCGAGTTTTTGATCCGCCTTTGACAGAAAGCCAAGCTACTTGGTCTACCGCGCAGTCTGACAAGGAAGGCGAGAATGTAGTACCCGTCAACAGTACCGAGGACTAGGGCGATAGGAGGCTCTGCTGCAGAAAAGGGGATCCATGACATCGAACTGTGTAATGGTAAAGAGTCGAGGAGTCGTTCTGCGTCATCGGCAATGTATTCCCTGATGACGTTGAGTGACATGGCTGGAGTCGGCCTTGCGCCAGCGAACAAGAAGAGCAAGTCTCAATCGTAGCCTGCTCTCAGATCATGAATCACTGAATATAGGCGTAACAGGCCGGAGAAAAAGTTCTAAAGCTGTGACGTTCGTACTTAAAGCTTGTGGACGCGTCAGAGACATGCCATGTGTTAACGTACGCGTGCTTAGGTTTAGTGTCTGGGGTTTGTAAGTGACGTGTGAAGAGACGAGGTTGGAAAACGCAAAACCGCACTCACACGCGTAAGCTAGGACGCGGGACGCAGGACGCGAGGACACGTTCGCCACTTAGCTTGCACTTAGTCATCTGCGCGTTCCAACACCACCTCGCCTCGTTACCCCTTTATCGTTAAGACCTCGAATTAAATTGTGGTCTGGTGGATTTTGTTTGAAAGACCAAAAAATGATTCTTAGCACTATGAGGGCCATCACCAAATGCATTTTAGAATGCAAAGCCGCACTACATCATACCTAAACCCAGCGACCACGGCTCCGCCGCACAGACATCAGATGATTTAAACCTTCTATAATGATTTTGGACTCCTACAGTTTTTACACCATTAGAGACCCAGGTATGTTCTTTATCCACGTTGAAGAGGGCTGCTTATGGCCAAACTTACCGTGCTTATGTCAGGCTTAGGAGATCATGGCTGTGATGCATGTTTCTAGAAGCATGTTGGATTTAGATGGTGCAGCCATTCTGGAAGGCTGGATAATTGCCCTGCATCTGCGGATAGCTCATCCTGACACGACTTGGTCTTGCGCTCTATAATTCGCTTGGGAGCTGCTTCTGGTCCGAGCATTCGCAATTTGTTTATTGCAACATCGTTTTGAGTAAAGCCTTGAAACTGCCAAATCATGAGAGTATTTGGGAGCTGACGATGCAGTTGCGGCACAGCTGTCGACAGGGAGCTTGGAGCCTTGTTCGAAGCGAGCTTTCAATGGATCTAAGGCCTGTCGTACATGGCCCGAGTGCTGTGCAGCCATCCTGATTTCCACCTACCCGATTTAACAAATCCAGGACCGCAGAAACTTGACCACTCACATCGTTGATTGATTGGTCTTCTTAGCCGGTTCCTCGTGTTACGATAGGCTACCTGTTGACCGAACACGAAAGACGGGTAACGCCCGAATTGTAACATGGTCTGTTACTTTGTGCTGCAACGAGCGGTGAACAGGGTTGATACTAGGGCTAAGAGGAAGAAGAGGACGGTAGGAGATATCCTTTCGGAAAGGCTAGCGTTTCGCCGGGACATTTTGCTGATCATCGGCTGGATGCTAACCTACTAATTGGAGGATGAAAGGTCAATTTAACCGGATGCCAAGCGCTTGCGGCAGAGGCGCCCAGATCCAGGCGCAATATAAGGTAATGATTCGGTATTGCGGCCACGGTCTCCGACTAGCCTATCCAGAGATCGGAGCACCTGGGGCAAAAGCCGGGGCATGGGATGACCTGCCTCGACGTTGTGGTATAAGGTTAGGCTTAGTTGCAGGCGCTTTCGCGTTCGAGCAACCTCACACGCTTCGCAAATCGCCAGCATGGGTCTCCTCAAAGCTCAGGATGGTACATCCGATCCTATCATCACGCGCATGGTGGCGGACGATAAGGTACCGTGGTATAAGAAACGCAACCTGCGATTAATGTACCTCTACCTCTTCTGCTGCTGCATGGGCGTCGAGATCACCTCTGGGTTTGACTCACAGCTCATCGGCACGCTCCAGTTCTCCGAACCTTTCAACAAATGTATAATGCCAAGCATGCCACCTACTTTTAGCGCAGGCTAACAAAACTAGTTTTCGGGAAAGGTTACAGAGACAAGAACAAAAAGCTCAGCATTGAACCATCTGTTATTGGTTTCATGTCGTCTTGCTACCAGCTCGGTTCAATCCTCGCAGTCCCGATTGCTCCGTGGTTAAACCAGAAGTATGGCAGGAGATTCTCCATCATGCTCGGCTCTGCAATCATGGTCGTTGGCGCTATCTTGCAAGGTTTCGCACAGCACAGTACGTTTCCAATGCCTTGTGCCTAATGGCGTACCTGTCGTACTAACAGGACTTTCAGTCGGAATGTATATCATTGCACGTATGATACTCGGTGTCGGCATCCTTTTCTGTATTATCTCTGGCTCTGCTTTGATTGGAGAGCTGGGCTATCCGAAAGAACGCCCTTTCCTGACCTCGCTTTTCAACGCCTCTTACTTCGTGGGATCTATTCTTGCCGCAGCCATCTCAATTCGCACAACAGGGATTGTGGGAAACTGGAGCTGGCGTGTACCATCCTTGCTGCAAATCTGTCCGTCCATCTTGCAGATTTGCACAGTCTAGTATGCATGTTCATTGTAATTTTGAAGAGATATGCTGACTTTCTCTTAGCTTGCTGCCCGAGAGCCCTCGTTGGCTAGTCAGCAAAGATCGCGACGATGAAGCTTTCGCAGTCTTAGTCAAATACCATGCTGAAGGAGACGCCAACTCCGTACTCGTACAAGCCGAGATGGCTCAGATTCGATCTACGATCAAACTTGAGATGGAACACTCGAAGCAATCCTGGTTTGACATGCTCCGAACTCCTGGTATGCGGCGACGAGTGCTCATCTCCGCTTTTCTCGGTCTCTTCACTCAGATGAGCGGAAACACTCTCTTGTCATATTACCAGAGCTTGCTGTTCTCTCTCATGGGATACACTAGCACCTACGCGAAAACCCGAATTAATATTGCAAATCAATGCTGGAGCTTGATCAATGCAGTAATCATCGCCATTACGGTTACCCGATTCCGACGTCGACGGATGTTTATGCTTTCCGCAGCATCTATGACAATGATATTCATGGCTATGACAATTTGCTTCCAAAGACTCCAACTCGCTAAAGCCAACGGCCAAAAGAACAATCCGGCCCAAATAGCTGCCCTGATTTTCTACTTCGCGTACTCGCCTGCATACAATATCGGAAACAACTCGCTCACTTACACCTACCTCGTCGAGCTGTTCCCATACGCCCAGCGAACCATGGGCATCGGTATCGAGCAAGTCTTTGGGAAGTTGGCGGCCTTCTTCTCTATTTATGTCAATCCCATCGCTCTTGACGCCATTGAATGGAAATATCTTGCCATCTACTGTGGGTGGATCACCTTCGAGTTCTCGTTTGTGTACTTCATGTACCCTGAGACCTACAATCGCACACTTGAGGAGTTGGCTTTCTGTAAGTATTATGTGACTTCTATAAGACGGATACCAGCGCTAATGTTCATACAGTGTTCGAAGACAAGGCGCTCGCTGATGAGGCTGTCAAGGCTGTCGAGAAGCAGGTCAACGAGACTCATCATGAAGGTATCACCGAGCATGGAAAGGACGAGACAAACACGATTGAGCGCGCCGCCTGAACACTTAAACCATCTAACGGATGACAAAGATCACAACTTTCTTACCTATAATTGAGAAATGCAAACTCAGATGTTGTACCAACAGCGCATCATCTTCATTTTCAGCAACTGATGTGACTGGAATTAATCACGCTCAAATACACTGTATTATGCGCAGATTAAACAACCACAGAACGTGAAAATTGCAATGCTAAATCCTAACTATGACAGTAAGAACATCACTAAAGGACCCGGCCTGTCCCCCCGGTCATCAAGCCATTACCACGACATTCGAATACGTCTTTCGCCAAGCCAATTCAATGCCAACGATTTCAACTCACGCCCCGCTGACTCGAGTTCCCATCTAAGGTTCTCAGCGAATCAGGCCGCAGGAACTGTCTTGACGTCTCCGACTATTGCTGCCGTTTTGCCACAGGAATCTCCCTCTCAATGTGCTCCCAGTACGCATTGAGCAAATCTTTGACCTCGTCTGATGAAGTCTTGTTGAGAAGTTCCTTTAGCGTACTTTGTACGGTGGTGCGGTAGAAAGCCTGCATGGACCCCGGTGCAGCAGAGATTGGTACCCCCGCGTGCTTGATAGGTGAAAATTCAGAGATTGATGGTGCGAAAGGTTGCGGTTCGCTGTTTACTGGCAGCGATGCCTGCTCCGTACCCCTAAGCACCTTGTCTAGAGGCGTGACTATAGCTTGCTGACACTGCGGCGCATGAGATTCGGGCACTGCTTCGATATCCACTGTTAGTGTCGCGTGGCTGTTCGATCGCAATCGCTTGCTTCCTGTACTTGTCAGCGAATTTTCATTGGGCGAGTCACAAATGGGATCTCGCTTACGCTTGAGTCTCGTAGAAGAGTTTGTCGGTGTCTCAGGAACCACAACATGCTCTTCGTCTTTGCCATCCGCACGCGCAACGTTACCAATTCTCAACTCTCCAAAATGGAAATCCGGCAGGGGACCGAAGTTATTCATTTTACCATATTTGAACGGCTTAACGGACCCGCCAGGAAAGAGCGACCCATCATCGTCGTTATTAACGTACTGCCGTCGCTGTCCCATATATGTGCTCATCAGGACTTTCTCCTCAACATCGTCCCATAGTTGTTCAGGCGTTAGTCCCTTGGGTGGTGACTTTGATAGTTCGATACCATCCTTGAACGCTTGCTGGGCCTCGTAGTAGTCGAGGGAGGAGGCTTCGTCGATGCAAGCCTCCTCATAATGCGCCAGAGCATCCTGCAACTCGAGCCGAACGGAATAAAAGGTCAGGGGCTCCTCAGGACCCGGCCGAGACGAGGCATTGATGTTGAACTCCTCAGTTTCACGATCTTCGTTATTCTCCAAGTGATTGGTCGAAGTCTCTGAGTCGGTCTTCCAGTTCTTTTCCCTTTCTTCATCTGAATCTACCGTGTAGTTTAGGGGTAGTGGGCGTGAATTTCGTGCGGATTGGTGACACTCGCCACCCCAACCGCCTGTGGTAACACCTGAAGTATGTTCTGATGGTGTATCCGGAGACCAGTTTGTTGATACATGAATTCGTCCTACGTCAACGCCGTCGAAAATCCTCGAATCCTCGGACGATTCAACCTGCCCGTTAGCCAACCGCTCCACGAAGGTGATATCTGGAGACTTCTCCTCCTCATCAATCTCGAATCCGTTTGGGATGAATAGAGACGTCTCGCTCTCGATGTCCCGAGTACGTTGATAGATCAAGGTCTGTATTTCTTCGGGCCTGCCGAATCTCTCATCGCACATCTTGACGCCGATATGGATCAATTCGCGGACTCGAATTATCGTAGTTAGTTCCGACTGGGATAGATCATCACGAGTATTGACCGCGTAATTGGCATCGGAGCGTACGAGGCTTGTTCGCAGGGTATCGTAGGTTAATGAGGACATCTTGAGAACGAAGGGTTGAGTTAGTGAAGCTCAGTTGAGTAGAGGGCGACAGGAAAGATGAAGGGGGCATAAGAGCTGCGATGGGGTTTAAGAGAGGCTTGGGAGGCACGAGTGAATTGTTGGCAGGGTGCCGCACACCAGTGATGGGTGCGACCGAGATTCGAACCGGGAGGTGGGTGAACGATGGTTTGGTTGCCCTGGCGCTGTAGAAATGTACGTGGAAAGCAATATAGGACCGCTGATTGTGAAATATACTATTTACGGAGAAATCGAGTATTTCATGGTGGGAATATGGAAAAAGAAAAGACTGGAGCGTATATGTCTTTGCCTTTAAATTTTTAAAAAGGTCAACGTGCCTGTCTGGCCCTTATAGCAACTGCTTCGTTTGTATATTGTTATCGAATCTCTGTAGCACCGTTAGTGCTGAACGATTGACTTGATAATGAGGAAGCTATTTATAAACATGCCTTTCTAGATCTTAAACTGCCTGCGATGAAGTGTGACCGATGCATTGTTGGAAGAGAGACTGTCCAAGTGTGCCATGGGATCATACTAGAGGATTTCGCGGCGCAGTTGAAGAGGCACGAAGGAGACTAGGTAGAAGACATCTAACATAGAAAAGCAAAATCTTAAGACTGAGCACTGCAGTCTTTTTAAGGGAAGTGAAACGCGAACCTTCCTAAACTTAGTGTCTCGAGGCGTGTGCGACTTGGTCACAGGAATCAGCAAACAACGCGCTTGTGACACAACTCTTCTTCACTAACTATACAACCGTAGTATGTAGCCAGCTTTAACAGAATCTAATAAATTCGTATAAAAAAGCTTATTTCTCCGACGGAAAATCTAAACAAAGTGGGCTAATATAGCGAAACAGATCCCCAAAGGCAGTACTTTCTACGAAAACGCCGCACCTGATCAAAGGTTCGAGATAAAAAGGCATCCCATGATATTTATCTGATAGAAACGCAGCCCTACTGAATACTGCTGGAGTCTCGCTCCTATTTTACACGTTTGTTATGTTCGCTGGGGTGCGGCTCTGTCAACGGGTCGTTGGTACCATGCATGCTAACTGTATGGGTCTAGGACAGTTAGTTGGTATAGAGCTTAGAGGCCTGGTGATCACTTACAACGGCAGTGCTTAGAGAGGCACTAGCAGCTATCGAACAGCCATAAAGCTCCGCGTAGTGTTGGTTGTAGATTATCCGTATATGAGTGAAATTGCTACGAGCATCCTTGTCACTCGTACTCATATGAGTATCTTGGATACAACGATTCCACTCATGCACCACCTCCTGGTACCTAGGATTCGTGCGGTCCACAGGGTCGTCGTTTTGGAAACGGCTAAGAAAGTTCCTCATCATGTTCAGACACTCGTTACGTGACAGCTTAGCGATGTTGGTGTTCATCAATACGAATACCCCCACTCTCTGCAAACCAGCGGGTATGGCAGTATCAGGAGTACGGCGAGGAGGTGGTGGGCCCATGGATCCTGAAGAACGAAGCACGCGGGTACGGATCGGAGCAGAGCTTGATGGGGACTGTCTTCCGATCCTAACACGAGTTGCGCGTGTTGGAGGGATTATAGTCGAAGAACTAACTGGTTGAGGCGGCATTACTGGCCCAGCAGAAGCCTGGAAGGGTGGCCGGAAAGGGGTGTTTGATAGCTGTTGCACGTTAGGGTCATGTTGACTCTCATCTTTCGGATTGTAGACTGCAAAGGAATGACGACTCGCAAAAGGATCGATCGAACTTACAGTGGTTTGTGACGGGTATGGCAGAAGTGGCACATCGACCGTTGGGTGCCCATCGTCCCCGAATTCAATAAAACCTGACATATCAGGGAACCGATATCGATTTCCATCGGCTAACCGATTGTTCTGGTCAAGCAGCGGGCGCATCTCGTTGATGAAATTAGCACGCCCTATGCCAGCAGCTTGCGGGGTTAGATTATAGCCGGGGTTGGGAAACGTAACGCGGTTCAGCTTTGTGAAAGCACTGCGGAAGGCACGTCTTAGGGTGCTGTTTGCTGGATTTTTCAGGTTTTGACTTCCGAAGATATTGCTGGCACGCAGCATTTCGTCACGAAAGTGGTCTACATCGTGTATCGGAACAGGCTCCACCGCCGTGAGAGTGCTGAATACTAGACCGTTGTCATTCGACATCGTGGCTGCAGTATTCACTTAGCGAATTGATGAAATGATAATCGGAAATATTTGAGCGTACTATGACCAACTATAGTTCTTAAGTGGTTTAAGTGCTGAGGTATATTGGAGGCAGTTGAGAAGAGGAAGGTTGAGAGGTCTGCATTGATAGGGCACGGAGAATATTTTTCAAGTGTATGGAAGGTGATTCGGCAGGCCCTCGTCAAAGAGGCCCTAAGGAGGCAGACCGAGCGCGCTGTTGACTTTCACTCTTCGGCTCGCAACGGCCTAGTGCTACATCAGGCATGACAGAGATAGGGTCCCCCCGAAAATCTCAAAACAACTAATTGATAAGAGGTATCGATGAGTTTTTAGGCTATTTTATCATAACCTGGCTACGGCTTCAGGTGAGATGATGCAGGTCATGCTTCAACCAATTCAGCACATGACGTCCGCTTTCCCGATACCAAACCAGACGCAATATAATATATGGAAACGCTTCTACAACGAGTTCATATCAAGATTCCAGGCCAGTTGTTAGCTCTAGTCATTGGGTCACGAGGTTCCCAAACTCTCTATATACTACTTCTCCGCCATTATGTTCCTCTTAATCCAATCTACGGGGTTCTGCATCAACCTCGTCCCCCCAATCTTGGGCATCCCACTTCGTCATTCTCTGCAACAGCTCGATATCCCCCTTCCCTCCCTTTGACGGTAGCTTCTCAACCCGCAGTTCTTTCTCAATGGCCGCCTTCGGATACACACTTGGCCATCCTTCTTTCCTCCACGACTTCAATCGCCATGCCGCCCTATACCCCCCCCTCATCATCGCCGAATTCGATTCTCGGCTCAGCGTATTGCGGTTCCAAGGGCGTCAAGAACATGCCTCCAGAGGCGAAGACAACATCATGTGGTTCTGCTTGCCGAATCCCAAGAATTGTCTTTATTTTAAGCGTCGCTTCAAAGTTTATCTGTTTGTGGTTCTTAGGGCCGACAGTTGCGATTGCTTGTGCGTAGATGTCGAGAACTGCCGCGCGATCGACTAAGAAACAAATATCGTTACCACCGATTGGAATCTTCATTGCGAAGCGATCTCTTGATTTGCGGAGCTGCCAAGCTGTCTTTTCGGACTCCGCAGAGTCGGTTTGGCCTTGATGGGAGTCTCCTGCGACCTCATCGGTAGGTCTCTCACAGTAGAATTCGCTGAGTTTGAGGTTGCGTATCCGTTCTATTGGGCTCCTTGGCGGTATTGATATAACAGGTGCCATTTGAATGGGATGCAGCGGTGCTAAGTTGTCCGAGCTAGCAGCGAGGGCTGCGTTGAGAGACGAAAAGCGAAGTCGTACGTAAGAGATTATTATTATAGTGGGCGGTCGATGAAGGGCGTTCCACAGAGGTCGTGTTTGCTCAAAAGAGCGATTTAGCGCATGATTAGCGATGGTGAACGTGACGTGATCTGGGTTGGACTATGTGATGCCGCTATCTAGACAGCAGAGTGAATGCGAATTAAGCGCAAAAAAGCGGTCGCATTGTGGCCAAGCTTTTGTTTTGAAGCAGAAAATGCAATTCTCACATTGCTTTTGTTACTCCTCATATTAGGCGAGCTCAAATCACAGCCACTCAGCACCAATGCACCAATGCACCAATTGCATGAAGGGCTAATAGAATTTCAATAAACTGCACGTATTTCTTGCTCGATTGTATACCGAGTAGAAAGAACTGGAAGACGATAGTAGGGCCCCGTGTATTCATTCCTCCGGCAGACCTCGAATCGTGCTCTACAAAACATCAGAGTGTGTCGTCCACTGTTGCGGCGTGACTAGTCCCAATCAAAGAGCGCCTCCCTACCGTTAGCCATGCGCCAGGAACGCCTAAAATCGATCAGCAACACATATCAACTTCATAATAGACACAACTCACATCCTACGATTATATCTCTGCAGTCTCCTGTGAGCCTTGCGCTTTTCACTCACTCGACGCACGGTGGCCTTGCTGAACACCATAATGAGCGACTTCCGCTTCTCTGACTTTGCATTCTTCGCGCCAAAGTCCTCATTGTCGCTATTGATTACATTGTGAACAGCCCCAAAAGGAGCTCCCGGGACGTGGACATTGCCTGCATCCTTCTTCTTTCGAAAAGTGTTGCTCTTGTAGTACTCTGCCGTACCGGGAAAATTGCTAGGACCTTCTGCCCAGGTGAACTCTGTCGGCACAAAACCCTTCGCATCTTTTCCATAGTGCCGTATAACATTCTTTTGTTTCCTTCGTACGAGGGTGAGAGAATTGAGCTCGTTGAGATGGGGTGGAGGTCGCTGTGGGCTCGGTCGCTGCGGCAGCGAGGCACCGGTGAATAGCTCATAGTCGGAATCGGTGCCGAAGGCAGCTTCATCAGGCGAAGAGGCTGTGTCGTGAGGATTGAATCGCATCGAAGCCTCGATCGGGCCACAGTGGCAAGGTGCGGCCATCTAATGACAGGTGAGTACGTGCCCCGTATACTGTTGTCTCGTATCACCACCTACTTCTGTGTGCGCTGGCTGAGAGATTACGAGTGATAGCAATGTTGATGTAGAAGGCAAGTCGTTTCTCGCGTTCATGGTGAGAGAAAAGCTAGATTTCCGAAAGAGGAATGGCTGCCTATTCCGTTCACACCTACGCGCAACGAGAGGAAAGTGCGGTGCACAGCAATAAGTCCTCGCCAGCATTCACTGGATTTCTGTATATAAAGCACTTAAGAATGTTTAGTGGCAACTCCGTGTAGGCAGACAGATGATTCTGGGAAGATAAGATATCATATACATTTAAACTGGTGATGAAGACAGGATGATGCTAACGAAGACCACTGCAGTTATATCTAAAGGAATAGTACCCCGAAATTAAGCGTGTAAGAGGCTCTAGAGTCCTACGTATATACCTCAACCATAGAACCTCCTAGGTATAGCTATCAAAGCTGCCCATTCTGTCCCCAGTGGTAACAAACTTCCGATGATACCCTCACACTTCTAGTACGCCGATAACAGCCGCTTCTTGACCCTCCGCAGTCTCTGCCTCCTGATTTTTGTGAGCGGTTTTAGGTTTTAGGCGCGTGGCAGGTTTCGAAAGCGGGATATGTCTTCTCCATCCGGTGATCTTCCCACGGTTGACTATTGATGTCGCATTGTCGCTACTCAAGTCTAATAGCTTGGCCTAGGTCTGGTTCCGCGCCGCTTCCAGCGCACGTTGTAGCTTCATGACATAGAATCCGCAGAAGCGCTGGTTGAATCCACGCATCACGGGAAACTTGTCGACGCGCTCGGGGTCCAGGAAGTAGAGGGCGTTGCTGTGTAGAACCAAATCGCGACTGACAGTGTCGTCAACGATAGCCTGCGCGGTAATCCGTTCAACGCAGGTCATAGTTCGACCTGTCATGATCCATTAGCCTAGGATTCGACAGCAGCCCGCAGAGATGTAGCTCACCTGTTATAATATAGCCGTTTATATACTCTAAGTTATATCCGGGGATATGGAACTGAGGGCCATATAAATGTGGGTTCGAAGCGACGAACGCATAGCCCTCGCGATCTATTCGGTCTTGATCTTCCTGGCTATGCTTATCGAGCCATAACTCCTCCGGAACCCGGGGTTCCACATCGATGTAATGGAAAATAGCGTTCTCTAAGTTTTCGCCATTTTGGGGTGTTGGAACTTGAATAGGGTCTGGCGAAAAGGTCAGTGTTGCCAGATACTGGCGAAGGGGGAAATCTGACCTGGGCCATTAACAGCGACTGTTACAATAGGCTGGATACTTTCACGTTGCATCATGAAAGATAATCTACAATAGTCAGCCAACAAAGCTCTGTAGACCATACAATTGGAACGACGTGGCGGGGGCAAGCAGCAAAAGCTTGAACGTACCCAAAGGTCTATTGAGAGATAGATTAAGTCGGAGCTAATGTCTGGAATAATAGTGCCGGGACGTTGACGTAGTAAGTAGTGATGTTTTGGGGGAAGATTATTGTTGAGGACTGTTGACGCACGATTATCGGGTCACGTTTATATATAATAAACAAAACAAACACGAAAGAAGTAATTTATCAATGCTCCTCCCGTGCTAAGCGAGAGCACAAGAAGGCTGGCCCAAGGTTTAAAACCTCTGGGAGTGAAATTCGAGCTTGCTATACCGTGCGTGGGCCATGATTGGTTCTCAGACGCAAGCTTTGCCAAGATCACATGGGACTGGTAATGAAATCTAATGTTATGAATAAAGTTTTTTTAAAGTAGAGAGACCAGGATTTAAAAGGCGCTTGGGGTGTTCATGGCGTGGGGAATATTATCCAATTGAAAATCTAGGCAAAGGTTGATGAAATCGGTCTCATAAGGAGGCTTGGATTTCCTGCAACCCATAACCGTAATGACCCGCAACAGCGCTACATACGCTGTCCCTGTTATCAAGCATCAAGTCTGTTGTTAGGCAAGATAGCATAATTACCGGGCGGGTCTGATTGTGGTTCTTGATGTCAGATAGATCCTGGTCAGACGACGCCACGAGAAGAGCTTTTGGGTCCGGCGGAATCACAAGGGTTGAGCGGTAAGCGGTTTGTACCTTCGTAGTCATGGAGATGAGGCTTGGGGATTATGGTGATGGTCGTTGGCGCTTCAATGACAGGTTAGTGCGTTTTGATCCCCTTAGATGCTGTGAACTTACACCCAATGTAGGAGTTGATGTCTTCAAAGGAATAACTCCCGATGTCCAACACAGGCTCGTAAAGATTGGACAGTGGTAATCAAGGGGCGGAATATGATACGAGAAGTATCTAGTATGTGCCACGCTAAAGTGGCCTCATACATTTTGTCGCTACGGAAGCTCTCACGAGCCCATTGCACCAAGCCGCGCGAGAGCTCTACTCGCTAGGATTGTACGTGCTCGAATAGACATATATAATCTTTCTAGACTTCATGATGGGGTATCGCCCTGTTTTTCTTTATTTAAAAATGAGTTTAGAGGCGTGAAATTGGAACTCATATTCCAGTCGGAAAGGAACAGTTCCTACCCACATTCAAAGAGGACCGAGTGATGATAATAGCGTTAGGTTTAGATCGGACATATTCGTCGCTGATATGATAAGTAAACAGAGAGGAACCATTATATAATCCTTGGATGCTGGTGCAACCATGCTGAAACGAGGGCGCGCAATACAGGGGGAGTAAGGGAAGAGGAAAAGACGGGAGAGGTAGCGCAACTCTCGCTCGGGCACACCGTGATCTTTGACCCGCCTCTGTAATGTTGATTGTTATATATAGGCATTGAAAATTGCGCACTGTGATGTATGCCGTTTGTGGATAGACAAAAGAAAAAGTAGTACATAAGAATGAGTAACCAACTCTTCTAGCGTTGAAGGAGAAAAAGAGACACCCGACAACGAACCTATCTATGACCTACTAGGACCACTACAAGGGTTACGAGGTAGAAGCGATATCGCACTAATTTCGTTTTCATAACCTGATCATGGCGAAAGCTGTGTATGAAGTAGTGATTAATAATGAGCCTTCAAGCCTCACAGAACGAGACCGCTAGATCTCTTGCTGTAGTGGCTCATATTACGATGGTTGTCGTCCCATCTTTGTCGCTCAAAAGATGCATAAGCTACTATCAGCGTACGAGTCCTTACGAAGACATCGATCGAACAGTTAGTTATCAATTGCTAACAGGCTTGGGGCCAGTCCTGCAGGCCGTCGCTGCTTGATCGTCGTGTGCTACCTCGGTTGAGTAAGCCGACCGTTGCGCTTCGCCAAGGACAGCCACGAGCGTTTTAGCCAACGCATGTCACGATCGTCCTAAGATGAGACATATCATGGCTTAGATGTCGAGTGTCTACGCATTGTGCGGATCATTACAACGTCGTCAACGTCGGACAACACGCATGACGCGTTTTCTTACGAACACGGACGAACCGCCCCACTCTAGGAATGTTTCCGATTAGGTTTAGACTGTTCGCCTCCCTGACGCTGGCGGGCCCTGAACTGCTACCGCAGGCGCGCTATGGCTTCTGTTCGACTATGGCAATCGGGCTTACTGACTCCTGGACTGACCTTTAGACACTCGTTTTTTATTCGCAAGAGACCAATGAGACGTACGAACTGATAGCGACGATGCTCGCCCCTCGAAACTACCTCCCTCGCCCGCTCCGTTTCGTCCTCGTCCTAGCCCTTATCTACGCATTCTGCTGGGTTAAAGGATGGCCGCGATACTACGATGACGAAGAGCTGCCCGCCAGCCAGCGACCGTATTCTCAGACGTCCGCCGGGCCACATACGGTGTGCCATGACCAGTTGGTCGTGTCCGTCCTGACCACGGCGGCCGACGCCTACGCGAAAGTCTCGCCTTTGCTGGCGTTCACAAACGAGGAGGACCGAGATCCTCTGCTTTTATTCAGCGACCTATACACGGAGATTGGCGTCTGGCCGGTATTTGATGTGCTCTGGCGCTTCCCGCAGAATTTTATACGGGAGACGGCGGAGTTGGGGAGATATAGGGCACAGGTGGATTATTCAAGAAGGAGCATACCAATCGCCAAGCTCAGGAAGCAGGATCCGGTTGAAGAAGAGAGGATATTAGCGACGTTGTACAAGTACAAGATCCTGCAGACCATGGCTGCTGCGTGGGAGTACAGGCCGGATCGGTCCTGGTATGCTTTCGTGGATGATGAAACGTATATCAACAGGGCGAATATGCTCGACTGGCTCAGCCAGTATGATTCCAAGTCAAAGCACTTCTTTGGCAACCCGCCCACACCTAGCGTGCCGAATGCCTTTGCCGCTGGGGGCACTTCTTTCGTACTATCGCACGAGGTTATGAAAGAGCTCTTCAAGGCCCGCAACGACACTATCAAGAGCTGGCAGTCGAAGATTGTGGACCATACCTCGGCACTCGATCTGGTTCTCAATGTATTGCAGACAGATCTTAAGCTCGATATAGAGGCCTCATGGCCGGGCATCTCGGGTTTCGATCCTAGCACTATCCCCTTTTCGCCTGCGTTGTGGTGCGTACCAGTGCTCATGATGCACCATGTACCCCCAGAGATAGGGAGCAACCTCTGGAAGCTCGAGAACGACCGCACAAAGGACCATCTAATGTACAGTCCCATCCGTTTTGCTGATTTATGGACACGCTTCATGACACCAGAAAACCTCAACGATACGCGAAACGACTGGGACAACTTGTCATCCGAATCATCAAACTCGCGCTGGAATATCTTGTTCGAGGGCCCCGAGCACGACAATAGCCGAGCAAAGAGCGGGGAGGAGTCACCAGAGGCATGTGAGGAGGCCTGCCGCACGAGCACGTACTGCATGCAGTGGTCTTACTCGTCCATCCCGCAGAAGAATTGGAACGAGAACCCGCAGACAAAGTGCCATCTCAGCAGCAGCGTGCGATTCGGAGCACACACCGAATCGCAAGAGCGGAACTTCAACGGAGAGAAGACGGTACTATCGTGGAAGAGCGGGTGGAGGAAATCCAAGTTCACAGCCTGGGCAAATCAGCAACGGTGCAAAGCCCAACATCAATGATGAATTGTGTCGTTTTCTCAGCCGCCGCGCGTTCATGCTTTTTCTCTGCCCGAGTAATTGATTCTCGACGCCTTACATCATCTCCTTTGCATGCAAATGTTACGTCTGGGGCATCATGTCCTACTCTTCATCGCACCGAAATGATGAGCTCCTTCATCATACAGGTCTGGCGGACTTTTCATTATGGGTGGCCTCCATTACGCGCTTTCATAGGTATGTGTTAGGTAATAGGCAGTCATGGTAGTTTTCCTTGCCGGTGTTCGGAGTTGGTAGACGAGAGATTTTGTACAGGGGTTCTACGGGCGAATGCAATAAGGCTATACAAGTTCAAAGTTTCAAGATTCCAAATGCCGTTCTAGCCGTCTTGTCTCGGCCGCGTCACAGCTGAGGCAGTGAGGAACGGTCAGTGCACCGCCACAACATCTAGCCAAGAAAGTCGGTCAAACTCCCCAGCGCAAACCGTGAGCTCTCCAACAGCCTATACAGTTCGCCTTGATCGGAGGCAAGGGTGGGCAGGGCTAGATATCAGTGTATATCAGGTAACACCAAGCATAACAATGCAAGAACAAAGCGGAGAGGTGGTGCTCTAATTCGCATCATTCGCGATCTGCTTGACCGGCCCAGTTAGCGTCATAGACCAAGCCAATCAGCACAGATCACGCGCCACTGCATGCGTCTTGATTTGCGAATATGACGTATGCCGCCCTTGTGTCGTTGGCAGCCCTATCCTTCACAGCCCTGGAGCATATATAATAGAGGGCAGACCAAAGGGCAGCTGGATTTTGCTCCCTGTCTCTCTGCCCACTCCCTCTCCATCGGACATTTTCGGTAACGAAGTGACAACTCCATAAACTACCCGCATACGCCTCGCGCATCCTCCCGTAGCCCCTGCAGCCCTGCTACCTACCTAGCGCTTCTTGCAAAATGGTTGCTCCCGCTATTGTCCTCGGCCTTCGTGGCGTTCAGGTTTTGCTCTCTATCATCGTGTTGGGGCTTGCTGCATACCGTAAGTGGTTTACCTTGCACACTTTTTCAACCTTGATACTAATTATAGAATAGTCGTCAATTCTTTGACCACTCCATGGGGAACTTGGAGTCCCCACAGTCTCAATTTCATGCTCTTTACCTCGGTATGGACTCTGCTTGCAGTCGCATACCTCGTCTTGTCGCCAACACGGTTCCCCCGTGCGGCACACAAGTTTGCCATTGGCGCCGTGGAGTTCCTGACCATGATATTCTGGTTCGCGGCCTTTGTCGCTGTGGCTGCGCTATGGGGTGATATTTGGTGGCGTAGGGGAACCTTCTACAGCTGTGGTGTTGCGGCTATCGTGTTTTCCGCCTTCCTTTGGTGAGTAGCAAGATTTTCCATGTTATCGAGGTACGGGACTAATGTTTCTTGTAGGCTTACGTTTGTCGCCACTACTGTCCTTGCCGCCCTGCATATTCGCAGCACTCCTCGCAACGATAATGCGCCTGCTCCAAATATGGCTGGTGTCTAATTGACTTGAACTTGCTCCTATGGCAAGCGCACACTTCGACTATTTGTCGCATGATACCCATTCCTATTCTTTTCCACGAAGAGGTCAAATTGTTAGCTTCTAGCGCGGCGTCTATATTTTCTGGAGATATACCCCTAAATAATATGCTAGCGCGGTTATCCTGTCTCTCTAGTATGATCAAAGTCTCTTGATGAATATGATTTACTTAACACGTGATTTTGCTTACCACCAGTCTTTTTTCGGTGCTTCAAACTCCCAAGCGCCTCCCTGTGCTTCAATAGAACGTGGAACAACAGGCCTGGGGCTAACTCTCTACTGATTTAATTTTGCAGCAAGGCGACCACTAGGTGATTACCTAGGAAGCAATTGGAGGGGTTGGAGGGATGAGAGTGGAGCTATAGTCTTAGTGTACGTGTGGAATACAATTTCCTCGACTTTATTGAGAAAAGCTATCTCTTCTAACACGTGTAGCTGAGTAGACACCCGCACTCCCCAAGCAACCTCCGCGTCTGCGACTTGCCGATCATATCGCTAGTGTAAAGAGACTGTCGATATCATAATCGTCCTCGCTGTTAAAAGAGAGGTGATCCGAATCCGATATCTCACTGTACCCGTCAGAGGGATACTCGTCCTCCCATTCGTCTACTTCGAAAGTGATCGTCCACCCGAGATTCTTCATCTCCTCATCTATATGTTCGTATGGAAAATAGCGGAAGATCACGACATTAATCTCTCGTAACGACGAAATAGCTCTACATCGAGTATCCACGAGCCTTAATGCCTTATCGACGAAGTCCGGATTGCATGAATTTGTGATGTCACACTCCCCGAAATCGTTGTCCGTGCACATCATCGAAAGCGTGCGTAGGTTGCCACATTCGCTTTGTATCTTCTCCAGAATGCGGATGCTATGAGCTCTGAGGACGACATGATCAGCATCCAGAGATTCGAAAAGCGGGAAGTCGATGTAAATGGAGTGGATATAGCCTGCGTTCATGCGGCCGATTTGGTCGAGGAACGAAATTACGTCCTTGGCGGTGCCCAAACAGAAATCGAAGCAATTTTGTGCGTAGAATAATGAAGTTGCCTCTTGGTGGATAATCTTATTCGTGCGAAAGAGACCTGGTGAGAATTTCTGTGGTGGTTTGAACTTGGGCAAGGGTTCGATACGATCTTGGCGCACAAGAACTAGCTCGTATATTCTGTTGCGGAGTTCGCTGGGTAGGCCGAGGAAATTGGGCGACATATTCCGGTTGTCGTAAGTCTGTGGTTGCTATAGAAGGACAGGATCTGAAGGTGTAAATAAGTTGAAGGAGTCAACTATGCAAGGAGTACGAGATCTATATATATATATTCAGGTGGCTGGGAGTCACCTGATCCTGATCTCGAAGTTCAACAGTTGCCTGGGGGAGTCCATTAACGGCTCGCGGTAAAGTTCTGGATTGCAATTATTGTAGTTAATAGTTCAGAGTTCATTGTCGAAAGCTGGCAGCACCGTAGGTAGCTTTTCGTAGTTCTGGTGCTACTGATGTTGTTCATGCCCCGCACAAGAAGCGTTCCATAACTCCTTGGCACTTGCCCATTGCCTGCGTGCCTGCATTACAGCTGATCTCGTGTCCTTGGGTCATTGGACGATTTGAAAAGTTGTTTTTATACGAAAACGCTACCATGCCGCAATCTACCTGCTCAGCCTATATAAACCAGAAAATATCGGATTGTCGACGGAATATTTTGTATACTAAACACACAGTTCTGAGACTATGAAGACTATAAGCTCCCGCTGCGTACTCTGCGATCGAGGTTTTGGGAGCGACGAGGCCCTGAAGCAGCACACACGAGACTCACATACCTTCAACTGTACAACATGCAACCGTCATTTTGGCAACGACATGGCCCTACAGCAGCACATACGAGACTCCCCAGTCCATACATCATCTTCAACTCCCGATAATAGCGATCGATCGATCAATACTGAGCAGTCTTTACAACAACACCTAAAGAAGTCGCCCGCAAATGTTCAGCCTAACAACTGTAAGACCTGCAACCGAAGCTTCGGTAGTAAGAGCGCCCTCGAGCAGCACATGCGGGACTCCCTAGTCCATGAACAGGCTCCAGAAACCCCTCTACAAGAGTCTCCCCACTCTTTAAAGCAGTGCCTACAGAAGTCGACCTCACCTGCTCAGCCCTACAATTGTAAGACTTGCAACCGGATCTTTGGCAGTAAGAGCGCCCTCAAGCAGCACACACGAGACTCCCTGGATCACAAACAAGCCCCAAAACCCCCCCTAGAAGTGCGTTCCCAACCGTTACAGCAACAATCAAAGAATTCGGCGGCGCATGCTCCGTCTTTCGATTGTAAGAACTGCAGCCGAACATTCCGTAGCGAGGCAGCCCTCGAACACCATATTCGCGACTCGCCCACCCACCAACAGGCTCCAGAAACACCTTTGGACAAGTTCTTCCGCTCCTTCCATGGGTTTGAATATGATCCGTCGCTGCCACCATCTACGTCCTTCTCTTATCTGCGAAACCATGAGGGCTGGCGACGTGGCCAGGCTGCATCAGAAGATGCCTGGAACAGATACCAGGAAGCATTAGAGGGAGAACTGCGCATGTGGTATGGCGAAGAGAGCGATCTGACTTCGTGGCATGCCCTTTGTCGTGCCATTGGTATTGAGCCGCTTCCGCAAACATGCGAGCAATGCGAAAAAGTAAGAACATGTCGTACTAAACTATCAACACTTACTGATCTGGAGCGTAGGCTGTACGAAGTACACATGTCAATATTATTGATTTAATTGAGTGGGGACGAAGACGTGGAGATACCGATGAGAAAGTTCGGACTTTTCGTAATCTGGATGCACTCCGAGTTTACACTACGGAGACGGGTAAGATATTTCGTAACAGATTCGACGAGGAAGACGGAAATGTTGTCCTGAGACATCTCCTTCGCAAGATCTTCACACTGTGAAAGAGTGAAAGGTGGTGTTTGTACTGTGTAGCACACATGTGTGGTTGTGAAGCTGCTGATACTTGAAGTTTGAGATTTGGTTCACACATAGTTCATGAAAAGTTGGGATGAATGTTAGTCAATATATGAGACTGTGATGTCATCAAGACCCTTCGGCCCGACCCGTGCGTAGCTGAGCATCTCGAACGCGGTTGCCTTGTCTAGCGTGATACGCAGATGCGCAACAACATAGTGTCATAATGCCTCCAATGCACCTTGTTCTTGTTTATAAACCACGAGAGTAACCTCTACGTTACCTGAAGATAAGGAAGACCTCCTGACTTATCATTCCACGCGATGGGCGTTTCTACTCGCTCAAAATCAAATCCCCAAGTCAACTGTTCCAAGTTCTACTTTGAATGGCAAGGCCATCCAATCCAGGATCTCACCAAATTTCGCAATATCACGCTCGCACAACGGCCGGACAAACCCATCGTATATCTTGCTGGTGACTCTTCCCTTGATAACAAGTACTGGGTGAAATCTTTCAGCAAAGATATCGCAGCCGAAACACCAGATATCTATAAGAAGACGTTTCAAACCCCTCGGCCGAAGCCAGATGTTGCATTTTGGATAAACCACCTACTCGATGATCGCGCTACATGCATCAACACCGCTGTCGAAGCATCTATGCTAAGAGATCGAGACGACAAACTCCTACCCCACGATGAGTTTATCTGCGACAATATTCGCGCCGAGGATGTCCTCATCGTGAGCGTCGGTGCCAACGACATCGCTCTGAAGCCGCTGGCCTACACAATACGCCACATGCTCCAACTAGCCTGGCTTACGCCACGCACTTCGCTCGAGAACGGCTCAGCATGGTCTCTATCCTACTTCAAACACATGTTCGGTACCAAAATCCGGGATTACATCATTCGCCTTACCGCTAAAACGAAACCTCGTGCAGTCATCGTTTGCATGATCTACTTTCCACTCGAATGGGGTCTTGGCCAGGAGAGTTGGGCGGATGTGCAACTAAAAGCGCTGGGCTACAATTCGTATCCGAATCAGTTGCAGACAGCTATTCGGGCGATGTATGAGGTTGCGACGAAGGAGATCAAGGTGGAGGGGACGGAGATTGTGCCCTGTGCGCTGCATGAGGTGCTCGATGGGAAGGACGCGAACGATTATACGGCGAGGGTGGAGCCGAATGAAGAGGGCGGGCGGAAGATGGCGATTAGATTTGTAGAACTGCTCGATGAGATACTGTAGACGAGACGAGGGCTACATCAACCTGATTCCAAGGTCATTAACAGCACTCCAGCCTACCATTCATAGTTCTAGATTTATATCCGTGCGCAATTCCACACTCCTTTCAAGCTGTGTTGAGCGAGCAATCGACCAGCCCCAACGGTGACACCCAATTACCCACCTACGTATAGGAAGCCCAAGTCAAAATGGAGTCCGACTGAGCAACTGAGTAGACGCGAGGAATAAAACCAGTAGAGCTAATATCGAGTCAGAGAGAAGGCAGTATCCTGGGGGTATATAAAAATGCTCTTAGCACATACGTTCATGAGCGGAAAGGCTTCAGGCGGGCGGAGAGGTGATGATAGTAGGGGAAGAGAAATAACGGAGACATGATGATAGTTTCGCCAAATAGAGACTGAGAACACAGAACAGTTCAGAAGTCAATGCATATGAAATATATTTGCTAAAGATCACGACAAGCTTTTATGGAGGCAAAGGACGTTCGTGTTGGGCTGGTAGCGTAGTCGGAAACTTGCTTGCTCGTAAAACAGGACACAAAACATACGCTGCACTCAGCTTGCGACTTGGTCGCTCTTTGTCTGTTAGCCGCGTACAATGACGCTAGTGTGGAGTCGGGGGCATGGGAGTTGTCACGTAGAGAAAAGAGTTGAAATTCACGACTTGCAACAGCATAACCGCCCATCTCCATCGTTCATGAATAATTCTTCATTTTATTTCATTTCAGTACAAACTTGCTTGTCCAAGCCTAGCCTGTCCACGGCTTCTGCACGCCCCTCTTCTTACTCCACTGATGGGAACCCGTCAAATCGCCCTTGCGCGCCTTCTCCTCAAACAGCTTCTTGCTCAGCTGCCGGTACAGGAACTTGCCGCCGTTATGGAAGTTGATGTTGTGATTGCTATCTGTGAAGAAGGTATTCTGCAGCTTGTCGGGGGTGACGCGGTTGACGTAGAGCAGATCGACCAAGGCAGCCGAGTTCTGGAAGTGCACGTTGTCGTCGCCGGTACCGTGCTGGATGACGACGCCGCCGGCAATCTTCTTGAAGCCCGTGGCGTCGTGTACGCGAGAGCGGTTGTAGCCGTCAGGGTTGATGTCGGGCGTCTTCATGTAGCGCTCGGTGTAGATGGAGTCGTAGAAACGCCAGTCGCTGACGGGAGCGGTGATGAGTGCGAAGGAGATGATTGGGTCGCCAACCTCGACGACCTTGGATGACAGATAACCGCCATATGACCAGCCCCAGATTCCGATGTGGTCGCTGTCGATCCACGAGTTTTTTGCGAGTTCCTTGGCAGCCCAGATCTGGTCTTCGGCTTCCAGCTCTCCGAGGTTGGAGGTGACGAGGGAGCGGAACTTGCGTCCCTTGCGACCAGTACCCCGGCCGTCGACGGTCAAAGTGACGTACTCGAGCTCGGGGTCAGAGGCAATGTATGCCTTCCAGTTGAGCGGGTTGAAGTCCTTGTGCACTTCTTTGGCGTTGGGTCCACCGTAGGGAATCAAGAGTAGCGGGTACTTCTTGCTGGGGTCAAAGTTGGGAGGCAGACGGAGCATGGCGTCTAGAGTATAACCCGAGGGATGCTCCAAGTCGAGGTAAGTAATATTGGGCAGAGCGTACTCTTGAAGCCTCTTGTAGACTGCTGTGTTGTTGACGATTGTGCGGATCGGGGTGGTGGAATTGATGGAATATAGCTCCTGGTAGGGCACATCAGGGCCCGCGTAGCGCAGCACATAGTACGAGCCGCCAGACGAGAAAGTTCCGGTCCAGAACGCAGCAACGCTGTCGTCAACGAGCGCCTTTTTCTCACCAGTCTTGAAGTTGACTGAATAGATGTGCGATTCAGCGCTATGGTGCTCGGTAGAGGTGTAGTATACTAAGCCGCGCTTGGCGTCAATCTTTGAAACAGTAATGACTTCCCACTCGCCAGAGGTGAGTGCAATCTTGTCGCCGCCGTCAACGGGGAAAAGGTACAAATGAGCCCAGCCGCTCTCGTCCGAGATGTCCAGGTAGTACTCAGTGCTCGAGTTGCCGTAAGAGGCGTTGGATGCGGAAACAGGTCCAATGTAACTGATCTGCAAGAGGTTCTCGAGCCAGCCGTCAGTGGCGTTCCGCTCACGGGTGATGGAAGAGGAGCCAGCTTCGACGTCAACTACCACCAGCTTCTCCAAGTCTTGGACACGGTTGTATGCGCGGTAGATGACCTTGCTGTGCGCGTCGGTGAGCCATGTGACTTCGCCGACAACAAGGTCATCTTCGGGGAAGGCGTCGATTGGGACGTTGGTGACGGTCGCAGACTTGACATCGAGGAGATTGAAGACGACGGTAGGGTTCTTGGAGCCGACCTTTGGGTAGCGCAGCTCTAGCTCGCGAGGATAGGTAGAGATGTTTTTGGCATCTTCAGAGATGTAGTACGGGATCCTGAAAGTGCGGACGCCGGTCTCGTTGAAACTGAGAAAGGCAATCTTTTCTCCATCAGGGGAGAACCACAGCGTGTAGCGTTCACTGAAGACCTCTTCCTCATAGACCCAGTCAGGGATTGCGTTGAAATAATCAGGGCCACCGTTCTTGGTAATCTGGGTAATGGTGCCGTTGGTCGAGAGGTAGAGGTCGTTGCCCTTGACAAAAGCGATCTGTGAAGACGACGAAGGGCTCCATTCGGCATACTGGATGTTTCCAGTGGATTCTGGGTCCAATGGCGTAGTCTTTCCCGTGGCGACATCCTGGATCAAGTAGTCGGCAAAATAGGAATGACGGTACTGCTTGGTGTAGTTGACAGCCCACAGCACGTGGCTGGCATCAGGGGAGATGAAAAACTCCTCGTAGTCCTCTGGGACCTTGTCGGCAGAGAGGAAGGTTCTTGATTCGCCAGTCGCTACGTTTTCGAAAAGGAAGTCTCCCGAAGCGGCCGTGTAGATGTAGTCGCCATCTGCGCCGGTGCCCACCCAGCTGAAAGCCCTGGTCTGAGGGGTCAATGGGCCTGGGGCATCTGTGGTGATGTTGTAGCTGAGGCGCTTGGTACCGTTGCCCAGAGGCTGATGCGGGAAGCGTGGAGGATCAATGGCCGCGATCAGCGGAAGGGCCGCCGAGAGAATTGCAAAGGAACGCATCGTGAGGAAACTGATGCGTCTGCGGGTGCAATTTGCCTCTCAAGAGATTAAAGAACAGTCGATATTAGAGGCCTGAGCTATGTTGCGTCGCGATATGGCGCCTTAATGACCCTGCCCAAGGTTCCCCGCTCGGTTGTCCTGAACACCACAATGCGTCGTACAAGAGGAGCGATGAAAGCACGAGAAGCGGTACTTCTGCCATGGCGATGCAGCTCTTAAGTGAGGCGCACAGCGTCTATCGCTCTAATTGACACGCGCAAACGAGCTGCCTTATCGAGTAGGTGTCAAGCACTCCAAGGCCCGTTGGTGTATTCGCCAAGCAAGACCAAGCAACCGGCCACCCGGTTAAACGCGCTACGACCATGATTGCGGAGGGGCGGCTCCATCAGAGAGGAAGGTGGCAGCAGTTGCGCAAGATTAGGTGCTTGAGGCCGGCCGCGATGTTGTTGGAGATGCAGCATGGGAGGATGGTGGGTGACGCGGTGGCGGAGAGATGGGTGCTGGATTCTGCAAGGTACGGCTGGAACATCTGAGTCGGTAACGTCAGTCCCGATGCTTATCTTTCTCAGCTGGTGTTACTCTTCGTCTGATCCTCCATCCTTCATCCTTCGTCTTCCAACTATCGCATGCTACCAAGGCACTGATGATAGTCGAGTCATATACAACACCCGTACAGCCATGACGTCATTTCTGCATCTTCCACGACATTTTCACGATAACAGTCCAGTCGCTCTCACTCCCATCAGTGGGCGGGCGAGGAACTGGCTTTTACTGATCTGTTTTGATTTGAAGACCATCATTCATTCATTAACTATTGCGCTCTTACTTCTTAGTAGTAAACATGGGCAACAATTGCTCCTTCCTGCCTTGCCACGCTCTCATGAGCTGCTGATACCAGTACACATACGCAACCATCGCCAACAACGGAATCGCCACAACCCAAAACACCCACGCCCTCGGCTGGCCGGGTAGAAACTCTCCTCCCATCGAAAAGATGCTCGCTACCGTTGACAACGGGATGAATAGCATAGTGAGTACCGCGATCCTCGACAGACTCTGCTCATTACCATTCGACACATGCGCCTCCTGGATCGTGACATACTGCAAATATCCCGCCGCTAACGCCTTCACTGTCTCCTCAACTACATTCGTCAGTTCTTTGATCGACTGCCACCCGTCTCTTTCCCACTGCGGCGCTGAGCAATGTGCATCATCGAGCCCTAGCGCGACCACGTTGTCATCCATCTCCCTCGCAAATACCCTTATCGCAGCGCGAGAGCCGACGATGAAGTCGAAGAATTCGCCGCTCCAAATCGAGTAGTTGCTTTTGGAGAAGCTGGAGAGATAGTCGTGGCGCTGAGTGTGAGGCCGGAAGTTGCTGTTCTGGATGCTGACGAGGTTGAGATAGCGGCGACGCATGTAGGCTACCACAATTGAGATGACTAGGCGTCGCGGAATCTCGACGACGCTTAATGGATCGCGTGTAGCCACGACCTTGGCACCCTTCGCGCAAAACGACTGCATCGTGTCGTCGAACATCGAGCGGTATCCTGGAGAGGAACAGCACGCTGCCCACTGCGAGCAGTCCTGTGGCAACTCGTCGAGGACATCAAATTCCGGATTGAGAAAATGCTTGGGCATCAAAGTCTCATCCGCCAGCCTCTGACGAAGTGGAATTAGCTTCCGCGTGGTCATACAGCGCACCTGCTGCCCTGGAGCTGGGTCAACCAGCAACACCGCGTCCCACGACCCGTCCTCGCGGGCCGGACTACTCCAAAAGGACAATCCATGATGGCTCCTCGCTTCGTCGTAGATTAGACCCTCACGAGGGTATGTGTGGAGGTATCGATTCACCCTCGAATCGAAAGCGAACATATTCAGACTAGTCTTGGTATTGCCGGGCGTTGGGCAATCGACCTCCACTCTATTCGATGTAGCGTATCGCAGCCGGAAATGGGGAAGCGCACAGCGCTGGAATGGATTACGATGGTTGAATGTGGACGATGCCGGATCTTCCCAATGCCCAGCGAAGAAGCTAGGAGGTATTCCAAGTCGGGAGCCTAGTGCTAATAGGTGATTACAGGGTAGGTCTTCCAGTACAAACAGTCGACGCCTAGGTAGCTCGGTGTCTGTATGGTATGGTGGCGGAGATGCATCCCCAATGTACAGATCGAGCTCTGCAACTGTTGCAAACGAAGTGGCCTGGTGGCCCTGTGGGTCGGTAAAGTCGATTGCGGCACATCGTCCTTGTTCTCGCTCGACAGGAGTTTGTTCCGCTAGCGCTGCTGTGAATCGAGGAAAGTATGGCTGTGCTTGGTTTTGAATCAAGCTCATATACTCGAGCTCCTTCTCGTTAAGATTATTATATGTGGAGCCTGACGACTCGGAGAGGCAGGTATGCGAAGAACACATGTCGCTGGGGTCCATGGTGAATTTGGTACGCCAGAAAGAGAAAAGATAATATGAGCCAGAAAGTACAGATTACAGAAGTAAATAGTAGGTATTAATTGTGCCAGCACAACAGCGTATGAAATATCAAGACGCAAAGGAATGTCTACCTGAAAAGGCTCTCCAACCCACGCTTTTGAACCACAAGTCAACCACACAAAGTATGTTCAAGTCCCTGTTGTCCCCCTACATGCGATACACACATCTTACGCCTTTCATCCGACTGTCTTACACTGAAGCACGGTGCTCTCTCCGCATTCTGTTCTATCCGCTCGCTTCGCGTCTCGATCTAGCTCTCCGGGCCGTGGTCACTTCGCGGGGCATAAGGCTGAAACGCGAGAACGCAAGCTCGGTCCTGTGTGTTTCGGGCCTGAGGCTGTGCCTCGATTGCGTTTGTCTGGTGTGAGATGTCAAGGGCTGATAGGGGCATGATTTACTCCAAACGAATGTGTTGGCTTTTCGATGACATGTTTCAAACTACGCACCGGCGGTGCGGACGTAAACACTGCAGTAGTATCGGGGATGTGGCGTTTCTTGAAACCAACGGGGCTGACTTCGACGCCCGGGGTTGATTGGATTCGCGCGAGCCTCCCGCGTGGGCGTTAGTCATTACATCTTCTCTGCAGCGAAGCGCGATGGAACGATTAAAGCGATCTTTATAGTTTGATATTGAAGGCTGGAAGAAAACGCTATACAGAGGCAATTACCACATCCCCCACTCCCCACCTCATACCTCCTTATCTTCAGCAACCTTGACCACCACAGCCCCAACACCAGGCCCCTTGGCCCAGATCCGATGCGCCTCAGGCACCTGCTCCAGCGTCCACACATTCCTGATCGGCACGCGAATATCCCCCCTACCCAACAAGCCAAGCAGCGTCTTCAGCTCCGGCTCAAACGTCTTCTGGTCCCTATCAATGTAGTAAAAGCTCGTCTTGTTGGGACAAAACGGCACCAAGCCCCTGGCCAGCAATTTGGCGATCTGCACCGGCTGATTCCTTTGCTTTGCACCATTCAGCGAATTGAGATTGCCTCCATAGCCGATTAGATGGCCCCCGTCTTTGCACAGGATGTCCCAGCTCTCGTCGTACGACTCGAAGCCCAGGGCGTCGAAGACGACGTGCGCGCCGCCGATGGCGTTCATGGCCGTCATCCAGTTCTTGTCCGTGTATACAAAGGGCGTTGCACCTGCTTCGCGGACTGCAGCATGGTTGACCGCCGACGCCGTGCCGTAGACGTCTGCGCCTTGCATCTTGCAAAAGGTAAGCAGTGCGAAGCCGACGGAGCCACTAAGTCCATGGATGAAGACGCGTTGGCCTGCAGCGATCTTGGCCGCACGATAGGCAAGCCCGTACGCTGTGCTCCAGTCCAGCACCAGAGCCACAGCTTGTTGCAGGTCTATTCCCTCTGGCACAGGGACGAGGTGCTTCTCTAGCTGGTTGCAGAGCTCTGCTTGCGCGTCGTAGACTGTGAGGCATGCGACTAGAGCGCCGTGCTGGAACTTGTGGCTGTTGGACCCGTTTTGGTGCACGCGGCCGATTAGAGAGTATCCTGGAGTCAAGGGCGCTTTTCTCTGCATCGGGTAGACGCCGTTTCGCATGGCGATGTCGGAGCCACCCATGCCGGCGTAGAGGACTTTGATCTGGACTTCGTTTGCTGCTGGGGCGGCGATGGTGTCGGTTACGACCGAGACGGTGGACGGGTCGCCAAAGGAAGAAATGAGGACTTTGCGCATTGAGGTGGACATGTTGAAAGTACGGGATATATCGAAATAGACGATTGAATTGATGAAAACTGGTGATCGATTGAGGATCTGATTTCTTAAGGCTGTTGGTGGTAGTAGTGATGGTAGTTGCTGTGATGAGGAACCGTAGAGTCCGCCATGGTGCGCAGTCTTATACGTCTCGAGTACGCGGAGTATGGAGAGATACACAGTGACTTTTTTCCTTCGTGCGAAAGCGACGGTGAGTCTGTTGTTTTGGACTAGTAAGGTGTTCCCGTTGCGGAGAGATTGATGGGGCTCCTCGGAGGGATTATTCACCCGACTACGATCCTTACCCGAAAGAGGTTGGAGGACTCAAGGGCTCCACATATTCCCGAGGTCGCCACATGGTTCAAGGTTGTCTAAGCCACAACTCTGCCCTACTATATATACACAGCCAATCTCTCCCATCTCCCGTGTTGGGGTCGGTATATAGATTGGCTGCCAATACCAGACCTGCGGGGAGACCTACAGGTAGCCTAAGATCCTGCCGGCACTCAAATTTAATGTGTACCTATAGGTATCAGATTAATTTAGCAGATATCTAAACGCACCTTTCTTCTTTATTTCTCAAGGACGGGCTCTTTGCCTTATAAATGCCTGCTACACCAAACTTTCTCATAGAATGGAGGCTGCTAGTAGTAATTATATTATATTACTTACTTTCTAATATCTAAAAGTTTAGTACTTTGCCTCACGCGCATCATATCGCACCCATCATTGTGGAGAACAGGTTTTTTAGAAAGGTGCTTTTTCCAAGTTTTCAGGGGGAGGTAGATGCTTTATAGAGCGCTACGAGAAGCCGCTTCTTCAGTGCGTTGAAGACTCGAAGCGACGGCCAGACTCTCATTCAAGGTTGTGTATATCCGCATGGTTACGAGGCTATTTATCCGCAATGCTACGTCATGTAGTCATGGGATGGTAAACACTGTAGGAGTCACTTATAAGTACGCTAGGATTCTGCCCATGACCCTCTCACGCAACCTGTTCTCGCAACCACGAACCTCCCTCGTGAGATAGCTCCACTGTCGCTTTTACGCGAAATTGCAGCCAAAACAAGCTAAAACTGGCCATAGACGCCTATGAATCCTTCTTCGAGCAGCGAAAACAAATCGATCATGTCCTCGCCAGCAGCACAGTTGCCATCCGATCCCGAAGGATCGATACCTAGCAACGATGGATCCCAGTCCTCAACCCAACTCAAGCCGAAGGATTCGACTTTATACGAAGCTGCGACAGACCAGCTTCTGGCCTTGATTGCATCTTTACGAAGTCCAGCGGATGGCAAGTGCATTGATGATCTTGGCAGCGATGGAGTGTATAGGGTTCTGCAATGGTTACCCACACCGCCTGATCAGCCCACCGGTATTAAAGTGTACGACGCGAAGCCCATGTCGCCAGAAATTATCAAGGCCTTTCTTGACAGACAGGCTTGGAGCCAGGTGGTGGAAGACCGGTTTCGAGGAGTCGATGGAAGAACGGTTCCACAGGAGTAAGCACTGCTAATATATGCAATATATGTGTGAACATCAACTGACTTCACGCCACAAACTTCAGACAGTGGATGAACCCGCCTCAAGGAATTATTCCCCCCATGGGTACTAAAAACGAGCGCCTTGAGGAGATGAGGAAGTGGAATGAGGAGAGGGCGCAGTTGGAAGAGAAAGTCGCGCGTCGAGAGATCAGCAAGGACGCACTTGGGCCAGCTTGTGACAGCGTTAAAAGCGACTACGATCTGCGCCCTCGTTAACTATTAGCGAGAGGTGAGCTCTCTTGGTGTTTGAGTGACTGATGTCGAGATTAGGGATGAGTCGTCGTGTGACTTGATTGTGCTGTCGGTGGAGGATTATCTTGCTTCATTAAGTGTTACGAGAGCCTGGAATACATCACAGGACAACGCGGCCCCATCGTTTCAGAAGCTTGTGGCCATAAGACACGCAAGTGCAAGGCAGACATGTGTATTCGATGGTAGCGACCATGCATGGGTGACGGTGTGCATCGTCTTGCCATGGATGTGTGTTGGTTACAACGTAGAAGTTTTACCGGGACGTTAAGCACATAGCTCTGACTGTCAGCGTAATGCATTCGAGGATGGTTAGAAACCCATAGGTACGCCACTCAAGAGGATCGACGGTAGTATTACAATTTCTCACATGCAGCTCCTCATGCGTGATTGGTGAACGGCAAGTCTAGATCAGTTGGATATAAATTACCCATGAACAGTCTTTGCAACACCTGATCTCGTCATGAAACCAACTTCTCTCACCACAGTGCTATCATTCGGCTCGTCCCCCCGTGGAGGCTCGTATCGTATTCGTGGGGCAGTGTATGCGCATAGGAATTTTGGCCTCTGGTTATTGGTAGAGCCAAACAAGGACGGGCGCAACATCCACGCTCCTTTGACGGGACACACCGAGCGAGCCTAGTTAATTGGGCTCGAGGGTCGTGCGCGGCGAATCGGTCAAAAAGCAGAGTTGATATTACGGTGACGTTAGGTATGCGAGAATGTAACCACAAACATCTCTGCACTCAAGGTACTTTCACAGAACCAGCGATAGCTCAACTAGGGCGTAGGCGCTTTGAAAAACCTCTTAGGTATGCGAGATATTGGTGTTTGACTGACTTTGATCACTACTCGAACGGGTTGCGAACCACTATATTCGCCGTCGCTCGCGTCAGTCGAGAACAAGGATGTCTAAGCTCTAACCCCACCTATCTCTCTCATCTATCCGTATGGGGGTCGGCATTGATAGTGGCTGCTAATACCAGAGCTACGGTGAGAGCTGTGCACATGCCTGCAGGTCGCCTGGTTTCCTACAGTAAACTGCCTTAAACTGTAGGTGTACGTAAGCTTGAAGTCAGCACATGTTTAGGCGCCCCCTTTCCTTATCTATGACCCTACCAGTTCTTTGCCTCGAGTGGATGCGAACGCTTTTCAATCGAATTTGTTGACCGGAGACCGCTGATGAAGGGGTTGCATCACACTAGCCGTACCCCGCATCTAGACTTTCAGCCCCAGCCTCGCGCAAACATATCAAGATAGCTTCAAAATGGCGTCTATATAGCAAGCTGAGAGGGCTTTATACTGCCAATGGCAGCACTCTGGGTGGCATCATCTGGATTCCCTACGAGCGGATAACTAAAATTACACCTCACCTCGCAGGTATGTTGGTGATTATGGCACTGTTAGTTTTCAAAAAAGGCGGGAGCTGAAAGCCTCCAGCATGTATAAAGCCTCATAATGACCGGTAGGGTTCTCTGGATCTCGAAGAGCACGAGGTATACAGAATCCCCCACTTTCCGTTACCCATCCATTCTTAGACCGCTTTTACACACTATGTCCTTCCAAACACAACCGGCATACGTGCATTACGGTACCTGGGACTATAAGACGCGTCAACATGAATGCATGAATTGGATGTACGCACACCTATCCCCCTCTCCATCTCGCCTAAACACCTAACGAGAGCAAAACAGGGAAAGGTACACCAACGCCGTCGACTCCAAAGCCTGGGACACCGAACCCTTCTCCAATTGGTCCACTTCGGATCACACACTCCTACAATCCACTGGCGAGACTGTTCCTGGCGGCGACTCCTCCTGGTCCTCGCTGCGCACTGAAGTCTACGCTCCGTTCGCCCAGCACCATCACGACCCGCAGTTTTTCGTCACCTGGGAAACATAGTATGGCTGGGAGATGCTTGGTGTCGCTACACTCCACTGGAATCTTGTTGCCCCTGGAGAGGAGGCGAAAGTCAAGGGCAGAGATGGCAAAGAGTGGGATGGATCAGGTCCTGCTGCGTTCAATTTTCGATATGTGAAGCAAAGTGATGGTGGGATTTGGATAAGCAGGAGTGCGATTTTCGCAGATCCCACTGTGGCGGTTGTGGCGATGCTGAAAAGAGGTATGATGAAGCCTGAGGATTTCCTAAAGTAGTAGTCCTCGGTTACACTTATCATCGCAACCTATTATTACCATTGTAGGTAAGAGAGAGAGAAGAATAAGTTATAAAGCTTAGAAATTCTATATAAATTATAAAAGCAGTATTATAATAAAATAAATAGTATAGTACTGCGACGCAAAACCTGGTCGCAGAACTATAGAATTAATTCTGGCCACGTAATAGCGATGCTGCTGCCTACAGCAGTAGCAGAATAAAAAGCTAGCAATGCATTATGGGTGCCTTATGATAGAATAGGCAGTTTTTGTAGTGATTGCCCTCTGTGCAAACTTCATTTGTGAATTCAACTTAAATCATCTCCGATTGACCTCACCTGATACCTAGGCAACCTCCTCAAGCTAAATCGCATTTCGTAAAAAAATGCATATATCAAAGCACATAAAGATGGTAAATCTTATTTGGCATGATGGGTTTAGTAGCCTATCTTGGATGTACTTTTCCGATAGTATACACCATATCAGAAGAAGCAATAGTATTGTACCGGATCTGCCTATGAATGAAGCAAACTTTCTAATCTTTTGAGCAGACGATTTGATGACGGACGAACAGCGCACAACAAATTTCCTTGAGCCTGATCGATTTTAGAGAACTCTGGTGTACTTTCCTAAATTTCTAGAGATAGATAACGAGGCGACATCGAGTCGCAAGACTCGACTCGCGCTACACATGCCACCAATTCTCCCTTTCCCCAGGTTTCAGGTTCCCCACATCTTGGTGTACTTGGCAGCTAGGTAGATAAGAATGCAGCCAAGAGAAATCATACTGCTTCTGGTGAGAGGCTACGACGTCATTCGATCTAGAATGTATGTAGGCTATACAAGGATGCATCTAGCCGATCATGCTGTCGGAATGAAAAGCAAAGACAATCTACTGACTTGGTCATTGTTACTGCTCTTCGGGTTTTTTATAGTTGACGTATTATTTTTTGACGTTTAACAAGTGTGTCAAGATGGATCATGAGAAGCAAGACGTAGCATACATCGAGAAGGTCGTTGATGCTCCATTTCCGCTGAATGTTGGGGATCACCCCGAGCAAGACTGGACAGCAGAGGAAGAGCAAGCGGTCGTGTAAGTTTTACCTGTGCGTCTAGTTGAGATCCTGGCTTACTGTGGTGTAGTAAAAAGGCTGACTGGCGTGTCTTTCCCATGCTCTGCTTTGTGTTTGGGTTGTCGCTGCTCGACAGGACCAACATCTCAGCTGCATACATTGCAGGTCTCGGAAAGGACTTGCATCTCGGGATTGAAAATCGCTATAATATTGCCCTACTTGTCTTCTTTGTCGGTCAGTATCAAGTGGAGTTGTCTGAGACGAATGTGAACTCTGATAATCGACTGAAGGTTATGCACTGTTCGAACTACCGTCCAACTATATCATCCGACGCCTTGGTGCACGCATATGGCTCTCTATCCTCATCATCCTATGGGGTGCATGTGTCCTCGGAATGGGCTTCGTGAAGAACTGGCAAGTGTTGACGGTTCTGCGAGCCTTTTTAGGCGTGTTTGAGGCTGGACGTACGTATTGGATCATGTTCCTTTCAATCTCCGAATCTAACATCCCCTTTAGTATTTCCAGGAGCAGTATACATAATCGGTTCATGGTACCGACAATACGAGACAGCGCAACGAGTGTCGATCTTCTACATGGCGGCATTGATGGCATCGGGATTCGGACCGATCGTAAGTTCTCTTAGCTACTGTTCGAGGAGGAATCGCTAATAATCATAGTTCGCTTATGCACTATCTCTCATCCACGTTGGTGATGGCATGTTCCGCAGGGGTTGGCGATGGATTTTCATCATTGAAGGCGTCGTCACCATTATCGCCGGATTTGTCGCGCCTTTCTTCCTTATCGAGTGTAAGCTCCAGATCTCATCAAACAGGATAAAATGAGCTAACACTAGGAGTTCCCGAAAAGGTCAAATTCCTGACTGCTCGCCAAAAGCATATCGCCATCACCCGTGTTACGCTAGAGAAGAAGGAAGTTCATACTGAATATGCTACCGTTGGAGAGTCCCTAAGAATGTTGCTGGATTGGAAGCTTGGAGTCTAGTACGTTCTACATATCGATTACCGATAGTAAAAGCATACTGACGACTGCCAGCTCTCTCCAGTACTTTGTAGCGGCATCAAGTGTTTACTCATTGGCGTTTTTTCAACCAATTATCCTTCGTGAGGGGATGGGATTCTGTAAGCGTCCGTACACAAGATGCATGCGACAAACACTAATATTGTACCTCTTCTTCCTGCAGCATACGCAAAGGCGCAATTACTCTCTGCGCCACCGTACATATTCACGGTTTTTGCATCGCTCGCGACCTCGTGGTTGTCAGACAAAATCCGCCTGCGATGGCCTATCTTGATCGGTCAGTCTGTGATTGCCATTGTTGGTCTGGTGATTGTCCTATACGGTGGAGCGCCTGGTGCACGATATTTCGGGCTGTTCCTCGCAACTTGGGGCACCCAGGGAAACGTCCCAGCAACATTAGCGTATGGTCAAAACCAGACCGCCAGGGTGCAGAAACGCGCGATTGTTGCGGCTGCCATGATTTCTGTAGGTGCTGCTGGTGGAGTGACAGGAAGCACAATCTTCCAGGCTAAAGATGCTCCAGTAAGTCTCCTTAAATGTCACCTTGATTCTGTACGGGCATTGATACAAAGTAGCAATATTTGCCGGGTATGTGGGCGACTATCGCGATGCAGATGCTATACTCGATTGCCACATTCTGCATGTCGACGCACTTCAAGCGGATGAACAGGCTTGCGGATGAGGGCAAAAGACCAGCTTTGGAAGGCGTGGAAGGATTCCGCTATGCCCCATGATGGGCGCCGGACAGAAGGCGAGAGACCCGTCATGTTCTGGTGAGTTACTTGACAAACTGGAGTACACGTAGCCATGGCACATCTTATCGCAGTCAACTCGTATATCGGGAAGCTGCACGTTTGGAGAATCTCGACATCAAATAGGATCCGCAAATGGTGCTTGCTTGAACGCGTTAATGCTCCATGTCTCCAGGACTTTGCCCATGTGCCCGAAGTATGGTCGTCTTAACCTCGGACTTTGTTAGCCAACGAAATTGTGCATCGTAAATAAAACGGTGCTGTAGCGCGACGCGTGAGGCCCGACGTCATCGGAAGACGATATCTTCAAAGAATCAAAAAGGTAACCCGCATCTCCTTTTCCGCCACGTTGATCCGGTTCGCGGGGTAATGTGGGGATGAGGTATTGCAGTGCTGTCGCAAGGCCCCGGAGAGCAGCACCTCTCCCCGCAATTGCCAAGCTAGGAAGGTTTGCCGAGGACCAAACCTAATTCGGCAGTGAACGCATGATGCTGCCGACTGTTACCCAAACACAGCATCCCGAGGATTGAGCTGAGATACAATGAAATCTCAGCCTTTATCAGCCTAAGGAACCTCTCCCTTTGCATAGACACCAATCGACCTATCTCCTCTATTCCCGTGTTTTTACATTCCCGCGCTACGATTTACCTAGTTAGCGAACTGCCGACATGGGCGTAGGCGACACTTCTATCCCGTCCAGCGAGCGGCCTGAGCTCGGCTCAATCAACCTACCCCTTGGCGAGTACCCAGCAACATCTACGAGCGAGGCTGTTGATGCAGACAAGGTCGCTTCTGAAATAGTATCTCGGTTCAACGATGCGTTGTCAAGGAAAGATCATGCAGCAATTGCAGGCCTGTTCCTGAAAGACAAGAGCTATTGGCGAGATCATCTCGCATTGTCATGGGAACTGAGGACAACGAAGGGTGGCGACAAGATCAAGACCTACTTGGACTCGAGTAAAGTGTCATTGACGAAACTTGAGGTTGATAAGAGCTCCGTGTATCGTGCCCCGAAATTTGGGCCTATTGATGCTTGGGGCGATGTGAAAGGAATCTCCTTCTTCATCAAATTCGAGACAGCTATCGGCCGTGGTGAAGGTGTCGCGACCCTTGCCGAAGAAAATGGAGAGTGGAAGCTGTTCACACTATCCACAGTTTTGGAAGAGCTGAAGGGGTACGAAGAGCCAGTCAGACACCGCAGGACCAGGGGTGTCAAGCACGGGGGCGACCCCAATAGACAGAATTGGAAGGAGCGACGAGAAGCGGAGAAGGAGGAGGTCGATCCAAAAGTCTTCATCATTGGATCTGGGCAGGGTGGCCTAACAGTTGCTGCGCGTCTTAAGATGCTCAACATCCCTTCGCTCATAATCGACCAGAACGAGCGGGTTGGCGATAACTGGCGCAAACGATACCGACAGTTGGTTCTTCATGACCCAGTCTGGTATGATCATATGCCCTACATCCCCTTCCCAGCTCATTGGCCCGTATTTACACCAAAGGATAAGCTCGCCGAGTTCTTCGAGGCGTACGTCAACTTATTAGAGCTCAACGTGTGGACTTCAACGGATCTCAAGTCTACTTCGTGGGACGAGAGCAAGAAACAATGGACCGTGGTCGTCGAACGACGCAAGCCTGATGGTACTGTAGAGACTCGCACTTTGCATCCCAAGCACATCGTCCAAGCGACTGGCCACTCTGGCAAGAAGAACTTCCCTACCATCAAGGGTATGGAAGGCTTCAAAGGCGATAGACTATGCCATAGCTCGGAGCACCCTGGCGCTAACCCAGAGTCCAAAGGCAAGAAGGCAGTGGTTGTGGGTTGTTGCAACTCCGGACATGATATTGCGCAGGACTTCTATGAGAAAGGCTACGACATCACAATCGTGCAGCGCAGCACCACAACTGTCATATCTTCGGAAGCCATCTGCGAGATAGGTCTGAAAGGCCTGTACGACGAAGACGGACCGCCTGTCGAAGATGCAGATCTATTCCTGTGGAGTCTACCAAGCGAGTTGTTCAAAACACAGCAGATCAAACTTACGAAGCTCCAAGCCGAGCACGACAAGAAAACACTCGATGGACTCCGTGCAGCTGGCTTCAAAACAGATGATGGGCCTATGGGCTCGGGTCTAATTATGAAGTACTTCCAGCGTGGTGGTGGATACTATATCGACGTTGGGGCCTCGCAGCTCATCATCGATGGAAAGATCAAAGTCAAGCAGGGCCAAGAGATTGATCAGATCCTACCGAACGGTATTCAGTTCGCAGATGGTACGAAGTTGGATGCGGATGAGATTGTCTTTGCGACAGGATACCAGAACATGCGTTCCCAGGCCAGACTCATTTTCGGCGACGAGGTAGCGGACAGGGTGAGTGACGTGTGGGGTTTCAACGAAGAAGGCGAGTTTAGAACAATGTGGCAGAAGAGCGGTCAACCTGGGCTGTGGTTTATGGGCGGCAATCTTGCCATCTCGAGATACTACAGCAGGATTTTGGCGCTGCAGATCAAGGCTATCGAGGAAGGCCTCACTGGAGCGGGCAGTGACACGAAGGCGAAGGGTTAGATTCAATTAGTCAACGACGATGTCCTAGTGGCGGATATCTCGGGATATGCGATCTTCAGTGGTCGTTGAGACTCGGGGAGACGGCCGCGGAGGTTCTGCAGGTGTGGTCTGGATAGCTATCCGAATAGGACCCCTCAGTCACCAACTTGGTCTTAGCGCGGGGGAGCTACCTAGGTACTTTCCACCATCAAAATTGATAATAACATTCAAATTTCTTTACTGCTTAAACTTTCTCCATCAGCCACTTGGGAGGAACTCAATCTATCTTGGTGTTTCTGCCTGTCCCCTCATCCGTACCCCGTCGCTCGTTTCCTGCAATCATGCCGCAAACCATACTCATCGTTGGCGGCACTGAAGGCATTGGTTTCGAAGTCGCAAAGGCTATCCGCACGCAACCTGACGCTTTGAAAACAAACAGAGTAATCTTCGGACTCGTGGAACCGGTCAAGATTGAACGCTCCGCGACGTACTTCATAGGCGATGTTACAAACTCTGAAGTACGCGAGCGAGCGGTTCGTTACTGTATAGATAAATTCGGGGGCATTGATACACTGGTATACTCTGCAGGAGTCATCACGCCAATCGAAAGAATCGAGAATTTAGATATGGAGGCAGTGAAAAGGACGTTTGATGTAAACGTGTTTGGAGCTATGGCGATGGTATTTGCATTTCTTCTTCTTCTTCAAATGTCCAATACGAAAACATTACTAGTGCTATTTCAACCAAGACTCATACCAACCCAGGTTCAATTATGCTTGCCTTATCTTCGCGAATCACGCATCTCCAACCCTCTCAATGCAGCTCACGGCAAAATCATCATTCTCACCTCCGCCTGCGACTCCGCTGTAACATACCATGGATGGACACCATATTGCACTACCAAAGCCGCCTTGACACGCTTCATATCTTGCTTAGCGCACGAAGAACGCCTTATTTGCATCCAAGGCGTGTACCCCAAGCTCACTAGAACGAAGATGCCCAAGGATGTGATCGCGGGGAAGTACGAAGGTGTTATGGCGGACCATGAGATTGAGCGATTTAAGATCTGGGACGAGGTAGGAGACGAGATGGTGGAGCCGCCGGAGTGGTGTGGGGAGGCAGTTGCGAAACTGGCGTTGGGCTTGTTTGAGGGAGGGAAGAGTGGAGAGACGCTGTATTATGATGAGCATGTTCCGAAGAAGATCACGGGGACGTGAGAAGCGTTGAAAGAGAGCAATGAGATTCATTATCCCCGTAAGCTCGCTTTATCGTGTTTTCGCGCGATACTAACAAAGATTGCGAACCATATCTAACTTTTCCGCCGTCCCCAGGCCCTGAATTTTCCCACAAGCGCCGCCTCATCATCGCTATCGTCCGGATTTCTCTTCGGTAGATCCGCGCTCTTCATACTCTCATTGCCCTCCGTTACGCTCTCCAAACTCTTAGGTCGAACTAATGTCCTCTCGTCCACCAGAACGCCTTGTGCCTTCCCCCCCGTGATAGCCACTTCGGAGCCTCTACGCTCAAAGAAGGGGTTTGGTTCGTTGCTGATGACAACTTCTTTTGTTCGCTTGATCTGGTTGCCCGTTGGTGCGAAACTGACGATGCGATCACCTGCCACACCCTCTGCGTTGTAGGACACAATGCTTGCCAGCTCGTGGATGGAACCTCGCTTTGACTTCTGCGCGTGCGACGCCGACTTCTGACCTGAAGTAGACAGGTTGGAGGAGGACTTGAATTCTTCCGCAATCGAGGCCTTGCCTGTCTTGCGGGACGTGGAGACTGCGATGCGTTTGATGAGGTTGGCCATGGTCATTTCGATGTTGAGTTTTACGAGGTAGGCGAGAGGGTGGAATTGGATGTAGCTGACTGAGGTTAGTCCGGAAGATCTGGAGAACGCACGATATGTGTAATTACTTACACAAAGGAATTAGGTATCGACATGGCGGCAATAATCATGACGTCCATGAGGAGCGATACAACGACAATCTGTTGATTGAATCGAACTAGCTTGTTGTACTTGGTGAGACCGTTGTTGATGAGGTTCGCTTTCACTGTCTTCAAGAAGTACCAGTTCAGAAATGCATCCACGATGAGGTAGAGCGCTTTCTCAATGCGATCCCAGTACTCGTTGGCAACGATATAACTGTAAGCTTGTCAGCCTGGTTCAAACTAAATACACCTCGGCATCAAACGCCGCGTTAGACCTTCCATGGTCTTGACAGAGGAACACATTGCGCCATACGTATGAAAAAACAAGGAGGCTACAGAGGAATCAACAGACTTCCGAAGTTCACGTACGTTTTGTTGATTTGTAGCCGTGCCGGTATCCAAACGTTGAAAACGCTAATATTGATTGCAGTGACGAAGACCGCGGTCGATATCATTATCATCTTCGACCGCCGCCGGTCAGGCACGATGACTCGAATACGGTTGATGATGATCTGTAGCAAGAGCTGGACTTGAATACACCAACAGAGAACTACGCGGTGTAAGCTGTTGAATGTTGTTGACGATTTCCTACAGACGCTTACGAATACTCATGAAGAACGCGAAGCCTGTTTGTAATCAGTACACAATTGTTGAACGATGTTCTGACCTGAACTTACTTGGTCTAATGTACTTTAACAGATAGAGGAAGCATTCCAGCCCCATAATGAACGATATTCCGAGCTCCAGCCATATCATCCAGATGTACACGCTTCTCAGCGGTGACCGAGAACCTTTCGTCTGTCCCAAGATGAAATAGATCGCAATACCGACATTGACCAGCGTCAGAGCCCAAACGATAGAGGCGATGATAATGTGGGTTTCCGTGATGGGTTCGTTTACGTAGTTCGGAGAGATGAGCGGGCCCCAAGGCTTGTATGAGGGGTCGTGTCGAAATTCTTTCATGATTGCTAAGAATGAAGACTCGAAAGAAGCAGAAAGTATATCAGGCTAGATAGACCGGAGCCGTCCGATCAGAAGTAGTGCAACACGAGATGCTCAAAGCCTGCGGTCTCAGAGAAGATCTCCATGCTTTCTACGTCTGAGAATCCCCATGGCGGAAGCTAGGTGGAGGCTCAGGAGAAAAGGCGCTGACATGGAAGGTCCTTGAGTCAACATAAGGTTCGGTGCATTTGGGCGATCCCTCAACCGATTAGGGTCCACTGTTACCATTAGTTAGTTGTGAAGCAAGCAAGTGAGCGATTTCAATGTGGTAAATCAGGGGCGTGCTTCGTCAATCGGATCAATAGTTCCAAAGTTTGCGATATCCGATCCAATCAGGATGATGTGCTTGTCATGACCTGCGTACGGGACGGGAGCCATCCCAGTGGCTGGCTTTTGGGCTCGCTTCACCTGCAGTGTTGCGAATCCAATCCATCGGCGTGGGGAGGATCGAGAATCATTGAGATAGATCGATCCGATCAAAGTGGGTGCTCCTGCAACGTGCTTTTGATCCTATAACAATATGACTCAATAACTGGGAAAGAACAATTCGAGTTGTCGCCTGAGTAACAGTGGTTGGGCACAAACAACAGTGCCTCTTGCTTGCGCAGAGCCGATAATGTCCCGAAATGCGCTTATCCTATTCTCCGGCATCACGTTGGGGGCTGCCGCGTGTGCGGCACTGTTGTTCTAGACGCATATATCATGTATGGGGAGAACTCCGCGTGACATGATTCGTAGTTGAGAGGCGCTTCCTAGGTCATCAAAGGCCTGAACTCACGGACGGCCCGATAATGTCGTATATGCAGAATCTTATTGATGCTCTTCTGTAGCAGACTACGCCCCGGATTTTCGACCGCCTTCAGTCTCATTCGTTTCAAAGACAGCATTGATGGTTTCAGTGTGCATTTGATGCAGAGCCACTCAAACCATGCTGCTTGAAAGGCAGACTTTCTTCTTTTGATCTCCTCTTGCTCGTTTCTGGTTTATAGCTTTTCGCGACACAAACCCCTATCAACATCGCCGACATGGATTTGCCACGTGTGTCGTGCGTGCGTGCAGAGGCATCTAGGGAGAGATCAACGTATATTTACCTGTTTTTTTTTCAGCCTCCATGGCGGCACATCGGACCAAATTAGGCGTCCGGAGCGGAACCGGGTAGAGTCACGTCCACAAGGAAGTTCGTTGAACTTTAAATGAACGCTAGCGAATCAAGAGCGATCTGAAGCGGTAGACATGAGTTGTACATGAATCGTAGGAGAGCCAAAGCTCGCTGCTGTCTTCCAGCTAACAGGATTCCTTTCCCGCCTCTCTAGTTGAAGCGTATATGACGCACGCCAGGATTGTGGAGCTGCGATGATCGTCTGGGGGAGACGAACGATCCGACAAGCGGTCCACTCGGGCATCCCGTTATAACATGACAATCGAGTCGTGTACCTGCCCATACGGCGTGAGTGGCTTGAGCATTTCAAATATGTACCGACAACCGATTGTACAAGTTGCCGAGGAGGAGCATTCGAAGGTGGTTGATGCAAAGCAGGATGGATGGGCCAGAACGTGCAACTGACAGTAGTCAATTGTTGGGAGATGCGGAAAGAGCTTTCCGGATCGGCCGCTTCCAAGACTGGGGGTTCCTCGTCAATCGCGCACTAGCTCGTTAGAAGATGAACAGTGGGGCCTCCCCAGACCTAGGCTCTACTCATGGCCTAATGAGCCTGCTTGCAGCAAGTCTTGCGACACTAATTAGTAAATCAGATAGAATGGATATAATACTGGTCTCTATCAGCCTTGATCGGTGAAGCAGTCAGGTCTGAGCTGTGTGGCGAGTAGTACGTGCGAATTTGGCTGCCACGCCTTGCTAACAACTAGATTCGTCAGCGCGAGATTAACAATAACCTATCAGAAACTCATATTGGATGAAGGAAAGACATTAGGCCAACAGGACAGATGTGGCTACCTAGGTAGTGGTATCCGTTTATGGGTTTTCCAAACCCGCGTTAGTCTCGCTTGTGTCCAATGTCCAACAACATGCAGCATAGAATCAAATATGTAAGAGTAGCATTGCTTTTAGCATGGCACTTGTTAATACCGACTCATTTTGAGCTAATGTCTTGCTTGAACGGAGGTTCTAACTAATCCTCACATCGACGGCGGAAGCTGCAGGTGATACACCAAGATGTAGTCAGCGCTAATCCAAACTTAGAGACTGCGACACTCGGGCCACGTCAATCTATCTATTGTGTAGAAGACATGAAGAGTGATGGCTTCAAGACCTCGATCTTAACACGCTATCGATAGCTCTGATTGCCTCAAGCTTAATCCCGATATCACGTCGTAGCGCACATGTACGAGCCACTTGACGATTCGAGGCGACAAATTCGACTTCTCCACTTGCACCGTGGAGACGATGACGTCAAGCTAGCCTGCACCTTCAGCCTTGTGTCCCTGGATGACGACCCTCATTATGAAGCTGTCTCGTATGTTTGGGGGGATTTTAATAAATGTTGCAGTATCGACGTCGGTGCGGTGAACGAACCGGTACCGATCATGAGAAATCTACATTCAGTACTGCGCAACCTTCGTCTCCATGATCGCCAGCGCATACTATGGGTAGATGCTCTGTGTATCAACCAAAACGATTTGGTCGAGAGAGGAAAACAGGTTGCAATGATGGCGACTGTATTTAGTCGGGCATCGCGCGTACTGGCCTATCTTGGTGACCACTGGGACCGCTGCGAACTAGCGGTAGAAGCTATACGACAACTGAGAGAAGATGAAAGTATGCACTTGTTCAGCTATATGCAACCGGGCCTTAGCATCAACGGAGTGGGCTTGGAATCTTTAGAACTATTCAACACCGTCATCGCCTTCCTGAACTCGGACTGGATGACTCGCATTTGGACGGTACAAGAATTTGTGGTTGCGAAGGAGGTCGTTTTCCTTTATGGCAAAGGAGCCATATCGGGCGAAACAGTGCTTGGTATGTGCAAGAATACTTATTGGCACGTATGGAACTGTTGCCACTTTGAAACACGCCCGCCTACCTGGCCCGTGGCTTCTGAGGAATCGCTATTGAGGTGGAATCAATTAATAACAAGATGGGACACTCTCAGAAAGAAACGGCAAGATAGTCAGAGGCGTTCTCTCCTGGATCTCGATTTATTTCGGAACCGGTTCGCTAGCGATCCACGCGATAAAGTCCATAGCTTGCTGGGGTTAGCCGACCCGAGCTGGGCCGAATTGATACGTCCAGATTATTCAATCGAACCCGAAGAGACATTTAAGCGAATCGCCATGGCGGAGTTCCAGTTTACCGGTCGGCTGAACTTCCTAAGCTTCTGTTATGTGCGTTCGCGCTTGAACATACCCTCTTGGGTTCCTGACTGGTCCGTTGCTTGTGATCCTTGGGGTTTCAATCAGAAAAGACTGGTATTAGCCATGCAGTCTAATGCTTGTGGTGAACAATCAGCGCAGGCTGAGTTCGAGTCGAGAAATGCTCTTATTGCTGCTGGCGTTTTGATTAGTACTATCTCGCGTTGCAGTTCCACAGTCAGCGAGGACGTGCTACCGAACGAGGTACGTGATATGATGCAAGATATGCACCAGAATTTGGGAATCAAAGTACATGGTACAGACGATTACGGGACAACGGGCCAGTCCATACTCGAAGCCTACCGTCTCGCACTGGTTGGGGGCTGGGCATTCGATCCAGCATCTGAGCTCTATCGACGTATTTATGAGATTACAGATGTCAATCTATTCCAGAAATGGGAGGCCTCTAATCGTTTCGACACAGCCTCTCAGCAACAACGCCACCAGGAGACGAAAGCATACTCCAAAATTAAAAGACTTCTTAAACAGCTCAAAACTTCGAAGCTGGCTAGCCTCGTGTCCAGTCTGCACCCACGGACATCTTTAGACGTTCAAAACGCGCAGTCCCAAGGCCAGGACGATTCGGAACCCTACAAGATTGGAGCGATATCACGGATGTTCGAAATCACGGCTTCCAGTCGTCGCTTTGTTACGTTGGCAAACAAATACTTTGGCTTCGCGACAGCCACTTGTCAGCCAGGGGATTTAGTTGTCGTCTTGGGTGGCGGCCCGACGCCGTATATTCTGCGACGGGTGCCTGGAGGCACGGAGTACACGTATATTGGCGACGCGTACATTCACGGTATGATGGACGGCGAAGCGTTCAAGGGGAACAGGCAGTTGGAGACGTTCACCATCGTGTAGCGCTGTGTGAGGACTGCTTCAACGTTGTGCAGGGCGCCATAGACCACAAGAATTTCGCAAAGGGTGCGTCAGCTACTGGCGTGGCTTGGAATGGGATTCCGGGATGGAGGTGAAGCACGTGCCTCGGGTGCTTTGCCCCTCTTGGCACAGCGTCGTCATAATAGGTACCAAGCCACCACTTATGCGCAGCCACCTCGAATCCAAAGCTTAGGTTTCAAGTATTGCGACTGTTGCCTCTTTACTCTACACAAACCACCATAAACCCACACGGCATTTACATATCCTCCCATATTCACCATGTCTGAGAAGGTCAGCGTAGAAAAGGTAAGCTACCCCTCCCTCATAGCCCACCTCGAAGCTCACCACATTGACCGCGACAGCCTCCAGAGAGCCCGACAACGGCACGCGAGCTCGACTTCGACGATGACAACGACGCCCCTCCTTCCTCTGCCCACGAAACGGGCACATCGTCGCCGCCACCACCGCCCTCGAAATCACCCAAGGCTGGCGTGCGCTTTACAGAAGCAGCCACAGAGATTCCCCCACAAAAGCCCCCGCGACCAGTTGACGCACAACTCGAGGCGCAGAACACACTGGTCGAAGCCTTCCCCGGTGTCGACTCCAATGTCATCAAGGCTGTCTTGGTTGCCAGCGGCGGCAAGGTCGAGCCTGCCTTTAACGCGCTGTTGAGTATGTGAAGACCTCGTGACCCATGGATGAGCTGTTGCTAACGGGCACAGGCATGTCGGACCCCAACTTCAAGGCCGAGGAGGCACCCCCACCAAAACCACCGCGCCCACAGCCCCGCAGCCAGCTCGAGCAGGACGAAATATATGCGCGACAGCTGGCAGAGCACTACCAAACTCAGGGCGGCCAGGGCGGTTATGGGTCGCGCACACAGGGCGAAGGTCCCCGGCGACAGCAGACTGGTCTGAGGCCTAACGAGCCAGAGCGGGAGCACAGCTTTTTCGACGGTACTGCTGCACACAAGATATATATGCAATAACACTAATCCAATATAGACGACCTCCCGGAGATCCGCAAGAACATCGAGCAGGGCTTCAAAGACACGCAGAAGACAGTCAATAAGTGGATCACCAACTTCACCAAGAAGCTCGACGGCGAGCCCGATGAATACGATAGATATGGCAATCCAGCTGCACCCCACGGGCGAGACAGCTCACAAGGGCCGCCACAGCGACAGAACTTTGGTCCTTCCCAGTCAGAACAGCTCTACGGCATCCGCAAGTCGGCCGAGCAGCGCCGATCAGCAGACCACAACCGCTACGACGCAGACAATAGGGTGCTTGGAGATGACTTTGCACAGTTGGAATTGAAGGACAATGACGGTAAAGTCTATCGAAAGTAAACTCTGTCCCGAAGACATACTAATTTATCTCGGGACCAGGCCAACCACGGTCAAATCGTCCGACCGCGAACCCCAATCTCTTCAAGCCAACACCCGCTGCGCCTCCCCAAAGTGGCCCTGTTGACGAAGTCGACGCGCTATACCGAAACCCCTCGCCCAGCAACCAGAACACCCAGGGAAAGTCGGGAGGCAAGAAGTGGCAGCCTTTGACCTCTATTGCACCCCACCCCGAAGTCGAGGACCACGATCCTTTTAGCCTTGGGGACAGCGATGACGAGGACCACCACAAAGCAAAGGACACCAATCCTGAGGATACCGAGAGGTTAAAGAAGGCTGCTCAGGGCAAGGAGGCTCCTAAATCTGGTGAACTAAAACCTGCTGAGCGGAGTGGAAGCCTAGGCCAGAAGGATGCTGCGGCAGAAGCGCTGTTGAAGGAGGCCAAATAGGCCTATGAACAGGCAAGAGCTGACGGAGTAGGTGGACGATGACTTCGAACGAATGACTTGGTGATGCAGTTAGCATCATGCTGCATGATAGGACAGAATATCGATTCCCAGTTGCTTCCTTGTCAAAATCCTCACAACTGCACTCAGCCTCACCTTCTGATTCTATTGGTTCCAAGCTTTTGTCAGTGAAGGCTGTGCTGTTGGCGAACGTGCTAACAAGGCTTTCCCTAGCCTTGTTGCATCACATGTATCATGCTGCGATCAAGCTTAGTAGCACTCCAAGGTTGCCCGTACCCACTTCAAAACTACTGCCGTCAAGCTCAGATGTGCGTTTGTCGGCGGTGGCGGCATCGTGAACGTCGGAGAAGGTCTGAGTATGCGTTCCGCGGCGCGAATGTGGGATGATGCATCAAGGCTGCGTTGATCGCTTTCAATAGGAAAAGGCTGACACGAGGCAGACAGCGCTCAGCAACTTATAGGCGACTCGTAATTGGTTCCGGCTGCTGCAACAGGCTGGACCGCTGCTGGACCGACCTTCATTGGTCTCTCATAGGCGACAGTCTTCTAAAAAACTGACATGTGGCTAGCTACCTTGCCACTGCTCGGGCTGAGCAAGTCAGACCTTGGCGAGCTCTCAGCTTTTCAGCCTGGTCCGATGAACGTTATATTTTCGCTATTTCCCATCTCCTTGATGCAAAGACATCTCTTGCCCCAGCACCCCGTGGATCCTAGCCATCGGTTAAACCCCATAGTACGCTTGATTATGAAGTGTTGTTCTATAGTTCTTTTGCGTGTCAGCACGATTTGGTTCCCTCAATCGACAGCTGGGTATTGAACGATGTCGAACGCGGGTATGAAAGACGAGGTCCTAGATGATGATGCAGCGTCCGTTAGAACTATACTAAGCGATGCACCACCCGTCCTTCATACGCCTCCGGAAAGAGAGAACCTGATTTCGGCATTCTCAAACGACATTGGAAAGGATATTGGACTTGGTCAGTTGTCAGAAAGCGGTCGTGCTCGTGTCATGGCTCGATTCCCGGATCTTTTGAAAGATTTCAGTCTTCGGCTGGAAAGCTTCGTTTGGTCGGACAAACAACAAAATGCGAGAGATTTTATCCGGCAACAACGCGAGTACGTAATCTTCCCTCAAACGCTGATCATGTTCCGGGGGCTTAAAACCACAGTCGTATCACAAGCCACCTTCGTAGGGTCCATAGTACTGCGGAAGCATCACAGGATCCCGATCTAAGCACGCTACCACAGCATTGGATGTCTGTTGATGAGAAACTAGCATACTGGACAGACGCTGAAAATCGGAAAACCCCCGGCCCAAAGCTTGATCAAGACAGAGTTCTGGAACGAGTTGCAGATGAGGTAGTGATCCTTCCGAGTTATCAGGAAGTCCGACGGTTCTTGCTGGGTGGTTCAACTTATAAATGGTTTATCGAACGCGCCCAGCTGGCCGCAACTTTGACGGACAGAAAAGGCACTGCTATAGAAACGATCGCACACAGTATGTGGGCAGGACTTGAATCAGATTTGAAGACGAGACCTCGATCAAATCCTCTATACCACATAACTTTCGAGCTAGACTGGGACCTTCCCGGCTTTTTACAGAGCCAAAAGTACGACACCGCTGCCCAGACCGCCATGGAGAGCGTCATAACGATTACAGGAACAGGCGATATCGCACAGGCGTTAACGTGTGGTGACTACATGGACCAAGTTTGGCCATTGAGTGGGCGCAATGTTGTTCGCGTCCTGCAAATGGCCGCCGCTTCGCCGATGGAGCCTTTTCGGCCGTACGCAAGTGAGTTACCATAATATCCCTCCTACCACAAAGTCACTAATTACTTCAGTCTTGAAACCCCATTTTCATGGCGTAATCAGCAAAGTTTCTTTTGTAGGGTCTCAGACGCAAGTTCTAGCACTTGTAGATCAAGCCTCTGGAACAGAGCTGTGCGAGCAGTTGTCTTGGCTTGGATCTGCTTTCATCTCGTCCCCGATGCTAACCGGAGTTGTCCACACCTCGCCTTATATCGATCATGCAAAAGTTGGGCATATATTGCGCGTTAGGATCAAGTTCAAAGACACTCTCCCCCACGAGAACAGGTATCCTCAAGAGTCTATCAGTTCCTGCTGGCACGCAATGTTTTGCAATCCTACCGTCGTCGAAGGGTTTCCAGTACTGGCTCGAGATGACAATGAACAAGGACTTCAACTCCCCTTCAGCATGTTACACACTTTGGCCGAAGTGCAATATCTCACATGTTACAATGGAACGATGATACTCAAAGGGCTTTGCACTTTACTTGTGCCGACGCGCAAATCGGATCGCTCTGTCACATGGCATTTCCTTCACAATGACGACGGTAAACGGTTGCCGTATTTCGCGTTCCGTGATCGCTGTAGTAGCTTTCTAGGCACAGACAATGTCAATGCGCAAACCCTGGATGTGACAGATACCCGCCATTATGTAGGATGGGCATCCGCCATAACTAGCCATCTAGTTATGTTCTTCCTCTAATTTGCGCATTTTTGTACGCGAATACTGATATTATGAGCAGGCACCGAGAATTCAAATTACGAGAGGATTCAGTGGGCTGGGGTGAAGAAATGTACTGCTGGCTTTGCGATTGAACAAAAAGTGACAATTTCAGTAAGTAAATACATCGGTGCAAGTGGTTCTGTCATTCGAGGCAATCGAGATAGGCCTGAGTATGTGAAACATTCTACATACTCAATGCAGATTGAGAGTGCACGGAATATTCCTGTTGTAAGTAGAAGCCCTAGATTCTTTTATGGATTATAGGCAAATAACATGCCCTTATTTAGCTCATCTACGATACTGCAACCCAGCAGGCATGGTTGGTCGACGGAGCAAGTGCGCTCCTACATGTTGCTCGAACACAGGTCGCCCAGAAACCTTACGGAGGAGAGCGCTCTCTCTTCAATAATCTAAATTTCAACTCGTCTGAATTTAGCCATCCGAGGGCAGAAGGTGGTCCAGATGCGGCTCTAGATGCTTTGAGAAATGACCTCAACATGAAGCACAAGATTCTTCGAGAGTTTGACTCCTATGCTGAGGAAAAGACAGCCGTGGGGTCTCTCACAGTTGCCGCCAACGGTGCCAACATACCGGCCGCAGGCGATTCAAAAGGCTCGAGTGAAGGGAACGAAGAAATTTATAAAACGACTTGCTTTAGGGAGCTGACCTCTCAAATATGGAGCACATTGGAACAGATATATGATCGTCAGATGGAAGAAACAACTACCCACGGCTCCAAAAATCTACAAAATCCGTTCAGAAACATGCTTGAGGGTTATGAATTCATGGGAATTGTATCGTCTAGACACACTCTGACTCGACGGGCTATCAATCTGCAAGCAAATGGGGTAGCGTGGCTGCATATGATTAACCGTATCCACTCGATTACCCTGTTCGGCAAATATTTCGGCGAATTGTATCGGCCAACGGATCTCGTGAAGAAGAATATTTGCAAGCAATGGATGAGTGTCCCACCCGGGCTCGAGTATTTAGCCGTGTCGATGTCGCTCCTGAAAGCCATTAAGCAGAACAGCGTACAGGAAGGGGAAGTCGATAAAACTTCGAACGAGATAACCGAGGGTATTTCCTGGTCCCCGTCGAAAGATATGTTCAAAATTTGTGAACATAACTGCAATCATATCTTTTCAGGTCGCGTACAGAAGCTTTACAGGAAAGGGAAGCAGCGCGATTCAGGATCGTCATTTGAAACATGTCCGCAAGACGGCGCGGCCTTGTTCGGCGAGAACAGCCTGCTAAACGGCCATAGGATGCAGCCGTTAGCACCTGTACAACTGCAACCGGATAGCAACGTCCACGACAGTGGTTTGGGAACGAGCATCGAGACATCTTCAAAGACAATCCCGTCAACTTATAGTGGAGGGGAGTCGGACTTAAACACACAGGAAATGCAACTGTCGGACGAAACCCCAGGCACAGCATCATCAATGTCATCTCCACTAAGCTTGAGTGATAGTGTCATTCAGGTTGCCGAGATTACAGTACCGATAAGCGCTGGGGAGACTTCTCGGATTGCTACCACTGATCTTCAGCCACCATTGCTAGACGCAAAAGCCAAAGCCGTGGGTAGAGTTGCAATCCCTGCTGCAAAAACGAAAACAAAAGCCCCTACCGCGAAGAGAAGTCTCTCCAGGATGTGGCGGAAAATCGTCAAGAAAGTGCGTCAGCACTAAGAGACCATCTAGGAAGATGCTAACAAAGATTGTGATGCTCCAGGGCAGGGGAACAATAGTTTTATACGTATCGCAAATACAATTATTGGACATACTCCTACTTTTCACTTTCTCGCGTCTAAATTCGCCTAACAAGATTTTGCACTCTTTGTATAACTGCAAAAACTAGACACCTAGATGCCTGAAGATGCCTATCCTCGTTTTATCCCCTTCACCCTATTTGACTAAACCAACTCGTTAGTTCTATATCATTCAACGTAAGTTCCATTTCTCATTTCACTATGGATGCTACGGTGAATGCGCTGTTCAAAGACGCCAAATAAAGTGTTCGTTTAGGCAATATTAAATGGTTGTGGTGATATATGGCCTTGGGACGGACAGCTTTATGAGGACGTCTAGTTCCGTATTGAGCGCATACTGCAGGTTAGGACGAAAATCAACTCTAGATTTGACAACTTACTGTCCGCAAGCGCCATTGAGGAATTCACTTGAAATCTTCCTCGATACTTCAGCCTCGTCTACATTCACCCAGATAAGGACTAGCGCCCCGCCCCGCCTCGGATCACGAAGCACCGCCGTGCCTCATCTCCAGCTATTGGCCGAGGAGAAAGTCACGTCATATGATTTCTTTTGTGTTGCCTGAATAACCAATTCGCGGACATTGCTCCCATCAGCAATCGTTTGCAGCGCCCTCTACTTAGCCCAGGTCATTCTAGGTCAAGACTCTAATCAGTTCGAAAGCCCTACACTTCGACCTTGATTATTCTCAGTCTACAAACCTTGTTCAGGCTTCCAGCAATGGAGAGGTTTCCACTGTCTCGGTGCTCCATTGAAGGCACAACGTTCCCTGACCCAATGTGAGCATACTCTACTCCAACGGTACAGTACCAGCCAATGCCTTGCTGACTTCGATGAGGTTGTTCGCCCTCACCAAGAACGCCCACACGCGTTTACCCCGCGAAGTACGCGATATGATATACGGATACTTACTCACACCACACGAGATCTTCATGATTAGCCGATGCAGCCAATTGCGCCTCGACAGATTCCCTTACACTCACGGTTCGGAACCAGCTGACTGCAAGAAGAAGTTAGAAGACGTTGGGAGGACAAGTAGACCACACATCATTGATCCCCAAATCACGTATGCCCCGTTCGCAGCAGAGGTAATCGAACTGTTTTACGAGCTCTACCGCGACTTCTGGGTGGACACAACCTCTCAGATCCCGGCGTTCCTATCCACAGATTTCTTCGCCCTGAACCGTACACCCCGGCACGCGCGACTATCCTCACTGCGCATCAGTGGCCTCCTAGACACACATCAGCCAACCTCCATCAACCTCTCCACTCTAGCATCGGATTTGAATGCGCTTCTAAATTGCTCTTGGACACCGAACTTCGACCTAGACATCGGTTTTCGCGCTGAGTTTGGCGTTTCGTATTACGATCCCGAGGCTATTCCTGTCTTGGCGCAGAGAGTGCATGATACTTGGCAGATCTTGAGGCCGTGGATTGAAGAAGCCGAGAAGCGTGGGGCGCGGGTGTATTGCGCGTTGCTCACTAGAACGAGGATGTACATGTACATGCCCGGTGAGAATAATATGTTTGATACAAAAGAGCAGTGGGGGCAGGAGATGGATAACTTGGGGAGGACTTGTAGGCGGCTTATGATGGACTGCCGACGTAGAGCGGGATTAGTAGTGGAAGAACAAGGTTTCTTGGACGTGGTTAAGTCTACGTGTATTAGTTGTCTTTGGGGTTGCCTTGGCATTCTGTGCTGTTGTAGATGTTGTGGATTCTGTAGTGGGGGTCGGGGTGGGCATTTATGTTAAGTTGTTGGCGGTAGTGTTCTCGGTGCCAGAACTGTTCTGAGTATGGGGCGTTCATGCCTAGCATCTATTTCTCTCGAATGCTCTATATTGTGATATTATAATCATAGACATCATGTAAGTGACAAACTGTTTTATAAAACCAAATAAAAGCATGCACGTATTTGATTCGCTAGATATCTCCTCTCATCACTTCTCGCCATTGTGGTTACTGATTCTATCAATCATTCTGTGGTCAGCTTCTCATCCTCACAGAGACCTCACTATCTCGTGACTCTCCTTTATCTCTGTCATTCTCCTCAACCAGGTCGCCTCATCATTATCTATATCGTCCAACGTAAGTTTGATAACTCCCTTCACCACCCTGCAAAGTGACTCATAGTACCTCCCGACTTCGAGGCGCAGCAACACCTTCCTATTTCTCACAGACTCGAAGTCTTGAACGAAGTCCTTCACCGTCTGGAGGGTATTCGACACACTGTCTGCAAACGCAATGTTGTTGCGCCGCACCGGGCACTGGTCCTGCACACGGCAAACGCATCCGAAGAAGTCGACCTGGTACTTTGAACAAAAGCGAAACGTCAACACGAAGTCCGGTGCGAGAACAGGGAGAAGTGTCACTAGCTTTGGTAGATGAGCTTTGAGCTCTACCCTGCTTATATGATGTGCATCTGCTCGGTCCAGATTCACACATACGGTAAGACTGGAGATCGCATGATCACAGAGACGCATGTTCAACCCGAAGAATTCATGCTTGAGTATGGATTCGATATGCTGCGCGCTCTTCATCTCGAAGCCATTGTAGTGCCGAAAGAACGATTCAGCTATCTCCTCGGTTACCTCCTGGCCTAGGTGTCGCGGGTCTAGGAACCAAGGTCGCCTCCGCTCGTTGATGTTTTCATGAGGGTCGGGAAAACTGTCAGGCGCTTGTTTCAGACTTTTGCGGATGTTGCTAATCGTTTCTTCGTCCCATAGGTAGCCGTAGATCGAATCTCGAAGTTCGCGGGGAAGAATGAGGAGGGTAGTCGTGGAGGAAGAGTGCCTGAAACGCGATTAGTTGAAATAGAACAGGACAAATATCGGGTAAGTCGTAGTGTGGTGTCAAATCATATGTAGTGCAATCTTGGTACACTGTAACGTTCGGCTCTCACTTAGAAGCAAAAGATTTACTAGAACACATTGTGTCGATCAGGTATCGCTGCTTTTTCTCTCTCCATATTTTGCATATTTGGGATTGTCGACAAGGAAAGAGCGTGCTGTCCACATACCTGCGGTCATCGGTACTGTTCCCTCGTGTAGCAGCTAAATGGTCTCTCATGGTTTCGATATTCGTGTTTGAGTCAAAGTTGAATACCCAAGTCAGAAGCTGAGGTGTTCAGATTGCACGAGCTTGGTGTTTGTGTTGTGCATATGTAACGTTGGAAGCGAAGTGTCAAGCTGGCGCCTACCGTGATTCACTTACCATGCATGGTGACGTAACATTGAACACAAAACAAGCATGTGCAATCGTATGAGACGACCCTGTTCCAGTATTGCGAGAATTTTACGCGGCTCCATCGTCTCAAAATTCACGGGCCAGTGCATATGATTGGGATTGTTTGGATAGCAGGTAGTTGCTTTTTCTAGAGCTTACGAAATTCGTGTCCCGCTGTCTCAAATTCCCTGCTTCGTACTCCAACTAAGATCCTTGGGACTTTAGGACCTATGCCGGGCTCCGTGATTCCAGATTGCCTTGGTAGGTCAAGGTCAACCCATTGATCTTACTGGACAAGGAATCACAGGAGGCTGTAGCAAGGTAAACATATACGAAATAAGCAGAAGAAAAGGTAAGACAAAAACGCTAACTTACCATGCAGCCCATCTCATTCAATGTAATATTCTGCATTTCAGTGATTAGTGTCTCTAAAGGAATTTGTTGGCTCCTATGGACGCAAGAAGCGGGGAAACTAGCAAATCTCGGGTAGGTGCCGTCGTACAAAACGTCGTGTCCCGCAGGGCAACTTCATTGGGATTTTTCCAACATGTTTCTTTTACCAAGATAACAAACAGCCGCGTTCCACTATAATTTGTGCTCTCGTGGCATCGGTCACTATCACAACTGTGTCGCAACACCGCGGTTACGATTTGCAGAGAGCTCTCCGGGCTTCACAACTCTTTTATCCTCTCACGATCACACTGGCCATGGCTGTAGACGCAAACACTGCACGCTCGACCCTCGAGCTTGCTGACCTCGTCCAGGCCCGTCTTTCACGTGAGCTTCGAGACAATGTCTACGGCTACCTCTGGGATGCAGAATTCCTCGATCAGTTCAACTATACGGCCCTGTTGATGACTTCAAGACCATGCCCTTATACGACTTCCGGCAATGCTATTTGCTTGTGCAACAATCTTCATGACTCAATACTTCGATTCGCTCGCGCAGCCCATGTCGGAGCTCAGTTCGCGTGTGAGGCTGTCGCCTGGTTCTATGACAACTACGACGGCTTCGCGGTTCATTTCGACTATATTGGAACGCTCTTTCAGGAAGACGTTTTCCATGTTGGACTCACATCATTGTGGACTCGCATCCGCGGCTTGGAGCTCACGTTGATCATCACACGTCAGAGCACGATCGAAAAAAATATCTGGACGATACTTCTACGAACCCTCATACCACTGTTTGGTATGCCGTTTCGCGACAATTTCCGACTCGATCTCGCCGTCGTAGCCTTATCCAGCGGGAACAAGTACCCTCTGGAAATAGCCAGTTTCATCCATTCTTCCGAGCCACTTCTTGCTATATTTAAGGATATCGAGAACACCTCGGCTTCACTCCACTACACGAACCAGGGCCGTAGACGGGTTGATGTCGAGCACATACTTGGACCACTTGCAGCCAACAAGTGGCAGCTCTTCATATCGAATCAGGAGGTTACTACGAGGGATCATTGTTGTCGTCTGCAATTGAAATGCCGGTTGTCCTTCTACACGGAGTATGCATTGTGGAAAGTTGAAACGGCTTACATGACTTTGATCGAGGTTCGGGATCAGTTGATGCGAGGGCAGGCAGGTCGGGATGATAGCAGACTCGCTCGACAGATCACGGGGCACGAGATGGGTGAGGCCTTCAGGCAGTTGGGGATGCAGCTGATCTCCCGAGACGATACTCAATTCTAGATAGGGACTCGCATATCTGTTCTTCCACGGAAACTGCACTTCTTCAGTCTCTCTTCGGTTATCAGGAAGCTTTCCGGGAACCAATCTGGCTTCTCATGAAAAGAACCTTGGTCAATCATACCAGCCAGTGCCTCCGCCGACTTCAGACACAGCACCATGCCATGCCCGTTGAACCCAGCAGAGATCCACATGCCCTTTTTATACGGTACTTCACCAACAAATGGCCGTCCATCTGCCGTCGCGCCCATGATACCCGTCCATTCTTGTACGACCCGTCCTGATATCTCCTCGTCAGAAGTCTCGCCCCAGTTATCAGCACCAAAGTATCCCGTCAAGCTCTCGTGAAGATATTTGGAAATCTGGGAATTCAAGGAGCTGTCATTGACTGTGCCATATTCGCTTGCGCCCGCGTGTGGAAGACGACATAATCCGCCGCCTATAATAATGTGTTGTTCTCCGTTGGGAAGCGAACGCGGAATCATGTATTCGTAGCCGTCGCGATAAATGAACGAGTATGTGGTCGGGAGAGGACTCGTGAGCTTCGAGGCTTTTCCTGGTTGCTGTGCCGTAATCTGGCCGCGCATCGGGACTATGGCGCCTTGTAGGTCTTTCATAAGATATGGCGTATAGCCGTTGGTTGCAAGAATAACACTTCGTGCGGTGATGGTGTTGTATTGCGTGAAGACATCCCACATGGGTCGCTCGTCATCGGTGCCTTTTGGCGATGTGCGTATATTGTGGACAGGCGTACTTGTGCACAGTTGTAGTCCATTCTCGACACATCCTTTCAGCACGCCTGTGGTGAAGCGATACGCGTGTATACGGCCCGCCAAGTACTTGAACACGCCTGCTAGGTCTTCTTTTTCCGCCACTTCTGCGTTTCCATTCTTCGAGGCAATAAAGAACCTCCTTTCTAGGTCTTCATTCTTTTCGTATACCTGATACCATGCCATCTTCCCCTTATCTCTCTCTTCTTCTGTTGCGTCTGCTCGTAATGCTTGAATAGCAGCCTTTCCTAGGTCGAAGGTTGTATGATCGTAGATTACGTCAACTGTATTACAGAGCATGCTCTCACAGTTGATTCCCATCTCTTCGGCGAGTCGATGCGTCTCGGTGATGTTGGCGTACTCAAGACGCGCAATCTTCAACGCTTCCTCTTTCCCCAGTTCTTGCACGTGCTGCATGTAGCTACGATAGCTTGCAGCCTTCGTGTGTCCGCCATTGCGACCCGTAGCTCCGCTGCAGATCTCGCGAGCTTCGAGCATGACGATGCGCGCGTGAGGTTGAGATTTGAGAAGGAAATGCGCGATCATAGTTCCTGAGATACCTGAACCGATGATCGCAAAATCGTATGGTTCCGTCGATGTGTCAGTTTCAGGTTCGATAACATTCGCAAAAGGTGATTTAGGGTTGTGCCAGTACGAAGGAAGAGGGTCAGTAACGGGAGGTCCAACGGGAATGCCCGCACGTTCTTCCATGTTGATGAGCGTTGCACGCTACGGGTCCTACACAGTAAGTACAACGGCGGATGCAGTGTGGATGTCTTAAAGGGTAGGAAAGGTTTTGAAGAAATCCAGCAACATGTAAGATCTAGAAAGGCAGTTTCGGTGATGGTAATCTGCGCGGTTAGACATGGAGGTGGTGTTTAAGTGGGGGTGTGAGAGGGTGGATTGGATGTACCTGCTTCTTCGGGTTAGCAACTGCGTGCAACCTTCCAAGCTTGTTCAGAACATTGACTTGCTAAACAACTTTGCTCATACAAAGAGACGGGATGAAGGGACTATATCGAGAAAACGACATGCATATACACGCGAATGTGGTAAGTAAAAGTGTCTCCTCCTGTGTCATTGGGTAGCATACTAATCGATCCTGAAAAGCGCCCGGGTTCTCCACGTTTTTTACGAAGCTTAAGATAGCCAGAAAGCAAATGAATATCGATCGCAACCTATCGTCAAGTGTAGCTATGTTAATAGAATAACTTGAAAAGATATACTTTACCGTGTTTGCGAATTGAGGAGTGTTATGCAGTGGCGAGGATAGCCGTGGTCGGCCCATGGAACCAGCAATCATGTACTGAGAACGTCTCGTTCGTTTATTCTCTTCCTGCCCCTTTTAAATCATCGCTAACCTAAATCATTATATATTCACCATGACGGCGTCTAGCCAAATCACTGCCATCGTGGGGTACCCTTCAAAATAGCCCGGGTCGGGTGACGCGTTCAAGTTCGATATGGAATACTACCTTACAACCCATATGTCCATGATGAGAGAGAGCTTGGGGTCCTTATGGCATGTAATCCGGGTTGATTATCGAATGTCCTGATACCTGCCCAATATCAGGCAAACCCCCACCGTATCTCGTCTAGATGATGCGTTACTTGGGAACTGTGGAAGAATTGAAGTCAGCAGTATAGAATGGATCGGCTGAGACGGCGCCAGAGGCTGTAAAGCTTTCGAATGTGGTTCCCGTTATTTGGGTTGGGGAGGGAAGAGCAATGTGTTGAGCGGTAGGGAAACAGAGGGCGTCACGCAGGCTTAAATAGCTGGGTGAGAACCGAGCAGATGATTGCAGAGCTAAATAATATGAGTATGTCGGAAGCATCAAAAATGATACTTTGTGAGATGCAAGTGTTCAACGCAACGGTATGTGGGTCCTTCCTCGAAGAGCGCCTATTGGCGGATAGCTCGGGACAATGGTGTCCGATTATCGCGCATCAAAACCTCTCCCCGACAGTGAATTGATGACATTGATATTTTCATAACTTCAATGCAAAGACTCTCGCAATTATCATCCCATCTTGTTGAGAGTCCAGGGAGTGGAGCCACTGGGTCGAGGTACAGCTCTACCCCGCTTCAGGCCGATCGCGGCCACCCTGCAAACACAAACACCACAATGGCGAGGTCAAAGGTTATTGTAACGCGTCAATTGTTTGATGAAGCGCAAAGACTTCTTGATGCAAAGAAGGACGAGCTAGAGGTTGTGCAATGGCCGTCCGAAAAGGTGCGTCGTAACCCGCCTCGATGGACAGTCGGGTAACTAACGCGGCACCTGCAGCCCTGCGACCGATCATGGCTCCTCGAACACGCAAAAGGAGCAACAGGAATCCTTGTGATGCTCTCGGACAAAGTCGATGAAGAGCTTTTGGACGCAGCTGGATCCCAACTCAAAGTTATCGCCTCATTCTCTGTCGGCACCGACCATGTGGACCGGGGCGCACTCAAGTCACGCAACATCCGACTCGGCTATACGCCTACATGTCTCACAGACGCAGTCGCCGATCTCACTATTATGCTCATCTTGATGGCGCAACGGAGAGGAGGAGAGTCGATATCGATGGTTCGCAACGGCGAGTGGCCACAGAAGCCTTGGCATCCTCTACTTATGACCGGACCACAGATTCGCGGGTCAACAGTGGGGTTCTTAGGGTTCGGAAGGATCGCGCAAGCTACACTGAAAAGACTGCTGCCATTTGGAATCAAAAAGGCGCTCTATCTTACTTCGACGCCTGGAAAGCCGGTAAAGGAGGATCATTTTGGACTAGTCCAGGAGGCTGCGATTCCTATCGAGTCAGCAACTGGAGCAGATCAACTTGCGAAAGAGAGTGACGTCGTCATCGTGGGATGCGCGCTCACACCTAGCACAAAGCATCTCGTGAGCACCGATTTCTTCAACAAGATGAAGAAACTCGCTGTGGTTGTGAATATCGCACGAGGGCCCGTCATCGATACCGATGCGCTGGTCAGAGCACTAGACGAGGAGCAGATCTTTGGTGCCGGGCTAGATGTGATTGAGAATGAACCAAACATTCAAGCGGATCACCCGATACTGAAGCAACCACGATGTGTTCTGGTACCGCATATCGGGTCAGCGACTATCGAGACGAGAGAGCAGATGGCGACAGAATCAGTGAAGAACGTGTTTGCCGGTCTGACAGGAGCGGCAATGGTGAACGAAGCCGAACTATAGATTATAGAAACGTCGACACATTAGCCCAAAACAATTACCTAGGTACCCTGGCCAAAAACTCGGTTATTCAACTACGAACACAGCACCCAAGTCCAATGACCTCTCTCCTCTCTTTGCGACTGTCTGACCTTCATTGACCAACCCATGGCTATCCAAGAAATCCTTTGAGGGGGAGGGTACCAATCTTAGTGGTGCTTGTATTGCTCAATGTAATCATGTCAACCGTATCTTTGTATGATATGCAAAAGCTTCGTCGGTGAATTAGGGAATGTCCGAATCGGGGTGTGAATAGCGCGTCAGGCTAGCAAGTCGGACACAGAAGAGTGACTATCTATGACTTCTCATGACACTCTTCAAATACAAACGTCTGTCTAGACCACCATATGTGCTTCAATGGATGGGCGTAGCTAGAGGAGAACGGAACGTTATGGGATGGGGAGAGCGGTGCTGGCCGGGTGTGGATAGGGAAGAGTGTTTGAATTGATTAGAGTGAAGTCATGACGCCTTGCAAAGCCTAGCGATAATGTGTGCGCTATGATCTATGTTTGCCGTCTTTCGCCCTGAAGTATCGTGTTGGTGCCACGGAGCTCGTGTCCTCAAGCACCCGACTTAGAAAAGCGGGCTACGCAACGATCTCAGTGAGTGAAATTACGGTCCTTTTTGTGACTGTGAATACTAGTACACGAAAGTTCGCGATAACTTCGCTATCATGACGCCTGCAGAGATTCCCTTAGGTAAAGTGATCGTGACTGCTGGAGAATGCCCGACTGTAGCCCGACATCCTAACTACAGCTTGAATCTCAGGGCATCCGTTACCCTCCGGTAGTATCCACGACCATCATCCCTCTGCAAAGCAGCGTACGAGACCGCAAAAACAACCCACATCTCCGACAGTGCGCCAATAACCAAGACAACGATGATTGCTGGGTGCATCTTCGCAGCCGTGTGGAACTCGATCTGATTTCTAGTAGGGCTTTCCGGAGCTGATTCGGTTATTTTGCTTGGTTTCGCCGTTGGAGATCGTAGGGTCGTTGCTGCTTGCGCGGTGACAGAAAGATAGGCGAGAAGGACCTACCTAATTTTAGCAGCGGGAACTCTATATCAATGGAAGTCGGCCGTATAATACCAATACTATGGCACAAGGCCTCGTTTCGTTGAGTGTTAAAGTGCACAGCATAGGGTATGCTCTTAGGCAGGGCGAAGAAATGCTGCGTTGGGGTTCTAGTTTTTATTGCAGGTTGAGTCGTGATATTTTTGTACCTGTTATTGTGGATGATGTGATCGATCAGGGTTTGATAGAGATGACGTGTAATTGTAATTTCCTGTTATATGGGTTCGCGGTGAATTTGGGATGTAACAACGCATTTACTTTCACCGAAGAAGATATTTTGGGAACATCTTGGGTGTGAGTACTTCATTTTCACAATGAGCTGCAAGATGGAATTGAGTACGAAATGCTACTTGGGAAATTGGCGAATTCTATTCATGCGTAGTGTTCAGGAGGGTGTGTCTTTCTACTTAGGTTTATGAGGTGCGGGTTCCGTTTTTGGCATCGCATGCAAGTGAGTGACGAGCGGGTCCTAAACATGCAGCTACATAATGGAAAGCTGCACTCGCCCCAATAATCAAATAACTTCCTAGGCTTTAGACCTCCAGTTTTCTCGCTGATGCACTCGCTACATCTATCAGTATTCTTCTCATTTTTGTTATCAAATTTCTACCCTCGTGATTACTCTTAGTGATTCGAGAGCTACGATGGACCGGAAAACACTCCTCGATCGTCTAACACACAAGCTTCAAAAGCGCTCATCAACCAGCGCATTACGTCTATTCCCCAAATCAAAACCCTCTACTCGACTCGAAGGTAGAGGGGTGCGACCGGCGATAGCTTTCCATCACGCCGGCTATAATCCCAAGGATCTCAACGATACGGTAATACTACGTCTGAGGGGTTGCGTCCGTCACAAAAACGGAGTTAAAGCTACTACTGCAATCATCGCTCTCAATATTGTAACCGGGAACACTTTTCGCAGCGATAGCTACCTGACGTCCGAGCGCCGGGGCCAAAGAATCCATTTACGACCAGATGACATCTTGGAGCTACCAGAGTACTGGTTTCACGTCCACGATCCTGAATGTCCGTTTATAGAGTACGACAATGCTTATATTTGCCCATCGTTTGCGATGTGGAAATTTCCCCACAAAAACCTTCCCCCATCGTGGGATGTTGACAGGAGAAAGGGCTATACTGCAGGACGAAACATCTCTGAGTGGCAAGGTCGCACAACCGATAGTCGAGTTAATGCCTCGATAGCCGTGCGCATGCGCGATGGGAGTTGCGTCCTGTCTGGAGTATCAAACCTAGAATGCTACTGCGCGTACATCATTCAATCACCCCAAAGCTCATGGTACCATGAAGAGCTCTTAAGCCAGTACGTTTCTCAGGAGAATCCCAACGCAAAACGGGCAATATACTGTCCACAAAATGGTATAACATTGCGACGGGATCTTTACCGGGCGTTTGGGGACGGGGAGTTTGCGATCGTGCCGAAGGGCAAGCACTGGGTCGCGCACTTCTTCGACGCGACAACGAGACTGGGAGAGGAGTTTGACCAAAAGAGGGTCAGGTTGAGCTCAGACATTCCGAAGGAGCTCTTGTTTGCGAAGTTTGCGGCCTGTGTGTTTCCGCTGGTGAGGGGCTTTGTTCAGCAGGGTGAGCAGCTTGAAGCTGGGAATCCATTTTAAGTTGCACCACAGTTGCGTAGGCAAGCACCAAAGACATGGAAATTTCGGTCTTTTACTTGTTAGCGATCGTGAGTTTTAGATTGTTATTACGGAGTGTCCCGCATTACGAGAAGCACAGATGCTATTGCAACTTTGTTTAGAACAGTTTGAACCCTCCCGGAACCTGCTTTTGAAACACACCCTCAGGGTCATACTTCTCTGCCACCTCCCTCAAAGTATCCTTCTGCTCTTGACCATAGCTAGCAAGCGGATCCTGAAATGACGCCGCGAAGTTCAAGTACTTGTACCTATGTAGCACACCCTCGTCCTTCGCCAACCCCTCAATTAGCTTCAAGAAATCTTTTAAAGCCTCCTCAAACCCTTCAGTAGCAGCCTCATCGTCAAACGTGAAGATGATCTGGAGGAAGACAAGATCCTTCTCTGGCGTCTCGGCAGCCGTAAACCCGAGGCTATTAGGAGATGTACCGTTCCGCGGTGGAGCTGGGAGAGCTTGGAATGTGATTTCTGCGACGGGTTTGGCGTAGGCATACTGCTTAGCGACTTCGGGAACGACCTCTTTCCAAAGAGCGTGAATGCGGTGTACAATCGTAGGGGAGATTGAGAACGAGGTTGTTGCCCAAATGGTCCGTTTGGGATCAGCAACTACCATTCGCGATGCGTTTCTCGTGTGCTCGCTGACAGGTGCTTCTACCCTGCCGTTCATTATTTGCGGTTTAACTTCCAGGATACTCTTAAGCGCGCCGGGCTTTTGTGCTGGTTTAGTGTACCACATGATGCTCACGGGGTTGAAAGTTGCTGCAGTGTGGTTGTATCGCACGGTAACCCAACCTGCGGCGTATGGATCATACTCGCCACTCTTGAACTCAGTGAAGGCGGTAAGCAAAGGTATTGTAGCATTGGGATGATAGACAGTCCTGCCACCCCAAATTGTAGTCGCAGGGAACGCCTTGAGATCAAACCGAGTGACAATGCCGAAGTTAGACTGGCCGCCCTTGAGTGCGGCGTAGAGATCTGGTTGCGAGGTCGCATTTGCGTTGACTATCTCGCCGCTGGCAAGCACAACTTCGAAGTTTACAACTGCGTCGCACGCCCAGCCATGCTCAGGCGAGAAGAATGAGATGCCGCCTAAAGTATGCAGTCAACATTCATTATCGTTTTCGAGAAGATAACCTAGAGTAATCATATGACTTACCACCCGTCAAGAATCCCGCAGTACCCACGACGCCGATACGACCTCCCAATACTGTCAAATTGCGCTTTTCCGCCGTGTCATAAACCTTTTGCCAAAGTGCACCAGCGCTAACTCTGACCACTTTGTCACCTCTTGCTACCTCCACATCATTCAGACTTTGCATGTCAATCGTGACACCATTTTGTATGTTGTTGAACCCCGCATTAGCATTGTGGCCGCCGCCTTTGACTGCGAATCTGGTGCAATTGCTATCTTTCAGAACACTGATGGCCTGGGAAACGTCGCGTGCGCTTTTTGGTCGGATAATGCATGATGGGTGTAGTCGAAGTTGAAGGAATGGGTAAGATGATATTGATGCATTGTATGCTGGGGCTTCTGGATAGAAAGTGCTGTTGGGAAGGATAAAGGCCAATTCGTCGCAGGTCGATCTGCTTTCTTCGCCCGAAGCGAACGCAGCGCCAAAAAGGAACCAGCTGAAAGAAGCTATTGCTGAAAACCGCATCTTGAATGATTAAAAGGAGGTCGATAACGCTTTCTAACTCTTGCAACAGGCTATAGCATCATCTTAAAGCTGCCTTACCGCTGAGGCCCCCCGGACCACGTCGGTGAAGTAAAACATTGCATAGCTTCAAATGAGCTGCATCTGATACCCTGCATCTGGTCCTACATACCAGTTTATTTGTGGCGTTCTGCTTGCGAGAATCTAGTGAGCCTTAGGAAGCAGCAAGTGATGTGATTGGGTAACACTAATATTGGCACCTAAGCGGGGAAAAGGAACGTAGACTAAAGTTTACAACTCTGTAGGCAGGTGCTAATGTATCGTACGTGCGGGGAGCCGAAATACTATTTGCTTCTCTGAGAAGGAAAGATCGCTTGTCAAGCGAAAGCTAGCAATTGACCAGGCTGCTGCACCGGTCGATTTCCTGTCTCTTCACGCCGGTTTTATTATTGTACGGCGTTGAGAGGTAGTCGCTCAATCCAAGGAGAGCACAGATCTTCCTATCCTACGAAATCGGGCGAAACATGTCGAGTCTTCGTATGTGTACAAATGTGTTCTGATGCCAAGAATCTTAGCGACGAGGCTGAGGGTGTGCATTAGGTATACAGCTGTGCTGATCTTAGTACCTGTCCTGACGATCACTCAGCTGACAATGGAACGCCCGACGGGCAAAATTGCTGACCTGCTTTCACGGGCTGTGATATAAACCGAATTTGTCCCAGTACCTCCTGGATAGGTAATATCAGGAGAGATATGACTGTATCTGGAAAGACTCACGCAATAATTTGTTCTGAAGCATCTCTGAGAGATACTAGTAAACCCATCGAGAATTAAGACTCCACGGATGAGGTTGCCAGTCCGGAAATCCTGTAAAGTCCTTTCGTTGCTGAGATAATATCGACAAAGTCGGTGAACACCGGATGCTTACCCCACCACACTTGCGTTGTGGGCCAGGAATCTGCGTGGCCTGATGTAGTACTGCCAATATTGTGTATCGCAAACTTCAAGCTGTTTTGAGCTCGTGATGTTGTGCATTGCATAAGGCGTGATGACCCCGGCTGATCTGGCCACAGGACAGCTGCGCCACGATAAGCCCACCTGCACGCTGGTCGGATGTCTCTAATGCCCCGCACAATGCGAAGCTTCCAGATTTTCGACCACGGGAAAGGTCGTTCGGAAGAAGCTAACATTGTGAGTTTCGTGACCTTTGTAGTTGTTTCCTGAGAAAGCAAACAATTAAAATAAGGATAAATTGTTGGATCTAGAAGAGTTTTACTAAAGATCTTTATTTAAATAAAGCATTATCTGAAAAGAATCGTGAGCCCAGTTCTATAAACGTATACTTTGTTCTAAATCCAAAGAAGATAGAGAATACAGCTAGAATCATTGTATGTTCTATCTCTCGGGCAATCAGTCCTCTTACACTGGTGCGACTTGACATAGCGTGATATTCGAGTTATAACGACAAAATTACGTTGACAGAACCAGCGATAGCTCGACTGCAACATATTCTTTGAAAATTCTCATGGTGACAGACACAACGCCCATACACGAGCCTTGCAAGGTAAGCCTCCCAAGGTCTCTCCTCATACTGCCTAGCATCTCTCCTCGCTAGGAATGCCATTGCAGGTGGGCCATCGTGTGGGCCCCTTGAATGCTGCGATATTGAACCATTGACAGTTGATTGCCACAGAGCCACCCATCTTCTTCTCCTCCGTATCTTTGTCGCCTATCGTTCTAGTTAGCATTCTCCTTTACCGACACTAGTAGCAGAACACTCACAGTTATTTATGATTGCGTCAAGCGCCTTTGTGCATTCTTCCTTGTCCATTTTGATCCATTCTTTCTCTCTACATGCGTCGTCTAGATAGGCGTAGATGCGAACGAAGGGATCCTTGTTCCCGTTGAACAGTTGTGATTCAGCATTACTCATGCCACCACCAGCAGGCCTCATTCGTAGTGTACGGCCGTATTTATAGTTGCAAAACTGGTTTATGAAATTGAATCCATCGCTCGAACTGAACCCTCTTTCCTGTGCAGACGCACATGCTACAACGGGCGTCGCCGACGGCGCCGCAGTTGACTCGGTCTGGAATGTCACGGTTGGGCCGTCATTTGTTGTGTATGGACAAGGATTGTACGGCGAAGCCGTTGACGTAGCAACCGAGTATCTCAAGGTTTTTCTGTTGTCATTGCCGCAATTGCAATATTCTTTGGGTATGCGGTGACCCCTGGGGAATGCGCCGGGGTAGCAGAATGGTGACTTGTAACTTTCACTGGCAAAATCTTTTAGAAGCTTTTGTTGCAGGTCCAGCCAGCTCAGCCCATCGTCATATGGGGCTGTGTCGGCGTCATACACATCGACAACCTCCCCAGTGGTAAGACAGTCACATCCTTTGTACTTGCCCTATCTAGTGTGAGTTTCTGCCTCGTGTTGGAGAGTGGAAGGACGGTAACGTACCTCTGTGCACTTTTGGTTAGATTTTGTGTTATCTCCCTTGCATTCAGTGTCTACGCAAAGAGGCTACTTGCTGTCAGCAATTCTCTCGTTTCAAATCGGATCAGGGACCTACTGCATCGACACCTCTAGGTGCATCCGCTGGACACTTGTTGTCTCCGTCATCTCCCTTCCCGCCCGGGACGACTGAGGCAGAGCCTATGGTCCAAGCCTGAAGCTTGCCGACTAATACCCATGTGACAGCGAGGCCTACAAGAGGACTTGCGGCCGCTGCTGACCCAACGATAGCTGAAACATCGCTGGCAGCGATGCTTGGCAATAGAGCTCGGCTTTCAGGCCCTACAAAGTCGAATGCTCCACCTGGGTTCACCTCCTCAGCTACTCTTTGAGCAAATCTTTGGTTTATGTCGCATGATGCTCGCTTCCTCTGTCCTCCACAGGAAGCTTGCGCTTCATCAAATAGTCTGTTCAATACGTTAAGAAGTTTGGGGGAAATCGCAATGCTAACATCTCCAGCCGAGACACCTTGCCCACTGGCTGTCGCGGTAACAGCAACAACTGCCGCAGGGGCTTTTGTCACAGTGGGTTGGTTGTTGACAGTAGTAGTATAAGGGAGGTCGGTAAGGTACTCGGTGTTCGGGCCAATCCACTATCACAGACATAAGACGAGTAGCGGTTCTTCTTTGCGCACTAACGTACCTTCGTGGTTGAACCATCAGGCTGATACCACTGAGTATTCGGACCAATATTATGACTGTGCAGATTCCGTCAGACAAAGAGTTCATGAGATACTCCCCATTGTCTGTAGGTAATGCTTACTATCTTTCGGGCCCAAGGTCTGTCACAGGATTAACGCCTATCTGGCCCGACACAGTTGGGACGACTCCCTTTGCCTTAGGTGAGTCCCCAATGTTCTGGCAGTATGATTTCTGTGCCATTAAGGTCGCAAAGAGACTGGGGAACCACTTCGTCATGGTTTTGTTGGTAGTGGAGAGATGCTGATACTAAAACGAGATACTACAAATGGCATGCAGCACTTAAGTTTCATACGACTGAGAGACTGGGCAGCGAGGTCATCAGCTATATAAGATGAGAAATTCGATCCTGCTAAGTGAGCAGCCCGGGGTCGTCAAAACAATGATCCAAACCCACAAGAGGTGTCCTTCGCTGAGGCATACTAGGGCTGTTGCGGCGAGTCTGCTCTTGGGTCCACGATGATTCGCGCGTTGCGCCGCAGTACAAGGCAGAATTCTTTGACGTAGATATTTTGACTCGAATCTGGTGACACTGCCATAGCTCACTTCAAAACGTTGGGGCGAAGATATCTTCCTCGGCGCTATCGCCAAGTTGCGGCATGGAGGAGTGTGTCGCGAAACACTGTGCCGCAATCCATCTGTCTGGTATAGACGTCTAGATACGTTGTGTTCCAGCCACCAACGAAGTTTCGAAGGCGCATTACGGCGTGCTGTACGACGTCATTGTTTCATGATATGTTGGGTGCATCCCATCGATGAAGTCAACCACACCTTGCAGTCCAACAGTTGCATGCCATGATGCGGCGAAGAAACGAAACAAAGAAACCCAACATTCAAGACGCTGGGCATAGCCTGCAGCAGCTGCAGCTGACCTACGAGTCAAAGTGGCGAAGAGCTGGCTGACTGGCATGTGAAATATCTTGTTCAAAAAGCATCATTTTCAGCAACATGAAGACCATCCGTTCTTGCTCAGTTCATCAATATTCTCATCATACGTTGCCCAAATAGTGAGCTTTAGTTATTCATTATCTCGCACCAGGCAAAAGCTAGAGCTCGAAATGTTGTACCTATGGCTATGCCTCTCCATGCTGCTACTCGGTTTTCACGGCAGCGTCCATGGTTACATGATTGATCAAGACTGTGGAGGTCAGTGTCATCTCTCTTTCCTACGACTATCAATTAGCTAAGTCCAGCTTCAGAGGACACACAATTTGTTAAAGACAGGATTGATACGGCCTTTCGACTGATTGCAAATGCTGTGACCGAACTCAACAGGGACCCTATCAATGTGGACGTCGATGACTGGCATAATGAACTGTTTGGCCGACGCTTTGATCCAGAGTACACGGGAATTATCAAAAAACGCTTCGTAGCCTTGTCACGGTTAAGTCAGCACAACAATAATGATCAGACTTCGATCGCCCAGAATATCGTAGACGTTCGCGTCTACTGCACCGTCAAGCGAATTGGAAAGAACAAGGAGGGAATATACATAAACAAAGATCGCAACGTTGCCTATGAGAAAGGAGATCTGTCGAAGCCAGGTGGACGATTTGGGAATTGTTACGATATCAAAGATCCCACCATGATGGTCACACTAACCGCGGGAAAAGAGTTCTCCGAGATCCAGATTTGTCCTTGGTACCTACGCAAGGCCCGCGGTTTCAAATTCAAAGATCTTGCTGATATCCCAGCATCCATCTATTCAGCTCTCGGCAAGGTAGCGATTCCAACAATGGCGAAATTGAAATACACACCAATCGACATTTTCCTCCTAATGGACAAAGTTATTGTGCACGAGCTGACGCATACGGAACAAGCGTTCCCAGCGACGAAAGACCTCGACCCCAAGCCATATGGTGAGCTCACAGTTCCCTTCCAGTTCATTGACCTAGATCGCTAATATTCTCTTACTTCGTTGCAGGCCTAAAAAACGCGAAGAAGCTAGTTTTGATATATAACCAGAACCCCGAGGCTCAATTTGATCCTCTGCAAAATGCAGACTCCAACTCGCTGTTTGCAGTTGGCACTTGGCTCATTGTTCAACCTGACGGCGGACCTATTAACCCAGATGGCACATTCAGAAAGCCACAGACTACACCAAAAGCGAAGATCTAAGTTTTTTCAGGGTGATTGATCGTTCACATTCTGTTGGGACGATGCAATGATGGAAGTTGGGTTCGTTTTTAGTTACGCAGTGGGACAATGGGCCTCAATCGCTTATACAGAGTGACAATCTGATTCAACCTTCACTTGTGGATAGAAAATCTGAGGGTGCAAGTGCATTGCTGCCATAAGATTACAGACTTCAATTGTGCCTTTTCTAATAACTTTGATGGCCAATAACTAATGTCATTGATTGACTCGGTGAGATACTCATCATCTTCCTAGCACTGCAATGCCTCCTGGGACTTCGGCTGCTGGTCCTCTGCTAACTCAGCGTCTAAGCTGAAATGTCCGTTACTCTCCTCATGGTAGACCATATCTCTGCTTACAATAAAGGGCCATATTTCTTCCTCGGGCACTGAACTGTCCTTTTCCCAACAAACGCGTACCTCAACCTTCACCGAATCTCCGAGATTCGTTAGTGGAGAGAAGAAAAGAGCCTCGTGTTCGGCATGAATATACGGCGCCCATACAAAAATGTCAACCCTCAAATGATTTAGACCTTTCATTTTGGATATATCCTCACAGGTCTCGCGCCAACAATCACTACCATAAGGTGGTATCCCAAGAATGAGTCCGTCTACCATGTGATCAGCTTGAGGGTATGAATACTGTAGATGGAGGTCTTGGATCAAGCCGAAAGATCGGCTAGGCAGGAACCGCTGTAAACACCAATACGGTGTAACTCCAGAGAGTCGAAACGTGTTGCAGGTGTATAGATCGTCCACCGATTCCATATAACTAGAACATAGTCAGCTGTCGCCAGGCGACAATTGGAAAGTCCCGTAAGCAGATTACGGGTATACACGTACGCTAGTTTGCAAGATATCGGGAAAGCTAGTAGTCGTCGTCCCATGGGGCACGTAAGCTTGAATGGTATTTTCTCTTTCCCTATCTCGTCTCCATTATAGGCCTTTTTGTTCTCGTTGATAACTTGGAGACGAAGTTCTTCTCCCCCTACTACGTTGGCGTATATGAGTCTTCGGATCTCGAGAGGCAGCTTGCGGAAGAAGAGCGAGTTCGACTGAGTAGATACGTCACGCTGAATACTCCTAACTAGGCAGGTCTCGTCCGAGGAGCGATCGGAGGGTAGGCGCGCATTCCAGGCCGCCGTAGCTTTTTCTCGCCATTTATCCCTATTCTGCTTCCGTTTGACAGCTTTGTTGCGCGTAACACGGTTGTATAAAGTGCCAAGCAAGGTAATGGGGTTTGGAGACATCGGAATCGAAAATGAGCGGAAAAGCTGAGTATGCTAGAGGCAATTGTCGAAACTAGGTAGGTGAGTGATAGAACAATACCGAGTTATCATTGAAGAATTTGGGGTGTTAAAGGGGCAGGCGTCAGAACTACATTCGGGCCCCAAGGGACTGTGCCGCAAAGCTGTGCCGCAAGGCTGAGTAGGTAGGCAGACTTCAGCTCGCAGCTCGCATTAGGTGAGGATCACAAGAGGCCTAGTGAGCCAACTAAATGTGTCTAGGCTGTGTGTATGTTGGGGTGACACGGTGGGAGCATGTGTAGATCAAACATAGAAGTCGCGTTGGTATGCACGGATGCATTGATCACGTGACGCGTTGTCTACAGGTACATGAGAAGTTGTCTTTCGAACTTGGGTTTGGTAATGTAAGTATTTGTCTACGAGAACTATTCCAATCTAAGAACTTTAGTATTTCCTCATTAAACCTTGAAACGACATCTGCGCGTGACTGTAGGCCAAACGTCGCGTGGTAGCCTCGGCATTACGTAGTTTTTGCCAAGCCACTAACATATGCACAACGGCGTACGCGAGGGTGTTGGCGGTTTCTAATGCGGGGAAGGTAGATCAAGGAAGATAAGGAAAGCAGAGCGTTGGCTTCAGTCAGATAAATCTATTGATCAGCCTAGAAGTGGACACAAATAATCAAGACGGTTTAGGATGCCAATCCACTGCTTTGTTCCCAGGGCTACTCCTAGCACCCCGAGAATCCACCACCTCACACTGTCATGTATTTTCTTAGCCTTCTTTGATCAGAGTGTGCCGCGGACAAAGTGATGAAGCTTGTGCTAAGTAATGTAACCTTGAAACAGACGCAGGTGAAGCTGGCGCCACAGACTCGCCATGTCGTCATGATTACCTGTACCGGCCAACCAGCTGCTCGTCTGCCGTTAGAGTACAAGGCCTCAATGGCGCCAATATGCATGCGTCGTCGACGCAAGAGACTAGATGGCAAGGCCACCGCTTAGATCCGAAAGTTTTCGAGTAGTGCGACGTAGTGAGAGTTTGTTCTTTGGCTCATATAATACCATGTCCCACCGTACCGGTCCTTCACGGCCATTCACACTCGCCCTCCAACGCGTAGTCAGCTGACAGAACTTCGAGATGGCTGCCAAACTGGGAGACGATAAACTCGCACGCGAGAATTCCAATTCACCCTCCGCCGTACAGATTCCCATTTACAATGATGTAGAGCGAGACGAGTCGCCCGACCTATCCTTTGCCGCAATCATCAAAGGCACCGCCGCAAATCCGCTCAATACGTTTGAGAAAAAGGCTGCGCTGATTAATGCCGAGCTGGACAAGTTTGGACTCGGAAAATATCAGATATGCATCTGGTTTCTCTGTGGTTTTGGCTATTTCCTCGACCTGGCGTGGGCGCAGGGCGTGGGCTTAATTGCCTCGGCCGTCTACCAGGAGATGAATGTCGCTGACAAGGATACCGGAACCATCTTTGCGTGCGCCAATGCCGGTCTAGCTATCGGCGCGCTTGGCTTTGGATTGATGGTCGATATCATCGGTAGGAAGTGGGCCTTCAACCTGACCTGTTTGATTACCTCGATATTTGGGCTTCTTTTGGTATGCATCTCGGTCCATATGCAACTTGTTTTCAACAACAGACTGATGTCAATCTAGGCTGCTCCCAAGTTCAACTATGCTGCTATCTGTGGCATCTACTTTCTCGCATCGCTTGGTCTCGGGGGCAATATTCCAATCGACGCAACCATCGCCCTCGAGTTTCTCCCTCAAAGCCGTCGCTTCCTCGTCTCGCTTCTGTCTATGTGGCAACCGATTGGTGTTGTTATAGCATCCGCTATCGCGTACGGCACTGCCGCTAAATGGCGCTGCGACGTTGATCTACCTTCCTGCAAAGCCGTTGGCCCAGGAGAAGCATGTTGCACCGTCAAGAGCAACATGGGCTGGCGATACGAAGTGATTGTACTCGGCTTCATGACCCTGACGGTTTTCTTCCTACGATTTTTCGTCTTCCGATTCTACGAATCACCGAAGTTTCTACTCAGTAGGGGTAGAGAGGCTGAAGCTATCGAGGTTCTCCATAAGATTGCGAAGTTCAATAAGGCGCCGCCTCCCACGTTGACTCTTGAAATGTTCGACGCAATCGATGAGCTGGATTCGCAAACCGGTAGTGCGAATATGGGCGCAGCTGGTCCACAGTCAACTGCCGCAACCACGAAGACTGTTGTCATGTCATTTGGTAGAGAGGTTGCTCGCTTGAAAGGAATTTTTACCAACAAGCTGTCATGCTTCATCTTCGTACTACTAGCCATTGCGTATATGGTAAGTCTATCCCACAAGCACTTTGCTAAAATGGGTGCTAATTGGGTCTAGGGCGACTACTGGTCCTTCAACCTCGCAGGTGCATTTCTGCCAATTATTTTGTTACGGAACAATGTCGACAACGGTCGGGGATCCGTTTCCGACACGTACCAGCAATACATCATCATCTACACTCCCGGCATTCTCGGCGCGGTCTTAGCCTTGGTCTCCGTGCAAATGCCGCTCGTGGGGCGGAAATGGTCGCTTGTGCTCTCCGCCGTCTGTCAGGGTTTCTCCATGGCCATGTATACCCAGGTCAAGACTACTCCAGGCTACGTAGGCCTGAACGCTCTCGAGTACATCATGCAGACTGTAAGTAGTACCTCTACACAAGACTTGCTCATGCTAATGACTTTGTAGTACTTCAATGCTGTTCTCTACGCATCTGCACCCGAACTCTTCGACACAAGCTACCGTGGTAGTGTTAGCGGTATGTTATCCTGCACGGGTCGTCTGGCTGGTATTGTCGCGCCCTACGCTGGAGCGCAGTTCCTGGCCGCCAAGAGCTCTGGAATTCTGTGGCTTGGGGCTGGTGGTATCTGGCTATCTGCCCTTGTGATGGTATTCCTACCTGTTGAGATGAGAAACAGGCAGATGTTTTAAGTAGAAGTTGCACAAAGTGCAAAAGTTGATATACACATACTCACTACAAGACCTACGGTTTTGGCGCTAGCACCTAGCCCACTTGAGGGCGGGGTTGATGCCTGCCGGTGCCACACTATGCAAGAACAACACATTCCTTTTAACTCCAAGTTAAGCTGATCAGATCACTGTCGACTTGAAGAAGATATGGCTGTAAGCAGAATCCATAGAGACAATATGATTTGCTAAACCATGCCAGCCTCCCATCGCTGCACTGCAGGCAGCTGCAATGCCCGAACTCTACGACTCAATGCCCACCAGTCCGAAGATAAATGTGTTGTATCTAGCTCCGGGGCAAGAGATTATCAGCCCAGAACAATTCGAGGCGTCTAACCCGGAAGCATTAGACACAGTAGCCGGTGCACAAATCGCGAAAATATCCCCGTCGATGCTGGTCAAATACGGTACCCATGTGTCCCTCATCGAAGCAAAGACTATGCTGTATGTGGCAGAGCGAACATCCATACCCGTCCCAAAACTATATGCTGCATATGCATACGGGCCGTTGGATCGAGACGTCAGCGATTTCGGCAGTGTCTATGATACTTACATCTTCATGGAATTCATCGAAGGCGAAGACCTGGAAAGGTCATGGGAAAGATGCACCGCCATTGAAAGACAGACAATCTCGGCAGACTTGAAGAAGTACATGACAGAACTTCGCGCGATTCCAGCGGCCGATTACATTGGATCCGTACACGGTGGGCCAGTCACTGATGTAATATTGGAATGGTCTACAACTTCAAAAGGTCGGTTCCCACGCATCCCAGATAGCAATTGAAGTATGTCTTACCAGGGCTCAAGGTCCATTCAGGAGCGTAGAAGACTTCAACGCTACAATCGCCGAAACCTTTGTGGCAAAGTCAAAAGGCCACGTTGGTCCTTATATCCGTGGCATGCTTAATTCACACAAGCATGGCATTGTCTTCACTCATGGAGACCTCAGACCTGCTAATATCATTGTTAGAGATGGTCGTCTAGCGGCAATCGTCGACTGGGAAATGGCTGGGTGGTATCCAGATTATTGGGAGTTCGCTAAAGCATTCTACATCGAACACTTCATTACAGAATGGGCAACTCATCTACTGGGTATCTTGACTCCTTACTATTGCGAACAGTTAATGTATTCGAAGCTGATGAGTGTATTATGGTAGCCAATAACGAAGTCCCCATTAATGTAAGCTGGAATGCGCGCATGCGGAGATCATATTATATTTTTCAGCATGTATGCGCCAAGCTAACGATTGATTAGGGAGTGCTCGCGTGCGATTTCCCGAACCTGGTGCTGTGTGGGAAGGAGCAACAGTACGTGGTCCTCTGTTGGTATCTTAGGAGTAGCTATCAGCATACATAGACGTCATGAAACACCTTTTACTCGCACAATGCGTTACTGACAAAAGGGTTTCTTAATCCGTCAAGGTGGAATCAACAACAAAATTCTCTCACAAATTATTGTACTCCTAGGAGTCGAACAGTGCCGTTGTTTTCATAGATGGTTTCACCATTAGATACTCACCATACTTTCCCCACAAACCTTAAAAGCCAACGAAGTATCCCAACACCAGGTCACAAGAATTACGACCGCAATGGCCTCCATCGCAAGCATACCAGCCCGCTTAAGCACAGAAGAAACGTGCCTTGCCGAGAACACATCTGATCCCGAAGCAATAGAAACCGACGCGGTCCCAGAAGATCAGCCCGTGAGGACCTCTACTCAGATTTGCACAACGTCCTCCCACAGCTCATTTTGCTGTTACTATCAACTTTCACCGGTGGAGGGCGCCGAGGTCAATGTTTCTCGTCGTTTTAGCGAGCTTGAACATGAGAGGGTTGGGCGTACGAGACCGGACCGTGTAGAGGCGTTTTCGATAGCGAAGGAGTTCAGCGAATCGGCATTTGGGAATGGTCGATCGAAGCTGTCAGAGGAGGTGAGTGCTTCAGACGCTATGGGGGATAGAGCAAGTACAGATGTTGTCGTGAACAAAGGTCAAAAGCGGAAACGCGGTGATGCGGCGGGCACGCTCCAGTGTGATCCCTAGAGAATCGTGAAACTTGGACCTTTCTTTGCGAAGAATATAATAGGCCGTAGACTGTAGAACAAATTGTAGAGATCTGGAGGTTTTGCAACGGTACAATGCAGGGCGCGAGTGAAACAAGTCGGGTGGAGGTAGGCGCACAGAGTTGCCTATACTACGCCACGCTTGCACTAGCGGGACTAGCGGTAGTGAATGCCCGACACTTTGGGGGCAGAAACAGTAATTTCCTTCTTTCCCTCTCACAGATTTGACATCCACCCTGGATATCGCTCCACTGCAACCATTTGAAGCGGTTAAGTGCACAATGGAGCAGCAAGGAGAGTTTGTCCCACCCCCATTCCCACCACCCACAATCGATTCAATGATGTCTCAAGACGAAGGTATCGAGGTCTCAGATGAGCCACAACCTCTACATCAGTCGCCATCCGCGGTGTACTCGCAGGACGCCTCCATGCAAGCTCCCGCCTCAAACAATCTCGCAAACTCGAGCTGGTCGCAGGAACAGGACTGGAGCACCGCACCCGACTCTCAAATGATCGATCCGCATTATCTAGCGAGCAACGACTACGAGGTTCCCACCGCGCCCTCGACTCCTACTCCCGGCTCAGAATCTCCAGATAATCATCTACCAAATCAACCGCCAGGTCCATCCTCCACGGCTCAATCTATGGTATCGAATCTCCTAGAAGAACTTGAGAATTCTCCGATGAACTATATCCGAGCACATGAGCCTAAATGTGCCTTGTGCTATTGTAACTTCACCTGGTTCGGCGATCACGAAAAGCAGATTGCGCATATCAACGAGTGCTGGGACGATATGGTCGAGGACGCCGAAGAAGCTAGGAGCTCCAAGCCCCGTCTACTTCCACATACTCGTACGACCATTGAAGGATTCGAAATGATACGCCTTACGCAGCCCGTCATGGTATCGAAGCCACAGTTCAAGCAGCCCAGTACTATCACAGTCACCAGCAACCCTCGCACGACCTGCGTCCTCTGCCCATCCAACCTGAGCTACCTAGACACCATTGACGCCTTCCACCACCGCGCAGTGTGCATCAATACACTCCAGCCTCTCTTGTGCTCTATCTGCCACGCGGCGTTCACCACGCCCCGACTCTTGAGCAAGCAAGAGATAATCGAGCATCTCTACAGCTGCCAGAACGGCGGCAACCTGAGCAAAGAGGCCGTCGACTACTACGAATGTCTTGTCGCTGCATGGTGCGGCAGGAACGAAGTTGTGGAGCGCCTTCTCAACCGGACTTTCGGGGCGAAGAAAGGCTGGGGCCACCGAGATCATCGACAGGACTATAGATGCAAGCAAGCAAAAGGCCGCGCGAAGGATAAGCTGAACTATGCTTTAGAGGTCACTCCGCTTCGAAGCTCGATGAGTATGGCTGGCGCGGGGCAAGTGCAGCTTACTACTGTTAAGCAAGGACTGCTTCCGGGGTCTATCAGCATCAGTCGGTTCCGCCGAAGCGCGTTCTCGGTGCTAAAGATGCCTACCTTTGCGAGGATTCGTGAGGGCTACCAAGATGAGAAGGTCATTCGTACGGTAGTGACTGCTGCCACATTGTTCGCGCCTGGCTATGTTGCAGCGACGCATGATTTCAAGCATGATTTCAAGCGTCAGCGTCGCGGTGGACCTTCAAAGGCCAGGTCTAATCGTACTAGTGCGTTCACCGAGTCTCTCCAGTTCGACGGCGCGAATGATGCAGTACTGCCCGAGGCTGGCACCGAGTCCAGCGTTGCGGCCTCGAGTAACAACACAAACACGCATGAAACAACGGGTGGCCTTCGACCTCCGCCTGATATCGACTCATCGGCCACGTCTACTGCAGATTTGCAAACAGCTCCGGGAGAGCTTTACAACTCCGCTTCTCTATCGTCTGCGGCAGGGCTTGATGCCATATCGCCTACTCCAGCACAGTGGCTGGCATCTCTCCACCGCTCCGAACGCGACGAGCCACAGTCAAGGCTCCTAGACATCTTCCTAGCATCTGATGAAGCGTCGCCCGTGATACTACCACGTAGCGTTCGTCGGCCACCAGGACTTACTTTCCCTTGTATCCCGGCTGAAGGGGATGAAGAGGAGTCAGGGAATGCCCTGGTTTCGTTTGCCTCCGTCGAATCGAATACAGCATCAGTTAGAAACTTTGGTTCGTCTTCATTGCCTCACTGGCGAAATTCAATCACGTTTCTCTGTCCGGACGAGCTTGGATAGATATGGTAGATACGTCTCGGAACGTGTTTCGTGGGGAACTGTTAACGGATCTCAAGGCGAACGGCAGGACGTATGCGAAGTGCGTCGAACACACTTTTGCTTAGTACACTGGCGGTGTGTTTAGCTATTATGGGAATTGGTCATAATATCACTGTTACATCAGCTGCGACAAATAACTCGTAGATGATCAGTGTTCTAAATAGTGTGTACACTTCAATGTCAAAGACTGTTCAAAGACCAATCTGAAAAGCGTTAGCACTTGCATAAGATCAGTTTGGGACTTTGATATTGCGTAAAATCATTCCAGTAAGTAGATCTATCGAAAGAAAGAAGAGAAATGAAAAGACAGGAAACTCAAAACAAAGTGTGCGAGCCAGCGCAATTCCTTCATTCTTTCAAACCTTCTCCTTCTCAGACCCAACAATGTGAATATCAACTGGCGTAATCTCATCGCCCGTATCAGTACGCACCCGCCTAAACACCGCTTCCTCAACAGTATCAAACACCATAGTAGCCTTGTCGTCCTTCTTGCTAGCGTCACTAGCATCTTGGACCGCCCAGCCGAATCTCGCAAAGCGTTCCCTGACGCGATCCTGGAGACCCACGAGTCGGAGCTGCGTGTTCTTACCTCCAAACTTCTCAACGTCGGCTTTCAGGTCCTTCAGTGCGCTGAGACCGGTTGTGTCGATGTTGTAGACGCATGTCATATCGAGGATTACGGCGCGGATTTGTACAGGCTCTTCCAAGATCTCGGCCTTGGTGCGCAGGCGAGATGCACGGCGGTCGCCAGCGACACTCCAGTTGCGGTTCGCATGTTGCGCCTCGAGGGTCTGGACATCGCCGGAGTTGTAGGTTTGAACCGCATCGAGGCATTGGTTCTTAATGCGATATGCATTGTAGAAGAGAATGGATTGGTGGATGCGGAAGACTTGTGTGTCGAGGGGTATAGTCTGAACACCAGCGGGCAGGGTGTTGGACTGAATGTCGATAGTTGTAACACGACGGACGCGGTGGAACGCCTTGAAGACTAGTTGGTAAGCGATATTGAAGCCGACCGCGGCGCCGATACCAATTTCAGAGGATTGGAAAAGTGTGAGCCAGAAAGCAAGCATGGAAGTGATGAAATCGACGAGTGAAGTCCTCCAGTATCCGTAAAAGACTCTGAGTGGAACGACGATGTGCCACACGGCCGTGACAATGATGGCGGCTAGAGTCGCCTTGGGGATCCAGAATAGCGCTGGGCTGAGCTTGAATATGGAGAGGATGACGACTCCACCAGCGATAAGACCATAGGCAGGAGATTTCACACCAGCGTCAGAGTTGACAGCTGTACGAGACATGGCGCCTCCTACTGCCATTGACGAGAAGAAAGAGTTGAAGAAGTTGGTGAAGCCAAGATAAACTAGCTCTTGTGCGGGGTCGACGACGTAGCCATTCTTCCGAGAGAATGCTTTAGCGATAGCTAGATGCTCAATTGATGCTGCGATGAAAGGCGCAATCGAGCGCGGGAACACCTTCTGGATGAGCTGGGATGTAGGCATCCGTGGTGTATCGATGCCATCAGATTTGACCTTGCTCAGAGCCCAGACCGGGTCATCCACTCTGTTTTTGTTGACAGCGTATGAGATGCCAGTGAAGAGGACAAGCACTACTGCACTTCGACCGAGAGCTAGTAGCCAAATCGCCTTGCTCTTGCTGCCCCAGCGCTGCCCTACCTTTTGCATAGCAACAAGAAGTACAATGCCACCGAGACCAATGCCACAGGTTGGGCCATCGTATTGCGGGATCTTTGCGAAGAGGTCGTGGATGATGTTTGCTGTGCCACTTCGAACAGTAATACCGAACAATGACGGGATCTGGCCCAACATGATGACTATGGCTGCGGCAGAGATAAATCCACTCAAAACGGGTACGGAGATAAACTCAAGAAGGAATCCGAGCTTGAGGAGGCCGATAACGAGCGAGTATATGCCAACGGACATGGCAACGCCCGAGGCTATAGCTTGAGGTGTGTGTCCTTCCTTAGATACATCGTGAATGATCTCAGCCGTGAGAAGTCCCATGAGAGAAGTAGGACCCGTTGATAGATCTAGACGTTGTCAGTTTATGAAACACGCCACGACGAAGAATCCTACCTTTTGACGTCCCCATAATAAAGTACAGGAAGTTGGGCAGCCAGCTGGACATGAGCCCAAACTGGCCGGGTATCGTTGCAATCTTTGCATACGCCAAAGATTGCGGGATCAGCAAAACGCCAACGGTGATACCAGCAAGAGTGTCGTTAAGGAGCCATCTTATGTTGTACTTGGGGAGCCAGTGAACGACGGGCACCCTGTCAAGGAGGTACTGTCCGGCCACCGACGGGAAAGCGCGAACAGCCTTTGCGCTGTACCGCGCTGTTCGTTGTATCGTGGTATCAGTAGCGATAGCCTCCTGAGATTGTTTGGTGGTCTTCCTAATGTAGTCCATGATGGAGGCCAGCCGGGAAGCGGATTGAAAAATGTATGGTAAATGTAGTGTAGCGTTCGAATCTGTCGAGTCGATCACGACGAGGCGACTGACATGTCAAGTGCTGGAGATGTGCCCCTTTAACTCTTTGGGACATGGCAGCGTTGTACCCAAGATGTGATATGCTGCCGACTATCCGACTATCCTGGTCCTAGAAGATGTCACAGATATCGCACCTACAAGATATGCAGACCGTACACCCATAAGAAAACCAGGGAGCGCGAAACAAACTGGACACATCTAGACGAGATCCGATATACTACCGGTGGAGGTTCTACCAATCGTAGCGAATGGAAGCCTGTCGATCCGACGAGACCATGGTTGATTGGGAAATGTGCCACAAATAGCTGTTGCGATTCCGAGATCGACCTTCCATTTTGAGAAACCAAGGCTTATGCTCGTCAGGCATGTGGAGCATGTACGTAGTCGTGATTCAAAGCCTCTTGAGATAGAGGCGCAACGACATGGGCAAGCTGGCCAGCAAAACAGGGTACAAGCCTTGAAGGCCAACCGGCACTTGCGTGGCGGCAGATCCTTCCGAGTAGGGTCGACTCAAGCTTAGGTTCGTATCGAGGTTGAAGTTTTTGAGCAAACTGGATTGCGCCAGGGATAGAAAATGCTGTTGACAACCATCCACGTAGCCAATCATCGTCGAAAGAGGAGTGTTTGCATTTATCGACAAGCCGCCGACCATGGTATAATTGCGATCCAGGCCTTTCCTCGAGGCGCAATTCACTGATGTGAGAGATATGTGACAGCGGGACCTACCCCGCAGTTCAGAGCAAGCGGTGTTAGCTTCCGTCAGCCTCCCGTGCGAAGGCCTTGTCATGAAGCCAGACGCTAGCTCCTTGAAATAAGCTTTGGATTAAGCTCCACGAATAGATGTTCAAGCATCCTTGTAGATTATCTCCCGCCCGAACTTGCGCCGTGCCACGGCAGGTGGAGACTCGGATTTCAGTTTGAAACAGGATAGTGGTGATCACAGGGTCCAAGCCTGTAAAGTCGGCGGCAGTTGTGGCAGTGACCCAACGTTACTTGATGCTAGTGGTCAGAGCCAGGACGGTTGAATGCTTCAAAGTGGCAATATTGTTACCGCTACCTTATGCCGTTCTTAGCGGTCGGGGGGTTTGTTTGAGAAGGTCTAGCACACAAGATGTTTACAAAAGACGTGCCCTAGTCCCTGTAGACTGTTCCGTGTGCTTTGAGGTGCTTTAGCGTGCAAGACGAAGAGCCACCAATATTGGGGCAACGCGAGGATGAAGGCAGCCAGTAGAGAGCGATAGACGGGTCAAAAATGCCTGCTTAGACGCAACCGTCAGCAATATACATTAGCGCGTATTTACGCATCATGCGGACAGTGCTCGGCACGGTAGAACCGAGTCTTACGTATTAAGATTCCAGGCTTACAAAAACATGCTTGACACTCTTCAGAAGACTCCCATCAGTATCTTGTGTGCGTTGAGCCGCATTTGAGCAAGGCCAGCACGTGGAGATATACAAAGTGGACACAGTGGGGTGTGTACGTACACCTGCATTGATTGACGACTAGGTGGCCAATAGATACAACCGACAGGACGGTTCTAGAGCACGCTCGCTTGGGCGTTTTAGGTCGTGATTGATGTAACCTGCCGCGGTATGAAGGTGTTAGATGGCGCGAAGAAGGGCGGGGTGAAGAAGCAGTAGCCCCCTGTCAAGGATGCGTGCTAGTCTTCTAGTGTAACAAAGTAGGAAAATAATTGACTTAACTCGGTATATACTGGATTCTGTGAAGCTTGAGGGTCGGCTGAGAAATGCAGCTAGCAAGCTGGCTATGTCTAGACACCTCTCCAAGACCATTCAGCCGAACGATCCAGGAGTAAAGACGACTGACGAGCTTGTAGAGCTAGAGTGGCACGTGGGATGCATCTTACAACGGTGGCGTCCCATGATCCAGGTGTCGCCCGTGTCTCGCAAGATACAACTCGTTTAACAACGCGCTCTGCACGCGAGACGCGAGGTCCACGTGGTAGTTGGTGTCAATTAGACCTAGAAGGAGGAATTCGCTAGGAATAATGTCGACACGGGTGGATGGAATCTCTTGACCATTGACAGTGAATCACGATGGCCTTGAAAGCTATACGCTTGCGAGGGACAATAACAGTGAATTTATTAATGGAATGAGGGAGGCCGCATGCTAAACTTGTTCGACTTAGTGCTGTGAGAGGCCGCTGATAAGGAAATGGGCTTGAGAAAGTGAAGATCGAGGTACAGCAGGTGTTGATGGAGAGCTCAACGGCTTGATAGAACAGAAGGAGGCGTTAATCGACACAATGATCGAACCTGAGGCGAGACATGGACCAAGCCATCTGGAGTCCATGATTGAGGAGTCTCTTGACAAAGAAATGCTGATTCCATCGCGTCAGCACGTGTTCGCTTCTTTAGGCATGTGAGTGAATGGTCGTCGAGTACCTAGCGGACGCCTGTTCGAACCGCTCAGTCTCGTGGAGGAAAAGATGGATGACTGAATACTTGGTGTACTCGAGAAGAGTACGTTTGAGAAGAACCAAGCGAGATGAGAGACATGGTCAGTCATATGCTCAAGACGGCGTGTTGATGTGAGAGACAGCTGTTCGGAGACAAAGACGCAAGCTCCGTCCTCCGCGCTAACGCCAAGACGAAATTTAATCGATGCTAGACTTTGAAAGTCACAACCAAGCAGACGTCAGTGCCAATCCAGCAGACGCAGACATTTGGCCATGGCGCGCAAAAAGAAAAGCGCGCAGACCGACGCTGCGACCCCCGACAGCGCCTCAGGCACGCCGCCGCTGCCCCCACCAGCCAACGGCGCTGCAGCACCGCCAAAGAAGCCCGCGAACGAACCCTCGACATCTGCCCTCATCATCTGTCGCAACAAGTGAGTTCGGGCGGGTACTACCTCTCCTCCCCGCGATTGCAAGCTAATGATCCACCCTACAGGCATTGGCGCTACATATCCTCGTTTCACGGCCCTTGGCTTCAACTCCCGCCCGAAGTCCTCGAGTCGCTTGCCCACAGCAACTACCTCTCCCCGCGCCCGCATCCCATCGACCCCGCCGTCTTCTACGACCTCGTCAAGATCCGCAAGGCCGTCGATGAAGCGACGAATCTCGCCGTGCGCGCCACCTCGGGCTTGACGTCTGCCGCGCTCAATAACAGTCTCAATGCGGGGAATAGCATGTTGGGCAGTGCGGCGGCGCTGGGGATAGGGTATGGAGGCGGGGGCACGAGCAAGCTGAGCAGAGAGAGGAAGCATCGAATGAGAGAGCTAGCAACAAGTAAGCTGAGCCAAGCATACCATCTAGACGAGATTGCAGCCAGTGTAGCGACGATGCAGAGCGCGAGTACGCTAGAAGATGTCGCGCACTTGGTATTACAACGGAACCCGGCAGACGTTGATGCCAAGTACGTCCACTTCTTTCATGAGAAGATCCCGAGTCGCATGATGGCGCAGTGTACGCCCCTGGATACCCTCAACGACATTATAAGCGAAAGGCCGCACGACGGGAGTCCGCTAAGGACTAGAGCTCTGACACGGATATTCAAGGAGGATTACGTCAATTCAGCAAAGGATTTGAGCGAGGCGCTGTCTTCAGCACGTTACCTCATGGCACAGCATCGAGCGGGCAGGGATCAGTTGGTGCTAGCCAAGACATATCAGGAACAGCATGGGAGGGACTGGAGGCAGGAAGTCAAGATACCTGACGAGGACCAGCCGAACTCGCTGGAGACTCAACTTTTATTCCACAGAGCGGGAGTGTATTTTACCATAGCATGTGGACATGTTCACGCTGCATTAGATGGCTTGAGGGAGGCGGAAGAAGCAAAAGCAGGGAGAGACGCAGAAATTGCTGCAGGACAGGAGCCCTCACCAGAGTCCCCAGAAGAAGCAGAAGGAAACCACCGCCGCGCAGAAGCCCGCAAGCAAGTGCGCCAAAATGCGAAACGTGCACTTCGAGATTATAATGCCTTTCTTTCTCACTTCGACTACACACCTGGTATCTCTGCTGAACTCGCTGAAGAGTTTCTTCGGAGACTGGGAAATTCGACAAACGGCAATGTTAACGCCAAGGAGCACATAAAGCCAAACATGAATCGCCTGCTTGAATCTACAAACTCGTCCGCATCACCCATCTCCGAGGCGCTCGTCCCGCACCGACGTTCCCACGGTCACAATTCCGACCGCGCCTCCTGGCCCAAACTCCCACCCCCAGAGATTTTCAAAGTCTCGCAGCTTTTTGAACCCGCGCCGCCTGCTTCTTTACCGCCATATCCCGCGCCCAGGCTAGCAACACAAGCGGAATCAGCAGCTTCCCTAGCAGCCACCGCATTTGCAGACAGCCATGAGAGTATAACGTACCATCCGCTGCTCACCGATGCCCTACATTCCCTACTCCTCTGCCACGCACTCATCCAGACTCCACCAAAAGAACATCTCCGACACGCGCACAATGCCGCACGCCTAGCCCGCGTATGCGACGGATATCCGATTTTCCTTGCCGCCCGCTCGCCTGCGCGTGCTGACTGGATCGAAGTTCTGAGGCGGGCTGGCAATTGGATTGGTATTGGGAAGAGCTGGGAGAATCTATGTCGACCGGCGCCGTTGCCTGGGCATGGGAAAAACGGGTCGAGTAACGAAATGAGTAAGAACGGAGTAAATGGCGGTAGCAGTGGAGGCGGCGAGACTGAAACCCAGAAGCGCGAACGCCAAAAACACGAAGCCATACTCGAAGCCCTTGCAGATGAGCGCGTTGTCGACGAGGAATCCTTCCAGCGCGCAGTCCGCGCCCGCGAACGCAGATTCAGGGACGACGAAGAAGCGGAAAAGAGGCAGCGTGATGGTTCGCCTTCTCCCCATCCCTCCTCGACTTCCACTTCAAACGGCTCTGCATCTTCTTCGTCCAATGGTGTCCCACCCAAGAGCCCGTCTTCACCTTCTCCCGCGCCTCCTGCAGCGCCCAAACGCTGGGCTCAGGACGACGGCCGCGAGTACCCGATTAGCACCGAGCGCGCTGAAGCCATCTCGCGCTGGGTACGCGAAGCCCCTAGCGTCACTGAGAGCACAGGCACGAAGAAGCGTCGTGCAAAGGGCAAAGGCAAAAAGCCTTCTTTACACAAAGCTAGCAGCACGGGAATCAGTATCGCGGAGAGCGTCGAGACGCTCAGTGTACAGGACGAGGATGTCGATGTCGATGATTAGTTTCCATGTACGATCAGGTGTAAGCGTGATTCGACCTTGTTTTGTCTGCAGTTGCCATTGTCTTTGTTGAGCAGAGAAAAAGCGAATTGATGTCTCAGCCTTGGCTTTGGCTTGAGTGAGTAAGAAAGATATTGGATAGTGCAAGTAAGCGATGAGTGAACGAATCATTGTTCGAAGGAGAAATAACACCCTCGTTTTTATTCACGCCCGTGATTGTTATTGATACATGGTCGTTATGGAGGACTTGGAATAGTCCTGCATGTGCACTGAAATATTTTCGCCTGCCCACCCCTGCCAATCCCGGTCGCAATTCCAATCCCAATTCCAGCATACAGTAATAGTCTGGTAATGAAGGACCTCACAGCCTTCACGTCCTCATAGCCAGCAACTACCCTACACAGAACACAAAACACGAAACGCCCCCAGGTGCGGCACAACGGCAGCTTACAAGAAGACTCCAATACCTAAAATGTCGTGGATGTCTCGCTCCGAGGAGCCAGTGACCACATGCTCGTTTTTATACTCCGACACGCCAGCTTCCTCGTTGCGTTGAAGAATCTTTTCCCATGTCTTAGTCGACTCCTCTTCTGAAATTTCTTCATCATCCCAACTATTCTGCAGATCTTTCTCAGTAACCTTGAAGTCTTCATCATCCTCCACGGCATCATGAGGTGTCTCCCTAACCGGATCATGGTTCAGAATGCCTTTGAGTGGCATCATCCTCGCCGCCAGCCAATATGCTCGGTGGAAGCGCTTGTCGCTCGCCTTCTCCATGTCGACGTGCCACTTGTTCTTCAACTTGAAGAATCCTTGGTTCATGACATCGTTCAGGATATCGCGAATGTCGGGGGCGAAGGTCTTCCAATGGATCTCGTTATGGAGGTGCCAATATCGTCCATAAACACCTATCGTGGTGGTGGAATCAGGCGACATGTTCCATGTAAATGGGTTGGCTGCATTGTGGAGTACGACGAATGACAGACGGTCGCCGTCCTTGATAAAGCCTTGACTAGTATGTGCATGCCAGCTGTACTGCGAGCTGATGTCACACAAGTCCTTCATACTAAACAGGTCTTCCAGAAACGACTGAGCAAAATCATATCCTTTTTCGGGGTTGATCTCATACAGCTTCACAGACCATTTGTATTCCTCGTACTTGTCGGTAATCAACTGTTCGATGTCATCCCGGTCGGGCTGTATCTGTGGCTCGGATATAGATAGCGAGGGCGGGTATCGAGATAGTAGAGGTGAGACGGGCCCGGGTTGGTGATAATATGACCCTTCGATATTCGGTGCATAACCCTGTGGTGGCGCCCCCCAAGCCATGGACTCGGCCAGAGGATCGTGCTGTAACTCTGGGACGGGGAATTTGTCTTCCGGTTGTTGACGAGGCGGGGCTGGTGCAGGCGGCACCAACATGTTGAAGATGGAACTACGTTTGCGTTTCGATCCCGCCATCTTGCGCTGACCTCGCTGCGTTGCGGATTGCCTGCGCGCCGAGATCTCTTGTTGGCGTGCTTCACCTTTCCGGTGTAACTTCTCTTGCTTTCGACGTGTTTTCTCGTCAAGTTTTGCGGTGTGCTTAGGAATCGGTGGAATTAGGGATGTGTCTGACTGACTGAGCTCACTCAGGCTGGCTTGGGGTAGTAAACTGTAAGACGGCCATTGCTGAATTGGTTGTGGTTGTACAAAAGTCCGAGGTGCAACCAGGGAATATCGAGAGTAACGGGGAAGTGGCGGGTGAGGGTTCGAAATAGAAAGCAGTTGAGACGGTTTGCCATAGAAGTCGTATAGTGGCTGCTTACAATGAACGTCTTCAGGGCTGTTCTGGGCATACGGAGCATTGTATGGCACCTCAGGATGATTCAGATTTTTCCAAGCTGCGTAGTCCGGTTGTTGTTGTTGCTGCTGTTGTTGTGTATACCAAGAAAAAGCTTGCGGCTCTGTCTGCTCAAATCCAGATGAGCTGTTACCAAGTCCTTCCTCCGCGTACCACTGCCTTAATGTGCTGAAATCGTCATCTTCCTGGCGTGGTGGAGTCAGTGGGCGATTCACCTCATCGTTCAAAGACTCGGCGTTGTGCGGATGGCGTCCGATTGGCGAGGCGGAAGGCGCGAGCGACTGGAAATAGTCATTGTTCTGGGAGTAGCCTTGCTCATAAGGCGGAGACGGGACGGTAATGCTTCTGCCATGTGAGTATTGGGAAAGGGGCACCATAGAGGCGTTCGTGGCAGTATCTGCTGCAGTCATGATGTTGAGTGGTGCGTCATCCAAATTCGGAATGCGCCAGTCTCGTGAGACAGGCGCATTGCCGGAGTCTCTGGAAGGGTCCATCTGGGTTGAGTGCAAAGGACCAAGTCGTGGTGTGCATGTTCGATGTGGAGGCGGGGAGATTGTGGGTATAAATATGGGGAGGGCCTCGTGGTGAAAGGCAGTCGGGTAAGAGAAGAGTCGGTCCCTAAACAACGATGGGAAAGCACCAATGGAGGAAGTCACGACGTGTCTGTTGCCTTCACCGCGAACTCTGCGTGTCGTCTGGCCAATAGAGCAGATAAGTTGCGTTGGAAATTGTCCAGGATGACGTAATGAGACGGGAGATTGCAGCGAGTATCGGAAAACTGCAGTGGATATATGTATCGGTGTAACAGTGGTCTAAGAATTTGAGGATGGAGAGGTTGAGGTGTTGAAAGATAGAGGAAGAAGTCTTTGTTCTCAAATGATGCAGCATGTCGCAAGGAAATGGGTGAATCACGCCGACTCACACTCACATGCTGGCTAGTCCTACTACTCTTCGCCAGATCCATTCTATCCACCTGTTAAGTACTCGAGGTGTAATCGATACGCCTTCACAGGGTCCAGCTGACCAAACTTTGAGAGATGTGCCAAGCCAAACAGGCAGAAGCAATAGGCTGTTGTAGCACGTGAAACTTGATGTCTTCAGAACTATGACACGGTAGCCTTACCCAAAACTCTCCAACGAGTCATAGCACAGTACCCACCATACTCCATCTTTTCATGTGCTTGCCGTCTCTGGCATGCGCTAAAACGCCAAATGAACTAAACAGGTGATCCCACAAGATGCAAGATGACTCGATGAGATGAGGAATGCGCCTAGCAACGCTACTATAAGCGTTGCATGGGACAAAATAACGCACTACTCTTAGACAACGCGCTTGACCTGGAATATACATTAGTACCAGAAGCTCACCAGTAATCGAGCGAGACAGATAATGGCTTACCTCAAAGAAGCGCTTGAGCCACCAGACCTGGAAGATGCCCTGGCTAATCAAAACCAGGAATTGGAAAATGCTCCACCACTTGACACGTGAATTGGTGCTCTCGGCCGTGTTCCTGTGCATTCGCTCGCGCACAACGATATAACTCTGCTCGTCCTTGACCTGCGCGATGAGTTCTGACATTTGGCGGACTATAACATGTCAGCGTTTGCCCTGTTCCTGTAGGTTACGCTCCCACATACCCTCCTTCTCTAAAGGATCTTGCGGTGCCTCCGACTCGGGAACGTAGACAATGCCATGGACGTTGAAGGAGATCTCCTTTGTGTTCGCGCCCCAATGCTCGTTGTTGAAGCAGTATGTGTATTTGCCGTCTTCTGCTGCTGTGAAGGAGTGGTCGCCTGAGGACACGCCGCGTTCGTGGATTTGGTTGCTGCGAGACGGTGTCTCGATCTGCGCATCCCTTCATCAGTTATGCCCTTCACGCGTAGAGTTTGATGACCCATGCTGCCGTTGACGCACCCAGAAGTCAATCTCCAAGTTTCCGCTACCTCCAAACTCCCGATCGCCGACCTGGAACGTGACGGTCATCTTGTCGTCCTTGTGCAGCGACTCGTGGAAGCATTCGCGCTGGTGGGCCTTCATCTGGATGTTGTGTGCCGTGGCGAATGACAGCAAGCTGCTCGCCGCAGCGAAGATTGCGAAGGATGGAATCAGCATGCTCGCGGTGGTAGTGTGCTGCTGTTCTGTCGTGTTCGAGGGATGAATTCAGAGGAGCGCCAAGCTATACACACGGAGATGCCAGCTGTTGCCCGCAAACGCAATGCAAGGGCTCGGTAAAATGTCGGGCGCTAGCGCTATGACTTCGTCTGAACTCTCTTCGAACCGCCTCTTACGCCAATATACTAAAATGTGATATTGTTCAAATGCTTCACAATTCTTTCGCCTGTTATCTCAAAAATTCATTCTCACGCAAAGCTGACTTTCGTCAAATTGAGGATTGTCCATTGCCTCCAGTCTATGACCGTCCTGCCCAACTCGTTGTATATCACTAATATTGTATAAAATATTAGGCGATCGAAAGGCAGGAGCAACAAGTCATAGTCTTTAAGTCGTAGCCGATCCTAGTTTGGGACCATCCATGGGTACTTTCCAATGATGAACTGTCTCCTCCTTACATGCAGTGCAATATGGCTTTCCTTTCACTTCACAACAAACGCTCTCTGCTCTGTCTTGTTAGCTCACTCTCCTATTATCTTTCTTCGGTGACTTACTTTCACTACGGCAAGTTCACTGTCGAGGCCTCTCAATGTAGGTCCCGCCTTTCCCTTCGTGCCAAGACAACCGTGAGCTCACAACTCACCACTCTTCGCGTAACCTGACTGACAGAGTCGCCGGCCGCTCTTTATGCCCCTGCTCTCTCTCTATCTCTCTCCGTTGAACACGTGTTTTGTGCGCTTTTCGCCGCTTAGCTCTAGTGGGCGACAGTCGTAGGGTCTAATTGCGCCGCTTTCATACCCCAAAGCTTAACGAAGCTCCACGGCAACCTCGGGCACCGCCCAAAATGACTGATCCCAATTGGCGTCCTCGACGCGTGTCGAAATCCTTCATCTTAGGCCTCACCGATAAACCTTTCAAGGACCCAAAGCCCCCTGTCCGATCTCCCCAGCCCAGTGCCCTCGCCCAGATGGTACGTTGTTGCATTGACCAGACCTATAGTACCAGACTGACGAGCCTCAGGTTACCACGCCTGGCGGTATATTGGAGTGGGCTGCCAGCGACGGCCGCAAAGGCAAGCTCACCGGCACTGGCAAGCAGCGACTCACCGCAACCAGCCTTGCGAAGGTACCATCCGAGAAGCGATCGGTGAAGGATGCCCTCGGCGCGCAAGTCGGCGCGAAGAAAGCCGCAACAGAAAAGGCTGCAAGCATCAAAGTGGTAAAAGCTGCAACGGAAAAGGCTGCCAGCAATGCGGGCGACTTGTGGGGTGCCGCTGGAATTTGGGACACCACTGCAGTCGCGGCAGATGATGACGGAAAGAAGGACGACAACGACAAGACAAGCTGTTGGACCGCCGAAGAGGACAAGAAGATACTTGACTGGAGAAACGAGAACCCCAACGCCCCTTGGGCTTCATTCGCGGAAGAGATCGGAAAGCCCGTCTTCGAATGCAAAGAGCGCTTCAAACAAGTCAAGCCTGCAGATTGGAACCCAAATGCGGCAAAGGGTGGTGGTGGAGGCGGTGGTAATCAGAAGCCAGGCAGAAAGGACAAGAAACAGAACCAAGCCCAACCTCAAAATCAAGGTAACAACAACACGGAACAGAGGCAACAGAATCAAGGGAACAAAAAGGTAGAAGAGAAGAAAGACGGGCTTCCTAGTGGAGACCTAACAAATCAATGGGGTACTTCGAACGCGAACTGGGGCAATAACACGGGTGGTACCGCTGATGCAATCGCTAACACGGAATGGGGCGGCGGTAATACTTTCGGCGACACCAACGGAGATGCCAGCAATAATAATGTTGGTTGGGGAACAGCTGGCGCTGGAGAAAACAATGGTGGGACAAATGCAAATGCTGCCGCGTGGAATGGTGGGGGAGTGAATAACAACACTGGAGGAGGAGGTGAAGCTGCCTTCAATGACAACGCCGGAGATGGGACGTTCGGTGGAGGTGATACATGGGGCAACACTGAGAACCCTAGTGGTGGAGGTGTCGGTGGTTCCGGGAACGCTTGGGACACTCCTGCTAACGGCGGAGGGGACATTACAGGAAATAATACAGGGTGGGGCAACACTACAATCCCTAGTGGTGGAGGTGACGGCGGTGGCGCGAATTCCTGGGATACTCCTACTAACGGTGGAGGGAACACTACAGGAGGCGCCGCGGGAGGCGCTGCAGGAGGCTGGGGGACTAACAACGATCAACCCAAGAACAACAATAACGGCGGCGGCGGCGGCAACACTGGTAACACCTGGGAAACATCAGCGCCCAATACATGGGGAACGCCTGCTCCCGCCAAATCCGCAACCAGACCCAATTCAAAGGCGCCCACGAATAAGTCAGCCACACGCTCCCACCACTCCTATCATCCTTCCCAGCACAATCCGCCGACCAACACCGCTCCCACAGCTCCAACCGCTACAGCAGCTCCTCTCGAGCTTGAAGTTAGGCCCGATGACACCTTCTCTGCAGATGACTTGAGGTTGATTGCGCGGATCTTACAGCAGGATTGCTCATTGGTGTGGAATAGGGTCAGCTGGCGGTTTCAAGACAAGACGGGCAGGAAGTTACATCCTGATGTGTTTGAAAAGAAGATTACCGGGCATGTGCATGGTAAGAAGAGTGAGAAGGGTAGCGGAAAGGGAAACTAGTGTTTCTCGATGAGCTGGGCGGGTGGGGTGAGGCGGGGGGATATTTGGAGAGCAGAGGATTCTAAAGAGCATGTGGACATCTGGGCTAATCACAATGTGGCCTGAGTATTTAAGTCTGGGTATCTAACGCTGGTAGTGCTGATACTATTCTAGTAGCAGAAGTAGCTATCTATTGTAGCTTGCACATACTAGATTCACGATTCGAAACTTCATCATTCCGGTCATCTTGCGTCTATATGCCAGCAACGTCTACTGAAGTATCCCCAGCACAGCCTCCCATGGCCTCAACCCGACCTTCTCACTCAACTCCCTACCCTCCAGCTCCCTCTCGTCATAATTCCCTGCAACCCATTTCTTCACTTTCAGGTCGTTCAGCTTAGCCCATGTCACCGTTTCCCCACTGAGATTCAACACCGTGAGGAAAGCCTCCTTCTCGCTCCATCGCCGATACGCTACCACTTTCTTATCATCCATATCCAGCATCTCGAAGTCGCCGTACACAAATACTTCCTTGTTCTTCTTGCGAAGTTCAAGAGCGCGTTTCCAGAACGCGTGGACCGACAATGTGCCAGGTGTAGGTTTGGCGTTGGCGAGCTGCGCCGCGGCGTTGATAGTCTTGTAGTCGTCATTGACACGCATCCAGGGCTTACCGTTACTAAAACCAGCCTGGGGGGAATCGTCCCACTGCATAGGTGTTCTGGAGCTATCGCGCGCTTTGCGTTGCATGATCTTACGGGCTAGAGCTTGCTTTGCCGGGTCGTTGGGATAGAGGTCGCGATACCTAAGCTCGTCAGTACTGAGATGTAAGTGGGAGTGCGAGCGATACATACTTTTTGAAGAAATTGATACTCTCAATGTCCTTGTATTCCTCCGGTCCCCAGCTTTCGGGCACGTTTCGCATGCCAATCTCCTCACCCTGATAGACGTACAGTGTACCAGCGAGTGTGGTCTGCATCAAGCAAAGGAGTTTGGCACCGTACTCACGCCACTCATCGCTATCGTCTGTAAATCGACTAACACTACGAGGTTGATCGTGGTTCTCAACGTAGAGTGAATTCCATCCGTCGCGCTCAAGCATGAGTCGCTGGAGCCTGTTCACAATCCGCTTCAAATCGCTGGCATCCCACGAATTGAGGGTGTATTTGAAGTCTCCAGGCACTTTGTCGACATGCATGAGGTCGAAGGAGAAGATCATGTTCAGCTCTTCGCTCTGTGCGCCTACAAGTTTAATGATTTCGTCTTCGTCGCGAACGAAGGGCATTTCACCAACTGTGAAGGCTCCATACTTGGACAGAATGTTGCGATTCAATTCTTTTAACCACTCGTGTAGACGCGGGCCATTTGCATAGTATTTGCTCCCGTGCTGGTATTTGCTGTCTTTGACGACAAAATCGGCATCAGGAAATGTTTGCACTTTCGAGATCAGGTTGATGACGTCCATGCGGAAACCCGACGCGCCACGATCGAGCCAGAAGCGCAGAATATTGTGCACGGCTTCGCGAACAGCGGGGTTTTCCCAGTCCAAGTCTGGTTGCTCGGGCGTGAAGAGCGAGAGATAGTACTCTTGAGTCTTCTCATCCCACGTCCATGCTGAGTTTGCTTCACCAAGAATCTGCGCCCAGTTGTTCGGTGGTTGGCGATTCCCGTCGGCGTCGTATTTTGCAGGTTTCCAGATATACCAGTCTCTTTTTGCGGAGTTCTTCGAAGACCGCGACTCAAGAAACCATGCATGCTCTTCAGACGTGTGGTTAACGACAAGATCCATTACAAGCTTCATGTCGCGCTTTTTGACTTCCTTGATGAGATTATCGACATCGGCTAGGGTCCCATAGCTCGGATCAATGTCTTCGTAGTCCGCAATATCGTAGCCCATATCGGCCTGCGGGCTCTTGTAAATCGGAGACACCCAAATCACGTCAACACCGAGATCCTTGAGGTAATCGAGCTTCTGCGTGATGCCGGGAACATCGCCCCATCCATCACCGTTACTATCGAGAAAAGAAGCGGGATAGATCTAGTTTAGCTATTAGTAAATGGTCGTGAATTTGACAACTAGAATCACCTGATACACGACGGCCTCTTTCCACCATTGATGCTTGTCAGTACCAACGTAGAGGCCTTTCTTGGTATGTGCAATGGTTGACATCTTGTTGTAGCTACTTCTTGGAACCGAGGGATGTAGAGAGACTATTGTAGACTTGAGGTCGCAGTATTATGTGACCTCACGTCATTGTTCCATGTTGACCACCACCGGTCTTCGGAGTCCGCATCCGCACGCCCCACTCGAGGGCAGGTACGAGTCAGGAACAGAACGCAACCTTCTCCAACAACAATCATCTCGTAAGTTACTAACTCCAGGGCCCTCAAACATCTTAAACTAGTATCGATTCGAGTTGCCTGACGCGAATGGTCACGTTGGTGGATGATGGGCCTAGCGCCGAGGCGCGTCATCGTCACGCGCCCACCTGCATCGGAAAACATGTCCCACTCTTATTGACAACAACTCGCTCCGAGTACATGTGAATAGCTAGCGACCTTCAAACCACGCACACAATTCTTCTCGAGAAACTCCCCGAACAATGACGCATGAGCCTGATATCGAAAGCAGAGAGTCAGCCAGCGAACGGACACCAATGTTAGGAGGCTCTTCACACCAGGGACCTGCGCATGAGGACGAGAAGAAGTTGAGTTTGTTACAGTTCCTCCAGTTTTTCGGTGGTGGCATCTACGCACCTGATCCATCGACTTACGATCCTATTGAGATCCTTCTGAACACAGAGGATGCAGGGCAGAGGGATGATTTGACTGTGAGATGGAGAGACCACAAGTTGAGTGAGCTTAACTTTATCGGTATTGTGGTACGTAGAGTGTTGAGAGAGTTTTTAACGTATTGTACGGGTCAAAATGGTCTAATCAAACTGACGTCCATCAGGCTGCGCTCTTAGCAGGAGTGCTCACTTCCACGGGAAGTTGGCCCAACATTTTACCCAATGGAAAAGAGTCTCCATGGCCTGTACGAACATCATGGTTTTGCGGTATCATTCTATCGCTTTTCAGCATCCTATCTGCAGCCGATCAAACAGTCCGCCTCCATCGTCTTTCATCTCACCGGGATGGGCTAGAAAACATCCGCAATCTACTCGCGAAAACTAATGGCGAGCGGAAACACTCAGCAAAGACCGGGCGCCGTACACCAAGCTTGCTTCAGATCATGGCCTGGCAGATGCCGGTTATGTTCTTGACCTCAGCGACGCTCTGTATGATTGTAGGCATGTTTCTGCATGTTTGGTCGGCCACAACGCACTTGCGTAGACCGGAATTGTGGGACGACAATACCAGGGTTCGTCTTCTGTCATGCTATAAACTGCAATTCGTGCGCTAACACTTTAGGTCATAGGTTGCAGTTACTTACACAGTAGTTGCTTCTATCGCCATCATCCTGTTCTTCGTAGGCCAAGTTACCCTCTATTCGCCCATCAGACGTTGAAGGGACATATCGGTGTGTTCATCTATGGAAGGACAACGTTTCCAGATGCGTTGATTTTCTAAAAGATTGATCTTTCAGAATCACGGAACACAAACACTCTTAGTAATAACATCTCTGCTGGCTTCTTAACCTTTCTGCTCTTGTACTTCTTGCCCTCATTCACCATGACAACCTCCTATGTGAGCTATATACTCCGACTTTGAAATGTTGAGGACGCAGTCTGGAGGTCCTCAATAGACCATACTCCCGAACGTGAAGCAATGCGGAGGGTCATAGTTCAGTCATGCTAATAAGTCATAGTTCTTGCTACAGTCAAAGGCCTAGAGTCATGACCCGATATAAAAGGGAGATCGCGATTCCATACTATCATTCTCTCAATAACCACTTCTCAACTAATTCACTCTCACCTCCTGTCAAATATGGCTGCAGAAAGCCCCCTAAGTCAACTCTACAATGACTTCCTCCCGGAAAACGGCAATCGTGTATGGACCCCCGAAATTATCGAAGCAATGGACATATTGGCGCAGAAGATCGTCATGTACAACAAGAGGACACTGCTTCTACGCTCTATCTCATCGGGCGAGCAAGAGAGAATCACTGAGTCTGACCAAGGAGTCATTTTCGACTATTCAGGCAAAGAACTACGACATGAAATCGACCAACTGAGTAGTGAGCTAGGAAACTTCGAGGTTGGCGAGAAATATAAGAGTATTGATGTTTTTGGCAACCATCATGATCGAGAGATTCAGAATCTCAGGGAGTCAGGGGACGAGAGCAGCTTCATTCTAGACCTGGCTATAGAGTCATACTGGAATATAGCTGGGGGTCTGAGCGCAAGTGCCACCGACAATTTTGACTTGCAACCGTTGTACAAGGTCATAGCTCGAGCAGCCACCGATCATCAGACTGACAGAATGTGTCAGGATGGCGAAACTCCCTACTCTTTCTGGAAACGGCGTTGGACTACTGTGACGCCGCATGGTAGTGAAAAGGTTTGGATCAAGACTAGGAAGTATTACAAGGGTGCCAAGGACTTTATATTCAAGTTCGTGAGCCTTGATAAGCTGACTGAAGCGGAGAAATATGGAGATGAGGGTCTCATGATACAGTGGTCTCAAACGCGATTCCGACTCACAGATCTACTGTACAAGCACGGAGACCAGCTAATGAATGTCGATAACATTGTATGTTTTGGCCTTGGCGCACTAGACTGGAGACGCCCAAAGCGTTTTGCGCAGCATCTTGCGGCCTTCACGATCCGCGATACTTTGCAATCAATCCAAGCAGAGCGGGGCATTGATAGAAAGATACCGATTATCGCCCAGGATCCTGCGTACTGTCCCTCTTGCAGCGAGATTCTCGAGGAACAGCTAGGTATTCGAGCTGTAACCGATTTCGAAGGGTTTAGGGCAGTGACCAAAAACTCCTTCATCGTCACTGTAGCCCCTAGTGCACCAGTTTGCCAGATCATCGCGGACCTGACCATGAAGGACGGCGGTCCAGCGGCAATGCTATGCGACAAGTTCTGTGACGACTATCTTGCACAGGAGCGCGATCCGGAATCGAAAGATGGATATACTTGTGACGAGCCCACAAGAAACATGGTAGATTACAAAGCTCGATGTGAAATAGAGGATTTTAGCGAGTGCGAGAGCGTCCTTGGTATAAGCCATAAAGAACTCGTGGACACGTATCCCACGGGGGCGGAGTACCTCAAGAAATGGAATGTAGACGGAAAGACTTTCTTTACAAGCAAAACCACAGAGGCCGATGAGAAGGATTATAAGAACTGTTGTGTGATGTGGGCGTTGGAAGGGAACATTAATTTCCAGGAGTCGGCTGTGTATATTAGGTCAAGCTAGAAAGCTGTACTTTTGAGGTTTTAGATATAGTGTTTAGTAGCAACAATGACGATTCTGCTGTGATAACTTTTCGTACGCAGGTATGGTAGTCCCGTGCAATCGTGTGTCGACCAACACCATTCAACATGAATGCGAGGCAGCGGCAATGATACCCGAAATCCTTCAAGCATGATGAAAGAGCGGTTTCGTATTGTTTCTTTAGTTGTGATACTATTACAGATATTGCGGCGTTGCAGATGACGTAAAGCAGCCTAAACACCTAAATTTAGCGTTTCCATGTTCTATCGAGCACCTCTCCTCATGACAAACTCGAGTTTGAAACATCGAAAGTGCATCAAATCAAGGCCATGAACTCCCCATAACCATCGCACTGCGCGAGGCCCCAAGTATACAATACATTAACCCCTGCCTACCTGCCCCTCAGCACCCAACGCACGTTCAATCGCACGCAATAGCCTCGGTACATCACCACCTCATCCTACCAAACCTCACCAATACATCGCCAACAACCACAACCAAACCACAATGGCATCATCAGAAACAACCCCTCTCCTCCAGCAAGACACCCCAACCCCCCAGATTATCCCAGATGAAGAAGCCACCGACGCGCGCCGCGGCACATTTTCCCGCAACCTAGGCGCAATCGACGGCTTCGCCCTGCTAATCAGCATCGTAATCGGCTCCGGCATCTTCTCGTCGCCGGGCCCCGTCGACGCAAATGTGCCCTCTCCCGGCGCCGCGCTGCTCATCTGGCTTCTGGGCGGCGTGCTGGCGTGGACGGGTGCGCTCACTATGGCCGAGCTAGGCACTGCGTTTCCCGGCGAAGGCGGCATCCAACCTTACCTCTCCCACATCTATGGGGAGGTGTTTGGGTACATGGCAGCGTGGAGTTGGATCGTCGCGACGATGCCGGCTACGCTTGCGATTTTGAGTATTGTTTTTGTCGAGTCGATTTATAGCAGCTTGGGGGTGAATGAGGCGTATCCGCCGTTGACGCATAAGTTGCTTTCTTTGCTGGTGTTGGTGGTTGTTACGACGTTGAACTCGATTAGTACCAAGACTAGCACTAGGTTGTCGAGCTTCTTTGTTGCCGTCAAGTTGTTTACGATCCTGCTGCTTATTGTTGCTGGGCTTGTTGCTGTGTTTGTGTTCGTTGGGGGTGGGAGGGATCTTGGAGGCGGGGATTGGCATAGTCATAATTGGTTTTCGCCGAGGGATACAGTTTTGCCTGATGGGTCGCGTTTTGACTGGGCGAAGGTTACTACATGGGAGTCTCTTGGGTTCTATAGCACCGCGCTGTACGGGGCCTTGTGGGCATACTCTGGGTGGGATAAGGTATTTTCACTATCCATCGCAGAATCAACGAAGATCACAAAGATTAACGGACCATCAACAGGCAAATTATGTCGCAGCAGAGCTTCGTAACCCCAGGAAGCAACTTCCCCTCTCAATCAACACAGCCATTCCGACGATCATCCTCTGCTATGTCGCCGCCAACGCTGTATACTACATTCTCCTACCATGGAAAGTAGTCTCCACAACAGACGCCGCAGCCGTCGTAAGTATCTAACTCCCACCCCCACCTCCATCCCCAACCCAAGCCTAATCCCATAAAGACAGCAGTAACCCACTTCCTCGGCAAAGGCGTTGCCTACTTCGCCACCGTCCTAATCTGCCTGGTAATCGCCGGTTCCGCACTAGGAAACTCCTTCGTCGCAGGCCGCATGACCGTAGCAGCCGCGAACAAGAACTGGATTCCACACGTGCTAGGCACAGTAGGCCAAATCGGCACTTTGAAGGTGTCCAAAGCGAGCGATGCAGGTCCAGTAGGAGTAGATGAAGCCTTGGACAAGGGAGAGTCTCCGATGTGCGTCTCACTTTACCCCTTCCACGTTCTAACATGTGAAATGGGCTTTTAGTTGCTGACGAGATGATAGCAACGCGCTCCTACTTAACACGGTCCTATCAGCCATCTACATCCTCCTGGGTAACATGCGTATCCTACTCACTCTCAACGGCCTGGCCGAATACGCGTTTTTCTTCCTCACTGTGCTCGGCGCTATTATTCTGCGCTTCAGGGAGCCAAACTTGAACCGTCCGGTTAAACCCTTTATCCTCATCCCTGTTTTGTTTGCTGTTATTAGCGGATTTGTGGTAGTCAGAGGCGCGTTCTTTGCTCCGGTGCAGGCGGGTATTTTGCTTGGTATATGGCTGATCGGCGCGGTGTTTTACTATGTGAGATTGTGGGTGTTGGTGAGGGCGGAAAGTGCTCGGCGAAGGGAGTAAGATGGATAGAGGTAGGAAGAGTGCCTTTGTGTATATGATCCGATCTATGAGCTTTGTAGTTAGACGGGATTGCGCTCTGAATAAGGTGGCTATGGCTGTTAGCAAGGGACCTCACTACATATACGCACACATATGTCTTATCTTTGCACAGGGACCCTGAACAGGTCTGTGCATATGAAATTTAGAAGAGAGATGCAAGAATTCACAGGGGGATAGATACCAAGAACGATTAACATTACGAAACTACGGGAGTCTTGTGATTAGTAGACTAAACTAGACAGTATACAAGGGTATAGACAAGGCCAAAAAGAAGAAAAGAAAAGAATCGAAAAGGAAAAACCCAATACCACATCTTTTCCCGCCCGTTGTCCAATGAAAAACCCCTTTCTGGTCTTCTTCCTTCCAACCTATT